GAGAATGCTTCGGCGTCGCCGTCTGCTTTGGAGGCCACGGCGGCCAGGCGGTTAGGTAGATGGGCGACGAACTTGAGGCGGTTCCCTTTCGCGGCAACCGCTGGCTGAGCGTTTGGGATGAAACGATTCGCGTAGACCCTCGTTTGGTCTTAAGATGCCGCTGCCGTGCAACGAGAGCCGCAATTGAGTAATACCTCGGGGATCTGGCTTGGCAGAGGAAAGGCACGGCGATAAGCGAGTGACACTGTGCTCCCAAGAGATGGATTTGAGAAAGATGGAGTATCAGACGGAGCGAAGAAGTGCTGCAAAGGTGGGAGGTAACGACTGGGCAGTCACGATGACGAGGGGCCTTCGTGGTTGGTGGTTGGAGGTTGGTGACCGTTTGCGGGAGGACGAGGTTGAGGGCGTACTCGTATGAGACTCAACCACGACGACGGCAGCAGCGTGTCTTGGAACCGACCGGCGAGTTCCCCAACGGACGGAAGAGAGACGGGAACGGGGGAGGAGGGAACTGCGTGAGGCAGGATGGAAGTGAAAGGGGGGAGGCCAGAAGGAGGAGGAGGAAGAGGAGATGCAGAGAGGGACCTGGGAGACTGGACGGGGAGGAGGAGGCCTGGCCTGTCAGTCAACCTCGCATGCAAGTCAGGGCCATCTTACAGCAGAACACAGGCTGGATGGAGAATAGGAGCGGCGGCGGCCAGGGACCAGCCAGCCAGCCAGCCAGCCAGACAATGGGCGGCGCCATGTCGGACGGCACTGGAGCTCGTGCTATCTGGCCGGGGACCGCCCGCCGGGAGAGAGAGAGCGCGCGCCGTCCATCCGTCCATCCATTGCGCGAAGCTTACACGTTTCCCAGGCGAGACACACCAGAGGCGCACGGTGCCATCTGCAGCGAAGCGCTGCGCTCGGCACAGTGTGTCTCCCGTCAGTGGACGAAGGCGGTCGTCCTTTGGCGGACAAGCCCCGTCTCCGTCTGCATGGGTGGAACCGCAGACAGGCGAGATGATATGCGCCACTGGAGCCCGCGCTGGAGCCCGCTGGAGCCCACTGGAGACGGCTGGTGGGGTTGCAGCGCGCGCAGCAGCATGCAGTCGCGGTGTCATTGGCCCCTGCCTGCCAGGGGATGCTCAGGGAGGCACAGGGAGGCACAGAGAAGCCGTCATGGGCCCCACCCGCGGGGCCCACCAAGGGTGCATCCCAGGTTCCAGGTTGCCAGGGCAAGACAGGCAGTTTCTGGGATGGATGGATGCGTCAGGTACTTTCAGGTTGCGGCCACAGTGCCTGCAATGTGCAAATGACGGGGTGCTAGTGCTGCCCTGTGCGCGCTGGATGGCTGAGAGCGCACAGCGCACCGCCCGCCGCCCGCCCAGGCCGGTCCACAGCACGAGCGACCACTGGAGACGCGCTGGGTTCCCCTGAGCGCCCGTCGATACGGCGTGCAGATCTGCAGCGGCTGGGCGCTCGAGGTCGCAGACGGACGGCCGGGACGCATGCACCTGCGACACCGCGACATGCGCGGGCGCGCTCACTCTGGGCGACATGCGGGGCCGCAGGCGTCGCATTCCGCTGCCAATATCTGCGTTCGTCAGATTGGGTTTATTGACTCTGGGGTGATTGACTTTGAGGGCGATCCTCGGAGGACCATGGTTTGGCGACATGTTGCATGCCCGGACTGACAGACGGGAAACACGGAATGTTTCCAGAGCAGTGATGCTCCGCAGTTCCTCTGGACCTGGATGGATGGTTGATGGGTGCAGACGGCTGTCACCGCCTCAGCCCAGGCTTTCATGGTGGGACGCCCCTGGCAAGCGAAGCCCTCCAGCTCCCTGCATCCTCCAAGGTTCCCAGCGGCACCTTCCAGGCAAGCCAGGTTACCTGACACCGCTGGACGGTAGGTGGCCGAAGAGGCGCTCGACAGCAGGCCCAGGACCCCCTGCCAGGGCGGCCGTGGCGCGCCAAGGGGCCTAAATCGCGGCACTCATCCACTGCGCCGCCTCTCCAGGACGTTGGTGAACTTGCCCACGTTTTCGTGCCACGCCGCATGCGACCTAGTGGCCGACCGCCGACAGCAGGCTATCAGTTGATAAAGCAGAGTCTCGACTCCTGCCGCCCATGGCACCATCACCACTTGTTGGCAACGAACGGCATGGTCCGTAATCCTTCCTCTGGACCAGGCTCTCGACTCAGGTTGTCAGTGAGCGTCGCCAGCTTTTGCCGTCCTTCCGACGCAACGGGGTCAGCGGCGCAACCGCGGTGGCGACGGACGGACGGACGGCCGGCCGACGCAAAAATAGAACAAGCCACCTTCAGGAACTGTCTCCTGTTACAGTGCCAACGCCGGATTCCACGGCGCGTTTCTCTGGCTGGTTCTACGGTGTCCGGGACGAAGGCGAGGCACTTTATTCGACACAGTGACGGACGGACGGGACAGACACATGACAGGCTCCCGGCTGCGGGTTGCAGCGCGTGCTCCTTGTCCTCGCCCGTTGATCGACACCCCCTTCGTGCCGTCCTGCCCTTTGCGTCAGGCAGATTGGCAGATTGACGCGCTCACAACCCCCTTTGAGTCGAGCCGTCCAGGGGGTCTCGGGGCGGCGCCGTTGTGCGAGTCCAGAAATTCACTCGCGTTGAACTCGATGCGATCGTCGCGGGCAGCAAATTGTCGCTTGTGGGCTCGTCGGTCGCCGCTGAGGATACGCTCATTTCCTTTTATCTTCGACCGACCACGGGCCAACCTGCGTTCTGGGGTCCTGGGTCCTGGGTCCTGGGTCTTGGGTCCGCCACAAGCGCGCGTGTTGGCCGGCGGCTCGTCTGCCCTGTGTGTGTTTCTGCGAACGACGCCGACGACGCACCCGGCAGCGGCGCGACCTCGGTGTGCGGGCGCGGCGCGGGCACGGCACTGCACTGCACTGCACCATCGGTGCTCGACGATCCATTCCTCAGGCCCCCGATCGCAACGCCGCGCCCGTTCCCGAGACAAGACAATGGGCGACGTCGAGGACCGTTTTCCCCGTGCGGCGCTGTCCCACCACCCGCACGCAGCGTCGCCATGTCTCTCTCCCTCCTTGCTTGTTGTGCGCCCTGACGCGCGTTGCCGCCTCCACCGCAACGTCGAGGATGCGCCGCCGTGATTGGCGTGACTGGATGCTGGAGCCCAAGGGCACCAGATGGAAGACGGCGCCAGCAGGTACCCCGGAAGAAGCCAAGTTTTTCTGGTGCGCGGCATGGGCCACCTAAGCTTTTTGGCGCACGCGCCAGGGGGAACCAGGGGCTGCCATGCGACAGGGGTGCCATGCCTGGGGGCATCTGCGGCGGCGCTGCCCACTGTTGATGGGGCTCCGCTGCCCCCCTCCCAATGAATGTCGAAGCGGCGGGGGCGAATGGTTCCTTCCAATCTGTGCTGAGCTGAGCCGTGCGGTGCTTGCCGTGCCTCCCAAAGCCTCCATGCCTCCTTCCACAGGTTTGTTGCTGTGCCTCCCGTCTGCGGTGCCGGGCGCAGGTGGGTGGGCAGGTGGGGCTCCTTGCGCCGAATCGCCGTGCGCCGCTGCTCCTGCCTCTGTTGGTGCCTCGTCAGCCCCGACGTCACAGATGTTTCGAGTCTGGCAACCGCGACCCGCTGCCAGCGATCCGACTTGGGGGTTTGCGTGTACATTTTGGCACGAGGGTGTCGTCCGTACAGTCCGGGATACTGTATACAGTCGCGTCGCCGCAAGCCAGCCATCCAGCCAGCACTGCAGCGCCGCGCTGTCGTTGCACCCTCGGGCCTGTTATGGCACTTTGTTTTGGTCGCCCGTCACCCATCACTCGTCACCAATCGCCCATCGCCATCGCCATCACCGTCGCCATCGCCGTCGCCATCGCACGGCCGTGGTTGCGCCGCCAACGTGAAGCTCGACGTCGACATGCGCACTGCAGGTGCGTGCGTGCGCGCCTGCGTGCGTTCATGCACGCATGTATCTGTACCGATGCTCGATGTGTGCGCGACATCTGCCCGCATCCCTCTCTGGGGACGAGACCATGCCCGGCACGCTGTGTCTACGACGGGAGCACTTCAGTTCAGCAAGGGTTAGATATTCACCAGGCATGCAGCAGGCCAGGCCCAGGCCAGGCGTCTCCGCCGCCGCTAGCTTGCGGCTGTGCAGTCTCCCGTCCTCGACCCAGCCGAGAGCACACATGTTTCCCCCCTATCGCGGCGTCTCAAGCCAGCACGAGTATCAAAATGCGACGACGCAATGAGCGCTAGCGCAGGGGTCCAAGGGGGAGCAGTCGACCCACGAAGCACGCCATGTCCAATCCCAAACGTCAACTCAACGCCGCCTTTGAGAGCGATCGTCTCCGGCGCCGGTGTGGCGGCCGGGATGGAATATTTCATCTCTTGACGGCCCCGCCGCGGCCGACCGTGCCGACATGTGCGTTTTTGGGACTCGGACCTGTCCTGACCGGACTGATGTAGCACAGTTCGACGCGAACGAAACGCTCACCGAGCCTGCATCGCCTCACTTTGATGCTTGAGATTGCCGCGTCTCGGACGCCTGCGCCCCGGACGCGCACGCCTGCCATGATCATCGAACACGACAACGGCACGACGGCTGCGGCCGCGACATCTTCCGCAACCGCCGCCGCTTACAATTCGATTGCTCGGGCCGCCGTCGTCCCGTCCTCGCCTCCGTAGGATCCGTACAACGCACGCTGACCACCAGGCAAGGGTCGGTTCGGCGTCCTGTTGTATCCGAAACGTCCGGACCATTTCGCCTACTCAAGTGCGAGGCACAGTCGTGACGAAGCTCCGAGACCGAACGTCATACGCTCGTATTTCGACGTCACACGGCACGAAAAGAACGACAGAAGGCTGTCCAGAAATTGCTGTTGACGCGCTATCTCGATGAGACTGTGCTCGTACCGGGAACGACTGACTCAGGCGACTCGGCTTGATATCAGTCAGATATCCCGTCGCGTCACCACCCGCATGCATATGCACTGCTACTTCCTGTCTCCCCGAATCACCACGGCAGCACCTGGCCGTCGAAGCTGAGGAACTTGCCGTGCGTTGTGTTCAACGACAAACTGTCAATCTGCGGCCGGTCAATGCTGCGCCCAGCGAATACGAAATACACGTTTCATCATGCGAACGCACCTGCGCGAGGACATGTCTGGCGCTGTCCTCGACGGCCATGGGCGGCTCCTTGACGCCCACGGCATCTGCAAGGCTCTGGCCCATGTTTGTCTTGACCCATCTGTCGCATAGCATCAGGGTCAGTGCTCGTAGCTTGAACCGTCCGGGCTTGCTCGCTTACCCCGGATGAATGATGCCGACTTTGAGCTCGTCCTTTTGAAACTCGATGCTAATCTTCTTGGCAAGCCAATTGGCCGCCGCCTTGCTCATTCCATACGCTGCAGATGGGAAGCTCTCCATCTCGAGCGCCGCGATGCTGCCCACCGAGCTCGTGACCAGCACGAACTTCTTGCCGCCCTCGCGTGTGCTCTTGCTGAGGAGCGGCCAGCACGCCTGAAATAGCTTCAGGGGTCCGATGGCGTTGACCTCGAAGCAGAACCTCGCCGCGTCGGGGCTCGTGTCGAGCACGCTGTGGTATCCGGCTGACGCGCCCGCATTGGCGACCAAGACGTCGATGTGCGAAATTGAAATGGGTTTCTGCCCCTGTGCGGAGGCGGCGGCGGTGAGTCGAGTCACCAGCGACGTACTGTCGATGGACGGGTCGGCGTCGTCCAGGGGAAGCACGATGAGCGCGCTCGAGTCGGCCGTCGCGAGGGAGAGGAGCGATTGCGAAGTTTCGTCGGCGGGGTTGCGGACGGTTGCAACGACGGTCGTCGCGGGGCGGAGAAGAAGATCGGCTGTGAGCTGTTTTCCGATGCCTACATGCCGTCAGCGCGAGTGTTCCTTGAATCGCAAGTGTGAAGCTTTGTGCCGCTCATATCGCTACTTCCTAACGTATTGTCGTGAAGTGATTTTTGGTTGGTGTGAGATTTAGAGCGACCCCTCGCGACAGCCATGGGCATGTGCTCGGCCCGCGTCGCCGTAAACACTTTAGAGAAGTTGCAATTTTAACACCGGGCATACCTTTGTTTGCGCCCGTAATGAGATACGTCATGTTGTCCGCCATTTTGAGACTGTTCGGCGGTCGTTGATTGAACCTGGCGCGCGGTGTAAGTCAAGCGTGTGCATGTGTTGTAGGGTAGTGTGCGGGGGCGGGGTCAAGCGAGGCCCTCGCACCCCGGCGCAACGCGCAGAAGCAACCTTGGGGGAGACCTAACTAGAAGTAGGGCGATGGGAGTAAGTTGCCTCCAAGCTTGCGGCTTGTTCCGTATTGCTTTACGCGGTGGATGGGCGGGCGACTGCTGCTGGAAAGGGAGAATAAAATGGTGTAAGTCGTGGGTGCATGTGGTGTTGTGGCCCCGCAGAATTCGGCTGACGCTTTTATAGCCCGCTTCGTTCGACTTTGTCAGCGCTACGAGGCGGGTTGCAGCGTGCTTTGCTTGGCGGAACAGAAGGAAGGGAGACGGGTTTGTGGAGGCTGCTGCCTGCTGCTCGAGAGGCCTTGATGAGACATTCTGAAGGATTGGCTACTCACGAGAGGGAGCACCCCGGTGTGGAGTGTGTAGTCGTCGCGGCGACACCGTGCCGGAAGTTGAAGGCTTCGCCCCCCTTTTTGACAATTGAGTCGTTGGGCAGATGGACTGAGTGTATAAAGGTGATCGCAGGATATGGGGCGCCTTTTCCATGAGCAAACCCCCGGTGCGTTCTGCTCACGAGTGTGAGATCGACATGGAGTATCCCTTGGCAAGTCACAAGACCTTACCTTCACGGGATGTTGAGCCTGCGCAGCATCCGGCGCTGTGGGTTGGCCTCCTGGAAGCTATGCCGGCGGCATCATGAGTTTGCACTCGTGGGCAGCGACGATGCGCCCTTTGCTCAAAAGCGTCCTGACCTGGTATGTCAAGGGGCCGCGGGCGCAAGGCGGGACGCGGCCTGGCGAACTGCGATCCTCGCAGGTGTTGGAGTGCAACATGATTGAGCTCGCACCCTACGCCAAGCCATCGCGTGTTCCAACTGCAGCGCCGTTTGCCTCGACGACATGGGACGTCGCGGTCGATGCTCATGTCAACTGGCCACCACGGCGCCCGAACGGGGCAGACGGGCCGCCCTCAACGGAACCAGCGGACCCACCCGGCCGCCGCACTCGGAACCCGCGCCGACCAGGCAGTGGGAATGCCGGGGTGGCTGTCGGATGCGCGCGCCAAGGCCGCCGCGACGTGGTGCTGTCCGTCAATAAATCTTCAGGCTAATAAGGAGCATGCAGCCTCTCGGACGCACCGAGAGTAAGCTTGCGCCCTTTGCCTGTGTCTCATGGGTGCATTGATAATCCGTCGGGCAGGGCGCCTCGGTATCCCGCGCGCCCGTCCACAAGGGGTGGCGGCCCGGTGGGTCAATTGAGTTTTGGCCGATGAGAGAAAGCGTCGCTGGTTCCGTCGACACGAAGCTCTTCAAAGTTCAGCTGCCCATACGATAATACATAAACCTCGTGATCTGCAGCTGGAGTGCCAACAGTATTCTCAAGGAAACTGGAACACTCTTATCCCACGACCATGTCCGCACGTCCAACCGTCGCAATCGCCGGCGCGACTGGCAACCTGGGCGCCAAAATCGCCGAGGGCTTCCTCGAGCGGCCATTTCGCGATAGGTTCCTTGACGTCATCGTCCTGGCGCGCGCCCGCTCAGCCAAAGCCGAGGACCTCGTGGCCCACGGCGCGACATTGCGCGTGTACGCCGAGGAGAACCTGAAGGAGGCGCTGGCTGGCGTCGACGTCCTGATCAACGCGTGCGTCTGAACCAGTCTGGTGTTGAGTGCAGTGCAGTGTGTGCATAACTCGGAGCGTGCCACAGAGCTGGCTAACACACGCGTTTGTTTCCCTCTCCAGCGTCGGCCCCAGCGGCCACCACTTCAAAGAGGCGCTCCTGCGCAGCATCCCTGGCTCCTCCGTGAGGCTCTATTTCCCGTCCGAGTTCGGCGTTGACCACTACGTGCACGACTTCCCGCACGACGAGTGGGACGCCAAGAAGGCGCACTTCCGGCTCGCGAAGCAGCTCATCCCCGACGTGAGTGTGTGTCGCGTCTACGCGGGCCTGTTCCTCGAGGACTCGATCGGGCCGTGGTTCGGCTTCGACACCAAGAACGGCAGGTACGTCGCCGTGGGGGACACGGCGCAGCGGACGTCGTACACGAGCATGCACGACGTCGGCAAGGCGCTCGCCGTGCTGGCATCGCGACCGGCGGACACGGTGCCGCCGGAGGTGCATCTCAGCGGCGACAGCAAGTCCATGGCTGAGATTGCCGAGAGCATGGGGGCGAACGGAGCCGGGCAAGTGCAGGTGACGAGCGTGCCGCTGGAGAGCTACAAGGCGGGCGTGCTAGCGAGGCCGTCACCGACGCCGGAGCGGTACCTGCGCTTCCTAATGGGCGAGGGCAAGATCGACCATTCGGCCGAGCGGATGGGCAATCAGAATCACCTGGTGCAGGTGGCCGGGGGCGGGTGGACGTGGAGGTCCATGGCGCAGCTGGCAAAGGAGACGAAGGGGCGGCCGTGGGCTGACGCCGAGTGGCAGCTGCTCAGCTAACACGGCCGGCAAGGTCATCACTGATTATGAGCGTAACAACAACCGTGAGAGCAATCCAATGACTTGATTTGCCATTACTAGTTATTCGCTACATACTACATTAAGATGCTCATGGGTATTTCCTGCGTTGGGGGTTGTAGTCAAACTTTCGCCGAATCGTCAAGTGCAATGCGCGGTGGTCGTTAGTTTCTGCAGCAAGAGCCGAAGCACATGTCTGCTTCTAAAGACAGGGGTCAGCAAGGTCAACCATCTTCGGGGGAGAAAGAACACTCACTCGCTTGGACTGCACTGTTTTCTTCAACTCGGAGGACGAACACCGCTTCTGGGCCGGAGCCCCTGATGCTGTTGTTAGTCCGTGTTGCCTGCATCAGTTGTGGGTTTGTCGGGTTGAAGTCAGGCAGCAACTCACTTAGGCGGTGTCTTGTCCTCGTCGAATGCCGTTGCGTCAGCAATCTTCTGGAGGCAGCGGGTCAAGAAACTGGGTGGCCGTGGTCGGTTAACCTCCGTGGCTTCATGTAGCCCTCCCCCCTGTGATGGAGTCGATTTTGTTGCGGACTGAGGCTGTGTTGCTTGGGTATATGATGGAGGTAGAGGCTGGTTTCCTTGTCTGCTAAGCCACTGTTGGTTGTACGCGGGAGGAGGAGGGCAGGCCTCACAGGTGCAGTGTTGGGGTCGCGGGCGCTGCTGCCGCAGGGCGGTGGGCGGGCTCAGCAAGTACCTGTCCATAATGTGATGTCTCGATAAGCTTCTTGTTCTTTGGCACCGGTAGAGAAAGCAAGTTCAAAGGCCTTTATTTGAGAATATAACCATTTAAATTGGCTGAATCACTCCATGTCTATATACACGTGCCGCGGACATCAGACAACGTGACGGACATGCTCGGCGAAAACTCGGTGACCCTTTCGCCGGGGCGCCACGGCCGGAGGTGGGTCTCCGTCCGGACCCACGCAGCTCCGGTTGGCCGTGCCCGCCCGCCTTCGGCGAAGACTCGACATCAGATAAGGGGGAGCTCCATCGATGCTATTGACCGAAGCTCGGCGGCAAACCACACCATGCAAAACGGCATGTCGTCAGCGGCGACGGCTGCTGCTTCACTGCAGCACCTCTTGCACGTGCTGCGGCAGGCAAAACGTCTCCGACAGGCCGGCCCAGTAGAAGCCGTTGAGGCGCGTCATGGCGAGCAGCAGCAGCGGGAACGCCTTGCTCTGGTCGCGCAGCACGCGGCGCCAGTTCTCCAGCATCTGTTTCGCCTTGAGGGCGTTTTCGGAGCTCGGCGCCTGGACGAGCAGCACCATGAGGAAGTTGGACACTACGGCGAAGCTGATGCGAGACCCTGCGCGGAAACGAGTTAGCCAAGCCATCGCACAGACATGGGAGCGGCATATAGTTAGTGGCGAGGGTGCAAGATGTAAACGTACAAGAATACCAAAACTCTCCAAAGTCGCTCGACGACATGTGCCACGTAAAATTGACGAGGTTGACGGCCCACGTCTGCGCCGCCTGGTGCAGCTCCTTGACCGTGGCGCTCGTGTCCGTAACGTCGTCCTCGAGGTGCAGCTCAATCTCCGGCAGGTCGGAAAAGTCCCAGCTAAAGTCCTCGAAGAGGAACCCCGTGTCTTGCAGCGGGCCCTGGTGCTCCTGCAGCGGCTGGTCGACATCTATGATCTGCGGCGGCGGGAGGGACCGCACCGTCGGGCGGAGCAGCGCGCGCCACACGTACACGACGAGCGTCAGGTAGGCAAAGTAGACGGATGCCGGGTACGAGTCGGCGTCGTTGAGGTTGGCGAGCCTCTCTGAGCGGAAGGGCTCGGGGACAGGGACGGTGGCGCGCCATGCGTTGAGGGCGTCGAAGAGGGGCTTTGCGGCCTGGATCGAGGCGGGCAAGTCCTCGGCGAGCTTTTGGCATGATCTCAAGGAACTGTGCTGGTCAGCAGGGCGAAACATAAGGCACACTGGAAAGCCACGGTACTCACTATAAAGACACCTGCACAGAGTCGGCCACGAGAGCCAGGCGCGCCATGTCCCGAAATGCCGCCACCGACTTGGCCGGCAACGCGCTCGCATACGTCAACGGATGGTGAATGTCAAAATCCGCGTCATCCAAGGCACTAACATCCCACTCATCCTGCCGTATATACGGGGGCCGCCCCATCAGCAGTGACAGCCACTTGTCCTCGATGTAGACCGCCCACCACAGCCGCCTCCGCAGCCTCTTCTCCCATGCCGGGATGCCAAACATGCGACACTCGAGGTGTAAGCCCAGACTGTGCGCTAGCCCGACGACCGTGCCCATGAAGGACCACACAAAGGCCGTGTCAGAAGCCGCGTACCGCCGACGGTCGGGGCCCGTCTTGTGCAGATACAGCAGTGCGGCTTGCAGCACCGAGAGACGTGGACGGTGCAGCTTGTCTTGCAGGCTGCGGTAGACAATGCGCCAGACGCGATCGAGGGGGAGCTGGTCGTAGATGTGTAGTACGGCAAGCTGGTCGTCGTTGACGGCAAAGGGAAGCGCTGAACCATACATGGCGGCGAGGAGGTGGACGGGGAGCGATTCCACCGTCGCCCGATCCGGTACCGAGTCGATGTGTGTCAGGCATAGCTGCGTGCGCGAGACGATGGGCATTATGGGAAAGACGTGTCTGTGGAAGCTGCATGTCATTAGCCAAGGAAGCTGAAGCAAGGTGAAGGAGTGTCCAGTGGCAACAGGACTTACAGCCGTATAAGCCTCACGCCGTACGCGGGCGGCACCAGCATGTCCAGCTCGGCCCGCAGCTCTTTGTCTCCAGCAACACGCGTCTCTCCCGCTGCGCTCTCGCACAGCTCATCCGAGCTGATCAAAAAGTGCACTGGAATCTTGTCGCTGGTCGGAACACCGCCCGCGTGGCGGAAGTGAAGCTTGTGGAACGTCCGCAGCCCCAGCTCATCGAAGCGACAGTGTCTCAGGAGCCAGGGATCCGACTCGGAAGATCCGCCGAGGAGCACGGCCGCGTGCCCTTCTATCTGATCTAGGCTTTGCGACAGTTGTGTCGATGGCCGGTGCGGGTGCAGCGCCGTCAGCACCGGCGTGCCGAGGGCATGAGTGAGGGTCCCGCGGTTGGGAAGGTGCGTCGTCGCATGCTGGCCGTGGACAGTATTATTGCCATCTCGCGACTCAGGAGCGGCAACTGCCTCATCCGCCGAAGAAGAAATAACCGAGGCGTGATGACTGTGGTGATGGTGCTGTGGGTGGTGCAGCCGCGCCGGGACATGAAAGTCTTGGTGGTGCTCTGGCCGGCCGACCAAGGGCGAACCGTTGCTGCTGCTGCTGCTACGGAGCTGCTGGCCTTCACACATCGACGACGGGGACCTGATGCCGTGCGAAGAAGAGAGAGCCCTCTGAGCCGCCTGGCCCGGCACCCTCTTGCGCGGCCTGCCCACGAAGGTGCATGCAAGGCTGCTCTGTCGGCACCGCTGGCATGGAGGTTGCCCGTCCTCGGTCTGGCACCGCAGCTTGCGCTCGCGGCACCGGTCGCATGGCCGCTGCCGCTTCTGCGAGCGGTAGGGACGGGTCGATCCGCCATGCATCGGACCGGGTTCCGGAACAGGCGAGGACATGCCTGCCTGCGTTCTTGGCTGATGGCTGGTCTTGGAAGCCGTCTCTTTCGCCGAATCAGTGCGCGGCGTGCGGTGGACGGGAGGGTATCTCTCTTTGTTCGCCACTACGCAGGCCTGCCACGATGATGCTGTCTGGTGTAAACGGAGCACCGACGGTCTCAATTCTCTTTCTGTCCCCTCTCTTGTGATCCTTTCGCAATGATGGGAAAATTTTCAGGCCACAGGTCCGGCCTGTGACCTGTTTGCTCGTTTGGCCGAGGCGGTAGTGTGTCATAGCCGGTGGAGTTGACAGCCAGACTATCGATGGCGGCGAATTGGGTGCCGTGCGATGCAGAGGCGGCTCGGCGAAAGCGATCCACAGTTACGTCGACGGCTGGGCTGGCGGGCACTAACTTGATCGCACTGGAAAACAGGGCCCTCCCATTTGAGTCAGCTTCGGCCAAAGTGTTGATGCCCTCGAGCTTTGCGCCGCGATCGATCCGTGTACATTGATTGGCTCGGCCGATCTGCAACTCAATCACGTCAAAAGGCTTAGCTGGCATCGGGCCGGCAGTTGAGCGGCTCGGAGATTTTGGAGGTAGATTGCGTTGGTAATGGGATCAGGTGTCGGTTGGAGGACTCTGCCGCGGGCGACTATAAGAACCGTGGCCCTGAAGCTGCCAGCGTGTGCGGGATCTTCTCAGTCCATCAGGCGACGAGCAACAAGAAAAGAGAACTGCATCTGATAAGAACTGCAAGCGCTGTATCGTTAAACATACGCCCGAATCTCGATACGCCGAAAGCACACACAAAACATGTTCAAAAACATTGTCTCTTGGCTGAGACAGGACAACGATGTAAGAGTCCCTCCCAACATTTGAACTTCCCAGGCCTCGTTCAACGCGCCGCGCTTGCATGTACACTGACACCCACCCACCAGGACCAGCCACGCGAAAAGCACAACGGGTCAACGACTCCCAACTCGGCAAACAATGACTTGTATGACTCCACATCCGACCCTGAGCAAGCGTCTGACCCGGCCGAGGTGCGGCAACAAAAGTCACAGTACCCCGAGGGCGGGCGGGCCGCCAACCTCGTCGTCTTTGGCAGCTTCTGCGCCATCATGGGCGGCCTCGGCCTCATGAACAGCATCGGCATCTACCAGTCCTGGATCTCCTCGCACCAGCTGCGCCACGTCTCCGAGGGCCAGCGCGGCTGGATATTCGGCATCTACAACTTCATGGTCTTCTTCTGCGGCATCCAGATCGGCCCCGTGTTTGATGCCCACGGCCCACGGTGGCTGATGCTCACGGGCCTGCTGCTGTACATCGCCACGTTTGTGTCGCTGGGGTTTTGCTACGCGTACTGGCAATTTATTGTCGTTGTAGGCATTGTCGCCGGGGCTGCGACGTCCATCGTCTTTGTCGTGCCGGTCGCGACCATAGGACAGTACTTCAACGTGAGGCGCGGAGCCGCGACTGGGCTCGCCATGTCTGGCGGGAGCCTCGGCGGTGTCATGTTCCCGCTCGTGTTTGACGCCCTGAGCGACCGACTGGGGTTCGCATGGACGACCCGCGTCATCGGCCTCATCACCATCGTGCTGCTCCTCGTCGGCTGCGTCATGGTCCGCCCGCGCAGCAAGTTCCGCAAGCAGGCCCGGCGCGCCAACCAGAGCATCCTCCCAGACTTTAGGATCCTGTGCAGCCCGGCCATCTGCCTCGTGACCGCCGGTGTCTTCTTCATCGAGTGGGGCTTCTTCGTCGGGCTCGAGTACGTGTCGTCGTACGCGCTGGCCCACGGCATCAGCCGGCGCCTGTCCTACCTGATGGTCGTGTTCCTCAATGCCGGGTCATTCCCGGGCCGTTGGCTGCCGGGCATCGTGGCCGACAAGTTTGGCCGCATGAACACGCTGCTGCTGACCAACGTGCTCTGCATGATCTCCATGCTGGCAATCTGGCTGCCGGCGGGGAGCAACGTCGGCGCCATCATCACGTTTGCCGTGGTGTTTGGCTTTGCGAGCGGGAGCAACATCAGCCTTGTTCCAGTGTGCGTTGGGGAGTACTGCACAACTCAAAACTACGGCAGGTACTATACCACGGTGTACACCGTTGTCAGCGTCGGGTAAGTTCATGGCGTCTGTTCTTCAAACAAAAGCGTGCATGTGGGTTCACGAAACATGAAGCTAACCGAGTGTCTCAGTGCGCTCACAGGCGTTCCGATTGCGGGTGAGATAGTAAGCAGCAGCGGAGGGTCCTATCAGGGCCTCATCATCTTTGCCGGCGCATCTTACGTGGCAGGAGTCGTGTGTTTCGTCGCCGTCATGTGGCTGAACCGACGGCGCGAGAAGTCTTAGTGCCGTGACAGGGCATAGACAAAAGTATTGATACCAGATAGAGGCATAAGGTTACGAGTAGCGGTCAACTCGGCCGAATTGACTTATGAAGTTAGTAAGAGCAAGCGCCGATGCTACACAGTGACTGGTGAGATGCGCTCCGAGGTGAGCCGGGCTCACAGCTGCGACGGGTTTGCATTGTTGGTCCTTTGCCGGGAATCCAGGATGACGTCAAATCCCGGCTCTCTCCCAGGTCTAATAGCGTACTTCATGGCTCAGCGGATACATCTTGTGCAAGCCCGGCCTGCATGCTCCAGTTCCCCAGGCAAGATAATGCAGCGGGCGCCGAGATAGGTTGCTCCGCATCTCAATGCTCAACTATCCGAGTCTGGCATGGTGGCCGGTAAGCCGCCCGAGACGATGCCAGATGGATGGACATGGAGGGCGGAGGTGGCGGCGGGGTTCGGTCTCCTCCCCCAGAGAGGCCCCGAAAAGCGAGGGGAAGTGGCGCACGCCTCATCAACGTCTCGGCCGTACTTCATACACCTTTCGGGCCCTACTCATCGTGCCTCATTCTGCTTCTGTCTTACTCCGTGTAACGTTACTGCTGTATTCTGTATAAGAGCCGCAGCGAACCCCCAGCTGCTTCACGGTCGGTATTACACCATCTATCAGTGCGGTTGTGCTTGAGCGCAAGATGGCAGTGAACATGGAGCAATCGGCAATCTACCCCAGCCTGCGGGGCAAGACCGTTCTTATCACGGGTGGCGCCGAAGGCATTGGCGCCGCGGCGGTCGAGCTCTTTTGCAGGCAAGGCTCCAATGTCGTCTTCCTGGACATTGCCGAGTCTTCTGCCCAGACTGTCTGCGACAACATCAAGGCCATTGAAGGCGCCACGCAGCCCGTCTTCATGCGCTGCAACGCCGCCAACCTCGACGAGCTCCGAGCCTGCGCCACCAAGACTCTCGAGAAGTTCGGACGGGTACACGTCCTCATAAACAACGTCGGCGCCGCCGGCCCAAAGACACGCGTGCCCACGGCAGAGGTGACACCCGAGTCGTTCGAGACCGACGTCAACGTGAACCTGCGCCACCAGTTCTTCCTCACGCAGGCCATCGTGCCGTCGATGCGGGAGCACGGCAGCGGAAGCATCATCAACATGGGCTCCATCTCGTGGAGACTGCCGGCGACGGGTCTGCCCATCTACACGACCATGAAGGCGGCCGTCATGGGCATGACGAGGACGCACGCGCGCGAGTTTGGCGAGTGGGGGATCCGTGTCAACAGCATCATGCCGGGCGCGATTGCGACGCAGCGCCAGATTGACACTGTCTTGACGCCCGAGTATGAGGCGGAGACGATGGCGGGGCAGAGTTTGAAGAGGAGGCTGCTTCCGGTGGAGGTAGCGAGACTGATGCTCTTCCTGGCCTCGGACGATTCGAGCGCAATAACTGGTGGTAGCCATGTCGTCGACGGGGGCTGGTGTGGCGATACTTAGCGAGCCCCAATGCGTTTGATGTGGTTGGTCTGAGCCGAGGGCGAGGCTGACGAACGAGTCTCAAGTGCTTTCTTCTAATATTACTGCGAGGCTGCATGTGTGTATGGAAACACCATGTGAAACCGGGTTCTATGGGGGGAGGGCGCTTCACGCCACGATCCGTGTACGTCCACCTTCTGAACAGTTGCTCTCGTCGTTTACATAGGTTCTTCAATGTCGTAGCCAGTTGCACATGTGTTATTGGCAGCATGTGCGATGCTCGAGGTAGCTTGCGCTGAGCATAATTCACCCAGCGTTAGGGGCATCGGGGCACGCGACTGATAGTGGCTGCGGACGAGCATCTGGCGTGCTGATGCGGCCACGGGATAAGGAATGGAGCAAAAGATATTCCATTTATAATTTTATACGAATTATTGAACTACAGCTTAATCATTCTGCCACTTGGAAATGGCAATCAGATCCACCAACTCATCCTGATACAACTCGGGAAAAATTTCCTCTGCATATTCCTTCCAACCTCTTTCAGCAGGACGCAGGAAGAACTTGACAAATTCCCAGTATGCTGGATACCAACCGCTATCCTCCCAATCAATAATCCCTTTGACCTTCCCGTCGTGAACTAGGATGTTCCTAGGCGTGAGGTCACAATGTGATAGTACAATGCGATGGTCGGTTCGCAATCGCCGTGAGAAGGCCTCTCGCAAGACGGGAGGTGTCTGCTCATATAAGCTAGAGAGTAGATATTCGTTGAAGCTTTTCTCATTCGTACAAAAGGGAGCATGGTATGTGAAGTGAAGTCTTGTGTCTCTTATCTGGGTGCCGTCACAAGCACCAACGAAATTCGGGGGTGGAGTTACGGATCTCATTTCTTCGAGGATTACTCGAAGCTGCCGAGCAACGCCTGACTTCTTTTCGGCGGGCAAATCGGGCCATAACTTGTCGAGAGTTTCTCCCTCGATATAGCTCATGCGGATGTGCTTGACGCCATCAGAGTCCGTATGAGCGTCATGGACGGCCGGTGCCGGAATCCCGGCCGCCTCGGCGACCTTCAGCGCGTCCGCCTCCCCGATGGCGATGCGCTTCCCAGACTTGACGACGGTATTATCCGGATATAGTACGACCTTACGATTGAAGAGCTGGTGCAAGACGATCGCGCCTATTCGGTCAGTTGAAAAGCTGGCTGCCTGGACATGTTTTAGGTGAGACCAACCTTGCTCAAGCTCTTCGTCCGACTCCGATTCATCGGAGGATCTCGCCATTCCCTTGTCCTTCCTTCTTGCCCTCAGCTTGGAAATATACAGTGACTCGCCTGGTTGCTTGCCACGAGATCGCGACACCCTATATCTGGTTGAAGCGGAAGGAAAGTGCGCCGTGTCCATTGCCTGGGAACGCAGGTTGATGTGAGAGCCTGACGACAGCCCATGTCAGACGCTGGCGCCATTTCGGCCCTTCGCGGTTCCCCGCCTTGACGGCGCGTAAAGTGGTGCAGACGGATAATCGCATATCATTGCAACCACTTGTCTCGTCCTTTGCGACACTCACGAGCGCTTTGCTGTGCTTAATTGATTGAAAAGGATGACTTTCACCCAGTCGCAATGGATTTGGGTCCCGTGCACTAAATGAATGTTCTGCTCATGCGCTTATGGCAAAGCTGACGATTGGGAGTCCCGCTTCTTAGGCACCCCTTCTTCACACGATCCCCAGGCTTACAGCGAACACAGCAGCACGACTGGCGGGCTTTAGCTGGAGCCTGGTACCGCCGCCGGCCGCCTGATGCGAAATGACGAATGCTCTGCGCTTGGCGAAACAGCTCGACCATCACGATTCGTGATTCGTGACCAGAACCCGCTCAACGCCCAACGCTGTGCTGTTTGCTGACTGGAGTCCTCCTCAACTCTTCTTGCACAGAAACCCAGGATTTATCGGCGGCGTCAACATGCACAGCCTGATTGAGATATTCGCTTTCCTTCTTAACCTTCTACCAACTGCACCATTCCTGCCCTCTGGTCGTCCCACAAACCGCACGGAAGGCCGACACACCCCGTTGTCACGAATGCTTGGGACAACAGCCTCCGCTCAGCGTGGTGCGTCACACCCGCGACCGAAAACCATGGAGCGCAGGCATAACAGATGCTGAACGGTACCGCCGGTCAATTCACGGTGCACAAGCAAGAGTCGTCTGCGAAAGAGCCCTTCTGAGGCGGGCCGGTGGAGGCGGGGACGGCCAGTGAGCGGGCTGCCCATGCGAAATCCCAGATGCGCGTAATGGCAATGGGTCGACACGATCTCTACTGTGTTCTCGCTGTAACAACTTTCACCGTGATTGGTTGGGGATTCTCTGCTTTCTCACTCCTGAAGAGGTTGGAATGTGTACAATCGAGCTTGTTATTTAGCCTCTGTCCTGCAAGGAGCGCTCTCGGGAGAGTGTAGCGAGTGGCCTTGACCCGCTGTGAGCTCTGCACTCAAACCGACGGACTGTCTCGAAGAGATCCTTGTCCCTAAAAGACATTGCGGGCACTCTTGTTGTCGCCATCACACTCTTTACCGAACAATGCATTGTTCACTAATTGAATCAAATCAGATAATGTATGGCTGCGAAATCTGATAGAGGCCAAGTGATCTGAAAATTGGATAAGACCCTTAGCCTATGTTGAATCAGGCTCTCTCTCTCCCTCTCGCGCGCGCGTGCGTGCTTGCTCGCGCTCTCTCGTTCCCCTCCCTCAGCAATTGTTTCTCTCAACGATGACATTCCAATTCTCGGCATGGAATGCCTGACCCGCGACTTCCATACCACCGTACGACCCAACGCTCTGCCAGCAGCGTTCGATGATAAACTCCGCTCCGTCGGCAATCATTCCGAAGTTGTCGAGCGACTTGGTGTGGAGATTCTACAAACGCGGTCAGCTAAGCTCAAGCTGTCCAGCGACATGTTTGCGAGATGCTTGAGCTCACATCATTGCACCAATAGATTGCGGCGTTATATGAGCAGCTGACCCGGCTACATTTACCTGGGCCTGGACCCTCAGTCGGGCGCCCATTTGTACGTCTCAAGTAACGAATGCCATCGACAATGGGGCCTCGATTAGTACCAGGCCAACGACCAAAGCAGTTGTAGAGATTGAACTGTGTGTCACGCCTGGCTTCTATAGTAGCGTCACGCCTCGAGATGTTGAGTTTGGGATAGTCAATGTCCCAGCTGGGGTTTAATTTGATGAGCGCATTGCGGACTTCCTGGATCGTGCCATTGAGGGCTATCACGGGACCACCTGGATACGCCTCTACCTCCCATTTCGGGATCACGAGTGGATATCCATCGTGTGGAGAGACAAGGCCCAGAGCCTAATGGTAGCATAAGTAGACTTCCTTCGAATCAATTTGGACAGCACCAAGCAACGAACCTGTGAAAAGAGAGCAGACAAAACGTAGAGTACGAGGACCGATCTCATTTTGAAACGGACAGTACAGTTCGATGTTGGGTAGTTCCTGATAAGTAAGGGGTTGTTGGCCATGACCTTGACGAGAATGGCTTGCTCCTCTTTTTTATAGAAAGCAGAGAGCTGCAAATTGTTGCACTTGTGCCCGCGGCCTCGAACATCCTTTCGCCGTGGCCGCACTGGCTCTGGTATTCGAAACTCAAACTCTGACACACCAGTAGACAATGCGAGGGGATACCGCGCGCGAAAGGCATGGCCGACAAATGATCTGATGCCACGCTGGTCCTGATCTTTCATGCCAGAACCAGTTTTTGCACGTTCGCTGTACAAAGTGTCGCTCAAGAGAGAGGGGCAAATAAAGTTGTGGCAAGCGATTATTTGTACTTGGCTCCTTGGTACCTGATGCTTAAAAAAGAGAGTTCAAATTATGGTCTCATATGACCGTGTTGTATACATCCTCGAAGACAAATTGAACGTACAGAGGGCCCAATTGCCTTGAATGTGTGCATCGCTTCATGTACCTCTGTACGTAGATATTCTTCATGGCTGCGATGCCGCTGCCCAGAAGGAGTCCACGACGTTTTCCCTGTATAACTCTAGTCCCGTCGTGCCCTCTGTATGGGATCAAAAAGTGCCCATGACTGGGGCCATAAATATGCGCAGACACCAGTCAGCGGTGCTGTGAGTTGGCTATGTTCCTGTCATGCAAACCCACCTCTGATTTCCAGCTTGGTTGAGTGAGTAGCACTTGACAGGAGTAAGCTCGACCCCAACACACTCCCCGCCCAGTTTTTGAGACGTACCCTGTCCAGTAGATGACATAGCGTCCCTTCTCCCTGAGTAAATCACGACCCAAAAGTATTTTCGTATTTCAGAAACAACGAAGTCTGTTTTATGCGGTCGCTGGACATAGCTCAGGTGAGTCGACTCGAGCCCAAGCCAGACAGCGTCCTGCATGGTGCTGGGTGCAGTCTTGGAGCAGCGGGTCCGTCGCCCAATAGTGAGTTGCACGCTCGGATCGGGAAGACAAAGCCAGTTGCTCCTCAATGCTTCCATGGAGTCTATCTGCCCGGGGAACCAAGCTTGCACCCACGGCGTGAAGCGATCCTCGATGTAACATTGCCGGGATTTGGAGTGGAGCATTCGATGCTCCATCAACTCCATGGCAGCTTCGCTGCTCCTTTGTTTCCCACTATACATGTAAGCCTTGAAATTAAGTCGAGACGGCAGAGCTTGGATAGCATGTTTCGGTTCATTTTCTCCGCAGGCCACTCGCTACGTATACATGCCTCAGCCGTACATACAGCAAAGCGCTGAACACCGACAAGCAAACATGGAACGAACCCCGGCCTTCATCAAATAGCTCGACCATCAAGCATCTTCCAGGTGTACATCACCATGCCGTATGCCCGCCGTCTATTACCAAATTTCCTCCCGTCATGAAGCTACTCGCGTTGCTCAGCAGGAATAGCGCAGCGCCCTTGTACTCACTAGTCTCGGCGAGACGACCCATCATGTTCTCGCTGCACCACTTGTCCCGCAGCCCCGGATCCTCTTCAAAATTCTTGAGCACCATGGGCGTCAGCGTGTGGCCTGGGCTGAGGCAGTTGACGCGGATGTTGGGGCTCCACTCCATGGCCAGGTTGCGGGCCAGCTGGATCAGCGCCGCTTTGGAGGAGTTGTAGACGGGGCATATGAGGCCCTTGTTGGCGACGAGCCCGGACATGCTCGCTATGAGGCACATGCTGCCGCGGCTCTTGTGCTTGAACATGGCGCGGGCGGTCGCCGTTGCCGTCATGAACACGCCCGTGAAGTTAACGTCTATCATCTTGCGGGCATCTTCTATCGTGTACTCCACCGCTGGAGTCACCTGCTGGATCCCCGCAGCCGCGATGAGACCGTGGAGACCGTTGTTCTCGTCTGCTATGGACTCGATGACATTGTTGAGGTTCTCCGTGCAGCGGACATCTATCTGGCGATACTCCAAGGAGCCGCCCCATTCGGGGACTACCCGACTCTGTGCCTGATGCCAATCGGCGTCTGGACGCTCCAGTCTGTCGAGGCAGTACACTATACACCCGTTAGTAAATGTGGGTGCCGAAGAGCATCGTCGACAAGTTACCTTTCCCTCCCGCTTCCACAAGTGACTCTGCCAGCGCAAGGCCAAGACCTCTCGCGCCGCCGGTCACGACAAATGTTCTACCGGCCAGGTCAAAGTCGGCAAACCGCTTGTTGCCTACTTCAGCGTGCTTAGGAAGCCCATTGAGAAAGCGCCGCTGAGTGTCCGCGACGCGAAGACTACCGATGGCGGTCGCAGGAAGCGACGGTCGGATGGCGTTTGAACGAGCGGGGTTGCAGAGTGTCTGACGGCAGAGTCTCACGCCAGCTCCCAGGTTAACGCTTCTAGGCTGGACGCGTGCCAGTCCAGCTCGAATGGACATGTTGAAAGCCGCATTCACGATGGATGGTTGCCGAGACGGAGAAAAAAAAAATAGCACAACGAGATGTTGAATGAGGGTGTTGAAACTCGAAAGGACGCGTCGCTACATCTTGACGACGAGCAGCACGAGTTTAACCACAGCTCCTCAACCGCCAAGCTGCCGCACTTGCGTCATGCGCACTCACCATCGTGAGGGGAGCGACGGAGCGCCAGCTTCATGGCTGAGCTTGTTCGTGCTCCGAGCTTCCGGTTCGTCGTCAGCTGTTCCGGCGCCCTCCCCACAGTTCAAGCTCCGGCTGATCTCCACCTTGCCGGCCCCCCGCGCATTCCAGTCTCCCCATGATTCGCAGGCGAGCTCTGCCAGCCGGCGGCAATTCAGCCAGAACATGCCCCGATTTGGCTTCAGCGGCCTCGTGCTGTCAGCCCGATGGCCGGCGGGCGGAGAGGGCTGATTGTTCGACGCCTCTGCCTGTGACCCCGATCAGACGTTATGGAGTCAGACTAAAACTCCCAAGATTTGATCGTGGAGGGCAGGGAAGTCTGAGTGCTCCCTACCCCCGGCCTCCTAGAGACGTAGAGAGCAGCACTGGCATTTCCGTGCCATATTGGCTTTATGGATAACTCTATCGCACCTCTTGGCAAACGCAGGCCCTTTTGGGAACAATTCGACCAAGGCTGACGTGAGCGACGATGTGCTGGATCCCAGGACCTAAGCGTCGCTGGCCAGGGCCCGTGAACGGTCGCATCCTCAATCGCCGCGCGCGGAGTGGTTCTCTTTCCGCGTGTACCATCATTCACGATCTATTCACCTACTCGCTCATGGTCCAACTGCTTTCCCTCAGGCTCATCAACCGACTCGCAGTCTTCAACGGTAGCCGCGAAAGGATTCACCTCGCCAGTGACCGGTTCGTCGTCGGCCCAGTCGCTTGTTGTAGCAGTATCAGGGTCCGTGTCGAGGTCATTTTCGGAGCTGATCGTGCTGCGACGCCTCGTGCTGCTCTTCTTCTTTCCGTCTGGCCAGCGCGCTCCCATGGGTCTTGCAGGGACCTCCATCGCCACCGGCATGCCCGCCCGGCTCCGCTCTTTCTTACTGCGGTCTGCTCTCGAACCGCCAGAGAACCATGCGGGAAGAGATGGCGGTTTTAGCCCGGCCTTCGGGGGCCTCTTCTGCTCAATGGGCCACATCGTCATGACAACGTCCGAGTCCGGCTCCATCACCTTCTCCCAAAGCGTTGGCAGGATGATTGTTCCATCTACCATCAGGTCATAATGACCTTGATGGACATGAGGCCCTAAAACATCGACGTGCATGAAGGCTTGCTTGATTAGGTCCTCCATACCCTACGGTGTCGCAGCAACGGTGGGTCAGTCAATGGGTTCTGCGTCGTGGTGAAATGTAGCGGCAAGTGAAGATACTCACAGCCCAGGTTCTGCAATATTCCCACGGGAACGTGAACTTTCTCCCAACTGCGTCCTTGAAGTGGATAAAGTGGCGATCGTTGTTCGTGTTCAAGTTCTTTCTCTTTGGATCCTGGGACGCAGGGCCGCCTTCTGTCTTTATTGACTGGTCACGGTGACGGTTGTTCCCTTCGGCCTCTGTCACGGATGCGCGCTCGCCATCGATGCTCTCCTCTTCGACACTGGGTATCGCAGTCGATGTAGTTGTAGAAGAAGGGCGAGCGCCTTGATCCTCTACCCGATATTGGGCGAGCGATGACGGCAGGGGCGTGCAGCTGTGTGCGTGTCAATACAACTGTCCGTCGGGCAAACAGAACGCAAGCAAGAGTGGCATACTAAGGTGAGGCGGACAGGAGCATCTGGATTGAAGCCAGTCTCGTGTGCAGCGCATCGCGCAGCTGGCGAAGCTCGTGAGACTTGTAGAGCGTCCATCCCACCTTGTACCAAGAACTTTGGAAAGCAGAGTCTTTGGGATTTTCGAGACGGCGCTGGTATCCCTTGCTCTTTTCGAGAAAGCTGGCGATGAGGTCTATTGAGGAAGCGACGATGAAGGAGAATGCATTGACCGTTGCCGGAGGCAGCACTTTATGCGCTCGGATCTGATCGACTTGCAGGAAGGCTTGTTGCATTGCTGACAGCTCGGACATTGCCTCGAGGTACTCGTCCGACGCGCCCTTTGTGCCGGCCATGATCCGTATGAGCTTGTACGTGAGGTTGGCGCCGGTAATGACATCGCCGACGGAGTAGCCAAAAGACATGTCAACAGCCAAGGCCCAGCGCGGCCCAAGCGTTGAAGACTGTCAAGATGTCAAGATTCGGGGACCGTTTGCTGGCGTGATGAAGGAAGCGGCGAGCAGAGGCGATGAGCAACGCCGGCCTTGCGGGGCAGCAAGGTGGCATTGAGAACGAGTGCCAGAGGCTGTGTGTGCGCCGTGCATGCATGTACGCCTCATTCTATGCAGCCATTCTTTCATGTTGGTGCTGAACTGCAGCGAAAGGTTGGGGGCGATCCATGGGCTTGTTAGCTTCACTTCAATGGCCGCAAGGCAGAGCTGTAGGCAGTCAGTCACACGAAAAGACGTCCCAATCGTGCAGAAGTCGCGGCGATATGAACGTCGCCGTAGATCCAACATGTAATCGTCTGCGTATCCCTAGTTTCATTGATCTAGGCTCTCGACTTGACGCCAGCGTCAAACTTGCCATGCTCGCACGTCGCGACAATCGCATTGTCCCCCATCCGCCTCATCACGCCCCTCAGGGCAGCAAGCTTCTTGCCAATCTGTAGGATCTCGCACTCAATGAGGACCTCGTCGCCAACAAAGACGGGGAGCATGTAGCTGACGTTAAGCGTGCGCGTGACGCCGAGCATCTCCCACGAGCCCGGGGCCATAGCAAACGCGACGGGCAGCGTGGTGCACACGTCGAAGATGCTGGCGGTGCAGCCGCCGTGCATGGTACCCATGTTGTTGCAGTGCTCGTGCTGGACGGTAAAGGCAAAGGTGACGCCGGGGCGCGGGTCGTTTGGCCGGACGGAACGGACTCGAAGGAGCGGAACCCAGTCGCTCATCCAGTTCTGTAACGAGGTCGTCAATACAGCACAATTCACGGTACGGGGAAGCTGGGCGACGCTGCTCACCTTGCCCTGCGAGTCCTGAGCAATGGTGTGCAGCCAGGCGTCGATCTTTTGCTCTGCTGTGCCATTGTATAGGATACCGTTGTCGCGGCTCTTGTTGCTACTTGCGGCTACCTTTCTATCGGTCATCCTGTCTTTTGAGTCGCTCATTGTTGTCCTCGCGATCCGTCCGGAGTTCACGGATGGGAGTTTTGGGGTGAATGGATGGGTTCGGCGGGATAATGCCGGCGGGCTTACAGGTCAGCTTCCCTCCCGCGACAAGGGCGCGACGCGGCTGACAAAGTGAATGTTTAATGAGCTGCTGATCGACGCCAATTTGCCTTTTATTTCCATCTTGGGCTCTTCTCTAGACTCTTGCTTGGGAAGAGCTGCGTTTCTCTGTTGCTCGTGTATGTTTCCACAGAGGTCGTGTAAGACTTGCCGGGTGAACGGCTCCCGATTAATGCATGACCGTGCAATGCGCAGAAGCAATCAACGTAATTACTTGACTATTCATTCGCTCAAAACTCGTAGCTATAGACCAAACTTGCCGGACGCTCAATCGCTCTTGTCCAAACATTTCGCAAAGCACACGTGAAGCCTCTCAACATGGACACCCTTGCCGCAAGCAACCTGTATCACTGGCGACCCCTCGCTCAAGCATACTTGACATCCCCGACACCCGGATGCTGCTTCCCATCATCTTGATACACCGGCGGTGCTCCTCCCAGCCCAACAGAGCCTGCAGCGGGTGGCACACCAGCGTGCGCGCTCTCGCCAGCCACCGGAGGTGTCGTCGTGCCAGCCAGAGCACCCGCCTCCGCGCCCTTGAGGGTCTCCAGAAGGGTCTTCGCACCGGCCGGCCAGGTGGTCAGGCTGGCAGCCGAGCCCTGTGGGTTCAGCTGCGGGACCTGGCCCTTGAGGATCTGGTCGACGGAGGCGTGCGCGCCGTAAAATGCGGCGTTGGCGTCCTTGCGCTCGACGACGACGGTGCCGTCCACCTGGATGCCCGCGTAGAAGCCACGCGACTTGACGTACGAGAAGACGGGCTTGAAGGCGCTGGCGCTCAGGCTCCGGCGATGGCTCTTCTTGGGATCCTCGCCCGGCTGAAGCGTCGTCTGTGTCTGAGCAGCGGGCGTCTGCTGCTGACCCGGCGCAGTCGAGGCATCTGTCGGCGTACCAGCAGCATCCTTCTTACTCTTGTCATCCACAGATGCTCCAAAGTCAACCGCGCCGCCCGCTCCGTACGGCCCAGCCACGACAGTCAGATCGCTCCCCAGGCTCACCCTCGTGTTGGTGAAAGCCGCGAGTGCCTCCTTGCTGTTTATGACACAGACGCAATCGTAGATGTCGAGGCCGATCTGGAACCCGCCGCCGACAGAGTGGACCTGGATGCCCGAGGGCGGCCCCCACGAGCCGTCCGGCAGCCGCGCGATCAAGATGCCGGAGCCAGTCGCACCAGAGAACTGGAACCCGGCGCGCAGGGTGGTGAAGATGGCGAGGCCCACGGCGCGCGAGATGACCTTGGGCGGAATCGTTACGAGCACGCGGTTCTTGGGCTTCTCTTTTGTCGGGTCGATGACGCCGCCCGTCGACTCGGTCGCATTGGCGTTGGTTGAGGTTGGAGGCTGTCCGGCGCCGGGGTCTGCGTACACGCCCTTTTCTGCAAGATTGTCAGCATCTGTACATGCCAGGAGCTGAATTACAGCTTCAATGTGCTTACTGCAGAATGCCCTGAGAATCGCCGCTGCCTTGTCGCATTCCTTGTCCAAGGGCTCGGGGAGGAAGCTCTGGCTGCCCAGCTTGTGCGCCAGACTGTTTATTGGCGCGGCCGCCTTTGCGCCGAGATGCGAGAACCGCTCGCTCCAGCCCGACTTTTTGACGTGTCCATGCTGTTGCTGTTGCTGCTCATGCTCGGACGTGTACGCAGGTTGGTGTTGCGACGACACGGCGGCGGCGGCACCGGCGACCGGCTCAGATGGAAGTGCGCCGGATGCCTCCGTGGGAGGAGGGGCAAAGGTGGGCGCTGCGGGGTTGTACGCCGGGATCGCGTACTGTTGTTGTTGCTGCTGCTGCTGGTCGTGCGGCTGCTGGGGAGGGGGCGGGAACTGTTGCTCTGCCTGCCCGGGTGGCGGGGGATAATGAGGCGGCTGCTCTTGGTGTTGATGCTGCTGCTGCTGCTGCTGCTGCTGCTGCTGCTGCTGCTGGTCGTACTGCGGCGGTTGCGCGTACTGATGCTGCTCAGGATACTGCGATTGAGCGGGCGGAGGGCCAGGCGGGGGAGGCGGAAAGTCGCCCTGCTGGTAGTGGCCCAGCTGCTGGTATCCCTCCTGGGACTTCTCGGGATTCGACATGCTGTGAGATGTACGAGAGTTGGGTCGTCGCTTGAAACGGAACTGAAGGGACGGGGAAAAGGCGAGATAAAGCGTTGACGGTGTAGAAGTAATTTAGTTGACTGGAGCAACAACGCAAGCTCCAAGGATCAACGGGATGTAAATATCAAGTTTCGCATTGCGACAGTGATATCATCCGAGGCCACCAACAACAATCTGCAGGAGCTCTCAGTTGGCCGCGTGGAGCTTGATGTCATCCCCCTGTGGCTGACGCTGATGCGCTCCTTGAGCCCGGCCATGATGCCACCGCACAGCCTCCATGTCCCCGCTCCGCTCTACCTGTCCGGGCCTGGCTCCAGCGGGGTGTTGGGAGTTGCAGCGCGGAAGTAGCAGTGTCTCGACGGGCAGCGAGGCTCAATGGTCGTGGCTCAGGCTCCCGCATCTCTCTGTTGCGCAATTGCACCGCCCGAGCTCACCCAACACGCAGCAGCCGTCGTCACTGTGGCGGACTCGTCTTTCACAGAGCTGGGAGTTGGCACACAGTGGAGCTTCGCTGTTTCGGCGCAGCCGTAGACCCGACGCACCGAGTCCCGAAGAGCGAATTCCCGCCACTCTCCGGTGATCCAGCAACCACGGTATCGCGCGTCGCACTCGACATCGTCGTGGCTCCCCCGGAGCGAATCGGCAGCATGAAGACCATTGGCATCATCGGTGGAAGCACCGACATAGCCACCGTCGAGTACTACAAGCTCATCAACGAGCATGTTCGACAGGAGCTGGGCGGCCTGCACACGGGCGAAATCATCATCAACTCCATGGACCTTGCGTGGAGCGCCCACTACGTCAACAACCAGCTCTGGGACGAGGGAGCAGCGTACCTGCGCGGCAAGGCCCTGAGCCTGGAGCGCGCCGGCGCCGACTTCATCATCTGCGTCTCCAACACCTGGCACCGAGTGGCGGACAAGTTCATGGCGGGGATTAACATACCCCTGCTGCACATTGCCGAGCCCACCGGCAAGGCCGTCCAAGAGAAGGGCCTGAAGAATGTCGCGCTGCTGGGAACAAAGGCCACCATGTCGTCCCCATATCTGCCTGAACTGTTCTCGGCTCGATACGGGCTTGTCATTACCGTGCCGACGGAAAAGCAGCAGGACCTGATTGATGGCGTAATTTTTGACGAGATCTCGTATGGGCATTTCACGGAAGCTTCTCGCAAGGCGTATCTGGAAATCATTGACGACTTGGTGGCTCGCGGGGCCCAGGGCGTCATATTAGGGTGCACCGAGATCCCGTTGTTGGTGTCGCAGGGCGATCGACCGGAGATTCCCATGTTTGACACGCTACGGCTTCATGCTAAGGCTGCTGCAATGATGGCCGCCCATGAATAGCTATGGACACTCTGTAAGAATACAATTGAACCTTGATGATGCATGGCGGGGAATGGGAGGCTTTGATGTCGCCCACCGAAACGGGTGACGCGCGACTGCCATGACAGCGGCCACGGCCACTCGGTTCGACATCTTGTGAAACTCCGAGCCGGCAACGCGCGCAACCACCACCTTCCAGCCTGTTTTTGGACGCGCATGGAAGAATTGGCCAGGCTTATTAGGGTCACGTAACTGTAAACTACCTCATATCTTACTCTCTTCGTTGCATATCCTGCTAGGAAGAACCCGTCTCCGACTCTGCCTCCCAGTTGGGCTTTCCTGCCAGCGGCCCGTAGATAGCCTCCGACGCATATCTCATGCAATTGACACAGACTCTTGCACTACCTGCGACCGCTTCATCCTCGCACTGCGCTAGCTCCTCGAGCCTCTGAATCCAGAAGCGCCACCGATCCGGATTGAATCCCGGGGAGGAGAGACGTGACTGTATCGCCAACTCGCCCAGGCCCGAAGAGTCCGGCGGTACGTTGCCATCTGCAACGCCAACGGAATCATTGCTCAAGACAATAATGCTTCCTTCCCCATATATCAGCATCTGCCGAAGTGCATGGATCAGATTCTCAATTGACAAGCCTGTGCCTGCCTCGGCGTCGTTGGCGCCTTTCACTACATCTGCGGCGGGCGCCGACACCAAGGGTCGAGGCCTCTCGAGTGTCTCGGAAAATAGTGAGAGAACGCAAGCTGCAGGCCCATTGTAGATGCCAACCGAGACAAGGCGCCCGACAAACGCGGCCAGGTTAGAGCGCAGATCGTCATCATAGTCGCTCTGATAGTACCGATTTGTCCACTCGGCTACCAAATCCTGGCCGAATAGTGGCAAGTCAGACCAGAATTTGCCGCCGTCAGAGCAGGGTACGACCTCTAGCCTGCCATGTTGATGGTCGAGATTGTCGTCGCCGTCCTCTTTAATAGTTTCTCGAGGCCGCGTGAGGGTTCCTTTTGACTTGGCATGCAATAGATACCGCACGAGAGTGTCTTGTTTCGCGTTTGCCGCTTTCCAGTATTTGGCCCCCTGGATGACAGTGTACCAGAGGTAATGGACTTCGGCTTCGATGACGACCAGAGGAATTGTGGTGTTGATGTAACGAAAGGTAAGGACAGGGATATGAGTATGCACAGTCACATCGAGGGTATGCTCGTCGCCAGTCTTGGCTTCTTGGTCGATCTGTGCATTGCGAGCCTCCGTGGAAGCCTGAAAGTTCCGAAGTGCTTCCACTTCTTCTTCTGGTGTCATTGCATGGGTGACAGACGTTTCCATGTCGTCAATTCGGCAGGCGAGTGACATGGAGGTAGTGGAAAGTAATGTGGCTGCATGTGACGGCGTAGACGGTCGTACTGCCAGCAGGCAGGCTCAGAAGTAAGCTTGCATATATGATGAATGCTCTCGACTTCCTTGGCATTTATAGGTACAGGTTCAAATCGGAAGCGGAGTAACAAAGTCCAGTTTTCATGTCAGCCGTTGGCTGCCCGTTGTTCGGTCAGAGCAAGGTTGCATCCTGGGTTCAATATCACACCACTGCCCAATGCACCTTCGCCGCTGCACTTCCTGCCTCCAGCCACTCAGCTTCACCAGCACGACGTGGTATGGCTGCGAAATCCCATGTTGGGCTGCCATTTTGACCCTCTCGTCCAACAGAGCACTCGCTCGCAGGGACTTGCCAGAGACCGTCCGACCACATGCAGTCCGTCCGCGTGGACTTGGCCCCGGGTCAACACACGATACACAGACCGAGTTGGCTGAGAAACAGCTCCTATTTTGATGTTCCACTGTACGCGGTGCTCTTGGCTTTTCTCGAAACCTGGCAAGTTCTTGGGTGTCCGTACATGTCACCCTGGGCTGCTACATACATCAGTCAGACGATTCACACCGCGACGAAGGTCGCTACGCGTTGCAACGACATCCACCCTGAGTGAAACGCGACGAGAGACAAATCCTATAGACGGGCAAACGGATGGACAAAACGGACGAACGGGTTGGCGCCTTTGCCACGGTTCAGGCTCTCAAGTCTTGATCACATGCAAACTGGAGAGAAGACCACGACCCCCACCCAACGTTGAAGCAATTCCCGAGCCCACAATAGCGCACCTGCCACTATATGGTATCAGCCGAGACGTCTGATGTCGGCATGTCGTTCCAGTTTGCTTTCATTGGGAGCTTGGAAGGTATCAGCCCCGTATGCCTGCTGTATACATGTATCATTGCTGTGTACTGAAGTCCGGGGCGGGTGAGAGACTGCTCCAACCAGATACACTAGCCTACCTAGCACTTGAAGTCTAATTTGGCAGTATTCCAGATACACTGCCATGGCAATCGAAGTACGACGGTTTCCCTCCTGTTCATTCCCTTCTGGGAAAGCAGATGCACTTCGACATCGTATGTCGACTACATGTATTAAGAAGTGAGCCACTATGGGAGGAACTCGAGACGTTTGATGCGGACTGTGAGGATAGCGATGCTGGCCCTGAGGTATAAAGACTATACACCGCTGTTGACGGTACCGATCCTCATTCACTATATTGATCGTAGTTGAGCCCACGCCTCGCGCAGCCTGCCACAACGAAGTCTACGGATTCGCCATTATGAAGACTTCATTTCTTCTCACAGGCCTCGCCGCGGCCACTGTCGCCTTTGCTCGTGTTTACGAAGGCGTAAGTGAAGAAGTTGCCGTTCGTCACTTCAGACGATTGTCCATGGTCTTTTTACATGTGACATTGACCTTCGGTCGCTGTGGTTGTATAAGCTAAATACTAAATACCTACTGTCGCAGAAATGTAATCAATATAGCGCTCGCTGCCACTTCAGTCACAATGGGGTCATGAAAAACACCAAGTGCCACTCCCTTCATAAGGTAAGAAGCCGATCTTTGTCCCATACTCCTTCTTACCAGTGTCCGGTCCCTCGGCCCTGAGTAAGGCCTTCACGTATTTGGAGTATGTTAATCTCGAGACACTTGCGTGCAGTGCACTAAAACTCACAACTATTGCAACTGGAGCGACGCTTCTTCGGTAACAGTCTGTCAATGAGCCGCCTGCTCGTTCTGCGGGCCTGGCGACAGAGAATAATTCTCGGGCAGAGAGAGCGACTTGAATGGTCACTGTAGTGGAAAGGGCTCAGCCTGGGGCCGCGTCGGAGTAAGCGAGCTGCAATGTTACATGCACAAAGCTGCGTAGGAATCCGAGAGCCACCTCAGCCCCCGCGCCGCTGTGGCACGGAGCTGCATGCCGTCTTATCTCTCATCCCGCACCTGTGACAAAGTTACAACTGACAACCGCCGTCGCGTACTTGACCCAACTCCCCAGTCCATGATTGATGTGCCTACTTCCCATCCGCCATCCGCAACACAGGCACGCCAAACCCCAACCATGACGCGCGGCACACCGTCCGACCCGTCCCTCCCGCGGATCCTCTGCCTCCACGGCGGCGGCACCAACGGCCTCGTCTTCCGGCTACAGTGTCGCGCCATCATTGCCGCCCTCAAGCCGCACTTCCGCCTTGTCTTTGCGGACGGACCCTTCGCCTCGGACCCGCACCCGGCCATCATCAGCGTCTACGGCGAATGCAGGCCCTTCAAGAGCTGGCAGCGCTGCAGGAGCGACGACCCCGAGGTCACGGCGGACGAATCTGCGGCCAAGATCGCTGCCGCGTGTCGGGTAGCGATGGACGCCGACAAGGGCGGTACCGGACCGTGGGTGGCCGTGTTGGGCTTCTCGCAGGGGGCCAAGATGGCAGCCAGCCTGCTCTGGTCGCAGGAGAGGCTGCGCGACGAGGACAGCAAGGCGACGGGGGACACAACGCGGCCCCCGCTGCTCGGCGCAGACTTCAAGTTCGGGGTCCTCGTAGCGGGCAGCCCGCCGACGGTGTCTCTAGATCCGCGCGTGCGGGCGCCCATCCCGCGCTTCGCCGTCGACGCGGAGCGGCCGCAACTCAACCTCGAGGAATGGCCCGAGTCGAGCGATGGGGAGCACGCGCTGCACACGATTCCGACGGTGCATGTCCACGGTGTGCTGGACCCGGGCCTGGAACGGCACCGCAGGCTGCTCGAGACGTACTGCGCTGAGGGCACGACGCGGCTGGTCGAGTGGCAGGGTGACCATCGGCTGCCCATCAAGTCGCATGACGTGAAGGCCGTGGTTGATGTTCTGATGGAGGTTGCGCGAGAGACGGGTGCCATCTGAGGGGAGAGTTCACGGTTGCATGGGCAGATTTAGAGTGTAAGACTGGCCTCCTACGTTACGAAGTATACTACAACATTAGATAGACGCCATAAATAACAGGTACTCAAGCATCGACCATCGCTGCCGGTGAGCTGCTACAGAGGCTCGTGCCTGCCTGCGGCTTGGGTAGATCGAACGCCGATTGCTCCCCTTTTGCGTCAACGTGAAGAGTCAAGTCTCGAGGCGGCAGGCTGCCGAAACTGCTTTCACATTGTGCTACCATCCACGAGTCAACTTGGGCACCAAAAAGACGCAAGTCAAGGCGAATGTGACCCGGATGCCCGCTTTCGGCTACGCCGTGGATGTTGTAGACGCGCCTGCTCGAGTCCTTCCCGGCAACACGGCTGCATGGATAAATGCGTATTGACACAAGACGTGACTCGCGGCCCAAACACTTGGTCGCCAGCCTGAAGAGCTATGCATCCAAAGCAATGCTCTTTTGGACGTCTCAGCCGCAGCTCATCCCGGCGACGGGCTTCATGGCTGCATCATGAGCCAGTAGCTGCGCTGGTCACCGTAGGACAAAGCCACAACTACCAGACCACCCTGCGCAGGCGACTGGTCGTGAGTCGAGCCCAGAGTCCTCCCGTCGCCAGGCTGTGTTACCAAGTTTGCCCGTACCGATAAACAGCCACCATCCCCGCGAAATGGGACTGGAGTTTGAAGGATGGCATTGTCCTCGCCCGATCATCTGCCATGGCGTGGGCAAGCCTTGAGAACCTCTGCTACCTCGCCGTACTTTATGTCGCATGCACTCTCGTCTACCAAGTCGTGCACTACCACTTCTTCCACCCACTCGCCAAGTTCCCGGGCCCGTTCTGGGCGGGCGTGACCAAGCTATGGCTCGCCTACCACAACCTCATCGGGGACGAGCTGGAGACGTTTGGCAAGCTCCATGAAGAATACGGCACGTCTCATTCCCTCTCCACATAGCCAGTTACAATGGCGGCGATGGCGGCGAGCAGGAAACGCTAACAAGAAAGCCGTCGGCGACGATGTATAGGCCCCGTAGTTCGCATCACCCCGACAATGCTCTTCGTCCATGACGCAAAGTCCATCCCCACCATCTACAGCCGCCGCGCCAGCAAGTCGAGCTTCTACATCACCGGCAGCTGGGGCAAGGTGGAGTCACTCTTCAACATGCGCGAGGCAAGCGTCCACGCGCGCGCCCGCAAGATCATCGCCGTGCCGTACAGCTTCTCCAACGTGCAGCGCATGGAGCCGCTCGTCGACGAGCAGGTCCAGAGCTGGATCGACAAGATCGACGCGACCTTTGCTGCGGCGCACAAGGAGTTCAACTTTGTGCCTTGGGCGTTCTACTTGGCGTACGACGTCGTGTCTTCGGTGGGCTTTGGCGCACCGATTGGCTTCATCGAGCAGGGCAGGGACGTCTACGGTCTGGTGCGGTGCGTGGGCGACGGAATGCCCATCTTTGGGCTCATGTCCATCCTGTGGCCGTTTACTGAATGGATCAAGACGACGTTCCTGGGCAGGTATCTGGTGTCCAGCCCGCAGGACAACGCTGGGTTTGGGGTTGCGCTGCGCTTTCGGGATGAAGTCGTGGAGCAGCGCCTCAACGACATTGCCGCGGGCAAGGTCGATGACAGAAAGGACTTTTTATACCAGTATGCCGACATACCCCTTTGCAGAGTTTAGTTAATAGGCTGACAGCCACGCCAGCTTTTTGGCAGCCCGCGACGCGGACGACAGACCCCTCGACATCGAGTACGTCAAGGCCGAAGCTTTCCTGACGCTCATCGCCGGCGGCAACACCGTCGGAAGCTCGCTCAACTCGTTTCTGGAAAACATCCTCACGAGGCCCGACGTGTATGAGAAATTAATGGCAGAGGTCGACGGCGCGACCAAGGCCGGGAAGCTCTCGCCCATGCCGCAGCACGCAGAAGTCATGGAACACTGCCCCTACTACGTCGCCTGCCTGCGGGAGTGCATGCGCATCGACCCCGAAGCGCAAACCACAATGCCGCGCATCGTCCCCGAAGGCGGGCTGGAACTCTACGGCCACTTCGTCCCCGCGGGCACAGAGGTGACGTGCAGCCCGTGGTTCGCGCACCGCGACACGAGCATCTTTGGCGACGACGTCGAGTCCTTCCGGCCGGAGCGCTGGCTGGACCCGGGGAAGACGGTCGAGTACCTCAAGTACAACATGAACTTTGGCTCGGGCGTGCGGTCGTGCCTGGGCAAGGATCTGGCCATGATGGAGCTCTTCAAGGCGGGGATCGTGTTCCTGCGCTTGTTTCGCGTTGCGTTTGCGGATGAGCGGCGGTCGGTGAGGCGGCAGATGAAGGGGGGGCTGCGCATCTTCGAGGAGATGAGGGTCAGGATCGAACGACGCGCGCAGGTGCTGTAACTAATGCGAAGTCTGTTTGGTGTTGCTGCGTCTGCTTGTTGCATGAAGCAGGGCTGGTCACATTCAGGTGAGAGATCTTGCATCGCGAGAGGCAAAATGGAGATCCATCGCGCGTGTCACTCGTCAATCGCGATTCACGACCTGAAGAGTAAAGATAGTTTCCTGTCCACCTGTCATGGGCATGGCCGAAATTGAAACGCTACTTTTGTCAATGCAACCCCCTACCACTCCATACTCAGGCTCGCGATGCGGCTCAACCCGGATCCTGCTGGATCCTCTTGTAGCGCCATCCAATCAAGCGCGCAACCACCGTCGGCCCCAAGCAGATTTACGGCAAGGTCATCATCATTGTCCAGCCTTCATTGTGGATCCCCTGTCCATCGCGCCGTCAGCCGCCTGGCCTCGACCGACTTCCAGAAAGAGGCTCTGCCGAGAAGCGCGGCTCCTCCTTCGAGGGCTTTTGCTCATTTCCGTCCTCCCACGTTCGTTCGCTCACGCTCGTTTCCTTCACTCGCTCTTGTTGTTGCGAAATCGGAAACCCGCGACGTCTCTCGTTTGCCGCGACATTCGTTTTGTTACATTTAGTTTTGTCGAGACTTTTTCCGGTCAGATGAAGGGCACGGTTGCGGTCAGCGCCCTCGCGGCGGTGATCCTGTCTACGGTGGGACAGGCCGCGGCAAAGGGGTCGTTTTCGCTCGACTCTGATGGTGAGGACGCGCCCACTCGAACGAGACTGCCGCTCAGGGACGGATTCTGAACAGCCGCGACCCGTCGGTGTGAGACCTGTTCTTTTGGCTGACAAACGTAACGTCATTCACCTTCAGACTCCACGAAACAAGCCGCCAGCACGCTGGCCCGAGGCGTCATCCAGTACTACAAGGGCAACCAGACGGGCGAGATCCCCGGCATCCTGCCCGGCCCTCCCCCGGCGGGCGACTACTACTGGTACCAGGGCTCCATCATGTGGGCGAGCCTCATCGAATACTGGCACGCGACGGGCGACACGGCGTACAACAAGCTGATCGTCGACGGGATGCTGTGGCAGCAGGGCGAGCTCTCCAACTTTATGCCGATGAACTGGACGGCGCAGATGGGCAACGACGACCAGGGGTTCTGGGCTCTGGCGTCCATGCTGGCTGCGGAGCGCGGGCTCCCCAACCCGGTGTCAGGCGAGGCGCAGTGGCTCAACCTGTCGCGCAACGTCTTTGACAACCTGGTCGACCGATACGACGACAAGACGTGCGGCGGCGGCCTGCGGTGGCAGGTTGTGTCCTTTAACAACGGTTACAACTACAAGAACAGTCAGTCCCCCCGCGGTGACTTACCTTGTCGCTCTACATATTGATCCTAACTCGTCGTGTCACGTCCCGCAGGTCTCTCCAACGGCGTCCTCTTCAGCCTCGGCGCGCGGCTGGCGCGCTTCACGGGCAACAAGACGTACGCCGACTGGGCCGACAAGACGTGGGACTGGATGACCAAGGTCTCCCTCATCGACTCCAAGTCGTACGCCGTCTACGACGGCGCCCATGTTGAGGATGACTGCAAGAAGATCAGCAAGTATGAGTTCTCGGGCGTCCACGCCGTCTTCGCCATGGGCGCGGCGTACATGTACAACTACGTAAGTCGCTCGGCCCCTCTTCACCTCGAGCGGATGAAACACTGGGTCATTGTTGGGCAAGGGCAGGCAAAGGAGAAAAGCTGACGAGTCTTGCCGCGCAGACGGACGGCGACTCCAAGTGGCAGAAGCGCCTCGAGGGCCTCGTCGACCACGGCGTCAAGACCTTCTTCCCGGGCGGCATCGCGACCGAGCCCGCGTGCGAGACGGTGGGCAAGTGCACGACCGACATGAAGATGTACAAGGGCCTGCTGCACCAGTGGTACGCGGCGGCGGCGCAGGTGGCGCCCTTCACGGCGGCCAAGGTCGCGCCCGTGCTCAAGACGTCGGCGCGGGCCGCGGCCAAGACGTGCACGGGCGGCAAGAGCGGGACCGAGTGCGGCTTCGCGTGGGCCAACGGCACGTACGACGACGACACGGGCGCGGGGCAGGAGATGAATGCGCTGTCGGCCGTGGTGTCGCTGCTGATGCCCGAGTCGGCGGCGCCGCTGACGGCCAAGACGGCCAAGGCGGGAGGCGGCGGTGATAATGGTGGCAAGGATGGCAATGCCGGTGGAAACAGCAACAACAATGGAACGTCTGGCGGAGATGGCGCGAAGAAGGACGGCTCGTCGGCGGGCGTCAAGATGGGCGTGGAGGGCTCCGTGATGGCGATGCTGGCGGCGGCATGCGTCGGGGCCGTCGTGCTGGGCGTGGCGTTGTAGACATGTGTGCTATACTTGTGCACAGCGGGTAAGGGAAGCACTCGCCTGTAACTGTAATGATAGAATCAAGAGTAAAATCCAGCGTCATTTGTCGATTAGTCGAGTTGTACTCCCAAGGAAGTGAGCGATCTGTGGACGGTGTGTGGTTGCGGAAGGCATGAAGGTTGGGTTGACAGGCCAAGACAGGGCGCCGTCTTGCAGTTTACAGCGCCCTGCCAACAGCGTGAACCTCGCGCCCACTGGCTACACCTCCCTCTTCACAGCAGCTGCCCCTCAACACCAACGCCAACATCGCACTCACCATCGCCACCTCACACTCCACGGCCACAATGGCATAGACGCACCCCACCAGCGATCTATTTCTTACACTCAAATACACACAGGCCAGGCATCATCACCATCCTCCTCCTTCTCGCCTACCCATCAGCCATGCCCCGCTCCGACGAGGCCCAGGCCTTCTTCTTCGCCGTCTACTCGGCCGTCCAAGAGATCCCCCACGGCAAGGTCACGTCGTACGGCCACATCGCCAAGCTCGTCGGCACGCGTGCGTCTTCCCTTTTACCTCCTCACACTGTTTGAAGAGGAAACACTCTGCTGACTCTCGCATCATCACCGGCCAACAGCCCAGCGCCCCCGTCAGGTCGGCGTCTGCATGAAGCACCTCCCCGCCGACCCGTCCGCGCGCTTCAACAACGCCAACGTCCCCTGGCAGCGCGTCATCAACGCCAAAGGCATCATCTCCCCACGGTGAGCACTCGCTTTCCTCTCCCCTCTTATCCCAACCTTGTATTCCCACCACGTACAGCTTTCCCCCCCTTCCCTCCTCGTCCCTTCTGCTCTGCTCTGCTTGGCTCTGCCGTCCAGCCGTCCGACCACAATCACTCACTCGCTCACACCGCCGTCTCCCTCTCCCCCAGCTCCCAGCCCGAAGGCGCCCGCAACCAGGCCGAGGCCCTCCGCGCCGAGGGCGTCGCCGTCACCCGCGGCGCCCTCGGTGAGCTCATGGTCGACTTTGACGAGTACGGCTGGTTCCCGCGCGCACTGCCCTCGGGCGATGGCGACGATGGCGACGACGACGATCTCAGCACCGACGGGGACGAGGATGACGATGAGGGAGAGGAAGCGGGGTCAGAGGGCGGCCAGGGAGGCGCTCGTCGTGGAAGATGACGTGCCGTGCTGTGCCGTCTTGTCCGTCATCTTGATGGAGCGGCTACCGCGGTAGAATGAAGGCCATTCTCCAGAGTCGCTTACAAGTATCACGGGCTGGGAGCAGCATGATGTGACTGAAGACACGCATGAGAATAATAGACCATATTCGTCACACTCGTAGACAATCTATACACACGGCACTACAACTGCTCTCTACGCATATTCAAGCTCAACAACGTCTTCTTTCCCAGCGCTTTTCAGCAACAAACAACAAGTTCGCAAAGCCGCCTTCCGCCCCACGTCCTCCGTCTCTCCATCTTCCTCCCTCCTCCGCGCGCCCCCGGCAGGGTATGATGATTGTATGTACGTGGTATTTGTGCCCGTCCACGCGACAGAAATATACGGCAAAGCAGTCATTCTCGCCCCAACTCCTAGCCGGTGCTCAGAAAAAAAAACGGACAAGTACCAGAGAAAAGAAAAAAAAGAAGTCGTTCGTCAAACATGGCGGTCACCGGCGCGAGCCTACCGACCGTCCAGAACTGAAACACCAGAGACCGCACTGGCCGTGCAAACATGAGCGTGTGTATGTGATGTGGGCGGAGCCCACGGCGTCAACGGCAGGGGAGGAGCGGAAAACAGACAAAGGAAACGTTGCCCGGATCGCACTCCCTCATTCCGCGGCGTTCTCCTTGCGCGACGTCTTCTAGATGCCGCTCAAGCCCTCCTAGAAGCAGTTGAGACTGCCCTTCTTCTTCTTGCCCTTGTTAATGGCGTTCATCCTCTCCTCGAGCTGTCTCCTAGCAGCCTCGGCGGCTTGTCGCTTCTTTCGCTCCTCCTCGACCGCTTGCATGCTCCATCGGTGTTCCTGCTGCGACTCGGGCGTCGGGCGCTCCCTCAGCTCCTTGACCTCACCCTCGAGCTCCGAGGCGCGCTTCTTCCACGCGTCGCAGTCGGCCTTGACCTTCTTAGACTGCTTCTCGAGGTCCGTCAACGCCTCCTCCAGCGTCTGCGTGAGCTGCCGCTCGGCGAACAGGTGCTTCTCGATGGTTCGGATTCTAGCCTCGTGGTCCTCGGTCAGCTGCGAAATGTTGACGTTCTCCTTGCTGGCCGGGCGGGTAGATGTCGGCGAGGTCGGCACCCCGTTGGTTGGCGACGTGCTCCTGGCTGCTGCGTTGGGCAGCGGCGGCAGGGGGATGGCCGGCGGCGGGGACGGCAGCGACGCGTGTGACGCGCTCTTCCGGATCGTCGAGTTGGAGTTGGACCGCTTCACGTCGCCTGGGATGGTGGCTTCCTGGTACTTGGCCTGTTGTTGCTTGGTTAGCGGACATCCGCCGAGGCCGCCTCGCAAAGGATAACTTACCTGAAGCGAGTTGTACTCCTCGCGGATCGCCTCCAGTTCCGCCTGCAGCTTGGACCGAGCCGACGACAGCTCCTCAAGCTGAGCATTGCGCTCTGTCTGGAGCGTGCTCAGGCGGTTGTTGGTCAGCTGCGCCTCGTCAAAGTTGTTCTGCAGCTGCTCCTCCAGCTCCTCCACCAGGCGGCTGTGTTTCTTGTTCTTGATCTCGAGGTCCGACATGCGGTGCTTCACGAATGAAATCTGTTCCACCACGGTTGTCGGCGCCTTGTCCTTCTCCTCCGCAAGCATGTCCGTTAGGGCTGTCTTGGCCGTTTCGAGATCGCGCATAATCGTCTCGTTGATCGTCGTGAGCTCGGCGACGTGGGCCTTCATCTCGCTGGCCTTGGCTTGCTCCTCGACTAGCGCCTTTTGCGCGGCTGCCAGTGTCTCAATCTGGCTCGCGAGCTTCTCGACGCTCACGTCCACTCCGAGAGCAGCAGCCGCTTGGGTCGCCGCTTTCATGAGCTCGTCCCGGGCCTCGGCGAGCTCAGACTCCAGCTTATGCACAGAGTCGGCATGCTCTGACAGAAGAACCTCGACTTGTTCCTCGTAGCTCTTCTGCTCAAGCGTCTTCAGATCCGCGAGCTCCTTTGCGTGGTCTGCCTTGAGCTTTTCAAGGGCTTCTTGATGTCCCTTGGTCGCTTCGCCATGGGCCGCAATCTGCTCCTCGAACTTGGCAACGACCGCCTGATGGCGCGTCGCCTCTTCGGTGGCTTCGTCGTGGGCCTTGGACACTTCCGCCAGCTCAGACTTGGCAGCGGCGTGGGCACTCTCAAGCTCGGCCACCTTGGACGCGTTGCTGTGGATGATGGCCTTGTACTCGTCGATCTCGCTGCGGAGGAATTTGACCAGATTCTGATGCTTCTGCTCGACTTCCTTTGCCGCCTCGTCGTTCTCGGTACTCGTCTTGCTCTGCAACGTGGCGATATCCGTGTTCAACGAAACGACCTGTGCCTCGAGCTGCTTCACCGTCCCTCGCAGCTCACCTTCTGTCGCCTGCATCGACTCAAGTACGGTCTTGTGTTTGTCTTCCAAGCCGGCAAGTTCCGTCTGCAGCTTGGCAAGTTTCTCGCCATGCTCCCTTTGAAGCTCCTCGGCCAGAGGCGGCACCGCGTCGCCTGATTGTCTAGCGGCCGCCGTCTGCTCCATGGACTTCCGTAAGCCTTCCAGCTCCGTTGTCAGCTCCTGTTCCCGGGCGGAGTGCGCCTCGCGCATCTCCCGCAGCTGCTTCTCGTTTTGCTCGAGCTGGTCGCGGAGCGTGGCGACCATGGACATGTCCATCGGGCCGGCCTTCAGACTGGATCGCTCGCGGGTCAAGCCTGAAATGATGGTCATCTTAGTCTCCATCTCCTTCTTGGCCGCCGCGACGTCCGCCTCGAGCTCCAGGATGCGCTCGCTCCGGGAATGAAGCTCGTGCATGGCCGCGTTGATGTTGAGCTCAAAGTTCTGCATCACCTCGGGTTGGCCCTCGAAGTTCTCGCTGGCAATGTTGCGCAGGGATGCAAACGAGCGGTGGGCGCGGTCAATCACCATGAGCGTCTGGCTTGACTTGCGGCGGATGATGGGCGTCGACTGTCGAGGAGGTATTGCCTCCCTCTCCACAGCTCTGGCCTTGGAGACCTCCGTCTTGAGCTCCTCCACCATGTCGAGAGTCTCGCTGTGCTTGGTTTGGAGAGCAGCATACTTACCCAGCAGCTCCTTCTCTGCAGCCGCCTTTTTGTCAGCCAGAGTGCGCAGTCGCTCGACCTCTTGCGTCAGCATCTCGTCGTGGCCCTCAGTGAGGTCTTCAGTCGACACAGCCGGCTTGGTGGTGGCGGTTTCGTCTTCCGACGTGACATCGGCGTTGGATGTGTTTGCGGTTGCAGGCGACTCCAGGGCTGATGACAGCTCCGAGGAGAGCGACCGTGATGTCGACGATCTCGGCCCGTTCTTGGTGTCCACAGACTTGGCGTCGGATGCGTACGAGTCCGGTCGGGTGTTGGCCTCGGAGGCCACCGAAACCATGGAGTCTCGGACTCGAGCAGGGTGACGGGCTTCGTCGGCTGCGTCCTGGAGTGCCGCGAGCGCGCGCTGGGCCTCTTCGTATTTGGCGTGGAGGCTTGAAAAGTCGTTGAGGGTCGTCTCGTGCTCAACACGCAGATCGATGAGCTCTTGCGTCACGCTCTCCAGCTTGTCGGCGACGAACATGGTCTGCGCAGGGGTCTGAGGCACATCCTCGTCCGCAACTTGGCCGTCCGCGTCTGGACGCTCTGTCATCTGGCTCGCAGCGTCGCCGATTTCCTCGTCGATGGCCTCCCCCTGGCGGTCGAGGTCGTCGGGGAGCTCGTCGTCCTCGGGGATGGGCTCCTCCAGCTGACTCGCGCTTCTGGCGTGCGACTGGCTTCGCGAGCGGTTAGCGAGGGCGCGTGCGCGAGTAGCTCCATTGGTGCCCTCGTGGTCTTGCTTCTTGGCATCGTCGACGTGGTCCAGCTCGTAGAGCAGCGCGTCTAGTTTGCCCAGACTTCGTTGGCGCTCAACGACTTGCTCCAGCCGATCAATCTCCCGCTGCATGAGCTCGGCATCCTGATCCGCTTCCGCCAAGCGCTCCTCAAGTGTCGAGATGTAGTCCTCGCACGATGCCTCGTTTTCGCGAACCCGGGCGATCTCCTTGCGCAATTCCATGATGATTGTAGCGTTCTTCTCCTCGCCGCTTGTGTGGCCGTCCAGCTTCGCCTCGAGATCGTAAAGGTAGTTTTCGGTGCTTGCTTCGCGGTCCATGAGCTTCTGCAGCCGCGACTGCAGCTGCGTGTTGATCGTCTCGACGTAGGCACACTTAGTCTCCTTCTCGAGAAGATTCGTCTCCGTGTTGGACAGCGTGGCGCGCGTATTCGACAGCGATTGCTCGAGTGATTGGATCGTTTTCTCGTACTCAAGGACCACCTGCTCAACGGCCTGGGCAAACGAGTTGGAGCGGTTGAGGCGGTCGGTGGCACTGTCGCTTTCGGTGACCCCGTTGGCCTCGGACTCATTCTCCCTAGCCCTGGCCATTTCCGCAATCAGCTTCGCATGTCTGTTGCTCAATGTGCTGTAGTTCTCCTGCACATCGAGCAGCTGGTTTTGCAGCTCGGCCTCGCGCTCGCTCTGCCGGTCGGTCCTGTCATTAGCAGCGGGAGGCCCGCGACGAGGGCTTCCCCCGCCGGTGGCGGCGCTCCTGATCTGATCTCGAAGGAAGTCGACTTCGGCGCGAAGTCGCTCGATGATTGCCTGCTTGTCGCCCTCTTCAATCTGCTGGATTCGTGGTTTTGACTGGATGGCTCGTGCGCGCTGGGCGTATTGGACCGTGTTCAACGTCTCGCTAAGGTGGAACTCGGCAGGTGTTACGCAAGCGATCATGTAAGTGATGGCGTTGCCGCCAAGCGAATCTTGCAGGAGTCGGGTGAGCTTGGAGTCGCGGTACGAAACGTGGGACCCAGATTGTCGGGACGAGAGCTGGCTGATCACTTTGCCCAGGGAGGCCAGGCCGGCGTTGATGGAGATGCCTTCCTTGGCGCGCTCGCCCTGGGCACCCGTGTTCTTGAGCCTTTCGCTGCCGGCGAGATCCACAAAGTGAAGCTTGCTGTCGGTCGTCACGGTGATGTCTTGGCCCGTCATGGCCTCGATGGGCATCGAGAAGCGCTTGTTCTCGTGGGCAGCTGGAGACTGAAACTTGCTTCGGCGCTGAACCAGATTCAACGAGAAGACGGCGTGCGAGCGCGAGGACTTGGCGTTGATGGCGGTGGCATCGGTTTGTCGAATGGTTGAGCCAAAGTTGAGAGCATTCATCAGGTCGTCGACGGACTCGATATCGACTTGGTGGAGGCCGGTGAGGATGATGTTGCCCTTGGTGTCCTCACGAATGGCGACGTTACTGCGCTCGTGAGCAGGCGTGGCATCGGGAACGAGGAGATCGCGGAGCTGCTCATTGTATATCTCGACGTAGGTAGCCTTGAGGGACCAGGATCGGTCCCCAAGGACGTTCTGTTGGCCGTAGCCACGCGGGGCACGAAGCTGAGACATGGAGTTGGACATCCTGTTCGGGTTGGAACCAGCCTTCCCGATGCGGGGCGTCTCCAGCTTCTCGAAGAGGGCCATGGCGGCGCGAGGAATGACGCCTGCAATTCGGGTGTCAGCGGGCACGAGGCACCAGGAATGCGGGAGGTGGGGACGCGGGGAGCCTACCCATCATGTCTTCGTCGTGCTGCTCGCTAGGGCCTGAAGTGCCCATTGTATATGACTTGCCGGCGCCGGACTGGCCGTACGCGAGCAGGGAGACATTGTAGCCTTGGGTAAAGGCGTGAACAGAGTCGGAGAGATAGTCCCAGATGCCATCCTGCATCACCTCGGGGCTGAAGACGCGGTCGAAGACGAAGAGCTTGCGGCCCTGAGGAGAGTCGATGGCGAGGCTCGTTTCGGACGTGGTCTGGACCATGGATCGCTGGAAGCGCTGGGGGATGAGATCGTAGCCCGGGTCGGCGGGCTTGAGGGGCGGCCGCACACGGACAGCTGCGAAGAAGAGGAGGGGGTTAGCCACGAGTCGCGGAGGCGCAGGATGGCGTCTCGACGGGCTGGATTGTCGAGTCGCGTCGCGGGAGGGACGACTCACCAACTTTGACGGCCGTCCGACTGTCGTCGTCGGAGGCGCGGCTGCCATTGCCGGGCTTGCTGCTGATGCTCATCCTGCTGGCACTCCTAGGCGGCGCAGGTCTTGCGATCGCACTCAGGGGCCGCTGAGGCGGATGTATTGGAGAGGCCGGCGGCGAGGATGCCATGGCGGCGGGAGAAGGCGGGCCCAACGGCGACAAAACGGCTGGGCAAAATTGGGCGATGGGACGCACAGGGAAACGACGGGGTTCGCGAGATGGCGTGTGCGCTTCCGCAGTGCAGCGCCGTCGGCTTCAGGACGGCTCGGTCAAGCTGCGCTCCTTGCGAGGCTGGCGGACGGGGTCGGTCGGTAGGCGAGATTTTGCAGGACCCGCCGCCCAGGGTTCCTATCGCTCGCCGATGCCGTGACGGCGGCCAAGAACCGGTGACGGGCAGTCGGGACGGAGGGCCAAGGCAGCCGTGATGCTGTCCGGGGGGCAGCGCTCGGTCAGCGCTGCGTTGGACGGGCGGGCGTTGCTCGTCGGTCGTCGGTCGTCGCGGGCGGGCTCGTCCGATTGCTGGGGCAGAGAGAGGGTGGAGGAGGAGGAGCGGATTGTCGTCAGGAGCGACAGTGTCTCGCTGTGACGGAGGACATGCGAGTCGCCGCGGCGTGGGCTTGGCTTAAGCTTGGGACACAAGGCAAAGAAACGGGGGAGCCAGAGGGGGGGGGAGGGCCAGAAAGGGACCAGAGGGATGGAGAGTGGTCCGGGGGTGCCGTTGCGTTGCGCAGCGCTTTGCAGTGGAATACAACAGGTGGGAAAGAAAAAATAATAACACGCCTCTCGAGGCAAGCAAGGGTACGCCGGCGGACGGTGCGCGCTCGCGAGAGGGACGGAGACCTTGGCGATATTTAATTAAACAAGCGCCCACGAAGTATCCGGGGTCCTGGAAGCGGCGGGCGACGTCTCCAAAACGGCGCCTCTAGCCAACTGGGGGGGAGGATGGACCAGGGGGGGTGAGGGCCAAGTGGAAACTGGCTGGCGCCGTGGCCGGGGATGAACCTGGCACCCGTGGCGGCGGACCAAGATGGATGGATGGCTGCACGTGTTTTCTCGTGGGAGGACCGGGGAGGGAGGACCGACGGATGCGCGATCGTGTTTGGCGCGTGTGTGTATGGTGTGTGCGTGTCCGTGTGCGTTGGTGGCCAAACGGCGGCGGGCTCGCGGGGAGGAGACGCGGTGTTGAAGATGCAGCCTGGCGGCGGGTGATGATGGTGGTGATGGCGGCGGCCGGCCGGCAGGGGCAGCGGTGGTGGTGGTGGTTGTGGTGGTGGTGGTGACGAGGTCAATGGAGCAAAGGGCACAGCAATAGGGGAGCCCGATAGGCAAGCCCGCCCTGGATGGCGGATAATAAGGGGAGCGCACCACCTCAGCTACCTATGGACACGGGGGAGGGGGGGGCGGAATAGGGGCAACGCAAGCTGGAAGCACTGTAAGGCTACGGTGCCCTGCGGTTCCTGGACGGGGCGGCGACAGAGTTCAGCCATTCCAGGTACCGCCAGGGCGACCTCGGAGTTTACAATGGCAAGTGCTACTGCAGCGCGGGTGGCAGACCCATACCTAGGTACGGGCAGCGCAGGACGCGGTGGACACCCACGACCTCAGCGCATCCCGACGCGAGCCCTGACACTGTGGACTGTTGTGGGCAAGCAGGCAGCCCGGGGCACCACACCTCAGGTAAAAGTATCGGCCTGCCAAAAGGTATCTGCACAGGCCCCGGCCGGGCACGGATGCGCCTGCGATCTTCACTGGGCTGCCCACCTGCAGGTCCGGGCAGCTCTCAATTGATTCATGGATCCCGCGGCGCTGGGAGCGGGTTAGTGCATCGGGTAGGTGAGCTTGGTGAGGTCTGCTGGGGCCGCACAAAGCACCCGACGGTGCAGTGCAAAGTCGAAGCCGGACAGGGGCTTGGACCGTCGTCCAGTGGATCCATGCTCGCGGGTGCACGGGCTGTCAGCAATGCACCACCACCTGCAGCAGAGACAGAGACACCCGACCCGACAGAACGACCACCCGACGACATCCATGGAATTCCTGGGCAGCTGGGTCCCAAGCCCTCGGATCGTCAGCCCTCTTCCTCTCGACTTTTTTTTTTTTTCATTCACCCCCAGGCGCGCCCGCTAGCGCCGCATACCCCAAAGGCAGTCTTGGTTGCACGACCTCCGGGCATCATCAGCTGGGGCGGGCACACTGTCGAATTCAGGCTGCTTTTCCCACTCGCACAGTGCTGTACCTAGCTGTACGGCACTCGTACTTAGGTACTTTGCGAGCCTGACTCTCCCGTCATCAACTGAGAGTCGCCTGGGGCGTCCATGACGGCGACGGGAGACCCTGGCTGCCTGCCTGGCCCGCCGCCGACCCCACTTCTGCCTCTTCCGCCTCCTTCTCTGCGTCGCTGAGCCCCTGCGGCGTTCGCCTCCTGCTCCGCCGCCTCCACCTGTCTGCCGCCAAAGCAAACTGATGCGGCCTGTCCGGTGGCCCTGCCGGCCTTGCCTGCAGAGTGCAGACCCTGCCGCTTTCCACCTCAACCACGTCCCAATTGGCACCAGGACGCAGCCGCCTGCGGAAGGGATCCATGGGTCCATGAACGGGATGCAGGCAATCCAGCCCCCGCCAGCCTCTCCCACCTCTCCCCGTCGACACCCGTCTGCGTGCCCCTGAAGGCCCCTGCCGCCGCGTCCGAGTAAGGCTCCTTAGTACCTTGCCTGGCTTTGCTTGCTCGAGTTTGGCTTGACTTGTCCCTTGTCACAGGGTTGCTTCGTGCCTTGCACGTGCGATGCTCGACCGCGATGCCGCCCGCGATGCCCGGGCCGACTCGACACGCCACCATCCTCGTAGCTTCTGCACATACGTATGCGACAAGTCGTCGTCGCTTCGAGCCAGCGCATCACAGTACAGTAATAGCAGGTCGATGCTATTGCTGATCCACCCCGCCCGGTGGGAGCTAACCAACTTCCTAGTACTAACGTAGCGGCCGATGGCATGATGGGACGAACTCGCTCGCTCGCTTGCTCCCGCCGCCCCATACAACAGCAACACATGGCTCCCCAACACTCAGACAAGGCAGGCACGGCAGGCGAAGCAGACAAGACAGACTCGCTCGCCTGTCTGTCAGTCGGCCGGCCAAAGGACTGGGCCATGGATGTAGCCAATCGACGTGGCACTGTCACGGCCGGCCCCTGACAGGTGGGCTGGCCGGCACAACTCGTCCGCCAGTCCGCCATCACACCCGTCACTCCATCCCATTCATTCATCCAGCCATACCATCCCATCCCATCCATCCTGGCTCATCCCTCGACTGCTGAAAAAAGCAGGGCCGCATCCCGTGATGGGCTAGCGCGACGAGGTCCAGGCGCTTCGATGCAACGCTCCCCACCAAGAGGCGCCGTCGCGCTACTGCTGGTAGTTCGATACGGATACATGGCCTTGATGGGATCACGCAAACGCGCTCCAACCGGGGTCTGGCTGGCACTGGCGAAAATCGCCCTGCCTTGGATCTTGCCCTGTTGCTCTGCTCCTGTGGCACCACTGGCATATCATAACCGCCATGAATCAACGCCAACCAACCATGACCGGCGTGATTCTCCAGTGGCAAGGCAACTCTCGGGTGACTGACACGGGTGCAGCACTCCTCCTGCAGATGACTCGGTGTGTCTGCGCCTGTCTGCGACATTGATCCTCCCTCAGCTCTGGAACAAACGGCTTCGCGTGGCAGCCACCTAACTACGGAGTAATAAATTGGCAGCTCGAGATCATCATCCCAGAGGCAGCCCGAGCTTCCGCATGCGCTCGTCGTTGCTTGTCGTTGACCGTGCCCGAAGCCCATCGCCAGGATCCCGCATTGCATGAGCCTGGCAATATCACCAACGGAGCCGACAACCAACACCGCACTCGGCAGCAGGGAGCCGCCCGCCAGCGATGCGAGGGTCTGGGGGATCTGCCGCCAGCGCCCGCCGCCTCGCCCCTGCGCCATCTCCTTGGCCTCTTTCCGCGCCGGCGTGAGACGAGGCAACCACCCAGCAAAGTGCCGTGCAGGCTGATTGCTGGACGTCTTGGTCGCGCGTGAACGCGTCTCGGCAGCTGAAGGACGGGCTCACTCGTGTCTTGTTTTGTTTCCCTCTGGCCCTGTTTCGCATCATGCGCATCCTGCGGCCGCCGTGGACTCCCCGCTTGTCTGTCGGTTGGGCAAGGAGTGTCCTTGTTGCGTGCGTGCTCGTAGTCCAGGCTTCCCGGCCGGCCAACAACACCGCCTCGGTTGGCACAAGAAGCGTCCATTTCGCACTCATACTAATAAGCTCGGCGAACACTCCGCCTACCCTATGCGCGGCGCAACTACCAACGTCGGCAACTGGTGCGACCGGAAGCGATTTCATCTGACAGATGATGACCGGACGAGGCGCCTGGTGCAACGCCCGGCAATCGGCAATTGTGTCAAGATCTCCCCCCGGCTGGGTAGAGACATGCACCAGACAATCTTGAATCTGGGTCCCGTCTCCCTTTGTCGCATTCCAGGCTCCGCGGGAGAAGCAACTTCTGAAACACACGACGAGGACAAGCCGCGGCGTCCTTGGCCCGACGGGAAGCAGGAGTTGGGTACTGTTACAGCAGCCTGCTGCGTGCGCAAGACGACGCACAGCACTCCCATGTGACACAGTGTCGGCGGTTGCCATTGTCGGTGGGCTGCCTTGCCTTGTAATACCTGGGCAGTATGCTGCTTGAAGCTTCACGCGTAGACCATGGCGAGGACAGGCTCCATCACCCCCTCGATTTTGTGTCGCGGCCCCCGGTCGAAACAGGCCGTGCTCATGCACCTACAAGTTACAGCGCCGGCCAAACAGTCGCTCGCTGCTTTTTGGTTCCGCCTCCGTCGTCGACGGACAGCACCGTCTTCGCGCTTCAAGTATACGGGCAAGGCCTCGAGACCATACACCGTCATTCGTACGGTACTCGCACTGCAAGGTAATTTGCAGGAGGGGAATCAGGCCGGTGATGAACCACACGTGTCAGAGGGGACCATGGTGAGGCCGCCACCACCATCCTGCCGAACATGACAGGTCTGGCTGCGGCCGGCCGATGATCCTCAACTTTTGACCTGCCCTGTTTGCGAACGCGCGGGGGGGATGACAGGCGAGGCGGCATGGGGATTATTATTAGGGGTGAGCGAGCGCGGGCGCGCTTTGGCCTCGCAGCGGCCGGAGGAGGGAGACATCCATCATGATGCATGCGTGGCGACGCAGGCGGCCGTGCGCACGCGCGCCCGCGGGTCTCTGGCGGCGGCGGCAGAGGCGGGCGGGCGGCGTTCGGCGTCGAGGCCGATCAAGCCCGCAGGAGACGGGCAGCGGACGCACGCACGCATGCACGCACGCACGCATGCACGCACGCACGCATGCACGCACGCACTTTGCCATTGCTGATCCCGCGACGTACGTACGTAGGTACGGACTGCATGGCGCGATCAGTGCCGCCACAGCGTGGGTTGGGGCGGTCCCGGCGTGGCTGATCCTTTTCTTTCTCTTTTCGCGACGCGTCGTGAGCTTCCGTCGTCATCCTGCCTGATGCTCTAATGCACGCCCTGGCCACAAGGGGAGCAGGTCGCTTTCTTTCTCAATCGCAGGCTGCGCAGCATGCAGCAATTGTACACACCTTGTCTGCATGTAATATCATTGATGCGCTTTACATGTCCGCGTACTGGGTGATGGATCTCGAGCTCGAGAATGAAGGCGCTGCTTCGCAGCCAGGCGCGCAGCCCAGAGTGCGCACGTGACCTTCGCGTTAGGGGCGCGACAGGCTGCCCCTCGCCGTCGCGCCTGCCGTGACAAGGCACGTCTAGGCGGCCCGAATCACCAGTCTTGCTCTTCGGCCGCCTCCGCGCCACGACACCCTCATCTTCCCGTGCTACAGGCCCTCCATCTGCACGCCGATGACTCGATGCGGCTCCATTCCGGACCATGGCGCCGGACGTAATCGACCTCATCTCCTCGAGCCCTCCGCCGACCTCGAAGCCAATGCAGGCTCGCCATCGAGGCGATGACAACAACCACCTGCAGCGACATGCGGGCCATAAGCGATTCTCGGCAGAGGCACGACCACCTGTGGCTCCAACTGCTTTGTCGAGCAACATCCCAGTGGCCGACCTGACGGGCCTCTCCGATTTCGACTTCAGCGACGACGACATCGACCTCCTCATAGCAGCGCGCCCGCCACCGAAGCGGCAACGGACGGCGTCCCCCTCACGCCCTACACCCGCCACGGTGGCGACACAGGCCTCCTCCTCTCGGCCGCCGCTGATTGTGGGACGCAATGCCGCCCAGCCTGGGCGCAGGGAACTGGAGCCCATTGAGGTGTCGAGCTCCATGGAACAGCCGACGCCAAGGCCGAGGCAGCACGGCCGCGAGGCGTCGTCGAGGTTCGCCGCGCCGGTCGTGAGCTCGGATCCGTTCGCAAGCTCCCCGGAGCCAGTTGCCGTGCCGCCTGTTTCTCGAGGCGAACGACAGAAACAACACGCCGTGGACCTACCATCACCCGATGTTGCCCGTTCCATGTCCGTCGATCCCTTCGAGAGCTCCCCGATGCGGAATCGGCGCTCACCGAAGCAGCCCGTAAGGGCGCACAAAAACTCGCCGCCGGCTCGGGGAGCCGTTTCGCCGGTTCCTGAGGAGGATATCGACCCTTTTGCAAGCTCACCCGAACCGGGCGATGGCCTTGCGGCGGCAGACAAGTCGCAGCGAACTGCCGCACCACCGTCGCCGACGTCCTTATCTCCCGCCAGGACAACCACAGAGTCACGCTTCTCACGTTCCGGCGTGTCCAGGCCTAATCCTGCGCCCCGCTCTTTCACAAGAGTTCTCTCAGAGACAAATGTCATTAACATTGACGACTCGGACTCGGACGGCTCAGACGGCAGCGACTTGGCCGACATTGCCAGCATTGACATCACCAAACGACCGCTCAAGCCCCGGTCACCCCTTCGTCGGTCTCGCAGCGACAACATCATCGGCAAGTCTCGCCTGAACAACTCGTCGGGCAGGTCCGGCGCCAGAACGTCCGTCGACAAGGCAGCTCGCGAGGCCGCCAAGGCCGCCGAAAAGGAGCGAAAGAAGCGGGAGCGGAAGCGGAACAAGGAGGCAAAGGCACGGGAGAAGGAGCGCGCCGCGGCGCTGGCAGAGGTCAACAAGCTGCGGACGGACAAGAAGGTATCCACGCCAGAAATGATTGTCGATCTGCCGTCGTGTTTGGCCTCAGACCATAGGGTGCAGGTGGAGACGCTCCTCGAGGGGCTTGATGTCCAGTTTGCGACCTGGGATAGCGGTGAGCATCCCGTCATCAAGTGGCGGCGCAAAGTCAAGAGCCGCTTCGATGAGGATCTGGGACGCTGGGAGCCGATTCCCGCGCATGTCCGCGACGAGAAGCATGTACTCACGATTCTCAATGCCGACGACTTTGTCAGCTTGGTGACGCGAGACGGGCTTGACGGCCACGTCGGCAGCATCAGGGAGAAGTTCCCTCACCACCATATCATGTACCTGCTACAGGGAATGACGCCCTGGCTGCGCAAGAACCGCAACCTGCGTAACAGGCAGTTTGCTTCGGGCGTCCGCGCAGCCCAGGCGCAGCAGGCTTCCGCGGCCTCCAGCCGTGGCCGGTCGACCGCCAACGCCGCCGAGTACATCTCCGAAGACGTCGTCGAGGATGCCCTCCTGCGTCTGCAGGTCGAGCACGACGTCTTCATCCACCACACCACGGTGTCGGCCGAGACGGCCCGGTGGGTGACCACGTTCACGCAGCACATCTCCACGATACCCTACCGCAAACAGAGGGACCACGCCACGTCGGCGGCGGGCTTCTGCATGGAGAGCGGGCAGGTGCGGACGGGCGAGGACGCCAGGGACACGTACGTGCGTATGCTGCAGGAGATTGTGCGCATCACGGCGCCCATCGCGTACGGCGTGGCGGCCGAGTTCGACAGCGTGAGCAAGCTCGTCCGCGGGCTCGAGGCCGGCGGGCCCGAGAGGCTCGACAAGGTGCAGAAGAGCGCCAACAAGGACGGGCAGTTGTCGGACCGGACCATTGGACAGGCCGTCAGCAGGAGGATCTGCAAGGTCTTTACGGGCCGTGACGAGACGAGCACGGATGTGTAGTTGTATTGTACGGTACGAGCAACGGGAATCTTTAGAAGGCAATACCCCCGTCTACGGACATGATGAAATCACACGAGTACTATTCTAGTAGAAGGGAGAACACAATGATTCGCTTGCCGTAGAGACGCGTAATGCCGAGAAACCTGATTGCGATACGAGTTAGCATCGCCAGCCATGAAGCAAGGTTGTAAACAAAAACGTTTAGAGTGTAATGCTTTATCAGACAGCGGTTGGACAAAAATTGTTTCCACATTGTAGTTCAGTACAGGTCTGTGAATATTTTCTTTCTCATCACAAAAGCAGAGGTCGGCGAGACCTCGAGATGCCAAAGGCGGCAGGGAAGCAACGTGAAAGAAACAACGTACCCTTTGAATATGGTCTGGCCTTCAAGGCGGTGGCGGCGGCTGAGGCCGGGTGAAGAAGCTGTCTACGGTGCGTTGCCGCTCGTCAAAGGCGGCGCTGCCGATGCCGCCGCGGGTCTTGCGCAGGCCGCGGAGGTGGTCGGTGCAGTTGACGCGCCGGATGCTGAGCAACAGCGGAAGCGACGGGGTCAAGCCCAGAGACGGAGCGGGTGCATCAACCACGCTCCGCACGACGAAGTCGAGGTACCCTGTGTTGCTCCACGAGGGGAGGACGAACGGAGCACCGTCGCCGACGACTAGGCCGTTGCGTTCCTGCTCCGCGGGAAGGCCCACAGTCCCGTGCGGCATGCGGTCCACAAGCGCGCGGAAGAGAACAGCGAGAATGATGCCGTGCGCGACGACCGCGCAGGACACGTGCTCATCCACGTCGCAGGACAGCAACGGCACAATATAGTCGTCGAGGAACGAGTCCGCACGACGCTTCATCGCGGCCGTCGTCTCAGCGCCGTCATGGCCTGCACGCACATCCGGTGCCGCGGGAGCAGCAGCACCGCCCGAGCGGAAGCTGACGCCCTCGCGGGCCCCGAAATGACGCTCCTGCAGGTCGGCAACCTGCACGACGGACAAGCGATGTCCGTCGCGGTGCTCGTTGTGCGTGTCGCAGATGGCCTGGGCAGTCTTGACCGCGCGGCGCAGCGTCGACGAGAAGACATGCGCAAGGGGCGGGCTCTCGGCATTGACGCCCTCTGCCAGGTGAGATGCCAGGCGGCGAGCCTGCAGGACCCCGTGCATGGTCAGCGGCGAGTCGCGCGAACCTGCGTAGACGCCGGCGACGTTGTCGACGCTCTCGCCGTGGCGGATGAACAGGAACCGCATGCTCGCTCGCTCGACAACGCGACAACAAAGACGAGAACGCAATGTGTGAAAGAAGAGGGAGAGAAGCAAGACAAAGCTCGTGACTTCACGGAGGCTGCGGCAATGGCAAGGATGCCATTGTGCGTTGTGCGAGTGCGCGCCAGCGGTGAAGCTTGAGTTTGGAAGGAGGAAAGCAATTTTTTCTGCTGTCCGGAGTTGGTGGGTTTTGTAGGCGGGCGCTTGGATTACCTAATACGGTAAGCTCAGTGGGCCGAACGCCAGTTGGCGAAACGAGGCAGTGACTTTGGATTACCCTGCAACACCGTTCGAGCTTCAATTCACTTCTTCGCCGTCCTATTCCACTACTTATGAGCATCGATATAGTATCTTTATTAGGCTGTGAAGTCTAGTTCACATTCTCATACAATTAATTAATCTTGACTCTACTCCTTTGGCTTTTGGATCTTGCGCAGCAGCGGCTTGAGCGGGTTCTTGGCTCGGAACCGCAGCCACGTTGCTACATAAATGATGGCATAGTTGAAAGCGATGAAGCCGCAAAAGATGCCAAAGTCGCGCCAAATGTGGCTGTAGTATACGCTGAACCCCGCACCGAACTGGTCGCCGGTCGCGTACTGACAATACTCGCATTGGCCGTCGGTGGCGGTGCGAAGGTAGCCGCCCGCCTGCGCGACGTATGAGCCCGCGTATTCCTCGCAGGTGCGGCCAGGCGGCGCGCTGAAGCGAGCGTACTCGTCGTCCGAACAAATCACAGGCTGGTCGTGGATGGCGGCGCCGAGAAAGGCCTCGAGAAGATAGTGGAAGGGCGACAGCCAGTACATCCAGCTCCTCCAAAAGGTCGGCAGCTGCATGGGCGGCACGACGACGCCGCAGAAGCTGACGACGAAGAGGAAGAAGATGGGCACGAGCAGCGACGCCAGCAGCTCGTTGGGCGCAAACGCGGCAATGGCCTGGCCGAAGCTGACGTAGTACAGCTCGAACAGCAGCACCAGCAGGAACGAGAAGCCCGACGTGAAGCCCGAGACCCTCGTGCCGAAGATGCCCCACCACCAGCAGTTGAAGTAGATGCCGCCCGCGACGATGGCGTAGGGGATCTCGACGACGACGGCGGCCGTGACCCAGGCGAACCACGAGTAGATCTTGGCGCTGTTCTCGCGCGACTGGAAGATGTTGCGCGAGTTGAGGAAGACGGGCTGCAGCTGCTGGATCAGCGGCGGCGAGATGGTCAGCGTCATGAAGATGGAGAAGAGCCGGTTCTGGTAGTCGATGGTCGAGTACCCGAGCCGCCAGAAGGTGAAGCAGTTGAAGAGGCCCGTCAGGATGTGCAGCATGAACTTGCCCACGATGTAGCTGGGCGAGCGCCAGTACGCCACGAACGCGCGCTTCATCACCGCCGACACCTGCGTCGACAGCGGCGCCGCGTACTCGCGGTCGTCGCGGAGGCTCTGCGACGGCTCGACGTGCGACCGCTGCGACACCATGTCGTCAATCTCGCGCCCGCGCGTCTCGTGCTCCTTGGACGCCGCCCACTCGTCGGCCCAGTCCTTGCCGTGGTAGTTGGGGTCGCCCGCCCCGATGGCCTCGAGCATGTACTCGGCCGGGTTCGCATCAGGCGGGCAGCGATGCGCGCCGTGCGACTCAAAGTACCGCAGCAGTGTCTGGCTATCCTTGCCCAGCTCGCCGTGGTAGACGACGCGACCACCCGACTTGAGCAGCAGCAGCTCGTCGAAGTGCTCGAACAGGACGGCCGACGGCTGATGGATCGTGCAGAGCACCGCCTGCCCGGCGTCGGCCAGCTTGCGCAGGAAGCGCACGATGTTAAAGGCAGCGCCGGAGTCGAGCCCGGACGTCGGCTCGTCGAGAAACATGAGAAGCTCCGGCTTGGATGCCAGCTCGACGCCAATGGTCAGCCGCTTGCGCTGCTCCTGGTTGAGGCCCTCGCCGATCGTGCCAATGGTCGCTCCCGCAATGTCGCGCATCTCCAGCAGATCGATGATGGTTTCGCAATAGGCCAGCTTCTCCTCGCGCGCCACCTCGCGCGGCTGCCGCAGCAGCGCAGAGAATTGCAGTGCCTCGCGCACAGTGGCCGTCGGCTCGTGCACGTCCATCTGCTCGGCGAAGCCCGTCGCGCGCTGGAACGATTTGGGCAGCGGGCGCCCGTCGACGAGGAAATCGCCCGTGATGGTGCCAAAGTTGATGCGCTGAGCCAGCGCGTTGAGCAGCGTTGTCTTGCCCGCGCCTACGAGCCGAGTCAGTCAGCATGATGCGCTGCCAATATGAACGGCAGGACTACGCCACCGCGATGGGAAAAGAACATACCGGATGCGCCCATCAGCGCCGTCAGTTTACCGGGTCGCACGTAGCCCTGGACGTCCTGCAGCAGCTGGCGCTCTCCCTTCTCATACGGGATGATGTAGTTGATGTTGCGAAAGGTAAAGACGGTCTCGTTCTTGGCGATGCGCTTCATAGCATGACCGTCGTCATTACTGCTCTCCTCCTTATTGGCTTCCCTTTCCGCCATGGCAGGTGTGACGTGAGCAATCGGCCCATGCTCCTCGTCGTTCTTCTGGTCGCGGCCTCCGGTGTCGATGGCTGACTCGACCTTCTTGGGAACCTGGCCCCTCTTGAACATGGTGATGGCGCCGCCGCCGGCGTTGGGCTTCATGAGCTCCATGCCGAGCGCCGTAAGAAAGACGAAAAAGATGAAGAAGGCCCACAGGAAGCCAAAGTTGCGCCAGAGATGCGAGCGACTGTACGAAAAGGCGTCCTGTATGTATCGCGATCCATCGACGGTTGTCTGCCCGGGCTCGCTTCCCTGAAGCGCGCAGGACTGGTAGCGCGGCTCGGCGCCGGGCACCTGCGGCACCAGATAGGGAGGAACACATTCGAGACTCAGGCCGGCAAACTCGTTGGACATGAGACACTCGAAGCCGTACTGGATCCAGTTAATCCAGCGCAGCCAGCTGAACCAGGGGTGCATCGACTTGGGCGGGATCAGATAGCCAGTGTACACGATGAGGATCTGGACGGATATGCCTGTGAAGCGCGTCGCCACGTCGATGGTCCGGCAAAAGGCTGAGATGGCGCGGAAGAAAGCATACGTCGTCATGGTGACGAGCCACAGGATCAAGACGGTAATGAAGAATTGCGACGCCGTCCGGGCCAGGTTCGCCATAAAGTAGATGATGAGGGTGAAGATGACGACTTGAGTGAAGACGAGCGGCACGTCGACAACGGTTTGGGCCACCGCGAATGCAGAAGGCCGGTAGAAGGAAAACGACTTGTGCTTGAGCAGGATGGGCTTGGACGAGAAGGCGGCCGTCATCTCGGCCAGAGCAAGCAGCGCGTTAAAGAGCAGCAGGAAGAAGAGCGTACCGCCTCGGGGGAATGCTCCCGCGACCGTCTGCGGCTGGTCGAAGAACAGACTACCAACGATGAGGCCCTGGAAGACGAGACCGCCCCATTTGCCAAAGAGCGAGGCGCGGTCGCCCAGCATGACGAGGAACTGGCGTTTGGTGCAGGCAATGACCTGCTGGTGGAAGGGCAGCGTATAGTTCTTCTCCTCTGTCCTCTTGGACTGCCGCTCCTCGCGCACGCGCGCCTGCTCCGCGGCCTCCTTCTCAAACTCCTCCACGTCGGCAATGTTCTTGCTGTAGATGTCGCTCTTGCGGTAGGCATCGAAGAAGGCGGCCGGAGTGCGGGGGATGCGGTCCTCCCAGCCTTCACGGATGCTCCGCTCGTGCTCGTCGCTCACCGATGTCAGGAAGTCGGCCGTCGTCCACCGCTCCGGGCACTCGAACCCGAGGTCCATGAAGTACCGCTTCGCGTCGTCGGCGGGGCCAAAGTACAGACACTTGCCGCCGTCGATGAGCAGCACCTTGTCGACGAGGTCGTACAGCGACTCGCCGGCCTGGTAGAGCGACACGGCGGTCGACACGTCGGCCATGTTGGTCATGGTGCGGATGGAACGGACGTACTCGAGGGCGGTGCTGGCGTCGAGCCCCTTGCTCGAGTTGTCCCAGCCCTGGACCGAGGCGCGCGTGATCATGGCCTCGGCGATGCTCACGCGCTTGCGCTCGCCGCCCGACACGCCGCGGATGAACTCGTTGCCCACCTTGGTGCCCAGCGTGTGCTCGATCCAGAAGAGCTTGGTGACGGTGCGCAGGAACTCGCGCACGTAGTCCTTGCGCGTCTCGCCCTCGAGCCGCGACTCCTTGCCGGGCGTCCGCGTCTGCAGCGCAAACTTGAGCGTCCGCCGCACCGTGAGCGTCGCGTAGTGCAGGTCATCCTCGGGGTTGTAGATGACCTCGCCGCGGAAGTGCTTCCCCATGACGGCGGCATCGGTGCCTCCGTACTTGACGTCGCCCTCCACGGCCTCGAAGCCCGCCCGCTGGTTGCAAAACGCCTTGAGGAACGTCGTGCACCCGGAGCCGGGACGACCCAGCACCAGCAGCAGCTCGCCGGGGCGCACGCAGCCGTCGAAGTGGCTGATGAGCTCCCGCACGGGGGGCTTCGCCGCGGCAGCCTTGGCCCCCTTGGTGAAGAGGTTACGCAGCATGCGCGGCAGGCCGAGGAAGATGTCGCCGACGGTGGGCTGCAGGCTGGCGCCCAGGCCAACGCCCTTGACCGTCAGGTCGCGGAAGACGACGCCGCTGTGGCGCGTCTTCTCCTCTTCGCTGTGCTCCTGGCGGGCGCGCCCAAAGAGCCGCGACATGAGCCGCTCAATCTCCTGCGACTCCTCCTCCTGCTCGGCGGTCGAGAGGCCCGTGTTGGTGCGGCTCGCGCGCCGCTGCGAGAGCACCCTGAAGAGGTCATCTTCCGACTGAATGGTCTTGCGCCGCTCGAGCTTTGGCGGCTTTCCCGTCTGCGTGTTTGTCTTTATGGGTGCGTATTCGGCGGACTCGTCCGAGGGCGTGTGGCCAGGAGATTCCTCTTCTACTTCCCCTGCGCGGTCCTCCTTCTCCGCGTCGCGCCTCCGGGTGCCATCGTGGGCAGTATTGTTGGCGGGCAGCGTCGAGTTGGACGATGCCAACGTCCCGGGAGACTCGGGCTTTGCGTCGGGCGCCATGATTCAACGTTGTTCGCCTGAGACAGCGGGCGGCGGCGATGAATCTGTCCCGCGCGGCGACTGTCGATGGTACGAAGCGGTGCAGCACAATGGGCACACGCACTTTCATCAATTGGCCCTTTCACATTCCTGTAACCATAGCGTAGGCCTGGCCACGACGCGAGTCTTATTCACTAGGAGAACCCTCGCCCATCATCATCAGGGTACCATAACAAACGGGCCACCTTCGCTCTTCGGGCTTCTCCAGCTCCCCGACGCGGAGAGTCGCGGCGGCGGGAGTGGCGGATGAGTTTCGAGCCATGAAAGTCTATGACGAGTTCTGTGGTGGTGTTGCGTCCTCCCTCCCCAGAAAAAAAAGTCTCCGCCCGCAACGGGCAGTGATCGGATCGCCGGATTGCTCCAAGCCATCGATGCTTGACGTGCAGAGACGGGCCCACCAACGGGAAGCTTGCCAATGAGCTTGACCCTTGGCAGAGGAAATGCGTGATTACAATTCACATGTGTATCGAATGGAGTCGCTCGGACTCGGTTCTTGGGGAGGGAAGCTTGGTAGTTTGGCAATAGCGCAGGGCGGCCGGTCTCAGTTGGCTTGCGGAACACGAACACCAGAGTGCTCGAGAGTCGAGGACGGAGCCAGCCGCAGCAATTGACTCGGGGGCGGCGGGCCACTGGGACCGCCGACGCAACGGTGGCAGCGGTACTGGTTCATGGCGACAACCAGTGGCACTCCACGCCGGGAACAAACAAACTTTGGTGTCGGTTCAGGCCGCGTGTCAAGTGCCTCGACCAACCTGCCGGTACTGGGACGTCGGTGTGAGCCAGCTCAAGCGAAGCGACAGCTACATGGCGTCGACATCACGGAATGCCCCAGACCAGATGGGCTCGCAAGGTTCCGTCCAGCGTCTGGCAGGAGACACCATCATATTGGCACGGGCCGTGGAAGAATCGCCTCGAAGGCATCATCACTATAATGTACAAAGCTCTGCCCTCAGACACTCCAGCGACTACCTTCTCCAGGACCCCGTGCTCGTCAGCCCAAACCTGCTCCAGAAGCCGCGCTGCTTGCCCTGCCCCTTTGTCGCCTCGTCCATCTCGGCCCTCAGCACGGGATTGATGCCCTTCTTGCGCATCTTTTCCTGCGTCTCGGGCGGGATCTTGTGCACCGGGTGGTCCACCGGCAGCCGGGCCGGATCCGTCTCGGCTGGGCCGCCCGAGCTCGATGGCGTCTTGCCCCATCGGTAGGCGGCTTCTGCCTGCAGGCGCCTCTCCTCCTGGTCTTGCATGGTAGCTGACTCTGTGGGTGTTGGCTTTTCAAAATACTCAGGGTTGGAAGTGAGAGTCGATGCTTCAGACTCTGATTTAGACATTGCGGTTTGTTTAAAGTTGTCATCAGCTCTTGTCTTGTTTACAGCGACACTCCTCCCTTAAATGCTCCCCCCTCGCGCCGCACACTGCAACCGCTGCTACTCCGACAGTGGAGGATCGTCACCGGCCCCAGTATGCCCCAGCATCCTTTGCCGTTTCAATTGGGTTCTGATGTTCGACGTCAGACTTTAGTCGGGGCTGCGGTGGACAGACAGCCAACGGTTTTCGTGGGCCGTGGCAGTGCCTGATCCCACGGCCCACATTGACGCCCGGCGGGATGACATCACTGCTAGCAGGCAATGACGGGTGATGGGGGTGGAAGAAGCTCCCAGCTGCAGCGAGCACGGACGGGCGACACGAAGCTGAGTCGTGATCGCGTGTCGCGTGTGAGTGAGCTCTGCAGGCAAAATTCATGGGTAACCCACTGAGGCGCTGCTTCGGGTCTCAGGCCAGAGCAATCCTCTATCTCATCGTGCCAGCGGGGCCGGAATCGCATTATTCAGTGCTCCAGAGCGTGTCGTCAGAGCCCCTGTAGTCCAAGATGTCGTGCTGGAGTCTGGTGTCCACGGTCTTGCGCAAGTCAATTCGCGCATCGCCCCTCGTAGTCGAGTATCATTCTGTGTCAACTCAAGCCACTTCCGGGCCGCGCAAAATGCCGAACCAAGTGGCAGCGCCGTGTCAGGAATTCAGGCCATTCGGGAGACCGGCAACTCGTCTGCACCGGAGCGCAGTGAGGCCCGCCTACTGCAAAGATCCAAGGTCTTGCACAACTACGTCACTTGTTCCGACGTTTTATTTAACGCTTATCTGGGAGTGTCCCCATGATCTGTTCATCCCGCTGTGCGCGCAGCGGCTAGGGTCCGCCCTCGCCTGAGTCGCTGCATTGCACGGGAAGTCACCACCAACAGCGGTGCTAGGAGAGCTTCGGGAATGACTCGTAGTCGTAGCTAATAGCTGATCCGTGCGGCAAGAGCACAGGCCAGTTAATAAGGTAGTGTCCAGCAGGCTTTCAGCGGGCTGCATAAACTTTTGGTGCGATGGCGCCCACGCGAGATGCCAGTCAGCTGTAGTTTCTGGGTCTCGGAGCCCTGAGAGTTGTGAGGGTGGCTCTCGGCCGGCATATTAGCTGTGTGGCCAACATCTAAATTTAGCTCCCGTCTCCCCCCGGCAGTCAAGGTTCAAAATATCTGCGGGAAGTTGAGGATGATGCATGTGGGCTTCTGATTCAGTGACGTAGCATGCCGCGATACTTCATGCTGCAGCGAGATGCACATGTTTTCATGTCACTACCATGGGGCACGCGTTAAAGTCTGGCCCGGCTGCAGTGCATAGGTCGAGCTTGAAAAGACAACAACTAAAGTGACTACGCTTGGAACGCATCTTGCCTGCCACAACCGAAGGCGCGGACTTTTAGTCGCACGGAACACCTCACCGCTGGCCATCGGGACTCGGCAATCCTCACGTCTGGTATAGCCCATTCAGTATGTTCCGTTTGGCTGCAAAGGGTCAGCCTCTGGACATGCAGTTCTCCTGCAGGGGCAAAGAGTGGTACTTTTATAAGTGTGGTGGCTTGGAGTTAGGGCCAACAACTCTTGAATCCTACATAATGCCCTCGCACTTACACGGTTCACAGTGCGCACCTGTGCAGTACACCTAGAAGCCGATAGAATATGGCCCATACGCCCTCGGCAACTCCACTGGTTGACGGGCAGGCGCCGCTCTCTGGACAATAGGCACCACCCACAGACAATTAGGTAGAGCAGACTCGCAACAACAGCGATGGCACGCCAACGACCGCCATTTCTGTGGCTAAACGGCAGAGGCTGGGACTCTGAGCTTGGACCTGCTCCAAATTTTGGACCTCTGCCCCGGTATGGCGTGTTTCAGAACACCAACCCATGCATAGCACTTCCACAATCTATCGATCGTGTGGTCATGAAGGTGCCTGTGCAGACCAGATTCAGTGGACGCGTTGTGACCACGGACCACTACTTGGCGTGTACTTGCAATGCTGTAATACCGGAGCCTTGACTGCGGGCTGAAGAGCTTTAAGCCAACTTATCTCTGAGCTTGCGGCAAAGATGCTCAACACGCTCAACGCCCGCGACATATAAGGCTTCGAAGACCAGACTCAGGCGGCCCAAGTACTCCCGAAACTATAGGTCGTCTCCATACCACAATACGCGGTGTCTCTGACAACATGAAGGCCACAGCTTATATTTTTTCGCTTTGCTGCGCCTTGCCTGCGGTGAGTGTAACCAAGCGCATGACATCCCTATGGCAATTTGCTGATGGATGACTTAGGCAATGGGCCTCGTGGCTCCACGTAACGGCTTCGCAGTACATGTCCCGTCCTGGCAGTTCCAAGTGACGCCTGGAGGAGAGACCGTTGTACTCAATGGCACCATTGAGGAGGCCCGCGCCCAGCTCCTGAAGCTCAACCCAAACTGGGACTCGGACTTCCCCAGAAAAAACACTACGGAGCTGAAAAAGCGGGAAGCGGACTTTCCCCCGAACGCGAAGTTCAACTGCGACTCGAAGCGTGGGTTTGGAGGCGCCGGAGTCCTGCAGGGCATCGTCAACGACCTGGACTATAGCCGAGACATCCCGCTTCTTCCATGGGGTCCGGGTACATGCGCACAGGTTGCCTGCCGATGGGATACTGCTGTCTGGTGGTGTAACGATGTAGGTCTTTCCTTCCCGTGTTATTGCTCAGACTATTTCAGGATCAGTGAAACTGAAAGACAATTGAACCTCGCGCGCCTGCATGTACCATGATACTAACTGGCTATAGAACTTCAGATTGTTTGCCCTGGATTCATATAGCCGGATAGCGAACGGCGTTTCGTTCATCTACAGCCATTGCTACGTCCCCTCAAAGGATGCCACCGTGGCTGGCCAGGTGTTTCACAGGGAGAACTGGAACGTTATTGTCAGCGCTGGCGATTGCTAGAACGCTCATGGGAGAGGCGCAGCGCACCCCGTATCTTACTTTAATACAACAATGATAGAAGCTCGACCTTCCACCGCAGGATTCGCGTACCGGTCCTTCCTTGCAACGCCCACAAGTAACACGAACTCATGTTATCGTCTGGTGCGGGGTTCTTAGGCTCCCGGATCTATCTCGTCTCCGTGGTGGCGGCAAGGCGTCAAAGGTGGCATCGGAAGCCACCAATCGACTCTCCGGGCGACAGTCGACCCGGCGTTCAGCGAAAGAAGCTGAGAGACCGTTGTGACGCCCGCCTCCGACATGAGGCGGGGTAGATGCTACCCGACAGAAGCGATCATGAGACATATGCCGCCAGGTATAAATTCACACATGCAGTGCAGAGAGCTAGATACCTTACCAAGCAGAGTAATGCCGCCACAGCACGAAGATTGCTGACGATTGCGACATCCCGGCATTGAACTATCAACCGCGAGCGTCGCGATCGTTCATCATGACCACGGAAACCCCAGTTCCGTTCTTTGTGCCAGGCAAAAGCGCCATCATTACCGGCGCCGGATCTGGTACGGTCCATGTCCGATAGATCTCTATTGATACCGGCACCTAACGCCGAGCTCAAGGTATTAACCTCGCGTTCGCTGCTCTCCTACTCAATCGAGGATGCAACGTCGTCTTTGCCGACCTGAGCCTCCGCCCTGAAGCAGAGGTCTTGATCTCACAGTACGGCGGCCGAGAAAGAAGCCCCCGGGCCGTGTTCGTCAGAGCAGATGTGACGCTCTGGGCCGACCTTCGTCGCATGTTTGAGGTGGCCGTCAGCGAGTTTGGTAGCTTCGACATTGTCTGTCCCGGAGCGGGGGTCTTCGAGCCGTCTTGGTCGAACTTCTGGCACCCTCCAGGGTCACCGGAGAGCAAGGATAGTATTGAGGGCAATAGCTACGCGTTGCTTGACATCAACGTGACGCATCCAATTCGGACGACTCAGCTCGCGTTACAGCTCTGGCTTCACCCGCCTCAGTCTGGAAGCATGGCCTACCCGTCGCCAGAGAGAGTGTCGGTTCAGAACCCCAAGCGAGTGATTCTCATCTCATCAATTGCAGCGCAGTTACCTGCCTTTCTAGCGCCGCTTTATGGAGCATCAAAGTATGCGATCAGCGGCTTTACCCGCTGCCTGGCCCCTCTGGAGCCGAAGCTGGGAGTGCGTGTCAACGCCGTGGCGCCGGGTCTGGTCCGTACGCCTCTGTGGACCGACAATCCAGAGAAGCTGGCCTACATTGACGAGGAAAAGGACGGCTGGGTCACCCCCGAAGAGGTCGCGCGTGCGATGCTGGATTGCGTCGAAAAGGACTCTCTCGTGGGAGGAACAGTTCTCGAGGTCGGCAAGAACACCACCCGGCCTGTCCTTGTATTCAACGACCCCGGACCAAACATGACCCCAGGCGCAGGAATCATAGCTAGCAACGTAGCGCAAGCCGTGGACGTGGTGTGGGACCGGCTGGCCGATGACAGCATTTGGGCAGCTCTCTGAAAGCTCGACGATATCCGAGCCATAAGGATTTGGTACAAGAGTTGAAAAGTCATAGCCAGGAAGCTCAGTGTTTAGGCAATCTGAATGATCCCGTAACCAGGTTCTGAAACACTCCATCGGGGTCATACCTTTGGGCGACCTGCCACATATACTCGACGTTCTCCACTCCATAGCTGCTGAGGGCGTCCTGACTCGGATCTGCGTAATTGACGTAGATCCAAGGAACGATCGCCGAGATCGACTCAGCGTACTGCTTGAGGTCCGCCGTCATAGCGCGACACTTTCTGTACACTATTGCCTCCTCCTCAGGCGTGCGACAGGATGCGGCGCAAAGCCAAAGTAGCGAATTACCCTCCGCCTTGTCGAGCCCGAGAACGTTGCCGCCATTCGCGACGCCAATGTCAGCGAACAGTTTGGGAATTGGTTGAAACAGGCTTTGAGTGACAAGATCGCCTGCTGGAATACTCTCGAGCAAATCTTTGACTAGGGCATTGTGCAGCTCGGCCGCGACCTTCACGACACGCTTGTCATTCTTGAAGGTGAGGGTGAACCAGACATTTCTGCCGTCAACGTTTAGCGGTAGAGCAGAGCTGCAGGGGGATAGGAGGAAGCCTACCTCAATCCGGAAGGGAGAATGTAATCGTTAGCGACGCCGCTCATAGGACGTGTCTTGATGTCGCTGAAGAATGCCGGGATACGCTGAACCTCGTCGAACACTGGAGCATTCTGCACCCCATCGGCGTCTATTATGACATGAGCCACGATTATGCCCGGGGATAGACCTGGCTGGTACGTGAAATTGATTATGAAAGCTGCCTCTGGGTGTTTGAGGTTGTCGTCGGTAAAGTTGACCAGAGCATCGATCAAGGCGTCTGCGTGGGATGCAGAAGAGGCTCTAAGACCACCCCAGAGCTGGGGGGCGGCAAATGCGTGAACGTCAAACCTCGTGACTATGCCAAAGTTGCTCAAGCCGCCTTTCAAAGCCTTCCATAGGTCCTTGTTAACATTTGCATTGGCCTCGACAATGGTGCCATCGGCAAGAACAACTTCGGCGTTAACGACATTGTCGCAAGCGAAGCCCTTTCGACCCGCGTAGTATGAGTTGCCGCCACCCGTTAGGAGGCCGCCGACACCGACATCGCCATCCCGGCCACCTGCAACCATGACACCCTCCGGTTCGAGGGCCTTGTAGACATCCCCCCAACGCTGCGCTGGCCCGAGAGATGCCATCTTGAGAGCTGGATCGTAGGAAATCGTCTTGAAGTGAATGAGATCAATGGTGACGCCGTTGTTGATGTTGCTCCCGCCCGCCCAGTGGCTGTGGCCGCCGCTTCTGACTGCGAACTCGCCGCGGCCGCAGGCAGCCAGTGTTCGGACCGTCACAGCAAGATCGTGTTTGGTTCGGGGTTGAACAATGCAAAACGATCGCAGCTGAGAGCTTGCCGACCAGCACGATTCGATCCGCGACTCGTATCCTGCGTCACCAGGCAGGAGCATTTGATCTCGGAGCCCAGCGGCTACGAGGGCATCGCGCTCCCCGGAAAACTTATGTTAGCCTGGGAAGAGTTAAGTTGAAGGACCAAAGTAGCCAATGCCACCCACCAACCATCCTTGCATTGCATCTCATTGAGTGAAGCCACGCGAGGGGAACTGCCGTACCTGTGGATTGCCTGCCATCATTCCTCTTCGGCAGTGGAGAAAAGGCGAACCTTCTGCGAGAAGTAAAGCTGTGTACACGTACTGCCAGATGAAAGGGCATTATCAACGTGAACAGCTCTCATCACAGGAATATGAAGAATTGTCTAGCCGCCCGAGACTGTTTTTATTGTCTCACCGCTGCTGTCAGAAGGATCCCAGGCTGTGCGCTAATATGCCCTTCTGCATGCAACCTCGCTTTGCCACGACGGTTTAGTAAACATTTGCCATGCTAGAAATGATCCCGCTGTGCTCCATCAGTGCAGTACGCTGTAGATCAATGGCCTGTAGGAGACCTGTAAGGGCGGCAATTGCGGAATCGGTACACGCCCGAGACTCAATGCGTGAGCTTGCAGTCCAGTCCACTTTCACTAGAATCAATACGAACCCAAGGCCAGGGGCGGCTCGGAGTGTAAGTCGGCCCCTGAAAGCCCTGAACGACAGTGTCACGACACCGTCGGTACGGACCGGTGGTGAAACATTGCTCCGAAGCATTCAGCACAAGCCTATACGGCAGCTCCGCTCAAGAAGTCACCCTCTGTGTAAGTCGAGGGGTGGACGGACACAGCCCGCGCAGTCTCCACAGCGTCCTTGCCATTTCAACATGAGCGGGCGAGTTGGCCATGGCGCGCCGTCGAGCTCACATCAAGATGCGCAGGCAACCGGGAAGCATGCTACGGCGATGAGTGGCCTTGGTTTGGTAGAGATGCCCTAAGACCCCCAGGTGATTTACACTTTGAGAGCTGTAACGCCAAAGAAGTCTTGTGACGTCTCGACAACTGCGCATCTGCTGAGGCGTGGGCGAATTGACGAGGTCGGCGAGGAGAGCTGACATTCAAGCCACCAGGCCGCCGACCACTCCGGTGAGCTCGGCGACCTCCACAACACCAGCTTGGCGATTGCCTCGGGGACTGGACCATGGCAACACCCAGGTTATTTCGCATTTAAGAACAATGAAGTTTCGCGTTATGGCGCAAATGGCATATATGCGCTCCAACGCGACCGTGTCAAAGATTGTCTGAACTTGAGGCACATGCGGCCCGTTATTGCAACAGTCCCTGTCCATCTCCCACCAGCACATCTCCACCAAGCTCAGCACAGCACCCGCCGTCGGGAAAGCCAGGGCAACATGGCAGACCAGCCACGAATCCACGACATCCACGACCCCAAGACCGGAACATGGCAGTATATCGTGGCTGACCCCGCGACCAAGACTGCTGCCATTATCGACTCGGTGCTCGATTTCGACCCCGCGACCGCCAAAACCAGCACGACAAATGCCGACTCGCTGCTCGCCCTTGTCAAGGAAAACGGGTACAAGGTTGATCTGATTCTCGAGACGCATGCCCACGCAGACCACCTTACCGCCGCCGGATACCTTCAGAGCGAGCTGGGCAAGACCCAGGGCAAAAAGCCGGCGACAGGCATTGGCAAGCGCATCAAAGAGGTACAAGAACGATTCGGACAAAGGTACCAAATTGATGCCGGGGAGTGCAGCAACGCCTTTGACTTTCTGTGGGATGATGGAGACCAACTTGCCATCGGGAACCTGGTCGGAACTGTCCTCTATCTTCCTGGCCACACTCCCGACCACGTTGGATATCGCATTGGAGGTCAGCGCCCCCTTCGACACAGGCGTTTGAACAGTGGCTGACACCAGTGATCAGACAACATATTCTGCGGAGACTCTCTCTTCAACGCCGACGTGGGTTCCGCCCGATGCGACTTTCCAGGAGGCGATGCCAAAAAGCTCTTTGCTTCGGTCCGCAAGCTTCTAGGCCATCCCGAGCAGTTCAAGATCTGGACTGGGCACGACTATCCACCCGAAAGCCGTGACGGCCCTGTTGCAGCAATGACGGTCGCCGAGCAGCGCGCCCGGAACAAACATCTAAAGGATGGCGTTGCAGAAGACGAATTCGTCAAATGGAGGACCGAACGCGATGCCACGCTGTCGGAGCCACGCCTGATCCATCAAGCCCTGCAGGTCAACATTCGCGCGGGCAAACTTCCTGCAGAGACTGCAGCCGGTGATCGCCTGTTGCATGTGCCTATAAAGACAGAAAAGTCGTGGTAGTGGCGGCGGGGACTTGTCAGTTGTCTGATGCCGTTGCAAGTACTGGGCAAATGCTAATCTTACAACAGCAAATGTGAATCTTGTGGGTGTAACCCTGCACGAGGCTGGAATGATGTCACATGGAGCAACCAGAAGACAATGAGGGGGCGAAAGTACATTTAAGAATGAGTTGGGACTATCCATAGCAGGTCGTCGTAGCCAAATTCTAGCGACTGGAAGTTGAGGAAAATGTGTGGCAATCTCGCCGTTCGTATGAACATGAACAGTTCCACCGGCTTTTACCGCCGGTCATCCTGATCATACATGTGTTGAATTGAACACCTCAGCTTTCCTCCTCGATTGCAAAGAATAGTGTCTTGACCGCGTGAATTAGCATCCAAAAATGTGTTACCAAGCAGTTCTGAAGTAGGATTTACCGAGGTCAAAGAAAGTTGCCGGCCATTTCTCAAATCCACTGCCATCGTCGCAGTTGGCATGAAGCACTGAGCCGGTCACCACAAAGTCGCGACAAGTCTTGTGGAAACTGCAAAGATCTGATTAGCACCGCCATGTAAACGAACAAGCGAGAATACATCCGGACTCACTCGTGACCGCCGACCAACCTCCCTCCGGTATTGCCGAGGCAGCGGCTCAGGTTGATGGTGGGGTTAGTGTGACGACCCCGGCCATCGGCGCAATGCATGGCTGTGAAGTCTGCCTGGCCTTTGTTGAAACGAAGGCGGGCGCCGGGACTGCAACTCAGCCTGTATCCTCTACACGCCCGGGGTTGCAGTGCAGAAGGGGCGGTGATGAGGGTGGCCCGTCGCTCTCGGTCAACAGCGCCTGCTTTAGCGGTTGAAGCTGCCAGAAGAACTGCAAAGGCCTGAATGAGCATTTTAACCGCAAGTTGTAAGACAATTCGGGTCAACGAATGCTACAAATGCATTGAGCTTCCCACCATCGGCCTAGAATGCCCTGGGCTGCGAGCTTTATATTCGCAGCCGTCTAGTGAGCCCGCGGTGAGCGATGGCCGAGGCGCAGATGCAAGGCGCTTTCCCATTACCAGGCAAGGCTTGAGGAAGCGCGGCCTCTGACGTGTCACGGTCTTGGCCTCTTGGACGGGAGTAGACAGACTTTCTCATGCCGGCACATGACTGCATTTATGAGACGTTGTCGTTTCGCGCAGACCGGGACGAGACGGCTCGACATCAATATATAGTTGGCCGCTATAATCCAGTCCCTTTAATAACTAATATGAATCCAGTCGCTATACCCCGGCAAAGTCTTGTTCGGGAGACACTGGGAGTGCTCGCCGTGCCAAGACTAGCCCGTTGGGTTCCCATTGAATGCCAACAAATTCAGTGTACCTTTCGGAATATTTTGGATGACATCTTTCGTGGCCAACTCCTGTATGCGCTTGCAAAGCGGCTCCGCTCCGGGGTTTCCTTCAAAGCCCGCGAGGTAGCAGCCCAGTCCCGTAATGTACGCAGCGGACGTCGACGTGCCCGATATGGTATTCTGCAAGATCATGTGTGAGCGCAATGTAACCAGAGGAGAGGCGTCTCTACTGACCGTCCCTCCGTTAGTCCACGTGGACGTGATGGCTTCTCCTGGAGCAAATATGTCAACGATCGGGCCATAGTTGGACGAGCTCAGCCGGGTGTCCGAGCGGGTCGTCCCTCCGACCGTGCACACCGTCGGCTCCGAAGCCGGCGAGTTTCTCGACGCATCCGAGTTGTCGCCACCTGCAGCCACGGAAGTGAAGACCCCTGCCTTTACGAGGGACGCAGCGGCGTTGTTGACGGCGGCGGAGAAACTGCCGCCTAAGCTCAAGTTGGCCATGGCACCTTTGGGGCAGTTTCTCGTCTTCCAGTCCTTGGCTACAAAGTCCATGCCGGCAATAATGTTAGAGTAGGTCCCGCTGCCACTGTTATCAAGGACCTTGACCCCGTAGATTCTTGTTTTCTTCGCGACGCCATAGGTCTTGCTGCCAATTATGCCGGCGAGGTGCGTGCCGTGACCGTTGCCATCCGTGGTGTCGTTGACAAACGACTTGAGAACCTGAGCACGGTTCCCAAATTCCTACAACATGTCAGCCCTCGACACATTGGGCTCACTCAGTGGTCGCGGATACCGGATGAGTGACGTCAACGCCCGTGTCGATGATGTATGCGCACGTTCCTAGACCGGCGCTGTCATCGTACACGTAGCTCGTGCCGACCCGCTGTCGGTGCGAGATGCGAACAAGACCCCATGGCGCATTGGGCTGCTCAATGTAGCCGTTGACGCTTGCAATGCCATCGTGCTCGATGTACTCAACCTAGGCTATCTGTTAGGGATGTGGTCACTGCTAGAGCGATTATTCAGCCTCACATCTGACCGGCGACGCAGCGCCACGAGGCTTTCGTCGTCTAGCTTGGTTGCGAAGCCGTGGAAGGCGTGCGTGTAAACGTGATCCGCGCGCTCCGTGAAGGAGCTCAACTGCACATCGGTCTGTGTGGTCAACACGCCGTCTTTGAGCTTCACAATGTAGCTGCCAGGAACAGTTTGACCGCCAGATTTGAGTAGAGGTGCCAGAGTATTGCGGCCAGCCACTGCAGATGCCGCCTGGGCCGAGAAGACGAAGAACAATGCTAGAACTTGCATAGTAGCGGTGCTCAGCTACAAATCTTGGACCATGTTCGAACGTTCATACGAAGTGATTGATGGCATCGCTGCTGATCTTATCTACAACACGGGTCACATTGTCGCTTAGGCCTCCCTAGAAAAGGCGTGCTTGCGTCGCAATAAATGACACCAGGTTCAGCTAGCAAGTCCAAAGATCAAACGGGCGGGAGGATCAAGAAGGTGCGTTCTAAAGTTGGCGGCCTTCCTGATTGAAGATGGGGAGTGCGGGGAGCGTAGCAGTGAGGCTGCACACTCGCCTAAAATTCCCGGACCTGCCTGTCAAAGCGCTACTACGGACGGATCTTGGTCGCGTCAGTGCATCGCTGAAGAAGATAAGGGTTGACAGCGGAATGGGTTCCACACTCAACACACCTATCAGATTCGAAAAGCTGTTGCTATTGCTTGTTTCACGTGTGTATTGTACATTTACTTCAACTCTCTTCAACTCCATGTTATCCGAGTGCCCAACTGGCTGCAGCTTCAATCCGAAGGCTCCGTGTCATGTTTCTCGCCCGTAAGGTGATCCGTGACGCCAGGAATCTCGTTCCGGCACCACAAGTTGCCCCCCTCCTTGGTCAACAGCGGGCCGTACTTCCGCAGGTCGTCGTCGTCGAAGCATCCCACCGCAAGGTTGATGAGCTTGCTCTTCTCCCTGCGGAAGAACATGTAGCTGCCGCAGTTGCAGCAGAACCCGCGGTGGTTGTCTGGCTCCGCCTGATAGGTGCGCAGCGTCGAATCGGCGTCCCATGCAACGTCGACCTTCTTGAATTGATGGAAGCGGAACATGAGAGAGCCAGTTACCTTGCGGCACCATGAGCATTGGCAGGTACCGATCTATATGCATGAGAGGCAGTTGCGAACTGTCAGCGAAAAGCGGCGAGATTGTTTTCGGGAAGGTGGTCGCCATGGCTGCAGGCTTGAGCCATGGAAGCGTGACGTTGGGTGAGACGTACCGCATCGTCAAAATCGTGGTCCGGAGGGACGGTGATTGTATACCGGACCGACCCGCAGAGGCAACCGCCGGAGATGGTTTTGGGTTTGTCGCTTGAGGCCATTGGATCTTCTTAGTCACTCTATCGCTTGCCTATTAATAGAAAGCGAGACTGACAGAGTGCATGCTCGAGACGGTGAGTTCGGGGCTCTGACAATATTACATGTATGTATTTGTACCCGAAGGCGATCATCGACTTTCAGCCTCTTGCCCCGAATATGGAAGGAGGCTAATCACAGCGGCAAGTTCCCAGACGTTCACAAGATTGGAAGCGTTTGCTGCAAGTCTGGACACAGATACTTTGTGTCTTGACTACCCTGCGCCCTCAAACCTCGGCTCACGAGAAGTACAACACTTCAAAATGCAGCTAAACACGCCGCTGAGCGCTTCATCGTTTCACCGCGATGACTTGAGTCGCTCCAAGGAGCCATACTCAAAGAAAAATGCACGCGAGAAGACTCATGGGGTCATTGTCAGACACGGACAAAAGTCACCAGGTGCCAAATCTTCAGGGAGCTCAGGGAGATGGTGTGCCGTCGAGGGTGGGGGTTTGGCGGCAAGGGGCGGGGTATCGCCAGCCCGTCGCTGTTAGTGTTGTCCGTCTGGTGTTCGCCTCCAAAACAATACGAAATACGGTCTTGGGTCGCCTGTTGTCGTGGTTCGAGTCGGGGTAAGCCCAATATCGCATCACCCTGTGGCCATGCAACGATATGAGTATTTCTATTTGTCTATTGTTTCAAGCTCCTCGCAAAATCCTCCACAGTATCGCGGAAAGCCTGGTCCGGCACAAAGCCAATAGCCAGAGCCCTCGAGATGTCAAACTCATACGGCCAGCTATCGAGCATCGCCTTGATTTCAGGCGTCGCATCTTCCCTCCTAACCAACCGCACGGCCTCCTCCCCGCCGACATCCCGCAACGCCTGCAACATGCTGCCCACCGTCTCCGTGATGCCGGGTAGAAGCACCTGCCGCACGTGCGGCGACATACAATCCGGCGGCAGCGTGAGGCACAGTACGAGGTTGCGAACGAGCGTCCTCGGCGAACACAGCCAGCACTTGAAGTCGTCCGGGCAGGGCAGCACGCTCTCCTGGCCCTGCAGCGGCTCTCGGATGATACCGCTCATCCAGCTGCTCGCAGCCTGCGTGGGCTTGCCCGGGCGGACGGTGATGCTGGGGAACCGCAGCGTGAAGCCGACAATGTGTCCGCGGCGGTTGTAGTCGTTTACGGCAGCCTCGATCATGATCTTCTGTGTGCCGTAGCTGCTTTGGGGGGTGCACACCGTGGCCTCGGAAGGCATCGACGGAAGGGGCTGTCCGTACGCGGCGCAGGACGAGGCGTAGACGAACCGCACACCCGGGCAGGTCTTGCGGATCTCCTCCAGGAGACGTAGCGTGCTGTGCAGGTTGACCCGGTAGCCCAGGTCAAAGTTGTCCTCGCTGCCCGCCGACATGATGCCGTGGAAAGCGTACACGGCGTCGAGGTCCTTGGAGAGGACGACGCCGGGCTGCTCATAGAGGTCGGCCTTGCTGCATGTTGCGTTTTGGCGGTTTGTCGCAGCTGGTGGAACTGTCGGCTCGACAATGTCCGTCAAGTGGACTTGATGCCCGTCGTTGAGGAGCTGCTCGGCGAGGGCCTGGCCGACGAAGCCCCCGGCCCCCGTGATGAGAATCTTCATGATGGCCTGGCGCTGCTCGATGCGTTGAACGCACTGCCCAGCAGGATGAAGTCACGCGACTTTACTGTTTGCTACTTGGTGTGAACGGCAACTCATCATTACCCCTCAGCGTTTTATGCCAGTCGGTTGTAGAGTTCAACTGCCTGCATGGCTGCCCCCGCTCGGTTGCCGCTGCTCGGACTTGTGTCCGGCGCGCGGAGAACGCCCCGTCATTCATGCGCCTCATCCGCCCGCCAGGCATCGACACTCAACTGCTTCGAACTCCTCCCCCCGTCGCAGACACGAGCAGACAACAGGCAATGATGAACGGGGGCGCCTGTGCTAGTTCGGCATGAACCATGTCAAGCCACGAGGGCAAGATGACCATTTGGAGAAATGGCCGCGACTTGGCGAGGGGGCCTGGCAGCTGTAAGACGTGACGAGTCTCCCCGCGAGAACGACGGCCAGCTCGGCCTCGGATCGTCCGACTCGGGGGTGGTGGTGGTCCGGTGGTGTCACGGACGCATCACAACAGCATGGGTGGAGGGCGCCGCACTTGATCCAGCAATGAAGGGCCATGATCACAAACACTCGTCGCGCGTTCCGCAGGCTTGATCCTGATAGCCGCGGAAAGCAGAACAAGCTTCAGGAACGCCACGCGGGCTAGCGGGAACCCGCCCAAGCAAGTGAGCAGCCCCCAGGTCCCGCTGGAATTCTGGGGAATATTGCGGGGGAGTCGGCAGTTGGGCACGGTGTTGAGTCCGCTCACCTGTCTGGGCTGTCTCGCTCGTGGATGTCATGCCAAGATGCTGTGCCCGCTGTCATTCCCACCATGGCGTATTAAAGCTGGTGCCGCGCATTGTCGTCGTTCCCGTTTATGCTTATGGGCCCTCCGAGAACCCACACCTCTCCACAGCTGATTGCAATTGCCGGACGACGACAGCCGCCATGACATTGACATCTGCAAAGGAGCACGAGCAGGAAGAGGTCGACCAAGTCGAGCGTTGCTCGGCCATTGCCAAGGAGCACGATGGCATCGTCCCCGGTGCCAACGAGGCTCAGCGCCAATTCTTCCTCGAATTCGCTTCAAAGGACGAGGAATGGCGATTGATCCACGAGAAGAAGCTGCTTCGGCGCATCGACTTGCACCTGATGCCGTTCCTCGTCATCATGTATCTGCTCAACTTCCTCGACCGATCGAACCTGGCACAGGCACGACAGGGAACGCTGGAAAAGGACCTGGGCATGAAGGGCACAGACTTTAATCTGGCGACGAGCATCTTTTTCGTCGGCTATCTGCTCATGCAGCTGCCGTCAAACCTGCTCATCACAAGGGTGCGGCCGTCGCTGTACCTGGCGACGTCTGTGCTGCTCTGGGGCGTCGTGTCGACTTGTAATGCGGCGACACACAACTTTACGCAGCTGGTAGTGACGAGATTCTTCTTGGGTGAGCTCCTCTCCCAACCCTGAGGCCCCATGTACATCTGCGTGATTTAGCTCACCATGTTGCCCAGGCTTCGTCGAGGCGCCGTTCTTCCCGGGCGCCGTGTTCCTCATGTCCTCCTGGTATACCCGCGCCGAGCTCACGCGGCGCGTGGCGTGGTTCTACTGCGGCAACGCCCTCGCCAACATGTTTGGTGGCTTGATTGCGTATGGAGTCTTGAAGGACTTGTCAGGCAACGCCGGCATTGCCGGATGGGTAAGTGCCTCGAAGCGGGATGTGGGCGCGGTGGAACTGCAGGCGCTGACATGGATCCGATGACGTTTAGCGGTGGCTCTTTATCGTGGAAGGAGTCGTGACGATTGGCGTGTCGTTTGTAGCCGCGTTTGTGCTGCCCGACTATCCTGCGACGACGCGCTGGCTGAGCGACGAGGAGAAGGCGTTTGCGGCGTGGCGGCTCCTGGTCGACGTCAACGAGGCCGACGAGCTCAAGGCGACGACGATCTGGCAGGGGGTCAAGCTCGCGCTGCTGGACTACCGACTTTACATCTTCGTCTTGTTTACACATCTCAGCATCCTTTCCATGACGTTCCAGTACTTCTTCCCCAGCATCGTGCAGACTCTCGGCTACGATAAGCTCATAACGCTGCTCCTGACAGTGCCCGGTACGTCCCGGACCCATTGTTCATCGTTGACTGCGAAAAAAAGAGGATCGATAGTTACTGACGCGGTACTGCCAGCTTGGTTTGCGACATTCATCGTCGCCGTATTTGTCAACTGGACAGCGGCGCACTACAACGACCGCTCCATCCACATCTTCTGCCTCATGATCCTCGCCACGGCAGGCAACGTCATCGCCACAGCGTCAACCTCGACAGGCGCGCGCTTCTTCGCCATGTTCCTCATGCCGGTCGGGGCCGTGTCGACATACACATTGGTCGTCGGGTGGGTGGCCAACTCGTTCCCGCGGCCGCTCGTCAAGCGGTCCGCCGTCATCGCCATCGCCAACATGATTGGCAACACGGCGTCCATCTACGGCAGCTACATGTACGACGAGAAGACGGGCCCGCAGTACGTGCCGGGCGGGAGCGCAAACGCCGTCATCAGCTTCCTCGTCGCGGTGCTGGCGATTGTGCTGCGGTACATCCACAAGTGGGAGAACAAGAAGCTGGAGCGGGCGGACAGGGAGGCGATCGAGGAGGACGGCGAGGTGGCGCGGGACGGACCCGTCGGCTTCCGCTACATCTATTAATAAAGGGAAAGGGAGGAAGAGCACGCACGAAGCAGGGTTGAATAGAGTGATCACGGCATGGCCTTGCCGAAGCTCTTGGATAACAGTCTCCGCACAGGGTGCAACCGTGTTCAAATAAAGTGAATACAGGAATTAAAGATGGAGCGTCCTTATCATGATGGACCCAGCAACTGGTGATTTTGCGAAGGACGACCCTGTCGAGCACATAAAACAGCGACCAGAAACTTCCGCAGTGATTATCTGCCAGGCAGTCCGTCAGTCAGCCCTGTGATTGCTGCTGGTCTGGCCCCGTCTTGGTAAACTTTTGCTACAGTGGGGTCTCTTGCTCGCTAGCTGGCTAGCTCGTTGCCTCTTTTGCGGCGCCGCCCCCCCATGTCGCTGATGGTTTCGGGTTGTTGCGTCACATTCCATCCCTGGGGTACGAAAACTGCCGCCGGCTGGCCGGACGCAAATCTCACAGAGACCTTCCATTCACCTTCAAGATGTCGCGCTGAGACGTCGCCGGCGAGGAACATTCACTCTCAAGGACCGTCGTCTATACGGGTTGCAATCCGGCATCCGACAACCCCCTCATCAGCTCCTGCGTGAGCTCCCTCGTGGCAACCCCCTCACCCCTTCGGCGCTGCGGCAATGTCGAAGCGCGGACTGGACACGACCAGCTCCGCTGGGTTCGGGGACGAATTGCGCAACGGGGATCAATCGACTGCCGGCTCCGGATCTGAGGCACAGCCGCCGCGACACAAGATGCACAAATTAAATCCGCAGCTGGCGGCGCGCCGGCGGACGACGTCGTGCGCCGCGTGTCGCAAGCAAAAGGTGCGACGGCGTGCTCGTCGGGCTCGGGATTCGCGACATGTGAACGAGGCGCAGGTTACTGACGATGCTCGTCTTTTTACAGATCAAATGCGAGCTCCTCGCCGACGGGCCGCCGTGCGAGCGGTGCAAGCGCAAGAACATAGAGTGCATCATCAACACGGGGCTGCGCAACTCGATCCTCGATCAAAGGTATGAGCTGCCTCTCTCGTCCTCTCCCACCGTCATGTCTCCCTGCGAAGGTACCACGAGGCACCGGAGGGACCAAGGAAAGCAGCATGCCCGCTGACCAGACACTGGCCAGGCAAATCGCAGCCCTGAGGAGAGACCTCGGCAACATGCACGCCAACCTCGAGCGCGTCTGCCAGCATCTCCAGATCTCGGGCCCGCTGCCGCTCGAGACGCCCGCCGTGAGCGCCGACCTGGCTGCCTCGCACCGCGGGCCCGACGCCGACTTCGACCTGCTCGACGACGACGGCCTGGCCGAGCTCTCTCCGCCGGGGTCCCCCAGCGCGGTGCAGGCGCCCATGGACGCATACCTCGCGCCCAGCAAGGACGCCACGCCGGGCGGCGGACCGGGCGGCGGCGGACCGACGAGCGCCGGCGCGTCCGGACGCCCGCGGCCGCACAAGCGCCCGGACATCATCAGCAAGGGCCTCGTGTCGCCCGAGGACGCCGAGGCGCTGGTGCGCTTCTACATGACGGAGCTGGACTCGGTCATCTACGGCCTCGCGGGCCTGCACTCGACCGTCAATGCCGTGCGCGAGGCGTCCCCGACGCTGCTCGCCGTGATTTGTACCGTCGCCGCGCTGCATGACGTCGACCACGCCCATCTCTACGATGTCTGCTACCGCGAGTTCCGACACCTGGTGTCGACGGCGCTCTTCGAGAAGCGTGACATCGAACACGTGCGGGCGCTCGACGTCGCCGCCTTCTGGCTGCCCGATACGTCCCGCGTCGTCTTGTACGAAGCCGTCCGCCGGCTCGGTGACCTGAGGGTGCATCGACACATCAGCAAGGCGTGCACACCCCCCGACGATGCCTTTGCCGTGGCAACGCAGCACCCTACGCGCGACGGGGCGCGAGACCGAGTTCGCCTATGGTACACGCTGTACATGTGCGACCAGCACCTGTCGGTTCTCTACAACAGAGACAGCCTGATACGGCGCGACAGGGACATTCTCGACAAGCGCGCCCTGTTCCTCTCGGCCCCAGATGCGACAATGCATGATCTGCGCATCGTGGCGCAGGTGACGCTGCTGCTGTGCATGAGCCGCATGAAGGAGACGTTTGGGTCCGAGTATCCCACGCGCGTGCCAGAAGCCCTGGCGCCGCAGATTCCCGTGTTTGTGGACGAGCTGGAACAATGGCTTGCCCATTTCCCTCCTCAGTTCCGTGAGTGCTGCATCCATCCATCTCCTGCCCTGCAAGAGTGAGACGCTGACTGACCACCCGTTCAGGCCAAGAACCCGGCACGGGCGAGTTCCCCGTCTACGCCTTCAAGCTACATTACCTCTTCGCCAGGCTGTACCTCGGCCACCACGTCTTCCGCGGACTGCACTCGGGCCTCATCCCCGAAATCTTCCTCCCCGCGGCGGCCATGGCGCAGGAGGCCTCGCTCGCCATCTTCACCATGATCCTCACCGAGGACGTCCTGCGGCGCACCCTCGTCAAGGTGCCGAGCTACGTGCACATCATGATCTCCTTTGCGGGCCACTTCCTGCTGGAGCTGTGCCTCAAGCACCGCGAGCAGCTGGGCATCAACGTCGAGGAGTGCTACCGCTGCATCAGCCGCACCGTGTCGCTGCTGCGCGACACGCCCATGACGAGGCACCACCCGCTGTCGCGCGTCACTGACGGGCTGGCCAAGCGGCTCGTCGACTTTGCGGCCGCGTACGGCAAGGAGGTGCTCACCGAGTCGCCCGAGTCGCGGCTGGTTTCTAGGCAGAGCTCGAATGAGTTGCCGTTTAGCGCGCCGCCGTTTGTGGGCGCGCCGGGCCCGACGGGCCCCGTGTTTGACCTCGAGTCGGCCGTGATGCCGGACGAGTTTACGTATGCCGACTACGGCGATGTTGGGTTTCCGGGACCAATGCCGGATTTCACCATGAAGTATGACTAGTTGCTAATATAATACTCGGCATGGACTGTGCGTGACTTCGGTTGTTGCGGGCAGATCTGGAGCAGCAACTGCGGCGCTGACTCGACGTCGAGCAGCACAAGTCGGTCTTTCTCGGCGTGTTCAGCGTGACAAGAGAACGTGAAGTTGTACTAGCGCAGATACGTCTGCAGATCAATGAACAAGCGGCCCCCGTACGATGCCTGCAGATCCCAAAATTAATTGCGAACACACAGCCGGCCTGGCCCGGTTGTGATGAACCCGGAACCAGACCCCACTCTCGGCTCCTAAGTCGGAGCTGGCATTCGGAGGCGGCGCGCCTTTGCTGGGGAGGACGTTTCACTCAAGGGTACTGTTCCAGCTGCTGCTTAAAGTGCCAATTGACATTCACGGGAGGAGGTTGGCAACCCCTTCCTTCAACATCCTTGGTATACTTTCCTATACACATACGAGATGGCGGCGACGACGAGCATCCGCGCCGGGGCATCCTACCTCGAGTCCCTCTTCGGCCTCGCCGGCCGCGTCGCCGTCGTCACGGGCGGCAGCTCGGGCATCGGTCGCGAAATGGCCCACGCCCTGGGCATGGCCGGCGCGACCGTCGTCATCGTCGCCCGCCGCCCGGATCCCGTCCGCGAGACGGTCGCACACCTGCAGCTCGCCGGCGTGCGCGCTTTCGGCCTGCCCCTCGACGTGCGCGACGCCGACGCCATCACCACCGCCGTCCTGCGCGACCACGGCGTGCCCGACATCCTCGTCAACGCGGCGGGCATCAACCCGCGGCCGCACATGGACACCATCACTCTCAAGGACTGGGAGGAGACCATTGCCGTCAACCTCACGGCGCCCTTTGCGCTGGGACAAAAGTTCGGCCCCGCCATGGCGCAGCGCGGCAGCGGGCGCATCGTCAACGTCGTCAGCCAGCAGGCGTTCCGGGCCTTTGGCAACAGCGGCGCGTACGGCGCCTCCAAGGGCGGCCTGGTGTCCCTGACGCGCTCGCAGGCCGAGGCCTGGTCGCCGCGGGGGGTCCTGTGCAATGCCGTGGCGCCGGGTTTGGTCGACACGGCCATGACGACGGCCGTCATCGCGGATGAGGCCAAGGCGAAGGCTCACGCGTCGAGGACCATGATTGGAAGGAACGGCGTGCCGGAGGACTTTGCGGGCATCGCCGTGTATCTCGCGAGCGAGGCGAGCAGAGCCGTGACGGGGCAGGTGTTTTTTGTCGATGGAGGCTACTCGGCGACGTGATCTCGCCTGAAGGAGCGCCTACCTAGGTATGACCTCGCAATTGAGCTAGCATGCATTGCTGTACAAGATTCCCGCCGGAAGCGGTTTCCCCCCCTTCAGCTGTACCAGATCCTGAACCACGATGAGACGGAATGACCGGCCAACGTGGTGGTTCAGCAAGCGGTGAATCGCCATTTCAGCAGCAGCAAGCACACGCTTCGAGGAGCAGTCCCTCCTGCCGCGTACGGATGGTTGCGCCGAGCAGCCTGATAGAACCATCTTGCAGCACGCCTAGCCAGCAGCGGAGGAAGTTTCGACTGCCGACGCAAGTCCCAGGACAATTGAAGCTCCAGCCGCGCGGAGCTTGTGGCAGAACGGTTTGGTCCCCCGAGCAGCGATGAATTGGTGGCCCAGGAATCATCACCGTCATCACACTTTATTAGGCTCCTTGCGAGGCTGGACTGATCCAGGCGACAGTGTAGCTCGCTGGCTCTACCTCGAACGTGTCTCCTGCACATTTCACGAGCACGAGGTCTCAACTCGGACTCGGTACAGCGCCAAGTGACATGTCGGCAACGGGCGGTGCCTACCGTGGCTCGCTTGGGCAGGCGGGTGGTTGGCTGCTGCCCGGCTGCCGTCGACTGGGTTTTCTACGAGAGGAGGATGCCCGCACCAGGGAGTTCCCCAGAAGCATCCACAGACACTCGCCCCCACGGCCTCGAAGAAGCATTCTTCGACGCAGCATTACACCCGAGGCCGTGCAACTGACAGGCACTTCTGCATCGTAACACCTACAATCCTACAATGTCGACTGCATCACCAGAGAGCGAGCCCGCCCCCAACCACACAACACCTCAATCAGCGCCGGTGCAGCGCCAGATTGGCATCTTCGACCAGTTCGTCTCCCAAAACATGGAGACAGTGCTCCTCAAGGAACAGGTGGCCAGTCCTCGCTTCAACATCACCTTGGCCAACGGCCAGCCGATCCTCAAGCTGGAAAACTGGAACAAGAAGTGCTGCACCTGGCGCAGAGCGATGACGGACATGCAGAACAACCATCTCTTGGACATTGTCCGCGAAGGGAGCTTCGACATTACATACGTGTTCTATGATCCGCAGGGGAGAAAGATTGGACAGGTCCGGGACAAGTCCGGGTGTATGCCCGCCCATCCCCTGTGCTCCAAACTGTTCAATGCCGCGCCTACTGACACAACGGTGGAACAGTGTGTCGCTCGCATGCCGAAGCTAAGTTACAATCGCGAAACGGGCACGAGGATACCTTTGCAATAACCGGCCAAAGATGGGGTGCCGAGATTATTTGCCACAGGACGGGCGCCGTGGTTGCCCACAGAATCGACGGGCCAGGAGGCCCGTGCGGTCGAATGAGGTTCAAGATCATAATCCCGCCCGGGTTCGACATGGCGCTGATGGTTGCCCTGGGTATCGCCACGACTCTGCTCGGCACTGGCTAATGTAACGATCTCGTGTTGACGACCCAGCACACGGATGGCGCTGCTACGAGACCCCTCCGCGTGACACCTAGTCAAATCCGACCCCGACTTTCCAGCCATCAGCAATCTCCTCCACGGCGAAACCCTCCTTGCCTATACAGTCGCCAAACTCAAAGGGTTCGGCAATAAAGCCATCGGTGGCCCCCTTGGTTTTCGAAGACGGACTGAAGAAGCTTACCTCCGTCCTGGGCAGCACGTCGCACGAGGGCGAAGGACGGTCGTGCCATGGACAATACTCGATAAAGCCGTAGTTTTCCAAATTGGTTATGTGTCCAGTCCCAGGTGGCAAAGTCCATTCCCCAATAACAACGTTCAATCCAGTGACGGGCTCCTGGATTGACCTTTTCCACGTTTCGGAGCCAGGTTGAGAGTTCTCCACGACCAAGTAGTACGTGCGTCCATAGTCGTGGTCGACATCAACAGCGCACCAGACACCGGTATCGCCATCCGCGGCATAGTGGCAGTTGGAATGTTCCGTAGTCGTTTGGTCTTGGAACGAGGCAAAAACCGCGTGGATGGTGGACTCGCCATCGTCGTTGTCGGGACGGGGCTGCAGGCCTACGATGCTGCGATTCTCGCTGTTGGAGAACTCGATTTGCTGGGCAAAGAAATACCCTTCCTCATGAGGAGCATGATCCAAGCGGATGGGGAAGTTAATGTCGGTAAGCCCATCGTCGGGAAATTCGTCGAAGCTCCAAAAGACGTGGCTAACCAGCCCGCTCGCTAATGCGATTGATGGGGCTGAAGCGCACAAAGCAGCGACGGTGGCAATGAGCTTCATCGCGATGTCTTTAGGCCCATACGAGGCTGTGAGTTAAGAGGATGAAGAAGAGCTGCTGGCAGGCTGTGCTTCCACTTACTCGCTTCCAAAGGGATGTAGAGGCGGTATTTATTGTTATGGCATCGTGAACTTGAGGTTGCGGACGAGCGGTAGAATCAACAAGAAGTGGCTTCATCACTGAGCAGCCGACCTATAGCACGACTGACTTCAAGCAGTACAGCGAGCCAATTGGTGTTCCCCCCGGCCTGCAAGGAGGGCGGTGACCCTTGCATCGAACACGATACCTCGTACTGAGTGGTCACGGTGTTGTACAGCGTCTGTCCCCGAGAATTCCGAAACTGTGACCAAGAGTAGCTCGAGGTCATCTGCTGTGATCGTCGTCAACGAGACTTGTGCCATGCGCATGGAAGTCGGGGAAGCATCCGTCATGGCCGGGTGCCTCGGTCCACCGTGGATCCGGGTCGCGTCCTCCGTCGTATTCAGAGGAAATAAGTTTTGTTCTTGCAGAATGACACGGAGGAAGAGCAGAGACACAGGGACGATTGCCCTTGCGTGAGCACTACCCTGCAATCAGGTCATCACGATCATAGACCGAGCAGGGAGCAGCGGTAATTGGAATGTCAGGTTTGCTACATTGTTTCTTTACTACACATTCTGCTCTGTGCATGATGGGAGATAAAACAGTTGTCAACGATGGCTTGGGGCGGCATGGCACATCATATGATGAAGGTTGGCTTTAGCTCCCGTTAAAGAATCCTGACGGCTCAGCACACGGATGGCGTCACTGGTGAAAAGAGCCTCCAGCGTAGCACCTAAGCATTTCCCACGGTTACTTTCCATCCCTCATCGACCTGCTCTGCAGTAAAGTTGACCTTGCTCACACAATCCCCGAATTCCTGGGGCTGGGACATGTATCCACCACTGGCGTCACTCGTGTTAGACGAGGGGTTGAAGAGCGTGACCTCCGTCCTCGGCAGAGCCTCGCACGACTGAGGATGGACGGGCCAGAGATAGTACTCGATATCGCCAAGTCCCCCGTTCTTGATGTTTCCGGATCCAGGGGGCAACTTCCATTGCCCAATATGGGCCGACGCTCCAGTAGTCAGGTCCACCATCGATCCTCTCCATATATCGTCCCCCAAGTTGACAACATCGATGGAATACCTATCACCGTAGTCGTGCTGCCACTCAATAGAGCAGCTGACGCCGGGGCCAACCTTTGCGCCCTCACGACAGTTGCCAGACTGTGGGATCGCGCCCTCCACGAACGTGGAGAAGATGGCCCTAATGAAGGGCTTCTTGTCAAAGTCTTCACCGGGCTGCAGCCCTAGGAAACCGCCTCGTTTGTCCACATTGGTGAAGTGGAAGTCCTGAGCAAAGAAGAACCCTGGCTCGTGGGGGGAATTGGCCACACTGAATGGGAAGCGGACAGAATCGAGTCCGTCAGAAGGGGCGTTGGCAAAACCCCATGTGTGGTCGCCAAGAAATGCTGCCAGCGCAACGGAAGGAGCTGAGATGCATACAGCTGCAATGGCAGTGACGGACTTCATTGTGACCTTTGGTGCAGTCACAAAGGACTTTAATGATGGCAAAAGATCAAGGACTGGAGTAGGGAAGTCTGCGTCTAAGTTGACTGCGCTGCGGGAGAATCCAGCCCATTCTTATACATCTGGCCATGATGCAGGCGCGAGATACATGTAGACTCAACAACGGCGGCGTCGTTGTGAGCATACAAGCTAGTTCGAGCGCTTTCCACTTGAATGGTTTCGGCCTGCAAGGGATGGTCAAGCTGGCAACTTAGCAAGAAGTATTAGACCTGACCCCGCGTTGATGGGGCTACAGGTAAATGATGATTGAGTAATACTATATTTACTCACGGCAAGCCGAAGGTGAGCAAGCAGGCCGAGTTCAAGAGCCATATGATCTCGTCTAACGACAGGGAATCGGGACACAGCACAGCCGTCGCGCTCCAATCTACGACTGTAGGCCGGGGCTTGTTCGGCTTCGTAATTGATGAAGGCCCCGTACAGGCGGCGGGCGGGAGCTAAATCTTCTAATCGGGAGGCGGGGCCGCGTGAGGTTCGTCTCGGAAGCTACGGCCACGGTGGGCGGCCCGTGGTAGACCCGGATCCTTTGGTACGTTTAGAGGCAAGGAGCCGACAAACTTCAGCATCGCATCGTGTCAACGAGCCAAACTAGGGAGAGGGAACATCGTCCCTCGCGTAAATACTACCCCGAGGTCAGACCACTGTATCACCGGCCAAGCCAGGCGTGATAGTCGGGGGCGATCTTGAAATACTTCTCGCTGCCTGGCATACCGAGCTCATGCCGTGACTTGGACAAGTGAGAATTCATCAGAATTGGAAGAACTATATTTGTACATATAAATAAATCCCATGGCCCGATGTCGTGTGCTGTCGGCTCATGTTGTCTTCAGCTCATGGCGCTACTCCTGTCCGACAAGGTACCTATCATGTCCTCGACAGAAGGAAGTTATCGCCGGGTAGCAGGGACCTTCTGCAACATGGCGTCCACTTCGTCGGTGATGTCTCGAAGCGGGAACTCGGTCCTGTTACCGGCATTGGTCCCAGGGACCTTGTTGCTCGCGTCCAAGAAGTATTCGGTGACGACATAGATGCGCTCAGCGATTTGGACGGTGGCGACCGAGAATCCATCTTGGGACTGGAGCGCGTTCGCGACGGTGCCGACTATCTTAGCGGACTTCCAGTCATCATCCGACCGAACGACGACAGTGCCGTCGCTAGTGTCCGAGACCAGGATGGTGTTGCCTCCGTACTTGGCGGGCATGTAGACCTGGTCCAGGTCCTTGCCGAGGGTCCTGTTTCCAGCCAGTGGGATGGCGATCGGCTCGCCCTGGGCCTTGGTCGCGTCGAACCGGTAAAGACCACCGTCCTTGCCGTTGCTGGCGATGAGAGTGTTGCCTCGTGAAACGATGCCAGTGTAGCCCGCAGTGGTACGGTTCGAGATACGATCGACGATCCAGGGAACGGCCTTGGAGCCATCCGCGCTGACCTTGATGATGCTCCCCGGGTAGGTACCCACGACGAAGGTGTTGCCGCAGGTGTCGAAAGTAAGGTCTTGGAAGCCGCCGTACACGCCGTTGGATACAGCGGTGAGGTTGACCTGAGAGGTGACTTTCTTGCTGTCGTGGTCGTAAGTTACGAGGAAGTTGTCGCCCGAGATATCCTGTCCAGACGTGTCGAAGGCGGCGCCCGCGTTGACTACGGTAGCCAATTGCCCGTCAGGGCGTACACGCATTCCGCTGGAGTGAAACTCTGGCTTTCCACTGAGACCGGGAAATTCGATGATTTCCGATACCTCATTCTTTGTCGCATCGTAGACCGCAACGGAGGCATTGTAGAGAACACTGCAAGCCGTTTGTTAGCGAGTCGTCGCGATTCGTTCATTGCTACGGGCTTATCTATACCTAAAGTATGTAACGCATCGTTTCGCGTCGAACTCGGCATTTTCGGGGTACAGCTGGAATGCAGACACGGTCAGGTTCCCCGAAGGCGAGGCGCACGTTGACGTCTCTTTGGGGCAGGCGACCGGGCTGGCCAGGCTGCCAGCTGCCGACAGCAGCGCGACTGTAATAGCGGCGGAGAACATTGTGATAAGAATGAGCGACTCTTAGTTTGACTGCTGAGCTTACCATCTAAGAAAAGTCGTAGAGATAAGGCTGGGCTGCAGGCCTTTATACCAGACGACGACGGCCTGCAATCGCATCTAGCGTCCGACGAGAGTCATTGCCGACCCAGGATGCAAGCTCATCGCTGTCTGTCCGTGTCGCCATGCAATCGTTGCGCCTTGCCATGTCGTCAAACTAAGGATCAATTATCCACCTGCATAAACCATCATGGCGTGTTCTTGGGGCTGAGCTTGAACGACAGCCGTGAAGGTGCGGGTGTGGGATCGCCGACCCCGATGCCCGAGTCATGGCTTTTCACCACCCACACGTAGGGCTTGAGCTGTGCAGTCGCCGTGCGCTCTGGGGAGCTGAGTAATAATGAGACGAACCGTTCCAATGGAGCACGCGTTCTTCCTCATCCATACGCCCCGTATCGCATCCCGCAGCGCTGCGACGATTGAGCTCAGCGGTGCGCACCGCCGCGCAATACCGCCGAGCGATCCACTGCACGTCGGAACTCAGAAGCACGCTAATGTTGCGAGATCTCGGCATTCGTTGGGGTGTCCCCGGCAGTGAGCCGTGAGCTACTGAAGCAGCGCGAGTTTGATGACAATTAATCCGAGCAGAGCCCCAACACGTAATTAATTGGCCTCTTGGCATGCGTTACGTAGTCGTAAATAGATTGCTCGATCTTTTGGGATGCCCTCCACACGTCAATCCGGCTGCCCACACCGCCCTGTCGGTCTCAGCGGGACAGGCCGGTAAGTTATGAGCCCCATCCAGGTTCTCCGTGTGGGATTGAGATCGCAAGGCGGACGACCCCTTTGCTGCTGTCGCATCTCCGGGCCGGAACTCGGGTGGACGATAGGTTCTACGAGAAGGAGGATCTATTCGGCCCCTGGATCTGTTCTCTTTGGCCACTGCTGCCTGGAAGTAGGCGTGTGAGGTAATGGCTATACCGCCGCAGTACGCCGGCGGCACGTGCGAATGAACTGTCCCCTGTGCCCGGGCCAGATGTACCACCTTCATGTGGCACCTTGGCCCCGACACCGTTCCTTCTCAGTAAGTATGCTCCATCGCTGCGACTCACCAGTTGTCATCGTCGCCCGCCGTTCCTCTGCATCGACCAGCTCTTTGGAGCACCCTTTGTTGGCAGGACGTCGGGCAAGCTGATCCGAGAAACCCAATACTTCCATGAAATTAGGAACGAAGAATCAAGAAGTCACTGTGACAAACGCGGCGGGCGTACTTGTCCACTTGCGCCGGCCGTGCATTCGCTCACGCGTGTGTTACTCAACACAATGTCAACCCATTCTCCCAGTTTTACGTTCGCGAAACCTGCGCCGGGACACAATTTTGCGATAGGAACGCGGTCTCAATTGCCTCGTACTATTCATTTTAAAGCGCTCGCTCGAGGATGACGGCTTTAGCACAGCTTGTTGCGGCGCTGCTCGTTTGCTGTCCGAGGGTGCCGTACATAAAAGGGCTGGCTTCGTCCCTGTCTTGTCCCCTCTCGCCGCTCCCTTGTCTTTGTTGGCTCTCTCTTGCGCTTCGTCAGGCGTCCGAAAAGCGTCCTCTTCTCCGATCCGCTCTTTCGCCGTCTCGCCGTGTGCCCGCTTAGAGACGAGCCTCGGAGGTCATGAGACGATCGCTCAACACTTATTTATGCCTCCTCTCGACTACCGCTTCTGCCACCTGGCCACCCGCGATGGACCCGACGGATTTGAGGTTCAATGGCTTGCTCGAGGCGCAGTATAAAGCTATGGAGCTGAACGAAGCAGGGCCGCAACAAGGCGTACGTTAAACGTCACCCGCCGTCGAATTTTGCCAAAGAGGTCGCTGACGACAGAGGGCAGTGGTGTTCCGTGAAATCCCAGAAATGCAACGTCATCTTATACTCCCCAGCGCGCGTCCCCGGTCCCAATGTCGTGTATAAATTGATGCAACAAACTCAAGGCTACAGTTGTTCGCCTGGTTCCCTGGTGAGTGGTCTCAGGCAACACTCAATGCCACGATCCGTCGCCCCTCTGTGTGTTGACAAAAACGCGGCTCGGCTGTCCAGTGTAACGAGCTCGGTACAGCGTGCGTCAAAAGGTGGAAGCCGGCAAAGACGCTTTGCGATTATGTCGATGTCATCGCTGAGATGGACACTCCTGGGTGCATTCCGTGAGACGCGCTATCAAGGCATTACCGCCGCAGCCCGCCGACTTTGATGGCTTCCACTGATGCTGTCGCTATGGCTACTGCTGCTGTCGACTGCAATGGCAATAACTGTTGCTGTAAGGCAACCTTGTTCGCGGTGGCCAGGTAGAACAGGGTTAGTGTCTATTGTATAGCAATGTTGCCGACAGAGCGATCTACCTGATTTCTAGTTGAGTACCCGTCCCGAATCCGGAACATCAACGCTCCAAACATGAGGCGCAATGTGCGACTGGCCGGATGCCCATCATCTTACAGCGTTCCTTTCTGTCGCCTCGGAGAACATTCCTGCTTTCTTGCCACCTGTCTCTGCTATGTTGGTCTCCACGCTGGAGAGCTCGATCTGATTGTGACCAAACACTTTGCTGTTTCGCCCATATCTCTCTGCAAAACCCGCGATGGACTTGTTGCGTGAGGCGTTGGTGCTAAACACACGAGGATACACCCGCACCAGTATCAAGCGCACGGTCGGCAAACATGTGCAAATCATCCCCACGTTGACTTCGATCGTCGACCACCAACCAACGATCCATTGGTCCCACGTGGGGTTTTTCGAGTTTGCAAAGTAAATGAGCGACTGGAGACGTAGTACCGAGACAATGGTTACGCTGCGGCAAAGCGCTTGTCAGTCACTGAACTACATGTAGCAGCGGCTGGACATTTGACTTACAAAGTCCCGATCAAGAACATTATGGCAACCCCAATCTTCTTCTTCCAGTGGAGCTCCAGCTTCTTGATCTGACTGAGCGGTATCGCAATCATCCACACGTCGACCGCAATAGCGAGGGCCGCGTTAATCCAGGCGAAGAGGTTGATGTTTATGCACCGGCCGCGGGACGTGGCATCCACGTATTGGGTCCAATAGTGATGAACGGGGCTGCATTGGAAGATGGCCGTCGTGACAAAGGTGAACCCGAAGATGACGTTGAAGATTGACGTCCCGATGAGGAGGCGGCGAGTCCGGGTGCCGGGGAAGATGTAGAGGTAGAAGAGGGAAAGGCTCAATTTAATGAGCGACATCTCTGCCAAATAGAGGATTTCCATGACGTAGAAGTATAGAACGAAGTCCGTAAGCGTATCAGGCGATAATGTCCAGACATCTTTGCCCATGCCATGTGCCGTTAGGCCGACCTTGTTGATGATTGTGCAAGGGATGCCAATCACCAGCGTCGCCAGTATTGCCCAGTCGTCGGCGCCAAGTGTATTTCGCTGGCTAAAGAAACGCTTGAAGATGAGGCGAATAACGACTAGCAGCGCGGTGATGACACCCATCGAAATGTTCATGGCATCGTATCTGGGGGCCTTGTCGCGCCTCGGTCGGTTACACGTCGTCTCGGTCAGATTCTTTGTGACTGGGGGGCCAACATGTAAGTCGCCGTCTTGGCTTGGTCAAGTCCAGGTGGTCTGTACTTACACAATGCTTCCACCAGGGAGCATGACTCGAGGATGCATGGTGACCCAGCCTCTTCGATGGCTGCGTATTTGTCTACGCAGATGCATGTGGGATCATCGAGTGAGCAATTCGATTGAACGGTCGCATTGGCAAGGCACTCTTGCTGCGGACAGTAGATTCGTGTCAGCGGGAATGTTTTGCATCGCAAGTGCTCATTGTAATAAATGGCGAGAGCGTACCGCGCAATGTGGTGCCTTTTGCAGAGACTGTATCAAGTCGCTGGCCGAAGGCAGGGACCCTGCCCGTGTGAAAGGCAATGTCGCCGCGACCACGGCCGCAGCCAGGCGCATGCTGGGCACAGAGCACCCTTCCGGGGTGTTCGCTCTCGGGTTTGTCGCTGATGATCGGGAGCGCGATGTCGAAATCTGCGGCAGCCGATGCTGAAGTCAGGTATCTCGGTCCCGCCTCGTCAGTCGGGTCGCATGTGCTCGGAGGTTTGAGCCAACGAGGTTTCAGTGGCCGAGCATGGCAGATCGCCGCAGGAACCAGTCCCTGGTGTTGCCTCTTGGACACCCGGTCAAATATTTACCGGCATCAGGACCCAGCCCATAAGAGCCTGTCAAAATCGACATCCCGAGTCCCTAAATACCACAGGAGGGCGGCGTGTCAAGCCGGCACGCAAGCGCGGGCCAAAGATCATTCCGAGTCATGCGGGTGCTGATGATCGGCAAACCCCTTGAACTTGGGGCTTGGTGTCAGAGCGCCACTACAGATTTGGCTACCCCAACGGCTCTCGAAGCAGCGAACCCCGGACCCACGACTCCGGTTCGACAGAGCGATGGGCGCTGTGGCGTTGGCATCTTTCCGTGAGTGGCTGTCCATCGTGTTCCAGTTACGTTGTCGACACAAGGATGGTAGCAGCGGACTGGCGGCTGTCGCAAGTTCGCAACGTGAAAGGCGTACTAAATTGGTGTTTGGTGGAGCGGGCTTCGCTTCTGTTCGAGAGCGCGACAGCAGTGCCACTGCCCAGATCCCCAAGCGCAAGAACGAGTGCTGGTTTGGCGTTAGCGGCAGAAGTCAAAGCACCCGCTGGTCCGCACGGGCAAGATACTGACCATTCGCATCCTCCGTTCCAGTGCGTCCAGTAACCTCGCTCGCCGCCGATGGTGAACTCTTTGGCCGCTGGACCCGGCAATTGGCACGGAATGGACCGCCAAGCACGGAGAAGAGGCCCATGGCCTCAGCTGGTGCTTGCGCCATGGCATCTAGAAGCCCCCTTTGACACTTCTGACATGCGCTTATTGCCACCAGAAGGGGGGGCATCGATCGGCCGCCTCCGTTGCCCAGCGCTGAGTGAGCAGCGTACATTAGGCATTTCGATACGCGGTCGGCCAGCTTGCAAACCTCACTTGCTCAGGTCCACGTCCACCAGGAGGCACTTGTCCTGCGCCGAGCCGGTGGACTCAGGTGGCCTCCAACCATTGCGGCGGCTGTCTCCGTGTGGGTTCTTGATCCTCCCGAAAAGTGGGTTGGAGGTCTCATGCTGGGGAGAAAGCCAGCAAGGAAGGCAAGGATGAAATCTCTTGCAGTCTGCACGCACTTAGCCACTGAACCAGGGCAGCGCGAGCCCGAGGCGCCTCATAGACGTTCGTACTTCTATCGATCTCAAGTATGGTTTCATCAACTCAGTCTACACTCAATATGGCTGCAGGGATTTCGGTGCCAATGTCGTGGAGTCACGGGCCTGCTCTGGATCGCAACGACGTGCCGGATGATGGGCACGGGCACTGGGCGTGTGGGGAGCCGCGGGGCGCTCCGGTGAACGCGCTTTCAGTTACAACACAGACATGGCCCCGTCTGAACCAGACATCGGCATCGTCATGGTAGTACATAATAACAGTAGCAACACGCTTAGGCGAGGATCCGCATCGTTCGGTTATAAGCTGGACACGTTAATGGCCTGGAGATTGACCCACGAATGCCGAGGAGCCCGGGTAATGGAATCTGGTTCCCCCGCAAACAAAGTGCGGGGATGTCGCGGTAGTCAAGTCCAAATGACTGCGAGTGCAATTAAAATGGTCTCTCTATTCTCCTGTGCCGCGTTCTTGAAGGATATTTTGTACTTGAGGGAGGGCTGATCGTCACTCGTGAGGTTCATATCACAATGAGGTTCAAAGAAATCCATTGTTCCGGCACGCCCTACGAGGCAAGTCGCCACGTCGACTCAGAGCTCCCGAGTCCATCATAGCTAATCGCGAGTAGATTGGGTTCGCGCACGGCAAAGGGGCCAAGGTGGAGATTGGTCGCGGGCTCATATTCTACGCCGGGCTCTTCTGGCAGGCAAGCAAGCTTCCATGGCCCGAAGTCCAAGAGCTGGCGCGGGACTTCGACGGCATCATAGCGACCCGCTGGCCACGGTACTACGAAGAGATCCGAGGTTAGCAAACCGTATTGCGAAACAGCACGCGCTCAGCGTTGACCAGATCGCTCGCAGGCATAGCGGATGGAGCAGGTCGCGACATTCTCGATATTCTTGCGCTGAATGTGCGATCCGAAATAGTGTTTGGGCAGTTCAGCGACGGCTGTACCAGCGCGTACTGCCGGAGCGACGCCTACTCGTACCTGGGGCAGAACTGGGATGTATGCCATGAGTACTTGTCTGCACGCGTCAGTGGGAAGAACAACAAAACTGACAAGTCCGCAGTGGAAGGAGGAACAAGGGGAGAATCTGATTCAGTTGACCATCACCCAACCTGATCTTCCCGCGATCAAGATGATCACAGAGGCGGGAATAATTGGCAAGATTGGACTCAACTCTGCAGGTGTTGGTGTCTGCTTCAACGCCATTCGCGCCAGAGGACTCGACAAGACGCGACTCCCTGTCCACCTCGGCCTGCGACTAGCGCTGGAAAGCACCTCGGTCGAGCAGGCGTTGCGGCAGCTCCAGGATATCGGCATGGCAAGCTCGGCACACTTTCTGATCGGGGACGCAACCACGGCGGTCGGCCTCGAGTTCACGTCCAGCACATTCGCCCAGGTCCCCGTCAACAACGCTGGCTTCGTTGTGCACGCAAATCACATGCTGCTCACTCACCCGGGGATCTACGAGCCACATTGGCTGGACGACTCGGCGCCGCGCGTCGAGACAATGGAAAGGAACATCATCGCGGCGGGTGAGGTATCTTGGGACCGCTTTCGCACTCTGTTCGAGGACGAGACTGGATATCCTTGTGCGATTAATAGGGCGGCAGAAGGAAAGGGCGAGTTTCCGACGCTTTTCAACATCTGCATCGACCTGAGGAGGCGGGCGGCAGTGGTGAGAGTTGGCCGACCGACTGCAGGCGACAGCGGCCAAGTGCTGTCCTTCGAAGAGTAGCACCCTGGCCTGGGTCACTGGGGCGTCTGACTTCAGTTTGTCTTACTGTTCTGTCAGCCCTGGGCAGCCATGGAACGAACCTGACACTCTTCATTGTCGGACTTAGTCAATGCCATCGGCAGTGCCCGAGAAGAACTACCGGGACGGCCAGTGGATTCGTCCCTTTACCAGATGGATAAACTGTTCATCCTAAATGGAAGTTCATCTCAAGTCCTCTGTTTCCCCGCCGATTGGCATGCATTTGCATCTTCAGCGTCCGAGCGCTCACCAAGCGAAACACATGGCAATGCAAGCAATCACATGCCATTGGCTCTCAAAGCCAGCCACCGTCTTTCAGCCTGTCGACACGGGCTGTCCAAGACTCCTGAAACATTCGGTGCATTCGTCGGGCAGCTCGTAGCCGGCGCTGTTTTCCCATTTAGGGACCTGGCTAGCACCATCCAATCCCGCTAATGCACACGCAGGGACATCGACGGGGGGACCCCGCCGCGGCTTTGTCTTGCGCTTAAGCTCTCGAGGAAGTCGAAGGCCGCCGCCGCAAGCCACATTATAAGAGCTGCAAACTTAGCACGCGCTCATCGCGGGTGGTGCCTTGAATTTAGCCATTCTCGGGCTTCTACCCCGAGTAGCGCAGCTCATCCCACGTGGAGACGCAGCGATGCCCCTGGCAGGGCCCCAGGCCGATCCGTTTCCCTTGCTCCTTTCCTCCTGGAACACATTTGATCAAAAGCCATGTATTTCTGCTCTGCCGCGTCGACCATCTCGGGACACGATTTGCCTCCCGACACAATCTGGGGCTAGGTGATCCTTCGATCGCGGACCCTCGCCAAGTCGCCGCCATGGCCGTGGAAGATGCACCAAACCGCGGCCCGGAGCTTCTCGCGGTCAACATCTTCTTCTGCGTGCTTGCGGGCGTCATCGTCTTGTTGCGATGCTACTCTCGAGCGGCCCTTGTCAAGGCTTTTGGCCTTGATGACTGGCTCATGATTCTGGCTACCGTGCGCCGACCCGATGTCCTTGTGTCGGTTGGAAGGCAATCGCTAACTGCGAGACAGGTCTTCTTTATTATTTACTGCGTCATGTCTAATCTAGGCGTGAAGCATGGCACCGGCCAGCACCAGGACAGCCTCGACAAGGAGGATATCAAGCTTGCGACGATGGTAAGGAAGCCGGCAACACGTCATGATCCCGTTGATATCGCTAATACCCCTCAAGTACTGGTGGTTCTGCTACATCTTCTTCAGCTTGACAATGATCACCTCGAAGGTGTCTTTCGCCTGGTTCCTTCTCCGCATCACGACAACCAGAGCACACTCGTGGATCATCTACGGCGCGTCGCTCTGCACCATCGTCGCAGGAGGAGTGTTCTTCTTTGTGACGCTGTTTCAGTGCAATCCCGTATCTTCGTACTGGGATAAGGACCAAGGCGGGCACTGCCTTAGCATGGACATCATCATGGCCCTCGCATATCTCTACAGCGTCTTCAGCGTCATCACGGACTTTACCTTTGCAATACTGCCGGGCTTCATCATTTGGCACCTGAAGCTGAAGACCAGAGCCCGAGTCGCCCTCATAGGACTGGTAGTAATGGGCTGCGCGTATGTATCCCTCCCGTTCCTGGTTCTGAAACACCGGGCTGACCTCTTCTAAGCGCAAGCTCAGCTGTCGTGGTGCGCTGCGGGTATCTCATCAGGTTCAAAGACCCGGACTTCTTATGTGAGAACCTCCTTCAATTTCGCGCTACTGGCATGTGTTAGTGCTGACAACTGGAAAGGGGCAACGACTGATATCGCGATTTGGTCAACCGTCGAAATGGGCCTGGCCATCAGCGCCGCGAGCCTGGCGACCCTACGGCCCCTCTTCAAAATGGCCGCGTGGAAGCTGGGCTTCTCCTCCCGGCAGACAACTTCCGCCCGCACGCCTTACGGCGCGAGCGTTCCTCACGGCCTGGGTCCGAACAGCACACACGGTGTCGGCACATTCGACAACCATGTCTACGTCCTCTCCGAGTTTACACAAGGCACAACCAAGGTGGAGAAGTACGGGGACTGGAAAGTTGGGACACATACCACGGCGTACGCCGATCATCAGAAGGAGAACATGTCGGAGCATGATGTCCACATGACCACTGGCAGCATTGATAGCCAGGAGAACTTGAACAAGCAGCAGTCTAGGGGCATGGAGGAGACCAGAGGGGGCCAGCGAGACTTTAGCGGTAGGATGAACCGCTACTAATATTAACGTAATGAAACTCGTTCCGCTAGGCTTCCAATACCATTCAATTGATCTGCTCCATCCGTAACTCCAAGCTACCCGCATTTAATGGCAATTGTGGTATTTTCCCAGCCGTCTCGTTTCTTCAGTCGAGCGCCGAGACCCGCGCCATTGTTGATCGGCTTGCACGATGGTGCTGTAAGCCGTGCCCCCTCCATCTTTATGTCCTCGAACCTCATCCCCATCGGCTCCAAGTCCATGCGCAATAAAATCAGCGCCATGAATCCCATAATCTCCTCAAAAGCCAGGTTTCTGCCCGGGCAGAGGTGTTTACCACCGCCAAAGGGGAAGAAAGCAGCTTTGCGACTGCGCTCCGCTCGCGATGCCCTTGGTGGAGTCTGTGCCCCAGAGACGCGTGCTTCGGGGAGGAATCGCTCTGCCCTGAACTCCCCAGCGTCCGGCCCCCATATGGTCGTGTCTCCGTGAGTGACACCTGCCGGCATTTGGACATCAACGCCCTCCTTTAGCACGTACGTCTTCCCGTCCGCTGCTGTGAGGGAGATGTCAGACGTGACACGGCGCATGCTGACAGAGTGATTGATCAACCGTAGTGTCTCCCGATAGCAGCTAGTCATCAGGGGTAGTTGATGTTCGAATCGAGAAACATCGAGTGTCGCGACCTTGTGGTTGTCTGGTGAATCACCCTGCGCAGCTACTGGCTCGAAGATGAGCGCGCCTTCAATTTCGGTGCGCATTTGTGTTAACAGTTCGGGCCGACTCAGCACGAAAATGAGCAGCCAGAAAAACGTCGGTATGGCATTGGTCGTCGCAATGACCGCCTGTATGGTCTCCATCTTGGCGATCTCTTCTCCGTTGAAGCCGTGTCGACGAAGCGTGTCTGCCCTTTGTGCTATGAGCAGGGAAGTTGTGGGATCAACAACATCTCGTTTCTCGCTGTAATACTTGGTCATGACTTGATGCAACAGCCGCCTCGCACGAAAACCCCTTGGCATAGTAATTGACGGATAGGACGATACGAGAAACGACGGGATTGCATTCTCGAATTCCCTGTCCAGGTTTCCGGTGTCAGTGACGTTTCAGTGATGGAAATACCTTGTCTGGCACCGCCGAGACTCACCAGAGGGCAGAAATTAGTCTCAAATCTTTTGAGAAGGGATCGCTGTTTCCATAGAGGGCTTTCGTGGTCGAAACCGTCATCAAATCTCTGCACCACAAGTACAGGTTCTCCACCTCAAGTCCGCCTTGAAGTGCTCTTTCTCGTCCCGCATTGAAGACATGCGTTGTTTGCGAATCGCTGCCAATCGTGTTCAACTTGCTGGATATGGTGGCCAAGAAGCGCCGCGTCATCTTGCGTAGAGGCTTGACCTGAAATCCCAAGTGAAAGGCGTCTGTCAAGTCCGGCAGAAGCTTCTCGTCCTCGATGACTTTCGTGAAGGCCTCGTCCGAAAGGTCAAATGTCGTCTGAACAAGGCTGAAGATATAGGGCTCGAAGGTCGCTGACTTGGACCGTAGCACGACGTGGATCAGATTTGGATCGAAGATGGCATACGCTTTGCCGCTTAGCATCGGTAACGTCGCCAGCGACATCGATGGGTTGGCCTTGCTGCAAGATCGGTCTGTCTTAGCACTCAGGGACGACTGTATGTAGACTCCGGGCAATCAGAGAAACAGCTGATATGAGAACACATACCGAAGGATAGAGTGAAATTCGCCCTGGAACCTGACAATGTTGATGATATGCCCCAGGAAAGGGAGTTTCGGTCGCAGGAGTGGAGGCTCTCGCGGGTCGTATGAACCCGGGGACGGAAGGGCGTGAAGCCATGCAGCGACACTCAAAATGAATAATACAGACACGACGAATATGTAGAAAGGAGTTTTGCATATTGGCAAGTGCCAGGCAGTTCCATCGAGGCGCCTGGTCGGCGAGCCTGCAACCAGTGTCACGGCAGCATCGAATGGCTGCCACAGTATCGACGTGCCATTCATCTTGATGCCTTGCGACGGTGGTGGAGGACAAGTCGGCGTCGTCTCCCATCTGGCCGGTCCTGGACATATGCGGCTTAGAAGGCGGCGATGTTATCACTTATCGACTTCGGCGGCAGCACCCGGCGGCCCTACCACAATGTAGGCAGACAATGTGAAGCGGCGGCCGCTGGCCACGCTTGCTGTGGACAGTCCGTGACAGTGGACCGTTCCGTCATTGGGTGTCGAGGGCGTGTGGCTGGCACGGCCCAGCGGCATGGCGTTCCGTCGCCCACGCCCGGTCACCTCGATGGCGCTGGCGGAGCTGATGGTGTGCGGTCATCGAGGCGAAGAGAATGCAACGCCGTTGTGGCAGTAGTCACTCCAGTTCCATTGGTGTCTTGAGGTCTCGACAACAAAGCGAAGCACAGCGTGAGGTTCTTCTCAATATAGCTGGCGTAGGCTGCAACGGCCCGTCAGGGTCAGAGCGGCCTCATCTGCTGCAGCCATATCTCAGAGTCAATGTACTCCGTATGCAGGCACAACAAGGAGTGTTTCCAATAATAACATGACTCGTCGTATTTTCACACACCTGTGCCTCTGTCTTCACGCGTCCATTTCTCCATGTCCATGTACGTCGCACCGGCAATACCGGCCTATAGTGCCGCACCGTCAGGCTTGCAGCGCGCAGGCAACGCTGCCTTCAATGGCTAGTTCTGCAGGACGCATTGCCTTCAGTTGCTGCTACAGGTAGCCCGCGATGTCTCAATTGCCTGAAAGGCCCAGCAGCCCGCGACGCCTCAATTGCCCGTGTAGTCTGGCAGCCCGCGATGCCTCAATTGCCCGCGTAGCCCGGCAGCCCGCAATACCTCAATTGCCCGTATGGCCCGGCAGCCCTCTATGTCCTCAATTGCAGCCGTAGTCCGTCGCGCAGAAGCAGCCGACGCCCGTCAGCGGGCGCCGGCCGCTGGGATGGCACTGTGGCCCGCGGAAGACCTATTTTTAGTGACCGTGACAGGGGCTTCCAGTGGCGATACAGGGCTGGAAACTGAGTTGTGTGGAAATCGAGAAATGCGACTGTGAAGATGGGACTTCTCCAACAACATTTGAAGGACTGCCCACGGACCAGCACCAAAAAAAGTCGTTTCAAAATTTGCACCTCCCAGTGGCGGTGAGCCGAGATGAAGAAACAGCTGCGTGAATGTAGCCCAGTGGATCGTGCTGTCTTCTCACCGGCATTTACCGGGAGCATGAAGCGCCCGGCGCCACCAACACTAGATGCACAATGGAACTCGACTCGTTGCCCAATCGTTGATGGCGGTCTTTTACTTTTGGCCCGAGCGCCCACGATGCAGAATGCGCACGTGAGCCAGGCCGTCTGCAGCGTCCTGTCGGGGTCTTCTATGAACCAATCTCGAGTAGAGTAGCGTCACTGTTGGTTCCTGTCATTTGGAGCTGGCGAACTTTGCATGTCGTGCATGACAATGTGGACATGCACGCCAGCAATGTCGAACAAGGGCAGCGCATTTCAAATGTTGTTGTTACACGCGCTGACGAACGATTGCAACATGAACTGCCTGGACACTGTACAGTATGCGGCATGGTCCAGACCGCGCGAAAGCACTCCCAATGCACCGTTGACGGCGGCGACCTCGGAGTTGTGTTAACTGGCCGGCCAGCCCCTGTACACGGGACTGACAGCAACCCATGCGAGGAGCGCACGGCACATCAGCACCTCACTATCAGTGCCAGCGAGACCCACCCACCACAGGCTTCTTCAACCTTCAAATGCTGGTCTAAATGCAGCGTTTGCAGTCAGCCCCGAGGGTGTCGCCGGCTCGGGCCGTATTGATGTTGCTGATGACTGAGAAGGGAACTTCTGAGCATCAAGAACTGCACGCTTCCCGTGCTTGTAATGATTCTGTCTAAGTGTCCATTTTACTGTAAGTACGAATTACTGTACACAGATAACCATGAGCGCGTGCATCGGCCCCGCTGCCGCGCTCAGTTCAGGCCGAAACGTAACACCGTCGAACTAACGCCTCAATTCGCAGTCTCCTCGCCACCGAACTGTGCATTGACGGGCAACAAGTCTGCCTTCAGAAGAGATCGCGCCAACAAATGCCCGAGGACTCCCCTAAATTCTGTAAACACATGCTGCAACATGAACGTATCCATGTTCGTTATCCCCGCACCCACGGAATCAGAAACCCGAGCGTCAGCCCGCCATTTCGGAAGTAGATTTTGAGCCATGGCGGACCCCCGTCTCGTGTGAGCCCAAGAGCTAACGCATCCGTCCACGAAGGCTTTCTCATCAGCCCCGTCACGAAGCTCAAATGGGTACGAGCCATGTATCGCAAAGTACGACAGGATTAGCTGGTCGTGGTTCGCAGCCATGAACTGCGATATATGGTGCTCGTTGGACGAGCAGCCTGTCGCGCAATCGATCGCATGCGGGAAGACTTTTTTGCCTGCGTCCCGGCTCGCTGATAAGATCAGAGAGGTGTAGGCTGACGTCGGACCATCCAAACTGTTTCCCATGATAACGACATGCGGTCTTCGATCTTTGGACTCCATGAGGCTCATGATGGATGATTGTCGGAGGCTCCAGCGAACGCCATTTCCACAACCTTTCTGGGTGCCCTGGTTCAAGTCAGATCGCTGTATGCTTCAACTTCGCTCCTGCAAAGTACCTCTTTATTGCCTCTCGACAATGACATGAAGCCTGTGAATACATTCACGTGGTATCCTTTCGCCATCGTTAGTGTTGTATTTTTCCCGTGCCAAGTTGGAATCTTACCATCCCCGCAGAAGTGCCGATCGACGATAATCACGGGAGATCTAATACTGGCCAGGAACCCGCGTACAACGAGATACCCTAGATAGCATGGTACAACTTCTATTGCCCTTGGCGATAGCTGAATACTTCTTTCAAGGAGGCTGGCCAGAGTGAGCGCTGCGAATCTCAACATGCATGGAGGCATAGCTTACCAAGTCATCGGTCTCAATTGTGGTAGCTTGGTACACGTGGCCAGCAGCCAGCCTGTGCTTAGTCCCGACAGCCACACTTTAAGTTCTTTGAACTCTTTTTCCAGTCGATTCGATCCCGGTCGCTTATACTGTTTGTTTTGCGCAGCTGAGGTCGCGAGTGCATCTGTTAAGCCTCTAACTTGGCGCGGGTCAACCATGCCCGTTATCTTCCATCCGTTGAACAAGAAACGCTTGTACTTCGAGAGTGTATATGCATAGACGATGAATCGGATCATTACTGGAGCATCAAATACATTCCAGCTTGGTCTCTGGAGCACACCGTCGACGATATCTCTCGATGGTTCATGTTCGGCGCTGACAGCCAGCGGCTCTCGCGGATAGTGTACCTCGGCTGGGTCGCCTTTCGTCCGGCGCTTCCATGTCGGTTCCGTGTACACTTCATCTGCCCAACCCAAGCGTCGGAGGATTTGTCGTGGTGTGGCTTCCTTGGGCGGAAGCCCGACATCTTCTGAGCTCAAACAATCTTGAACTAGGTTGTAATACAGTTCCACGCCGTTCGCTTTAACATGGCGTAGACCCTCGATGGTTTTGCTAAGGCAGGCGTCGAAGTGCGCCAACACCATGGGGTCTCGGAAAGCGATGTCATCGTACTTGGTGTAGGCATCAAGGAACATGGCAGCTCGCAGGTGACAGCCGGCATCACCACCATGGGCATCGAACGCAGTTAGACCTGACGACCTCGTCACGGCCTTGTGCTGCGTGAGAAGTTGCCGAAAAAGACTCAGGGCATCAATCGCATCGGAGGCACTTCGCACGACATCGCTAAGGATTGTATGATAATTGTTCTGCTTTTTGACGTGGTCAACGCTTGTCGTGCAGGGAAAGAGAAAGTTTGCCATGTTGGCAGACCTGTTCAGAACTCTGTCGATGTGCTCATCTGTTCGCGAACTAGGCAAGTGTTACTTTACCGGGCCAGCTTTATAGGTCTGGTCCGTGACCAAATCATCAAGATGCCCTCCAAACTTGTTTCTCGGCGGCATTGTTACGACGACTACAATAGTTACCACGTAATAGCTACAACATTCGATACCTGGTAGCGGTCATGAAGGGCTCGAGATTGAGATATGTCTGTTTTGGGAAGATTGATGCCAACATTGGTCAGAGCCTGTACACCTTGGGCCCGTGTAGTGAAAATATTTGCAACTGAATAGGGAGTGTAATTCATGTACTGTATTGTCGAAGCATTCAGAACTACAATATTGCGACAATCCCTTCATTGTGTGTACTCTCTCCCGACTGAGAAAGCGAAGATCGTCACGCCGGGGCAGCATGCAGAGACCCAACGCATACCCGAACCGCCGGGTCGGTCCGACGATACACCGCATTTCCGTCAAGCTCTCGTCCCAGTCGCGGCCGGTTGAGGTTGAGGCTGTTGCAAATCTAGGCAATACCAGCGGAATATTCCGAGTCTCGACCAACGTCAATCAGCACGGGAGGTCGTTTTGAGATTTAGATCTAGAAGCAAGGATGCGCCACATGGCTCCGGGCCCCATACTCAGTTCTCGGAGTATTGGGCACGCTGCGTGTTCTCAACTTTCTGCATGTGGCATTCTGCTACAGTAGTCAAGAGGCATGGTCCAACAGCGGTCCCACTCAACTACATCCATGGAAGTACATCGCAGTCAGGCTTCAAATCCCTGGACAGGCTAGTTACTGTAGCAAGTGAGGGCACTGTAATAGCGGTAGCTGAGCTGGTCCACACTGTTGATATTCTGGCAACTTAAAATCGGCACGGCCCAGGTGCCCCGTGCTGTACCATCGCTCTCCTGCAACTGCCGGACCCCCCCAAAACGTCGTCCGTGATACATTCGTCTTTGTCGGGTTTCCACATTGAGCAATTGCGCCTCCTCTCAATTCTCAGACCTCACGACGTGTCGAAAGTACAGTGCAGCCTGTTACCTGATACTGCATAGGTGAATAAGGGTCCGGGTCCGCTGACGGCGAACACCGAGCGCGCTTGCTCCAGTCCTCGGTTCTCCCGAAATTATTCGGTGTCGCGGGGTGGCGCAATTGACGCGGGTTTACAGCGACGTCTTCTCGCGCCAAAATGTGCTGTAGCTCATAGCAACGGCGGCCGCATGATTTGCGGGATTACAACTGAGCCGGCTGCCAGCTCGCAGTGATTCAGCCTTCTAGTACATATTTAAACTCCGTGCAAAGGAATCAGAGCGAATGCAATCTATGATGACGCAACGATGGGACCGGTCACGGCATAGTTCCGGTGCCTTGCACAGAGCTGCAGAATCAGCACGCAACTATTTGTCAATGGCGGGGGCCTGTAAGCAGTTGACAAGGCTCCTGTAGACCATGCTGGCACCCTTGCGGCTCAGGGACATCGTCAACGTGGTGGCGGTGCCCTGTAGCGCCCGTTTAACCGCGTGGCGCTCGACGGACTTAAACTGCACGGCGACTCCGGATTTAGGGAACACAGAGGCTGTGATTCCAAAGGCCACCGCGAACATGCCCTTGCTGATGAGATTTTGCATACGCCTTGAAGAACAAACTATATAAATGAAGAGATCGTGCGTTGCAAAGATGAGTTTCTCGGAGCCCAATACTGCGCTCGTTTAGCACACCAAGAGGCCACTGCCAGCAGCGCTAATCTCAACCAAAAAGCTGGCACTTGACAAAACACTGCCGCAATGAGACAGGACGTGAACTTCGACAGCCAAGGGCTAAGGATAGCTGGCCATCTTTACATTCCGGATCAAGCATCGACTGATGGGCGCCTCCCCGCTATAGTGGTCAGCCACCCAGGAGCCGGTGTCAAGGAACAGACTGCTGCAATCTACGCCAATCGCCTCCATAATGAGGGGTTCGTCACTCTTACCTTTGACTGTGCCTACCACGGAGAAAGTGAAGGCACGCCGCGAGGGCTCGAGGATCCTGCACATCGCGTGGAGGATATCAAGAACGCGGTCTCATTCCTCGCCTGCCACGAAAGAGTCGACCCGGACCGCATTGCACTACTCGGGATATGTGCGTCCGGAGGATACGCCGTAACTGCGGCGGCAACCGACATTCGCATCAAAGCCGTGGCGACCGTCAGTGGTGTGGACCTCGGAAGCTTCATTCGGAAGGGCTTTAACGGGAAACAAGACCCTTCTGTTTTGCGAACACAACTGGAGCAAGCCGCGCGCGCGAGAACTGCCGCCGCAGCTGGCGCCGATGCAGAAGGGTTCCCATTGTTCCCGCCCGATGAGGAGACCGCTAAAGGATGGGGCAAGTATGCCTATGAGGCTTGGAGCTACTACACCACACCGCGCGGTTGCCACCCTCGGTCGGCGAAAGTCATGCCCTGGATCAGCATCGACAAGCTGGCGAGCTTCTCTGGCTTTGGCGTGATTGATCAGATCAGCCCACGGCCAATTCTGATGGTTGTAGGGACGGACGCGGATACTAAGTGGATGGCAGATGAGGCAATTGTAAACGCCAGGGAACCCAAGGAACTGTACCTGATCGACGGGGCAAGTCACGTCGACTTGTATGATATCGACGAGCATGTGACGAAGGGTACCTCACGGCTGGTAGACTACTATAGGGAATGGCTCAAGGTCTAGGAACATCTGAAGATGGCCAAGTTAGAGTGTCGGATAAGTCTTGTACGAATCATGGTCCACTGCGTCTAGCTCCACTGCCCCCCTTCATTCCGCAGATGCCGGTGTAAGTGATCCCGTCCACTCCCGATATGCTCGTCAATATCAAGGTTCCATAACCATTGGAAACGCTCATTCCACGCCTGCCTGAGCTTGTTCCCATCATCCCTGATGCCTTCGTGGCAAAGACACAGCAAATCGGCGTTTTCCTTGCTGCTCGTGACTACCTTTTGGCTGCGCGGTCTGCGGACACTGTCGTATGCCCTGAAAGCCGCTACAACATCCTCTGGAGTGACCACCGCATTGTCAGCCAGGAGTTCAGCGAGCACGAGGGCGTCCTCTATGGCCTGGCCGGCGCCGGCGCCTTGGTGAGGGGTCGAGGCGTGAGCTGCATCCCCCAGTATCGCGACTCGAGATCGGCAGTAGCTCGAAACTGGGGGGTGCTCGAAAATTGCCCACTGTGATGTATCCAACACGTACTAATTGAAGTAAGCATGCTTACGTTTTGGACTCGTACGCTCGGCGGCGCGGTGGCCAACCTACCTTCATCAGCGCGTTGACGTACGAACCCATGTGGCCCATGTCGCTGTCGAGATCTTCCTTGGTCCCAGGGCGAACCCAACCGTCACTGTCCCATGCCTCCTCATCCAACTTGTACATACCAAAGTTCAACTTCTTTCCGTTCATAATGGGGTAGGTTATCGCGTAGCATCCACTCCCTATGTACCATGTGGCGACTCTAGCCCTGTGGTTGCCCACTGCGGTCACTGCATCTTGCATCTCCAAAACTGCGCGATAACAGTACATGCCGCTGTACCGAGGTCTCGTCTGCTCCACCTCTTCGGGAAGCATAAACTCCTTTACCCTGGATTTGATCCCGTCGCATCCGACAACCACATCAGCAGCAACAGTTGTCCCATCTTCAAAGGACAGTTGCACCGAATCGGCTCTCTCTGTGAGGCTGACCAATCTCTTGTCGAAGTGTGCCGTGTTGTCGGGGATCATAGCCACCAACGCCGCCAGGAAGTCCGCCCGACGCAACGTAGTCTGTCCAGAGGGCAACGCTTTCAGATCCATCATGAGCTCACCCTCATCGTCCCCAGACGCCCAAACAACCTCGAACCATGTGTCTCGAAACCGCTCGAATCCAGGGCTGTCCGCGTTTGTCGTAACAAGCGAGTCGTATGTTACTCGAAGTTTGGGGTCGATCCGAGGCAAAGCGCGATGCGCCGCAGGTCCAATTGACAGGCCCAGCCCGGTCTCGCGAAAGGCCGGGGCAGCTTCATAGATTTGCACCGGGACGTTGCGACGCAGCAATCCGATCGCCAGCGCAAGCCCTCCAATGCCGCCACCAACAATGGCAACGGTGAATTGCTTTTTGGGAGATACTTCGCTCCCCATGGCGTGATTTTCGCCAAGGCGATGCGATGTGCTGAGGAGGTCAATCCTGTTGTAGGAACCAAGGTCCATCAGCGTGACTTCCCGCAGGAGAAGGATCTAGCCCTACCACGTACGTACGTTTCAGAGATCTACACCGGAACCCCGCACCAGACGTCAGATCGATCGCCTCAGCCGCTCGGCCATGTCCATGAAGGAGTCGCAGCATTACTAATCGGTTGTCGATATACGACATCGTGTAGCGCTTACTGTTCGTTAGCACCGTCCGGCTCGAACTTGATAAGTTTAGGGTGTTTCAGAAGTGCGTTAAGAGCATACAGGATGGGTGACTGGCCTAGTTGACTAGATGAAGAGCATTATCCTGGCTCACTTCATTATATACTTGAAAGAGTCATTGGGAAACGCCGTCTGTTTGTGGCTTTGTCGTCGTGAGGGTAGACTGGAGGGCCAAATGGCCCTGGACATGTCCTGTGAATGGCCACGCTACCTTGCGAGGAGCCAATCCGAGAATGTCTCCCGCAAAGTACTGACCAAGGGGGAAGATACGCGACTGTATGAAACAGTCAAGGCTTCCCTTTCGTCGTCAATTCCTTGTGAATCCATGCATGTCAAACACTTCAGCTGCCACTCAGTGACCACGACCTTGCCGGCTAAGAACGCTGAGCAGGTGAGACTTGCGAGCACGGGACGTGACTTGGTGCCTTGAATTGCTACCTATGACTTTGTGGAGAGGCGGATGTCTTATCACATCCCTCTGCCAACGTGTGTGTTTCAGTAGTTGCCCGCCGCCTTGATGACGATCGAGTCCTTTGCCAAGTCCTTTGCCTCGTCGCGCTTGTAGTTGGCGGCTGCTTTGATAACAATAGAGTCCTTGGTAAGATCCTGAGCCTCGTTGCGCTTATAATTGGCCGCTGCTTTGATGACGATGGAGTTTTTGGCGAGATCATGGGCCTCGCTGCGCTTGTAGTTTGTCGCGGCCTTGATGACGATCGAGTCCTTTGTCAGGTCCTGCACGGGAGCAGAGAAAACTGCGACGGCCTGCAAGACCACGAGAGACAGGATGCTGGTTCTCATGTTTGTTGTTGCGGTTGTTTGTACTTTGGCAAAAGAAAAGGGCAAGGTCGAGGAGGTGCTTTGAGACTCAGAATCTCTCACGCTGGACTCCTTCACAGGCGCGGCTTTTATACAGCGACAGTGATAAACCATGGGGAACTCATCTCTTGCCTGTTGTGGCAGGTGCTTTCTCCGGGTTATGTTTCGTGCACTTGTGACACTTGCCGGATCCTCTCAGACCAGAGGCTCATCGCGCGTGGCCAAGAACCGCTGAAGGAGTAGTCGCGCATACTCAGCCGCAGAGGCTTTCATAATATTACTGTCACTCGCTGACTGAGCCGTCTGAATGCTGTACTTCATCATCCGCCAACTTTGGGCCTCGCTGCAGGCTGCCTATGCCCTAACAAAGGTTCCGTTCCTCCTTGCGAGACACCCAATCATGGCACCCGGCAACGTAACAGTGGCTAATGTCTCGTCATCGGAAGAACGCCAATTTGGAATCAAATCGCGAGGGCTGCATCCTGAATTCTAGAACATCTAGAGATATGTGAACAGACCCGATGATCTGGTTCTGCTGATTGGTCTCGGTTTACATCGCATATGATAGCTACACCGGATTAGGCTGGTGTGACGATGTTCGTGCAGCGATGCACAATCCTCCTGTAATTAGCCGCAACCTTTAACATTTGAAAGTCGGCCTGTCGAGCCCGCCGACTGGTACTTCGCCAAGAACATTAAGAAGTCGAACACACTTAGTAGAAGAGGCACCACCAGAGCTCGCCTGTCTCTAACCCTCCGTTCACAACAACTATGTGGCCTTCATCTGCCTCGGAATATGAAAGGCTTAACCAAGCTGAGCTGGATCAAGAAAACTCTCAAGCACCGCACTATCTCAGACGACGGTCGCGCAGCACAATTGTGTTGCTAATCACGAATCTTCTTTCGCTTGTGGCTCTCGCAGCCGTTGCCGTCCGGCGGGATCATAGTGAGCTGGAGTCAAGTAATTCACGCAAATGTATGCGACATAACTCCCAGAACATCCGAGAAACACTGACTGATGACAATGGCAGCACCGGCATGGGAGGCAGTGAGGTTTGAACCAAGAAAGTACGCTGCCGAGTTTCGTCAGACGAACAAATGGCGAGGGGCCCCCGGCGAACAATCAGATGCTATTGACCTGGCCTGGCATGAGATTGAACTGGGGGCGGGAGGAGTACGGCTCACTGAGGAGGACGTGCTGGCCTTTAACTTCAGCGGCTCGTCCAGTAATCCACTGCACAAGATACCCGACAGCCACGGCGGAGGCTATGTAGCAATGTTGGAGGTGTTCCATCTTTTGCACTGCTTGGTAAGTCCTCCGATATATTTGCCGGGCTAAGATACTGAACGGTCTAAGAACACGTTACGCATGGGACTGTTCTACAACTACGACAGATACAAAATTCTCGACAAAGGGGTGCCCACCGAGAATTTATACTCACATTTCGGTACGGATTGCCAACAGAACACGAGAGGCAACTATTGTCTAACCTATGACAGATCACTGCGTGGACATGCTAAGGGAGAGCTTGATGTGCACTGCTGACATCACGCCGTACATTTTCTACGACCCATTAGACAAGCCCCGACGACGTGACCCGCTGCCTGACTGGTCAGCGACACACACATGTCGGAATTTCGATGCCATACTGAGATGGAACAAAGATGGCCCTCAATCTATAAGGTGGAGAGACGTCGGTACGAACCCTGCGTGGAATGAGTCGCTAGAGGGGTCCGATCCTCCGTTCCCACCGGAAGGTGACCATAGTCACCATCACGGTTAGCCCTTTGCTACATGTATCGCACTTTCTTGTAAATTGGCTAGAGCTCCCTCAATTATACACAAGTAAAGCGTCCATTCTATGACAGCGGTCATGTATGGCTAGTGCGTCTGGGTTTGGTAACGAGGCCACGATGAGTGGTTCGGATCAAGGCCCATGTAGGCAACATGAACTAGGCTGCTTCGACATAAGCATGCGATATTAAATTGCCAGCGGCCGCCATTCTCGACAGTACCACCCATGTAACCGAAAGCCCCCGGCACAGCAGCTCTTACTGCAACGAACATGTAAACCGGGCTCATGATGGCCTGCCACAAAGCTGTAGGCAAAACTGGTGCCGTGCCCTGCTACCGCCATAAAGAGCTCTTGTTGTCGTGCTATCTGTGAGGAATTGGACGGACAGGGCAACGGCTACTAGAGGTGAGCCGTCATAGCAGACTTCGGAAAGCTGGCCAATGATATCAGTACCCCAGTCAAGATACCCGACGTTGGTCCTCTCCGGTTGGGCTTCGGAACTTGTCACGAATCACCATCAAGATTCCTAATATTGGGACAACCTCGGCATTTGTATCTCTAGATCCTCGATTGGGGGCGGGGTTTCTTTATCGCATAATGCTAGGATAAAGATCAACCAAGCATGGGCCTTGACCTTGCGAGTTGACGTGACACCGCATTCGGGCCTGGGGTCTAGTTGGGCCAGTTACCTCATTTCCTGCCTAACGGGCTAAGCCGCCCATTCGTCGCAACTTCGAGTAGCCATTTTCTCAGCCCTGACACATCGCAGCTGGAGGGGGTTCAAGGTCGAGCGGCCGTGTGGTAGCTGCCAAGTCTGACCCAAGGGAGGCGCCGCCATGGAACGGATCGACACCGTCATAGTTGGAGCAGGTAAGCCTACTGAACCGAGCCTGGAGACTACGTTACTGACCATTCCAGGGTGGCATGGGCTGGCAATGGCGAAAACACACTCCGAGGCTCGACCAGACGCCACCTTGGTTGTATTCGACACGGCATCAACGGTAGGCGGAGTCTGGGCCGAAGAAAGACTTTATCCTGGGTTAAAGACGAACAATCTTATCGGCACATACGAGTTTTCGGATTTCCCCATGACCTATGGGCGTTTTGGTGTCAAACCTGGGCAGCATATACCCGGACGAGCCGTTCACAATTACTTGACCGCATTCGCCGATCACTTCGGCCTCATGCCTCGAATTCGGCTGAACCGAAAGGTTTTATCAGCAGAACTGCTCAGCGATGGCTCATGGCTCCTGAACGTTGTCGTTGCGAGGAGTGACTCTCTGAGTCCAGACGCAGAAACCCTCGTCGCTCGCAAGTTAGTCGTTGCCACTGGCCTTACATCGGAGCCTCATCAGCCGGTGTTTGCAGGCCAGGGACAGTTCAATCGAGACTTTTTTCACGCAAAAGAGCTGAAACACCGTGCCGACAGCATAGAACGAGCCAAGAGCGTCGTAGTACTGGGCGGAAACAAATCTGCCTGGGACACGTGCTTCTTCGCCGCAAAGTGTGGAGCGCATGTCCATATGGTCATGAGACCAGGAGGAGGCGGTCCGAGTTGGGTTTGGCCACTTTTCTTCTCGCCGCTCAAGATCTCGGTCCAACGCTTGGCCTCCACGCGATTCTTTACCTGGTTCGACCCGTGCATCTGGAGCGAGAAGGCCGGGTTGATAAGTTGGATTCGCTATGCCCTTCATAACACTCTTCTGGGACGATGGATTGTGTCCAAATTCTGGAGTACCATCGGGAGCTTCGCGCACAAAGCCCATCGCTATGGTGAGCATCCCGAGACTCGAAAGCTCAAGCCTTGGGTCAGCCCGTTCTGGATGGGCAACTCTCTCAGCATCCATAACTACACATCATCCTGGTTTGAGCTCGTTCGTCAAGGTCGAATTACCGTTCATATAGCAGACGTCACCCGCCTGTCTGAGGGAATGGTGCATCTCTCAGACGGCCAAGATATAGGTGTCGACGCATTCGTCTGCTGCACAGGGTGGACGACTCGGCCTCCCATACGGTTCCTGCCTGACAAGACTATGGGCATGTTGTTTCCAAGGCAAGGTGAAAGAGGAGACCAGGATTTGTTTGACGAAGTACGAAACGATATCTTTGCCAACATCCCAGCCTTGAAACACGGCCCAAGAAGAACGCCACCAGAGGGAACAGGACGACCGACCATTGACGATTCCAGCGACAAGGTCTCCAGTAATGCTGCGGCCCCCTACCGACTGTATCGCTTTCTCGTTCCACCTCATGAGTTATTTCTGCACTACCGGAACATTGCATTTATCGGTTCTCACCTTGCGCTCACTGCCACTATGATTGCACAGATCCAAGCGCTCTGGATAACGGCATTCTTCATGGGCGAAATTGATCACTTGAAGCCCGAAGTCCTTGATCAGGATAGGGTGAGGTATTCTGCGATTCTGCATAGCGAATATTCCCGTATCAGACACCCGCACATCGCAGGTGGTGCAGGTGATAGATGTCCAGACTTGGCCTTCGACTGTTTGCCATATATGGATCTCCTTCTAGATGATCTAGGTTTACAAAGATACAGGAAAGCGATGAAGGCGGGAATCTGGGCGGAGATATTCCATCGATATGGGCCTAGTGACTACGTCGGCATGGTGCAAGAGTGGCTGTCTCAACGGCAATTGAACTTGCCTACTGAAGTCATTCTATAACCCAGCTCGTGGCGCTTAGTGTGCACCGCCATCTAGACATGTTAGCAAATAGCAACAGCGGAATCACGTTTCGATTGCATCTAAGTCTATGTACATATTTCCCTGCAGGCGTGGACTCATGGGTGCTTCGTGACCCATTCATGGCCACAGGCTATTATCAACCGGCCCACGCACTGGGTTTGCCCGCAGACGTATTACGCGTCCCGCAGTTGCTTCAAATGCTTCTTTTGAACGAGACGTTTTGCGGCTTCTTCACTCAAGGGCTGCAGAGGAAGCCTGGGAGCGGCGGGGTATCCGAATTGCTTGTTCAACAAGTACTTCACGCCGGCCACCTAAACAAGGGGTTAGCATATCGTACGAGCATGTCACTTTCCCGGTAATAGAATAGGTGCCTGTACTGACCCCGCCAGACAGCAAGTCCGCCTCTGCCAAAGATGCCTGTTCCTGAAGCCGTCGGGCCTTGGCCCAATCTTGAGAAGTGTTGAGATTTTGTGTGCTGCGCCACACGTCCATAGCAAAGCTCTACATCGAGTGGTAAGCATGCGCTCTTCAAACAGAGTGAGACGTCACTAACGGGAAGAACGTTTGGCAATGGGCTAATTGCGCCGGCAGAACCAACCGAGACAGATGGCAGAAGGAAGTCGATAAAGCCGGCGAACGTCCTAAACGAGTCGTCTAGAAGACTTGAGATCCTTGAGACCTTCCCGACGTTACCGCACCTGCAAACTAACGTCAGCAACCCTCAGTGCTCGGAGGCCGTGGACTCTCAATGCGGGTACCTACGATAACATAGCGCCGCGCACATTTGGGGCAGCCCTTGCAATGTCCACGATGTCGTCACTCGTTAGATCAATGCCACCAGCAACTGGTGGATAGTTGTATATCACTCTGCATCATAGTGATCCGAGTTAGTAAAGCGACGCCTGCATGTGTGAGGTGTGACTTGGCGAGACGGAAACACTTTAATGGATGATGGACGTACACTGGCACCGGCGATTTGGAGGCCACATCAGTGAAGAAAGTCTTGATGGTGACCGGATTTGCCTTCAGCGCAGCGGCAAAATAGCTTGGTGCGATGACAAGCACAAAGTCAGCACCAGCGGCTGCCGCATCTTGAGAGAAAAGGATTGTCTCTCGAGTACTTGTCGCGCCTACACCGGCTACAATTGGTGTCTCGCGCAGGTTGTTCTCGTCGAGAGCAGAACGTACAGCTCGGATCAGCTGAATACGCTCTTGGCGATCCTACGGTAGCGTTACTGGCCAGCTCTGACACGTCGCTGCAGTAAGGGTCGGAGCATACCAGGTGCGCAGCCTCTCCTATTGTGGCGGAGACGACGGGAATGACCCCTGGCTTGGCGACATCTTCCAGTGCTTCAGTTAGCGAATGTGATCTGCATTTACACATACGTGAGAGGCGAGGTCATTACAGATGGCGTGCTTCACGTAGGACTCGATATCTACGGGGGTGTTAGCAAAAATGCGGCGGTTGTCACGAAGGACACTGCTTGCCTAGCTCATCTGCATCATTAAAGAAAGCTGGTAAGGGAGCATATAGCCCCGACGGAAGAGTCTTGGCCATCTCGGACGGTTCGACTAAAGCTTCAGAGGCTTGTTTGGTCGGGCAGAGTGCTTGGGGAGCGGGGGTTTCATACGCAATCATACGAGGGAAGTCGTCACCCGGCCTGGGGTGTTTATAAAGTTACAATTTATCCGCCTACTGATGATATCTTCGTGGTGAAAGCAGCCAATTGACAGACTAATCTGCCAACAGCACGCAAGGTTCAGGGGTGGTTGAGCAATGCAATGCACTCATGCATCTGTAGGCTGTCACTAACTTACAAGCTGGCCCTACAGGTGGCAGTAAGATTCTCCGCATGTGCCGCGAGGATGAATTACAGCGCCACGTCCGGGCGTTCCGACGCCCTGAAGAACCCCGCCTTCGGCCCAGGCCTTCTAGAGATGCTGTCCCCGAGCTCAGCCGCTGACAAAGTTGGTGAGACTAGGAGGCAGAAGGGGACAGCGGGAATGGCGGGGAAGACGGCAGGGACGGCAAAAGCGGGCGCTGCGCCTTTGTTTGACGCGGTTCTGGGAGGCATCGTGTAATTCCATGAATTGTCGCGCACGATTATTAAACTTCGGTCGCCTATCGTCATTGCGGCATCTTACTGCAAGGTTTCAGGCAATTATTATCAATCCAGAAAGTGACAAAGCAAGCCATGAGTGATGAGCGACGATGAGCGAAGTACAGTTCCTCTTACAATTCAGCGCTAACTGCGAGCTGTCGGATCGTGATAAATAGTGCCGTGACAGCCCCCGGCAAGGGGAGGTAGTTCATCAACCACACCCGATCAATCACACAGCATCAATCTCACCACACCGTCTTAAAGCAAACTCAAAAGCCGCCAATTGGCTATTTAGAACACTTCAGCTTCTGCGTGCAAGAGGCATTATAAGGTGAGCTCACCCCTCCTCGGCGAGATCAGTCCGACCGACGCTGACTTCATTCGCAGCTTTCATCACTACTCTCCACTACATTCCGGAGTAAATACACAGCAAATTATCTACCAACGCGCAATGGCTCCCGCAATCCAAGGCCGAAAGATCGCAATCACTGGCGCCAGCGGCCAGGTCGGCAAGCCCACCATTGACGCTCTCCTGAAGCACGGCGTCCATACTATCACCGCCATTCAGCGAGAGGGAGCCACCAGCACCTTCCCGGCCGGTGTTATTGTCAAGAAGGGCAACCTTGAGGATGAAGCCTTTCTCGCCGATGTGCTGAAGGGCCAAGATGCTCTGGTCCTGATGCCGCCTCTGCCTCAGCTTGTAAGCCTCCAAGAGCCTGCCATTCGCGCCGCCGCCAAGGTTGGCGTTCCCTACATCTTCCCGTCCGAGTTTGGCCCCGACCCCTTCGCTGGCCAGCTCACGGAGGAAAACGGCCTCTTGATTGCGAAGAAGAGCATCCGCGACTTGATTGAGAGCCTCGGCGTCAGCAGCTGGGTATCCATCGCCGTTGGCCCGTGGCTTGATGGCGGTCTCGGCGCTGGCCTCTGGGGCATTGACCCCAAGGCCCGGAAGGCAACCATCTGGCGTGGCGCCAACGCCAAGGCCAACACGGCGAGCATCGCCCATACTGGTCAGGCCGTTGCTGCTACACTGGGCCTGCCCGAGGCCGATCTCGCCAAGTACAAGAACAAGGGCGTGTACACGCCGTCTTTCCACGTCACTCAGCGAGAAATTCTCGACGCTGTTCAGCGCGCCACAGGCACAACTGACAAAGACTGGGACATCACCACGCGGGATGTGAACGAGGTGGCCAAGGAGTACGAGGAGAAGATCAGCCAGGGAGACGGCGTGGCCCCGTTCACAAAGTTCTTTGTTACGCACTTCCTGGAGGGTCACGGCGGTGACTTCCAGCACAAGGTGGATGCGGCTGAATTGGCCAAGCTGGAAAGGTTGGGCCTCCAGAGGGAAACCATTGAACAGGTCATCAAGGATGCGCTGCAGTGAAATTAGCTTCAAAAGTTAGCTTCTGGTTTAAATAGATCTCGTCATTCATTAAGTTTGCTGCATAAGTGAGATTTCTCTCTTGCATGACCTTCAATGCCGAATATCCAAGTCTAGGTCTCGCCTCCTGCTCTATTCCGCACGCCGTATTCGCGCTCCGTCTAATGTCTAGTACCCTTCTTGCCACCAATATGAATGCGAAGTTAGACATATAGCACGTATTTCCATTGACCATGCTTATGCCTTGACTCGCATAACTAAACCGGTTTGCGCAACGCGCGCCGCTAATGCCATGAATGCTCCGAGCAGAATGGACGACGCCGCAAACATTTGCGCGCCGAAATAGTTCCCGCCCTCCTTGCGAATCAACACTCCACAGATTGCTGGGCCCGTCAGGTTGGCGAAACTGACAAAACCCAGGATCATCCCCACTCTCGTTCCAGTCCTGTTCGGGTCCGGGGTCATTGTTGTGGCTACTCCTGGAAAGAGAGCCTGTAGCGCAGCGGCGATGAACCCGTAGATTCCGGCAAAGACAAAAAGTCCAGCCTTGGAGACCACAGCGGCCCAACAATACATGAGCAGGCTTGCCAGAAGGCTAAGTGGGATCAGGATGTTGAACCGCCCAGTCCACTTATCCGCGACGATTGTCGGTAGCACACGTCCGAATATGCCCACGCCGTTGAGTATCATCAACAGATAGACAGGCTCCGCAACGCCGATCCGGTCACGAGCAAATGTTCCCAAGTAGAAGAATGCCAGGTACAGGCCCCAGAAGTTGAGAAACATGCTGAGCGAGAAGAAGATAAATGGCAGTTCGAGAAAAGCCGAGGTGTCGATCCATGGCCCGCTTGTCCTGGGTGCGAGCCGTGGTTTGAACCACAACAGGCAAGGGATGTAGGTCGAGAGCATAATAAAGGCCGATATTCGCACAGCCCATGGGAAACCAACCGCATGGTTGATGCTTAGCCAATTGATGAGGACTGGATAAACAAGCCCGCCCACGGCCGCGCCGGCAGCAGCTAGGCCAACGGCGAATGACCGTCGTTTGTCGAAGTACTGCGATAGAACGGCCAGGGCTGGGCAAAATGTCGCCCCGTTGCCGAGGCCTAGGCAAACAGACTGTGCCAGAAAGATTTGCCAGTACGTCTTGCAGAAAGAGGTCATCAAGAGGCCGAGAACCTGGAGAAATACCCCACAAGAAAAGACGAGTCGAAAATACCCTGCGTCGGTCAAGCGTCCCGCAGGCACACCGATGAAGAACAAGAGGAAAACTTGGACGCTGCCGATCCATGATATCGATGACTCAGACTGATCCAAGGTCTCGGTGTAGTATTGCTGGAAAATCCCGTAGCCGTTTGCGACGCCCCAGGTGTTAAAGAAGACGATGTGGACGAGGAGGACATGAAGCCAAGCGTTGAGGCCACCGTCCGGGACGGGGTCAGCTTGGGTATTCAAGTGAGGCCGAAGCTGTCCTAAATTCTCCTCCGGTTCATGCTCAAACGTACGGCGCTTGTGGTTTTCGGCGCGCATGGTTGGAACAGTGAGGGGCCACTAGGATAGCTGACTTCAGTCAAACTTCGCAATGAGGAACAAGGGTATCTTCCACTGAACAGCAGACAATCGGACTCGTAAAGCTGGTCGTTGGATCTGAAAGCACATTTCATCTGACTCCTGGTGATTGTGAGTTCAAATCGTGGTCGTGATATCTCTGAGCTTTGGTTAAGTAGTCATGTGGGACCGCGTTCGACAGCTGCCGTTATACCCGCTATACCCGCTCTCTCCGTTCTACCTCTTTCTTGCAGATCGCATCAGATGGAATAAATTTGATCCTCGCTGACTTCTATCGGCAAGAAACCTTTGGATTCCCGGCACTTGTGAAGTACCCCTTCGTTGGAGCCACTGATCTGAACTAAGATGTATAACTACGGCGACGGCATACTCCTCGAGGCTTTGTCGCGGCACAGGCGTTGAACCAAGACGTTGCAGAACCGCCATTTTACCCCGATCACCGAAGCGTCACAACTCTCGTTGCCCGTTGTGAGGACATAAGTCGAGACTCAATGCCGCCCCAATGTTGGCACGACCAGCCGAAGGCATCGCAGTCGGCAGGCTGACATCAACAAGTAGCACAGCATCCGGTGGCACTCACCCTCGGGGGCGGCAATTGGCATTGACAAGAGGCCCGAGTAAAGCTTTGACTAAGTTGAAATAATTTTTCTCGATTGTATTGAAGCCAGCCGCATTGTCGGAAGTCTTCCAAGGTCTCCACACGCGCGCAACCACACTGTGTGGGAGAGGGACCTCTCGGACAGCACTCAAGGCTACTGATGAGCTCAACAGTTAACTACAGTCCAAAGTCACATACGTGCACTCTGTGACGCCACCGAGTATGCACAAGCATGTGAAGGCACCAGAAGCGAGTGGACTATGGCCCAATGCGAGGGCGGACTGAAGGGAGTCTGTGAGTGCAGGTCTTGAACATGCTAATAGCAGATATCTTTGCAAGCGTTCTTGACGTAGTCAAGCTTGAGGGACGGCATGTCCCAGTCGAATCTCCAGCCTCTTCCACACTGCCCACAACAATCCACCTGAGTTTGGACATATTGGATCGCTTCCAGTGCACGTATAACGTTGTCGATAGGATAGCTAACTGACACGTAGGGCAGAAGGACGAAGAAGAGGCAGAACCCTTCAGGCCCAGAACCGGGGCGGTAGCAGGCGATTTTCTCATCGTTGCGCCATTTCTTATTCTCCAGTTGAAACTCCGCCTCCTTGAGTTTTTTGAGCAGATACTTGGCCGCGGTGTTATTCCCCAAACGCTCATACTGTTTTGAAACGCATTCTGGGCGGAGGTACCGGCAATCGGCGTACCATTCGTTATTGCGAGAAACTGCGCGATCCTCCCTAACGAATGACTCTGCAAGGGGCAGGAGAGCGATGATTATGGAGTGGAGGAGCCGCATTTGCAAGGAAGTGGTCTCGAGAAGAGATGAGAAGGTAAAGTGGCTTGACGGTTGCTTCGGTGAGTACTGAGTATTGATGACAGTGGGGTTCAGCGTACGTGCGACAACGCAGTGGAATTACAAGTGTGAAGGGGATTTCTAGTGGGTATTGAGGCCGAAGCCAGGAGATATATACCATGAGTCCATGTCCCCTTGCTACTGGGACTATTCTCACATCTACTTCCAGCAGAGGGCGTCTTTGCAACATGAAGCCGAAACCCCTTGCGCCGCTGACCCAGCATCAGAAGTGGTGCGCAACAGGCGTGCTGTCTGCCAAAGGTTTGAGTGGAAACTCCGCGACAGGCGCAAGGCAATTATTTCTGAAGCGGGACGCCGCCCGACGAGGCACTGCACATCCAAGCCACAGCCAGGTAGAGGCCTTTGCTGAAGCCTCAGGATTTAGTAGCCGACTCAGTCCAAAGGATCCCGTGCCACGACTTCATGAACCTCCGGGCTCCGTTTCCTACCCTGCGGCGCAGGTGGCAGCGCTGCTGACGGCCTCTTGGCTTCCTTGGGTAAAGCTTGGCCCCACATGTCTTTGATGCCCCGGATCCGCCGGTGATGAGGCGGGTGGCAAGCCACAGCGGGCGTACCCCCGTGCCTGGGGCGAAACGTCCAGCAGGTCATCGCAAGGCGCGTCTAGAGTGATTCGTAATATTGCAAAACACTTCAACAACCTGGCGAGGTCGTCCAACAGGCTGCGCGCCCCGAGCCGTGCTATTCGCACTCCTACTTTTAAAGATACTGACTCGGCCTCCTTCTCGTGTGATCTAAAAGCGTCTTTCACGGATCACCACTTTGCCAACGCCCGGCATGTCCACCGCGACGGACCACGGTGCACCTCGCATGCAGGGCCGGAAGCGCTCAAAGCTCGCTTGTGAGCCCTGCAGAGAGCTGAAACGTAAATGCGACGGCGCTCAGCCTTGCGGGGCCTGTCTGAGATTCGAGTACGACTGCACGTACCAGAAGGCGGCCGGCAAGCGGAAGAGAGGCGCTTCGCAACCGTGCGAACCCGCCCACTCATCGGTCTCGTCGCAGCAAGATTCCTGGAGCCCGCTCAATGGCCGGGTCACATCGGCCGCGAATCCGTCCAACAATCTTCGTTCTGTGGAAGCAAACTCGGGATCGGCTTTCCTGAGGAGACTGGCCCTGAGACTGGACCCCAAAAATGCGCCTCGTATGCATACATTTGCCTGGAATGCCTTTCTCGGTGCCAGGCAGATGACGAGTGCGCCAGTCGTGCAGCCAGTCACCGACATACTGTCGCAAGGCGAAATGGGACGACTTGCGTCTGTTTACTTTAGCAAGGTCGATCCTGTCTATGGGTTCGTTGACCGCCAGCAGGTGGAAGAGCTCATTGTGCGAAGGTGGACCACATCAACGGTCAACAATATCGAAGAAGCTGTTCTTTGCGGCATAGTCAGTCTGGGTTACCTGTTCTCTCAGGTTGAACCAACAAGGGCGGAGCTCAACCTGGTGGAATCGGCAAGAGCGACACTTGAGCGAGCCATGTCTGACAACCCCTCGGCAACTAGCATCACCGCCTGGTTGTTCCGGGCCATATACCTAAGAGTTGCGGGGACCCATCACGCCGCCTGGATGGCGAGCTGCATCGTTGTTCACATGCTAGAAGCCGCTGGCCTCCATTGCGAACCAACAAGCGAGTCCGTGCTCGCAATACCGGCGGAGCAAGTCGATCCGGAAACACGTCGGAGACTCATGGCCGTTGCGCAGCACCTGAACATCTGGATGTCGTTCGACATGGGCCGATCCAGGGTTTCACTATACAACGAGAGCATGATGGTGCCGGCTGCGCGAGAAGGAGATAAGACCGGCGAGCTCATGGAGCTGCTTCCGTATTCTGCGGAGCTCGACCCGCAGAAGACACCCGAGGCCGTGGACTTGATAGCTGCTCTGTCGGCCGTCATGGAGCGCACCCACACAAGTCCACCGTCTATTCTTGCCCAGTGTAACTTGGCCCTGTGCCTCTGCCGCCGGTTGCAGTCGACAAATGTCTCTTTCACTGGAGCCATGATGGACAAGATACTCAACCTCACTGCAAAGGGAATAAGCGCCGCTCAAGATATCCTGGACGCCCGATCTCCGTGGCATCACATGGCCAACGTGCCCTTCCAGATTGTCTGCGTGCTTCTTGCCTTTGACAGCCTGTCGTCAATAGCCCAGCTCAAGGACGCCATGCAGTGCCTGAGCAACGTCGCGGCCATCTACAAAACTGACGCCACAAGGGAAGCGCTCACTACCGCCTCCTTGCTCATTTTGCTGCATCAAAGATGGAAGGAGAAGGGGGCCTCAGAGCTGGACAAGTTGACCAAGTTGTTTCCAGTGTTCGCTTCCGACGCGATCACCGATGAGCCTCTCTCTTGGAGGCCCGAGGATACTTCTTGGCTAGACAGCATCGCTGGGGAGTTTTATAATCTCGACTACTCCGACATCGACCAGCTACTCTTCCCTACACACTCATAGAGCTGGCCTTGCTGGATAGGCTTAATTCTGTCTACTTCTATGGCGATTGACTGCCTTTCGGTATCCCAGCTGTTCGACCGTTGCAAGTTGTATCCAGCCGAAATGATGTAGTGCATTCTTACGTTGCCAAAATAAGAGCCTGTCTGGCGTATGTGTTCACGCCTTCTTTCGCCAAGTCTTCGTCGTCAGCTTTCTCTAAAGTCCACTTGTCCGGGAATATCCTCCTCATCACGTAGGCGGAGCCCTCCACGACCGCCTCTCCCCAGTCCGTGATCTCATCATACCAGTACCACGTAGCGTACATCCCGAGCCCAGATAGCGGCAGGCTGAGGAAACACGGCACCAGTACCGCTGGTTCTGGCCATCGGGTGATTATGAAGTAAAGAGCTGTCGCAATGGTTCCCAACCACAATCCGCCAAATAAGAGGATGAACAAGATGCTGAGCACCACCACGAGGGTGGTCAGGATGCCGACAACGCAAATGAAGAAGAAAAGGAACTTGGCAATGGCACGATTGCCGACGGTGTTGAGACGGCGCGACGCGGATGAGGCCTGTGACGAGGAGAATCGGTTGATGATGGTCGCGCGGCAGTGCAATACAGCCACGCGAACAGACGGGGAACGAAGGGACGAGCGAATGAAGTAGGTACTCAGGACGACGGTGGAGAGTGCCACACCCCATGTCCAGATTCGAGGAGGCGTGGATGTCAGTTCAGATACCTGCATCGAGAAGACTGAGGTAATGAACGAGATCGGAACGAAAAAGAAGGCTAGCTCAGTAAGCTTATTGATGCCAGAGGTTTGGTCGATGACCATGGAAGACTGAGCCAGACCCATAGAGGACAGGAGCAGGTTCAGTGTTTGCTCGGCGCGGGCTTGGAGTGCCTTTACGTCCAGGCTGAGTTCTGCGAGCTCCGCGGTAATGTCCGGGTGCGCATGAATGAGCACAGTAGACGACAAATGGTCGCTCCAGTCGCGCAGCTCTTGCAGCGTGGCCCGCATCCAACTGAGGTTCTGTCTTGTCGAATTGCCGATTGACTCGACCAGCTGACCGTAGAGCTCTGCGCTGATGTCGTTGTCCAAGTGGTCGAGTTGCAGACGGATTTCAGCTAGAAGCTGGAGGAAATCGTCGAGGATGAGGCGAGCCAGGGTTGAAGTGACGAGGGATTGATCGTCACTCATTGCCTCCGTGGAAAGGGTGCTCATTTGACGACGCAACAGACTGTCGGTTGGCAGAGAATACTTCCTGGCGTAGTCGCGATCGCGAGAGTGCGGCTTCGGGTCGGCATAATCCTCTCGCAGTTCCTTCTCGTAGTCTTCGTCGTACTCCTCGTCACTGGTGTAGGCCGATACCGACTCGTCGTCGAATGCAGACTCCCTCGGGGCGGAAGCAGCGAAGGCATCCTTCTCCTGATCGGGGTCGGTCCGCAGCTTCTTGCTCTTTAGCCGCTGCTTGATTGCCTCCTTCTTTTGTCGCTTTAGGTCTGCCTTGGAGAAGGGGGGCGGTGGCGGGTCGAGATAAGTCTCCTCGGGAGAAGGGCCACGCCACAGCTCCTCGTCCGAGTACGACTCTATTTCCGACGCTCTGGGCATAAACGTAAGTGCCGGGATAAGCTCGCCCGTCTTCGTATGCTTCATGCGTCGGACGGGGTCAAGCAGCAGTACAACTAGCGGATATGTGAGTATTGGGCGTGCAAAGTCGAGGAGCCGGAGAGGCGCTCACCTGTTCTCTTCCCGTGATGATCCATTCCCGACCAGTAACTCACCCCCTCGGGCGCGACGACTCTCAGATCCCGATTCCTCCACGCCGAAACATTTTTGGGAAGGCCTTCGAACGTGCTATACGAACGGTAGACATTCGTCGACTTGGCTCTTCCTGGCATCTCCGGCGCTGTTGTCGTCGCTGGCTGCTTCTTATTTCGCTTCTCGCTTGCTCTCTTCGCCTTGGCAAGTCTCCTCTCCGTCATCAGCAAGCCATTCTTGTCCAGGGTGATATCCCGTTCAACAATCCACCGGCCGTCTCCAAGCCTTCTCTCAATCTCATCCTCGTGGAAGCCCTTCTTGCCCAGGTAATGCATCAAGCCTAGACGGCCCCAACGCAGATGCGCCCAGGTGCGGCCCTTCGCGCGGCGCCGAGAATTCCACTCTGTGCGCTGGCCAACGCCAGGGAGGGCTCGATGGCGGAATCGCGTCTCTCGTTCCGCCCAGTTCATCCACACGGCATTGGCCACCTTGAGCTGGCTATCGCTCGCCGCATAGCCCGAGTTTGCGAGATGCTCGAACCAGAATTCCGGATCCATGTCAAACAGCTGACCCAACGCGCCCATGACAAAGCGGCTAAGATCAGTGACCATGACCACCCTAACCTCGGAGTTATCTGGTCGTGATTGCAGCGCAGCAGCCAGGTGCCTCTTCCCCGCAATGAGCGCCGTTCGTGGCCCAGTGTCGCCGGCGACATAGTCGAGGATCGTGATCGAGGCGGATCGGAGGCCGTCGTACCGCTCGCGACGAGTGACGTTTAGCCAGCGCGGGTCCCATCGAGCGCGATTGTCGAGATTGTTCATGTATATCTCCCCCAGCGTCTCGAGCCAGTGCGACAAATCTGCCAGACCCTCCTCTTCGGCTTCGAGCTCAGCATGCTGTCGCTTCTCGGTCCCTTCAACGCCATCCTCGGCGTTTATCGGCAGCTCCCTCGCAGTGGCCGCTGGCTGTTTTCTGGAGCCTGTGTCGAAGCATTCTGGCGGCGTGGCTGGCGTCTCCCGCCGAGCGGGCGTGTTCGAGTTTGGGTTTTCGAGCGAGTTGCGCGGGACTTCGTAGTGCGGATTCCAGCGGTCGCTCGTGGGCCATTCCAGTGGATAACCCCTGTATCGGTCGTCGTCGGCTTTGCTGGGTCTGCTTTTCCCAAACATGGCTGTCCCTCGGGCGTTGTTGAGCCGGCGGCGTGCCCAGCCGGAACGGTCCGTGAAGTATTCTTACGGGCGACCTCTTCCACCAGACCAAGAGGAGGTTTGTTTCGCTGCATCGGAATATTGAAGACGACATTGCACGTGGTTCGACGCGCCCCTGGACGCGCCCATCAGCCGCCAGACACCCTGGCAACCTGCACTTCAGCTGACCTGCCGCAAACTGTCCTAGTGCGCCCGCAATCGCCTTGCAGGGCTGCAGGAAAAACCGGCTGTCGATAAATGAGGTGTCTGCTCCAGTGCAGCGCTGCTCTATTATCGCCATGTCATTTGATCGAGGAAAGGTATGAAACCACTTAGTAGTGTATTGAAGCCTGGGAAGATATGTTTAAGGCAGCCACTCCGCAAACCATTCTGACTTTGTGCCGCAGCCACTTCATTATGGTCCTCAGTTCTCCCTGCCCCTAGCGAATACGTTTCGGATGCTTCTGGTCCATCCAGGCTCGTCCGTCTCCGTCTTCTCAAACGCCCTGCGACCAGTGACCAAGTCCACTTCGCTCGACTTGATCCTCTTGGTGCGCTTGAAGTATTTCCAGATCAGGACATTGAGCACAAACAATACATTTCCCAGGTACTTCAGCACGAATTGATCCGGCTTGAATTTCGGGTAAAACGCATCATAGCCTGTTTGCGTGGCGTCAGTAATTAATCACATCCGCGGCACCGACTCCCCGCAGTTGTGATGGGGGACTGAGATACATACCGCTGAACAGACAGACAGCGAGAGTTATCAAGAGAGCGTAATACGCCCCCCATGGCTGCCCCATTGCCCGATAGGGCAGATCATCGAAGTTGAAGTTTTGAGCCTTAAGCGCCCGACGGAACGCGATATATGACAAGAGTACGCACATCCAGTTGAGGACGGCGAAGATCGTAGTCAAACTCACGAAATACTGGAACACGACGGCCGAGGATGTTCTGGCGTTCATGTAGCCCATAAGAACTGGAAGACACGACACCATGACTGCCCAGATCGGGTTGCCATTCTTGAGCGTCTTGCCAAATATTTTGGGGGCTTGTCCGTCCCGAGCCAGACCGTAGAGCGTTCGTGACGCGCAATACACATCTGCGAGAGCTTCTCGTTAACCCTCGCCGACTCGCGAGTGCAGTCAAAGGAGCATAGGGCCACTTACCTGTACAGGCAGCGCTGCAGGTGAAGAAGAGCAGGCAAGCGTTGATGAAATCAGGGAAAATCTTTATGCCGGCCATAGTCATGGCCAAAACGAATGGAGAAGCACCTGGTTGTGTGAGCTGACAGGGTGCCGGATGAGTAGGGACAAGGTTCGAGACGTACTAGCACTCGTCGTTTTCGTGGTGGCCTCCTTGAGGTCTTTGCTATCAGGCTTCACTGCCATGCCAAGCACCAGGACGCCAATGACGTAAAAGAGCGTGATTCTCCAGAAAGTATGCTTGACGGCCCGAGGAATATTCTTCCTTGGGTTCGGCGTTTCGCCAAACGTCATGCCGACCACTTCAGTTCCGAGATACGAAAAGCATGACTGGCACAGGCATGCCCAGAAGCCGAGAAATCGACCCAGGTTTCCCTTGGCCAAGTATTCAGCAAAGGCACCAGGATCGGACCAATACCGGAAGCCTGACCGGTCGTGGTTTGGGCCGCCGCCGAGGGAAATGACGAAGCAGGACAGGATCATGATGGTCATGATGGTGATCTTGGCACACCCGAGCACGAACTCTGTCTCGCCCAGGCGGGATACATGCAGACTCTGTGAGCATACCCTGATCAGCACGCTATTTCGCGATCCCGTTTTCCCTCGGATAATGATCACTTACGTTGATGATGGCTATAGCAACGCCAAACACTGTGATCCAAATGGCGACGTTGAGGTCCGGTCTCCAGTAGCGGATGATGAGTCCTGCGCCCGTCAAATTGGTAGGTGTCGCCAGGACATATTTGAAGAAGTAATTCCATCCACACGCAAATCTGGGCGGGAAGAAAGATTAGCATGACAACATTGACCTGGCGCACTGCGACATCTGGGCTCTGTTCCAAGGGACAGAATTGTAGCCATATCCATGTGAATCCGAGACTTACCCAAAGGCAGGATCTACCATTCGACTAGCGTAACCTGCAAAGCCTTTGTTCATGGGAAGCAAGGCAGCCATCTCGCCGAGCGACGTCATCACGAAGAAGACGGCGAACCCGACCATCACATAAGCAACGAACAGGCTCCCGGGACCGCCGCGCACCAGGGCAGTTCCGCTGCCAATGATCAGTCCCGTGCCAATGGCGCAGGCGATGGAGAACATCTGCACATGTCTTGGCTTCATTTCTCGCTTGAGCTCATGGCGCCCTTCCTCCTCCCCGTCCGTCTCTTGTCCCGTAACAAAAGTAGCCGGGCCCATGACTACACGGTGCTCCTTCTCCTCTGAGTCCGCCATATTGACTTGGTTCTCACTACGTATGGATCGACGGAACGGACGGCGGGACAACACTGGCCAAGAGACACACCCTCAGAGCACCAGATCCGGCGGTGAGGCAGATACAAGAAGAAAGCAGAGGAAAGCCGGAAGGTCTCCCTCTTTTATCTCCCCCACGCTTCGTTGTTGGCAAACATGAGTTGTGCACAACCAACTTAACTCTAAAGCTGTGACCACTTCGTTGGCTGGGCGCTTGTGTGTCCATTGACCAACGGCTGTTATTCCCGTGTGTAGACTTGCTGAGTGGTGAAAGGTTGACAGCCCTGATTGGGCATCTCGTGCGGTTACTAAGAGGTTGTATAGAGAAGACGGGTTCTAGAACTGAGATCTCGCGTCGAGAGCAACGTGAAGCTGCCGCCGCGCGTTCCAGTGACGCGCCTCCCATGCATCATTTTCGACCAACACACACGAGATAGTGATGAGGAGGACTTCCTCGGTAGATTAGGCTTCTCTGATTCATATGTTTGACCACTCCATCCCCATGGCAAACACCAAAAGCTCGGGCCATGCCAATCTGCCTCTGAAGCGCAAGCTTCACCGCTGATACCCGAGCAAGTGCGGGGAAGGCTTTGCGAGTCTTGAGGCCCCGGGTTGGGCACGAGAGCTAACATCTCGTGGCGAGCTGACAGGGAGCGTCGCTTTCATCAGGCTTCGGCAACTTCGGGCCAGCCGTCGGGAAGGTACAAGTGGGCACAATACTTGATCACGTATCTACAGCACGGAGAATGGGGCCCCGGATTGAATGCACTTCTGCCTCCCAAAGGGGAGATGTGATGTCACAGGCGATTTGGTGTCTACATGCCTACGCCCTCCCAAGGGGGTAAGCCCTTGCAGACCACATATCTCACATAGTCAACAAGACATCAACTCTATCGACGTTGCAAGGAGAAGAAGAAACGTCGTATACGTGTCATGTCCACAAAAGTCACTCGATTGGCATTTTGGAGGCTTGTCGGCTGCTTGTTATGGTCAAAGATGCTTCCCCAGTGGCATGCTGAACACGTCGCGAGTGCGGCCGTGATTCGAGCCATACCTGGCCCTCTGCCTGTTCCGTACATGCAGCGGTTGGGCGCGACCATGACAAAAGCCAAGAATAGCATGATGTAATGAAGGCGTTACCTTCGGCCATCATTTCACCGACGAGGCGCTCTCGAGTATCGCCAATAGCGACGACCCGACGCCCAATAGGGCAAATAAACTCGGTGCCTTGGGATTGACCCCTGAGTCAAAAATAGCCTCTTCGCCCGGTCTGCCTTGGCCCAAACCAGGCACAAGAAGCACCGAAATAACAGCGTGACGCCTATTCAGACGGCCGGTGATCCTCGGGCAGACTTCTGGGCGACTGGCATGAGACATCGCGGTGATTGCGGCCGATTGACGTTGCATGCTGACAATGTCGGCTTTTCAGCTGGTGGGGCGCGGGCGATGTGCCGTTGGCCTGCATGGAAGCCATTGACAAAGTGATTGGCGGCCGGGTGACTGCCGATCATCTTGGCCGTACGGCAGATGGACGAGTTTAGGTATACGAAAACACGATGCGGCTGTTGTAAGGCTGTCCGCTTACAGGAGGAGAGATGATCGACGTCCCAAAGCAGAGGAATGCCTAATGAAGCGTCAGTGACTAGGCGGCGATGCTTCAAACACAGTTGTGAGAGAGCATAGAGAAAGCGAGGAGAAGACTAGAACTGGAGGAATATAAATATGCGTCTTTGCCTCCATCAAGTCGGCTCGTCGTCTTATCTCACAGCAGCAGCACATCTTCTATACAAGCCAACGAATTCCACTTAACAAGACACTCTTCAACATCAAACAACATGAAGGTCCAGACCGCCCTCCCCATCATCGTGGCTCTCGTCTCGGGCGCCCAGGCCGCTAGCACCATCGTGCGATGGCACGGCTGCGGTGGCGAGAACCAGCAGACGCAGACCAACGGCGACGACTGCACCAACGTGAGCGGCTTCAAGACGGAGAACCTGTGCAAGGTGGAGGTGCCGCCGCCCGGTACCGACCGCTGCGAGTTCTACACCACCATGTGCGGCAACCCGTTCGGCACGACCTACTACTGCAACGCTGGACAGACGTGCGATGCGTCGTCGTGGGAGGCGATTGACTCGTACCGATGCTACCAGTGATTTTTGCTTAGATGGACGAGATGGTAAGAGCTCACGGAGAATACGTTGGATGAGTTGAGACTAATTCGTACCAGGCAGGGCGCAGTGAGGGATGTGGGCTGTAACTTGCTGTTATAAACTCCTCTGAACGCAATTAGAACTCTTCAAACAGCAGATGTTATGGGGATGTCCCTGGTTGTGGGCAGGATGAGAGGCGCTCGTGTAGATTTCTCGTTACAGCTAGTGTTATGCATACAGTTTATCCCCACGCTGGATATCGCCCTCTGTGATCGCCTGCTAGCAGTAAGCGCTACGCAGATCATTGGCAATCCCGCCTTGACTAGATGGCAGATGCAGGTGTAAATGAGTAACATGAACCACCTGGTCCGGCATCGGGAACAATTTCACCACTGCGGCATGCTATTCCCGCATCTGGCTGCTAGAAAGCGGGATGTGGAATCAACATGGGAATAATCGGTGATGCCGCCTGCAGGTCCAGCTTCCTTGTTAGCCGTTGTGCCTGGCTCTGTAACGACTTACAAGGCAAGCCCCCGGCAAATTGCACTTGAGCCACGATTATTAAATGCCTCTTCTTCAACCAGAGAAAGAGACTGCCGCTGACGAATTACAGCCAGCAGACACGGCGGGCGGTCCACCACCCAGCTGTCAAACCGGCCGCTTGACGAAGGGCGTGCCACAGCGGCCCCGGCGCCTCGATGGCACTTGGTGGGGGTCTCCCGGGGCCCGCCGGCACCTGGAGGCATTCGAGAACAGCCTGCTGAATAAAGTTCGGCAGGGTTCGCGGCGCGGCGCTGAAGCCGACGGATCCGATACTGCCGGGATGGCTGTTGCCAGCCTCCGATAACAGGGCTGAGACAGGGTGCGTCACCGGGGCTCAACGGTTTTAAATATTGATACGGCTGCATTGAAGCTCATCAACGCGCTGCTGGCCCGTAGCTCACGGCCTTGCGACTCGCAGCTTCATCATCATGGCGCCCCAGGCCATTCGCAACATATGGCCCCGGGCGTGGCACACGCGGCTGCCCCTGTCGCACCCCGAGGTCAGGACCTACCGGATCAAGTTCCTCAAGGCGGCGGGACTCAACTTTGTGCTCATCGTGGTGCTCTTCTTCAGCCTGTTCTGCTACCTCTTCGGGTCGCTGTACCAGCAGGAGACCCGCGTCCACAGCCTTACCGTGCTGTGGGTGGACTACGATGGTGGCATCATTGGTGACGCCGTGCGACAGGCCTATGCGTCTTTGAAGTCGAGCGGCTTCCCGACTCTGATAGAAAAGGCCGTCGCCGACTATCCCACGACGGGAGCGCTGAGAGAAGCCGTCTGCAACACCGACTACTGGGCCGCTCTGTATACGACACAGGGAGCGTCGACGGCGCTGGCCGATGCCATCTCGGGCGCCAGCTCTTCGCCTTACAATGCGTCCAACGTGCTCTCGTTCATCTGGAACGAGGTGCGGTATCCGACCGTCATGGACGGCCTCATCGCCGGCAACCTCCAGACGCTCTCCGAGGCCGCCCGCGTCGCGTACTATTCACTCAACGGCACGGCTGCGCTCGCGAGCATCCCGCCCAACGACGGCGCAGCGATGGCCGCCTTTACGACCCCGTGGACGCTCACCTCGTACAACATCAAGCGCACGACGCAGGGCCCGCGCGCCGTGTACAACACCATCGTCATCGTGCTGGTGCTGATCCAGGACTTCTTCTACCTGGCCATCATCAACGGGCTGTACGTGCAGTTCAAGATCTACACGCGCATCTCGCCGGGGCGCATCGTGCTGGTGCGCGACGCCATCTCGACCGTCTTCACCATGACGGGGTCGCTGCTGCTGACGTGCGCCATCTGGGCGTTCCGCACCAGCTGGGACGTGTCCGGGACGCAGTTTGCGCTCACCTGGCTCGTCATGTGGCTGTTCGCGCACGTCAACTTCCTGACGCTCGACGTCTTCACCATCTGGATCCCGCCGCAGTACATCTCCATGGCGCTCATCAGCTGGGTCGTCCTCAACGTCACGTCCATCATCCTGCCGTTCGACCTGTCGTCGCCGTTTTACCGCTGGGCGTACGCGCTGCCCGCGCACGAGGCCTACGAGGCGCTCACGGACGTGTGGTCGGGCGGCTGCAACCCGCACCTGCACTACGCGCTGCCGATCCTGTTCGCCTACGAGGTGAGCGGGCTGTTCTGGACGACGCTCGGCGTGTTTCGGCGGTGCCACTATGCGGCTCTGACGGAGGAGTCGGCGCAGGAGGCGATGCGTCTGCGCGTCGAGGCGGCGCTGGCGCTGGAGCGCGAGCACGACCGGCGCGTCGCCTGCGAAAAGCCCTTGCACGGGGAAGGTGCCGAGGCGGGAGAGCCGTCGGAGGCGGGACACGGAGCGGCTGGCGGCGATGTCGGCAAGGTCGGCACGCGCGAGACGGACGAGGCGGACAGGGCAGAGGCCGAGCACGAGATGGAGGAGCTCGGCGAGGAGATTGAGCGCATGGAGACGCGGGCGACGAGGCTGGCCAACTTTGGGCCGCGATTCCGCCTCGTCGGCACGCACGAGGATTGATGCAAAAAAGTCATGGAGTTTTGAGGAGTGAATTGAAAGGACAATTGGTACAGAATAGGGCCCTCGGAGGCTGCCGACCAAGAGGCGGGCACTGAGTCACGCCGACCATTACGGGGACGAGAAACACCACGACGCACGCCGGAGCCAGAAGCCCCACAGCGGCGGCTCCGGCTCTTTCAGGGCACTCCGCTTTCTCGACTTTTGCGTCTCTCGCCGGCCGTGTTTAGTGTTCGCCGCTCTCCAGTTCGGTCCGTGACTCTACAGCTATCCGGTCGGAACACCAGATCTGTGTGGCGATCGGCGAGTTACTACAAACCACGACAACGACCTCGGCTACTCAGCAATTGCGGCGTCGGCTCACCACCTACTGCAGCCCCCCTTGCGGTGAGAGAATCATCGTATTGCCTGAGCTTGAACGCCGTTGTGATACTTGACGACACGCAAGGCAGAAGACTACTAGTCGCGTCGTCGAATGTCCGCTTAGCCGCGACAACTTCCTCAACTCACGATCATTCATCACTGAGCGTCTATATAGCCTCATATCCACGCCCACTCATCGCCGGCCAACAACAACAACAACAACAACCACCACACTCACAGCGCACACACACATCCATCTGCTTCTCATCATCATGGCCCCCTACGACGTCCTCGTCACCGGCTCATCGGGCCACCTCGGCACCGCCCTCATGCTGAGCCTCCCCTCCCAGGGCTTCACCCCCCTCGGCATCGACATCCTCCCCTCCCCGACAACCACCCACGTCGGCTCCATCTCCGACCGGCCCTTCATCGCCTCCCTCCTCGCCGCCCACCCCTCCATCACGCGCGTCCTCCACGCCGCGACCCTGCACAAGCCCCACGTCGGCAGCCACCCCAAGCAGTCCTTCGTCGACACCAACATCACCGGCACCCTCGTCCTCCTCGAGGAGTCCGCCGCCAAGCTCCCCCGCGTCGACGCCTTCATCTTCTTCAGCACCACCAGCACGTTCGGCATGGCGCTCAGCCCCAAGCCCGGGTCTCCCGCGGCCTGGATCGACGAGAGTGTCGTGCCCGTGCCTAAGAACATCTACGGCGTGACGAAGGTCGCTGCTGAGGACATGTGCGCGCTGGTGCAACGCCAGACGGGCATGCCGACGCTTGTGTTGCGCACGTCGCGCTTCTTTCCCGAGGAGGACGACGATGAGGACCGTCGCGCGGCTATGGCGGACGAGAACCTCAAGGTCTTGGAACTGGCGTATCGGCGGTGCGATATCGCGGACATTGTGTCCGCGGCGGTTTGTGCCATGAGCCGCGCGCGCAACATTGGCTGGGGAAAGTACATCATCAGCGCGCCGCCGCCGTTCCGAAACGACGCGGAGACGCTGGCTACGCTGGACCGCGACCCATCAGGTGTGTTCCGTGCGGTGCCCGTCGGTGATGATGCGGCTGGTGAGACCATCAACAAGGTGTTTGCGGAGAAGGGGTGGAAGCACCTCGCGCGCGTGGACCGCGTATACGACTCGACGAAGGCGGTGCGCGAGCTGGGCTGGCAGCCTGAGTATACGTTCGAGAAGACGATTGCGAGGCTGGCACGAGGAGAGGCGTGGAGGAGCGAGCTGACGGGCAAGGTCGGCAAGAAGGGGTATCACGCAGAGAGCACGGGCGTCTACACCAAGCGATGAGCCCGGCCGCCAAAGACAGCCATGCGCCGGGGGGGCAAAAGTTGTTGGGTATTTCGATAGTATTTAAATGTGAACGTATATATATGGCTAATATGCAACATCATCCCCGCGAGGCCGAGGTCATGAAAAGCTGGAAGCTCCGCTCGCCGACCTTGCACTCTTTGCGTCACCGTCTCGCATGCGAACCAGCTGTACATCGTCGTTGTACTTGTCTGCGTTCTTGTCGCCAAATTCGACAGTGTACGTAGTCTGGTAGGTGATTTGGTTCTCGTTGACATCCGGGCGGTGTTTCGACCGCTCTGCGTGTGACCTCGTGCCAGTTCCGAGCGGGAGGCCGGCCACACCTGCAGTCCCCGATCGATGTTGTCCGTTCGTGGACCTGCCGTAGTATCGCGCCGACATTCCACGTAGACCAGGAAATAATCTCACCAGGAGCAGTCGCAAGGATGGCATGCAAATGCAAATGATGCCGACATTGATCTCCACGGTAGACCAGACGCCAGCCTCGAAAAAGTCCCATGTCGGGTTGACTGTGCTGGCGCCGGCCTGGACCAGCGATCGAAGCCGAAGCATACTGACAATGGTGACGCTAAGATGGAAAGGTTAGAGACCTGCCCTTCGTTAGGAGTAGGTAGCGGAGACTCACAAGGTGCCCACGCAGAACATCATCGCCACGCCAACCTTCTTCCTCATGTCCAGGTTCAGACTTCTCAACTGCCAGAGCGGAATGCCAAGCATCCACGCATCCAGCGCAATGCTTATGGCGGCATTGCTCCATCCAATGCCCATAATATCGATGCAAGTGCCGTGATGCACGCCATCCGCAGCCCACTGCCACCAATAGTACTCGATGGGGATGCATTGGAACGTTGCCAGAAACACAAACGTGACGCCAAATAGCGACACGACGGCGATGGTTCCCCAGAGCAGCCGGCGAACCGTAGTAGTCGGAAAGATTCGGATATAGAAGAAGAGGAGAGCGAGTTTGAGGATAGAGACTTCGGCAAAGTAAATAACCTCCATGATGTAAAAGTACTTGACGAAGCCAATGACTTGATCGAGGGACAACGTCCAGCTGTCGCGGCCAACGCCATTCCAGACCAGGGTGTAGGCATTGAAGTAAGTGACGGGGAAGCTGACGATGAGGGTGATGAGGGTGAATAAATCGTCTAATCCGAAATCTAACTTGGCCCAGAACTTGTACGCGAAGCGCTGTATGACGAAGATGGAAGCGATGATGGAAAATGCGTCTGAAATGGCAATGTATCGACTCGATCTATCGCGGATAGGCTCGTTGCAAGCTGTGGTTGTGAGGTTCTTGGAAACTGCCGAAGTTAGGCTACGTCTGTGAAGACCGGAGAAAACTCATTACTCACACATGGACTCTTTTATAGAGCAGCTGCCCGTGACACACAACATGACGGTGTCCTGGACAGTCTGATTGGTGCATAGTGAAGTCTCGTTGGCGGCGACATTGTTGGCCTTGTCCACGATCAGTGGCAAGCATGGGGCCTGGAGCCAATGTCAGTACTTGGCTCCCGACGAATATCGTGGTGGCCGGTGACCGAGGAGGCTGTTCCATACCGCGCACTTCGGAAAGAGGGCAAGCGTGTTGTTCAGGGACACGTCTTCGGCCAAGGCTGGCAGAGCCAGGGGGGCGGCCGACAATAATAATTTGCAATACTTCATCGCTGCGATAGGTAGACTCTCTGATCTGGATATGAGGCCTGGGGTAGCTTGATAATAACTAGAGCTGCGTTAGGGGCCGGCGAGGCGCGAGAGGTGGCCCAGTGCCGGCCGTTGAACGCCCTCAAGTCCGGGGCCGTCCGGTAGGCGGTCGAAGCTTTTTCGGATGAGTCGATATGGCGACTGAATGGCTACCGTAACGCGTGCGCGGTGCCGTCAAGATGGATGAGCCAGCACCCACGTAGTGCCAAGAGACGAAAAGGCACGGGCAGTAGGATTCGGACAGGGGCAGAGGCGAGCCAGAGTGTCGGGACGCCGGGAATATATGTCAGGCATGCACGATCTGCCCGGTGGGCACCGGCGTTCTGGCAGGCAAGGATGGTGGCATGGCTTTCCCTGCTCAAAGTGGTCGCGAGTCACGATGGGCGCTCCATCTCGCAGCAGCTAATCAAGAGCCTCAAACCCGTCTGAGCTGTCGCCCCTGGCATCCCCACAAGCCAAAACGCCATGCCCGTCGCGAAGTTGACCATATCGGTCTATCGACATTGGAGCCACACTAGTACTCTACGGTAACGAAGAGTCCCAAGAAGCGCGGCAAGTGTGGGGGCTACCACTTACGACCCGAGCAGCAATAAGGTCAAGTAGGCGGACGGTGGACGGCAACGACCAAATAGTTCCCGTTCAACTTGCCGGGCCATGTCATGTCAGTTGCCCAGTCGGCAAAGGTGCGCTCCAGAGTGCTTGGTGGCCAGCCGGCGAGCTTGTGAAAGTTGCAAGAGACTTCCGAGCAGGCCCATCGGGGCATAAACGCCGTTGGATGGAGTATCAGGTGGTGGTCGTGTGTGTGTCCCCTGGTGCAGGGGATGCATCACCATCAAGACCAGCAGTGGGCCGCCACACGAGGGCCCACAGCGGGAACAAACGGTCGACTTCTTGCCTGCCAGGCGCTCGGCTCCGACACGGGCCTGCACATCATCCACATCATCAGAAGGGACGAGCCTCGGCAGGGCTGCAGGGGTATTGAGTCAAGCCGTCCAGCTGGCTTCCCAAAATTTTGCGTGTGGACATGCCCTGCAGAGTCGGTCGGTGGCCAGAATCTCACTTTGCAAATTGACTGCGCCCATTTGAGCGCGATCCTGTGGCTCACGGCGTCCCTTGCGATGTCGCGAAATGTCAGCGGCGCATCCGCACGGCGAGTGCGCAGAGGCGATACGGGGCTTTCACACGTGGTGGCCTAGTTCTAGAAGGGAAGTTCGCCGCGCAAAGTCGAGACCAAGCCCTGTCACTAGTGAAAGGAGAAACGGTGACCCGCCGCAGACATGTGGCTTGCCGGAGCTGAATCCATTTTAGGGCGATTGATCTGCGGTAGGTGCGGTCCCTGGAGACAACTGACACGGGCCGGCAACCACATCCGTGGGAGGGCTTTGGTGCGTCGCGAGGGGTAATGGTCGTGCTGAATGGCAATCTCAATGGGCTCTGTGTATAGGATAGAGGGTGTGAGTCGGATTGCCTGCATGTCAAGTTAGATGATTCGGTTCCTGAAGCTGGTTCCTGGATGTGTCCGGTGCAAAGCACGGCGCCGCCAGACTTTGCAACTGACAAGCTTTCGCCCCGCGACGGAGTCTGGCAAAAGTTTGGCGGAATCCTGCCGCTGTCGTTCCCACCGTGTGGCTGTTTCGATGTTTGTGGCTTGACCGGTGTGCCGCCGAGGACGACCCAAGGGAGATGCTTCCACTTCCAAATTTCCGTCCTCGACAGTCTCCCCTCGTGTTCACAGCGGCTCTGTTTCCGTCTACCATTCCGCGCGGCCCTCCGCCAGAATGAGGGGCTACCACGAGATGAAAAATCTGGGGTAATAACCCCATGGTTCCGTGGCCTGAGCCTGTACGACATGGGACCAGGAGACGTGCCGCGACAGTCCCGCATCGAAAACGGAATTGCTGTGACGGTTGGTGCCGTCCTTGCGGAGGCCACAGGCCGGTTGGTCGTGTCAGCGGTTAGGCCGGTCCTGTTCATATCTGCCAACGCGCAGCTGGTACTCGAAGGTAGACAATTGTACCCTCAGCTCTGGACCAGTCGATACCCGAAGCTTCTGACAGTCCCGCGCAGCGAAAGAGAGCACACCATGCTCAACATAGCGACACGGGTTCACGCCGAAAACAAAGCCCAGGGTGAGAGTTTGGGTCGTCCAAAAAGTGATTGGTCTATGTTCTATCATCAGTTCGTCAAGCTTGTGGCCTCACCTCAGCAGCTCTTCGTGTCCGGCCTCTCGCAACACGTCCTGCACCGCAGCCAGCACTCTCGGGTGCAAGCTCTCCGGCGCCGCCACGAAGCCAAAGTTGGCGCTCATCTTTCTGCCGGCCGCCAAGTCGATATCCTTTCCGTGAACGTCTGTGATTTTGCCGCCTGTCTCCTCAAACAACAGCATCGCACCAGCGTGGTCCCAAGCTTTGGCATATCGATCCCGCCGTTTGTACACCCACACCGTCGTGTTGCCGAGGCCCATGGCCAACGCCGCCCAGCGCAAGACCCAGGGCAACAAGTCACAGCCCGGATATGCGGCATTGAGACGTTGGGCGACGGCCTCGTGCACGCCGTCGAGGGCTGAATCTGCCATGGCGACAGATGTGATGAAGCGCAGGCCATCCTCGGGGGCTGTGACGGAAGACACATGTGGGAGCTGTCGATGTTGGACGTTGCCCGCATTGCCCGAGAGAGAACGAACCCAGGCACCATGGCCTTTGACCGCGTAGACAATGCAGCCCTCGCCGGACGGGTCGACGTCGGGATTGTTCAGCGGAGCCGTAGCGTTCATCGACATGTTTGGACACGCCACGGCACTCACGTCCTGCTTACCGTCCACGAGCAGCGCTACATTGATGGCGTAAAGCTCTCCGCGGATAAACGTCTTGGTTCCGTCGATTGGGTCAAACACCCACGTTCTGCCGCCGCCAGGCTTGCCGCTGCCCGCCTGGTCGACAAGGTTGCATAGCTGATCTTTCGTTTCCGGCACGGCAAACTGGGCCTCCTCCTGGAACGTCTTGACGCCCTGCAGCAGATGCCACACACGTTCCAGAAGCGCGGGATTGGCTCGCAGGTCGGAGGCGTCTTCTTCGCCGACAAAGGTGTCGTCGGGGAACGCTGCCTTGCAGGTGGCAATGAGCAGGCTTTGGACGGCAAAGTCGGCGATTGTGACGGGGCTGAGGTCCGACTTGGAGATGGCGCCCTTGTCGGCCGACGAGACAATGGATTGGCTGAGTCGCGCGGCGCCCTGCAGGGCCGCGAAAGCGAGGGCGAGCTCCCGCTGGTACGGGCTGTCCATGGTGTTGGGGGCGGAGGAACGCCAGGAGATGATTTTCGCGCAGTGAACTTTTAGCGATGCTGTCGCGCTGTGGTGTTGACACTGTGGCTGTGGGGCGGACTCACGCCGCCAGTACAGTGCGCTCATCTTCGCACGGCCCTCTTCATCTCCAGCTCAGCATTCACGCATCACTAGCGCTTCGTTCGTTCATCAACCAACTCGCTCGCTTTCTGTTCTGCCGTGTCGCCGGGACCGAAGACCATGAGCTCGCACGCGCACTCGCCATGGCTCTGGACGTCGATCCCCATGCCCTGACGCTCGCCCAGGGCGTCGAGCCCTTCAGCCTGACCCCCGTCATCGCCGACCTGCTCCGCACGCGGTATCCAATCCCAGGGTCGATATTCCTCGTTGAGGGTGTCGATGCGCATCGCGTCGGCCGCTCGGGCTCGTGGGAGGCGGTGCGTCTGCTGCTCGGCGACGGGGAGCTATGCGTGCAAGCCCTGCTAGATGACAAAATGCACCGCTTCATCCGGACCGGGGCCGTTGACGTGGGCAGCTACGTCCGCGTGCAGAGCTTCGAGCTACGCTGGGTAACGCTTAAGGGAAAGGGCGAAGGCGGCGGCGATGCTAAGGGTAAGGCCAAGGAAAAGGAGGCGAAAGGTAACGACAGAATGGTGTATCTTCTCGTCAGGGAGTTGGTGACGACTGGTTGGAACAACTCTGTCAGAGCGCTACACCTAGCCGAGACGGCGGATGCATTAGACTCTGCAGAGGGGGACTCGGAGACGGAAGAGAAGGCTGCCTCTCAAGGCGACGAGACAGTTCTCGCCAAAGAGCCACAGTTGCCGTATCAAATCCTTGAGCCGCGGGTCGTCAACCGGCCTGCACCAACAACCCACAGGATCGCCAACCCTGCTGCGCAAACTCCGAGTAGCCGCAAGCGAGACGCCTTTGAAGACGCTTCTGACGCCGACCTCGAAGATGCCTTTGACGCCATCGAGGCGCATACTTTTCCCCAGCGAAAACCCACTCCCTCTCGGTCCCGGCCGTCGACGCCTAATCACCAAGCGTCCAAAGCCTTATCGACCGGTCCGCCTATACCCCTGCCGCGAGATTGGCATGATCCCCAAGTACCGCTCAAGCTCACCACTCTTCGCTCCGTCCCGCACCTCCCATACCCGCAGAACTGGTCCGTCAACATCTTGGCTATCGTCGCCGAGCTCTCCACCGTCGAGCCCTCCAACCTACCGCCATATCGCCAGCGTACAGCACGCCTCGCTGACCCATCCACGGCCAAGCAGGTCCACCTGACCGTCTTCCTTGACCCGGAGGCGTTTTCTCCTAAGGTCGGCAATGCGGTACTGCTCACAGGTGTCAAGAACCATCGCTTCGACGGCGGTAGCCTGAAAAAGTACGCGAGCGATGGCAAGGAAGGCAAGCGTTGGTGGTTCGAGGAGCCGTGGGAGCTCGGTTGGTGCGACGTGAGGGGCATCAAGGAATGGTGGGCACAGATGGAGGCCGCCATGGCCGAAGACCTGGACGACTTCGAGGGATGACTTGGATACGTTTGTCCGCCACTGCTTACTGCATATGCCCTTTGCGTCGGCACATTCACAAGAGCGCGAGTTTCCGACGGCGAGAAAGGCTGCCGCATAATCAGCACCATGGATTCAGAGTGGCTAATTGAGCACCGTCGGTCGCTTCTCGAGACATCAAATTACGAATGACACCCCACGACTCAGTCCGTCGAGTATATATACATCGTGATGACGCGGGCTCCCTGACCATGTCCGCACACTGCCCACGGACCGCCTCTCGCCGCCCGATGGAGTTTGCCCCTCTACCGCGCGTCCTCACGGCAAGAAAGCCAGATGGGTGCCCCGCGTATACCACGATCCTCGGATTGTTTCGAAGCTTGTCGTGTGCAGCGTCGACTCAAGTTTCATCTCATGTTCCAATGCACAGCTATGTTGGCGACGCACGGGCGACGGATGACGTACGTCGATTGCTTTGCCTACACCTCTGAGCTTTTTTTTTTTTTTTTGCAACCGAGACAGTCGCAACTTATAACGACCGGACTCCCGCGAGAGCCAAGTACAATAGCCTAGCACGCTACCCACGGCCACCATTCTCGACAACAGAGATCATCCCTCGAGCTTACCGGAATGCGTTGGGCAGCTATCTTTGTCGCCCCGACGCTTTGCCAGCTCGCTGCGGCACAGGCGCAGCCAGCTTACGGCTGGGATCATGCCGGAAAGACGAACAGACCATGGGACAAGAACAACCCCCGACCGAAGTGGTGGGATGACAGACTGCCCGACAGCGGCGTCATCCGCGGTGTAAGATTTGCAAGCCCGTTGAAGTTCGATTACAAAGGCTCAAGCTATCGAAAACCAGACTTGCGACTTTAGGGAAAATACCTGCAATTGGGCCATTCGGCGTGGTTGCGAGATCCTTATTACACCTTGCCACCCCTCTACCAAGGTAATGCCAGCGCCGAGCCACCTGCACCCCATGTACCAGACGGACTAATCCGAATCCACTAAAGTGCATTACGCCGCCAAAGAATAGGCTGCCGCTCGATTGTCTCATCACTATCAATGAATCGCTTCCATTGACGGAACAAGTTGCACACTGTAGGTAGCGGAGAAAGCTAGCCTCCAGTCAGTCGAGCCTCGATTACCATGTTTCGATTAAAGGAGTGTGAAGCGGTCTTGTGACATACTGTCCTGTGTGCCTCTGCGTAAGCCCTTCCTGGTTCCCAGATTCATCTGGTGCATTCGCTGCTCCTTCTCTCCAAATCGCATGAACTCACTGCAGTCGAATGCCTTTGCCTCCCGTAGCAAATGCTTCACTGTGCCTATATGTTGATTTAACAATGTTATATACATCATGCCCTCTTATTGAGTAAATATGAGAACCTCTTCTCGATATTGTCCCTTGCCAAGTGCATGGAGTGCAACACTTCTTCGTCGCTCGCGTGCGTAAGCTCGCAAACATCCACCGGTCTTGACTCCAACATTTTCGCACTGATGTATTCGCCCGTGGTTTCAACCTCGTCAGGCTTCGCAACGACACCATTGACAAACTTGGCCCAGCCCGCAAACGACTTGGCCGCTGCGGGCGTCCAGTCCAGGAACAGCGCAAAGCAATGTGGCATCGCCTCGTACTGTTCCCACACCACGGGCACTCCCTGTCTCGCCGCCTTTTGCGCAAACACCTTGCACTCCCTCGCTAGTACCTCCTCACCGCACACGAGGAACACGGGTGGCGAGCCAGCCCACGATGGCGCAGCCAGAGGCGACACGAGCGGGTGCGCGAGAGCACTGCCCTCGCAGAAGAGGTCCACGCGCGGAGGGTCCGTCGGCCACACCTTGCAGGGCGGCGACTGCGCGGGGGAAAAAGTCGGCGGCGGGAGGTAATCGTAGGTGCGGCTCGCTTCGTCCGGGTCCCAGTGCATGGAGCGCGTGAGATCCATGGAAGGGGAGTTGAGAGCCACGCCGGCCGGCAGCGGCACAGCCACCTCGACCCCATGAAACAGAACTGTAGCGTTTCGATTGCCAGCCGAGGCAGCGCGGTGGAACTGGAGAAGTGTCTGAAGGAATGAGGTGGCTAGATTGCCGCCCGCAGAGTCGCCGCACACGACGATGGATGTTGGGGGTATCGCATCGTGGAATGACCCCGGAGGCGGATGCAGGAGGGACAGATATGCAACGAGAGCATCGAGCAGGGCCGCTGGAAATGGACCCTGGGGTGCCACGCGATACCGCACCGAAAGAACGCGACCTCTTGTAAGGGCAGCGTATTTGGCTGCCACCGGCCGAGTCGAGACCGGATCCATCAAGTAGTTGGAACCGCCATGAAAGTACAAAATCGTCATGTCTTTCCTCGCTTCGCGTACCAGGTTGTCGTACTTGTCCTCCTCGGACATGGTCACAGGCTCAGGTTCCTTGTCAGACACGCCGTCCCGATGCCCGACCCATTCCGCTCCCACAGGCTCCAATTGCGGCGTCGCGTACTCCTCCCCGCCTTCGCCGACTGCCGCGATGGCCTCACGCAGCTGTTGTCGAAGGTCGTCTTCAGGCGGCGGTGGGAAGGCGACCTTGCTTACCCACATCTTGCCCTTGACGCCCGGGTCTTTGAGAAACATGGCCTGCTGCTCGGAGATGGTTGTGGGTGGTCCATCGTTGAGCAAAGTGCGGATGAAGGCAATCGTGAGGGCGGTACGGAGGTCCCATTTCTTCGCGGTAGGGCTGAGGGAAAATACATGGTTGAAGACGGTCTTGACGAGCAGGGGGATCTTGGTGAAGATGAAGGCGAGGGGGGCCAAGAGCGAAGTCATTGTAAGTGGACGTAGAAGAATTTCCACTGCGCATACGGAGCCACTTCGGTAGATGGACTACACTGACCGAAAACAAGATGTGATCCCAATTGATCTTTAAAGGCTCACATCAGCGGCTCAAGTCTGGTACAGAGTTCAGCTCGTCAGGTGTTTACGAGGGAACGAGAGGCCAGCCACCCCGCCAAGGCCCCGTGGAGACCCTGACGCCGCAGATCTGGACAATTCGCGGTGTCCTGTTGCTCCCCGAAACACCGGCAGAGGCCGTCCAGCGCCTGACAGACATGGGGCGGCCACGGTGAAGCACGGATAAACCATCCCTCCGCCAGCATTGAACCAAGCCCGTTTAGCCTCAAAGGAACTTGAAACGACAAGATAAGCACTCGATTGTAAAAGCTCTTGGGGGATGAGATCTTTGCGCTCCTGTTCGGTTGCTTGAGGCCTGGTTGTGGCGAGGATTGACTATGAGTGTGAGGCCCGGATGTAAGCCAGCACAGAGCTGTTGTCGCGAGATGGGTCGGTGGTACGTAGCCTCAACGGGGTCTTGCAACAGAAGTTTGTGTGCCTCAAACACGGGAAGGTCTTTGATATAAGAATTTCATGCTTTTAATTTCGCTGCTTGGGGTTATAGCAAGGATTCAGCTCAAGTGAGTCTTGCACTACGACATGGACATTGTAGGTTCACCGTTTGGGCAGATACACAGCCGTCTTATTCCTCGGACAGTTGAGTGAGAATCACCAGTGCACATCTCTGGACATTCAGTTTGCATCGGACGGTTCAGTCATCTTTCAATCCCGCCCACTACACCCCAGGACCATCTCCCCAGCTGGAGACGCCTCTGCCCATCGAGGGGCGCTTCCAGTCCGCATGAGCTTGCAGTCTTTCCAGGACTTGGCAACATGAAGCAACCAAAGCGATTCTTTTGTTGGCGTCAAAGCTCACGAGGTCTGGTGTCAGACAGCCAGTTGCAGCTCTCGCCTCCTATGTAGGTGCTCCAGCCATCAACCTCAATGTTCCTTCCGGAGACACCCCTCACAGGACCACGACACATATTCACCAGGTGCTGCGCACTGTCTGCGATTCGCCAGTCTTCCACGCTCTCCGACTCGCTGGTCTGCACGCCACATCAGCAGCTGTTAGCGGGCGGTCACCCGTTACCGAATGCCCGGGGCGTCAATTCCCACTTACATCGTTGCACCACGTGATGCTTGCGTTTTCCTCACACGCAATCCGGGCGCATTTCCCGGCGTTGAGGCTATAGCGAGGGGGAGCCGAGGGCCGGCGAAGCACTGAGATAAGGTGCTCGATGCGGTGCATGTCGCCCGAGCGCCACCCGCCGCACCGTACCGTCGAGGATATCTTCTTGGGCTGCCTCTTGCGGTCCAGCTTGTATGCGTATCGCCAGTTGGGCTTCACGTTCAGCATTTTGTCCAAGACGTCCTCGATCAGGCCGCCGGACTTTGCCTTCTCCTCGGCCTTGAAGGCGGGCTCTGTCCATTGAAGTATCTCGACGTCCTCCGGAGGGACGGTCCATTTCACATCAGGACCCGACGGCGCGTCTGGGTCCCTCGGCTGGAGCGAGTCGGGTGATCCTTGGGACAGGGCACCCAGCACCATCGTGGCGATGACTATGAAAGAATGCGCTACGTGCATGGTGACGAGATTGAGTGTGCTAGATGAGGGAGGAAAAGGAGAGGTGGTGTGGTATATGGCCTCGTTAGGTTGTGTCCCAGCAGCAATGGAATGTTGCGCATGTTGGCCACATCACGGAGAATATGGCTTCCTTTTATAGCCTTCGTTCAATGCCTTTCGCCTGCTGCGCGTATTTGGCCAATGTTTGGGAACACGAGTACATGTATTGCGCTGGAGTCATCTTGGGCAGAGTCCATGTCATGACCCAGCCAGAATGGCTCGTTTCAACAGAGACGAAGTTCTGCTCGCGACTTGACATGGTGGCCCTCGTATAGTCTAACTAAACGGAATAAGAAACAGTAGCAATGCGTTCGCCCGAGGTTGCAATAGAGCTGGTGTGCTGGGCGAACAAGCCTACGCGACTGTGGCCTGGAAGCTCAATGCAGATGGCTCAGTGTTGGCGGCAGAGCACTAAGGCCCCAAGCGGAAATTCGTACCTTCTTCTCAGTCTCATAAACCAAAGCTACACTCAATATGTCCTAGGATTCCATCATGCTATATGCCTTGGTATTGACAACAGGTAAGCCAGCAAGCGGGGACATGGATTACGGAGAGTCGCAGATGATACTGCAGTCTTCGATCCACAACACCGCGAGATGTGACACTCATTCGCGCATGACATTGGCAACGAGAACGCTGGAGCTCTAGCTATGCCTTGCAGGATCCAGGCCTGTAGTAATGGCATCATTTTAGGTTGCTGTGGAGGGATCCTCTGCATGTATATTACATGGCGGCGTCGCATACGAATCACACAGGCTTGCCCAGACTGCCAGTGTTGTTGCAGCGCTGCCTGCCTTGGACGGCCAGCATCGACTAGCTGAACACTTCAGGCGCCGAACATGGCCAAGCCCATTCACGGCCCAATCTCGACGCTGATCGAGGAGTAAAAAGATTGGGCTTATGGTTCAACCCAATGCCTCGCGCTCTCGTCGGGGCGGGTGGTACAGACAGTTGCGCCTATCTGCTATAGTAGTGACCAGTCGTGTAAGTGTAACAGCAGGTCGTGCAGCGTCGACATGCCGCGGTTGCATGCGAGCTTCTTGCTTCTGGGTTACGCCAAATATTGACGCGATAAGATCAATAGTGCATCGTGTCGGAACGCCATTTGCCCTAAGAAAGAGTTGTCTGCAAGGACGCTAAAGTACGGTGCTGAGTAGATTCACAGCAGCGGATGCGTGCAGGTTGCTGGTGAGCTTTCGCAATGGAATAGTAGAGGTGACTTGGTCGCACGAGCTGCTAAGTCCCGGGATCCGATCACTCGCAGGTGACGAAATGCGCCACATGAGACGGGAAGAAATGGACGGGGGCCCTGCAACATGACGACGGAAGCAAGGTGGCCATGGTGCACTGTGCAGTCTGCATAGCCGCCCAAAGACCCCTCAGCGATGCCTTATCAAAGGCACCACGCGGACGGAGAGGGATACGCACCGGGTACCTTACCTTATCACTCAAGCACAAATGCCTTGTCTGGCGTGAGAGAAAGTTAGCGGACCAAGTGTAGCTTGCCCCGAGAAGGAAACTTGGGGAGCAATTAACTACCATACCAAGGTGCTCAGGGTACGCAACCCGAAAAGCCGGGGGACTTTCGTGATGGCGCCGTGGACGATGACGGGACACCTGCCACTCCAGGCCGCCCTGGAGGCCAGCGGGATGGGCCAGTGACGGGGAGGTTCTCCACTGTCGCGGCCTCGCTACAGGGGAGTTTCGGCCCCCGCAGCCGCAGCCGCTGGCGCTGGCGCTGGCGCCTCTCCAAACAAGCCAGATGCCAGGGCAGGGCTGGCTTGGCGGCCCCGTGGACTTTCCGAGTGACTCCCGGCTCCCGAGACACTTCCCGACTTGGAAGGTCCAGTGGAGGGGAGTCCCCGCCTCGGTCTGAACGGAACCGGTCACGCTACTGACGCAACTGTCGTGTCCACAGGCAGGAGCCGATGAGGTGCTGCCGCTCCTGCATCGCGATTGAGTTACCCACCTGCTTCCCGTCGTGGACTCATCCATCCCATTCCCGCCTCCCTCCCCCTCCCGACCTCTTGCGCTCCCTCCTCTTCTTTCCTCTCGTCATGCTTTCTTGACTTGCGTAATAATCGTCTGCTGCACGCTCGCATTTGCATCGACCGCAAACGAAGCGCTCCGCCCGACCCCGACCGCTGCCGCGCGGCGAGTGACGATGCCCGGCGCGCCCGCCGCCGACGACCGGACCCTCGTCGCGATCCCGCCCACGCCCGAGAACGACAGCGATAATGAGCACGCGGCCAGCGACTACGCCAGCGACGATGACGAGGGCAGCGTAGACAGCGCCGCTCGCAGGCGGCAGGTTCGCAGGAAGCAGGTCGTGCGCCTCGTCGCCCTCGTCTACGCCACCATCGCCGCCCTCTGCGCCGGCTCCATCGTCGTCTTCTCTCTCTACGCGCCCAAGTTCCAGTCGCGTCTGCGCTACACCCAGTTCCAGGTCAACGGCGTGGCCATTGCGGGCTCCGTCTCCCTGTACCTGCCCGTCCCGGTCATGGGCTACGTCTGCGACCGGGTCGGCGTCGCGCCCCTGTCGTTGCTGTCATCGCTGCTCTTCGGCGTCGGCTACAGCCTGGCTGCGTACATCTACCGGAAGCTCGACATCGACTACAACGTCCTCGGCAAGTTGCACCAACCCGGCAACGAGTGGTCCTACCCGCTCATGATCTTCGCCTTTTGCTGCATCGGCTCCGGCACCTGCGCCATGTACATCGCATCCGTCTCGACTGGCGCCAAGAACTTTGGCAAGGGCAAATACCGCGGCCTGGCCCTGGCAATGCCCATCACCGGCTTTGGCTTGAGCGGCATGTGGCTGAGCCAGATCGGCAGCCAATTCCTGTACGAGACGAACCCCGACGGCTCCAAGGGCGAGGTCGACGTGTTTCGTTTCTTCGTCTTTCTGGCGATCCTGCTCGTCATCGTTGGCATACTCGGCGTCTTCCTGCTGCGTATTGTCGACGAGCAGGACTTGATCGAAGAGGCCATCGAAGAACTCGAGAACAGCGGCTTCTTGGACGGCAGCTCTCTCCTCGGCCGGTCCGAGCGAGGCTACGGCACCGCGGGCCCGACGACGCCAGCAACCGACCTCGAAAGCGACCCCTTGCTAGACCCGTCCAAGGATGACGATGTCAAGTGGAAGAAGAACTGGGTCCTCAACGCCGAGACTCGCCAGTTCCTCACAGACCACACCATGTATCCGTTTGCCCTCGCCTTCTTCCTCATGATCGGCCCCGGCGAGGCCTTCATCAACAATCTGGGCACCGTTATTGGCACCTTGACGCCTCCCACAGTTGGGTCCGGGGAGCAGACGTCGGCGGCGACTCACGTGTCAATCTTTGGCATCACCAGCACGATTGCGCGCCTGCTCATCGGTAGCCTGACGGATCTCCTTGCGCCTGCACCCGAAACGCAGCACGTGCAGGTCGAGCGTCACCGGGGCCATCGGCGTTCGCCGCTGCAGGGCTTCTCCATTTCCCGCGTCGTCTTCATGCTCTTCTTTGGCATCCTCATGTCTATTGGGTTCCTTTTCCTCGCGTCGGGCGCTGCGCAGAACCACGCCGATCGCTTCTGGGTCGTCTCGGGTCTTGTCGGCGCGGGCTACGGCGCCGTCTTCAGCCTGACGCCGCTCATCGTTACCATTATCTGGGGCGTGGAGAATTTCGCGACCAACTTTGGCATCATCGCCATGCTGCCGGCGCTTGGCTCGACGTTCTGGGGCCTCGTGTACTCGGGTGTGTATCAAGCTGGCGCCAAGGCGTCCAAGTCGGTGGGTAACGAGGGCGAGGACGACATTTTTTGCTACGGCAAGCAGTGCTACTCGGCCACGTTTTGGGCCGAGGGTATCTGCGTGTGGGTGGCATGCGGTCTTCTACTGTGGGCTTGGAAGGGCAAAGGAGGCTGGCAGCAGCGCGGCATCGTTATCTAGAGTCTGTTGGTGGATGTGGCAAGTTAGATGGCATGGGCATACACAAAGGCATAGGGATGGCGCAGGCATTGGGTCTCGTTTGTAACCACATTAACTTTTTGACGGACCATTGGGAGTTAGCCGGTGTTTTATTCTCGCTCGAAATCTATTTATCAAGGGCATTTAGCCATTTTGACTCAATGCTCAATACTGTGTGACATTCTGATGCAGATGGCCTCGACCAAGCTGGGCGGGATGAGGACAAAGTGGCCACGTGATCTCGCGTTGGCCGTTGGATTCGGCTGCGCGTCCCACCGCGACATGGTCGGTCATTCACGCTCCCCACTTCCTCGACGGCGCCATCGACTCGAGCGCCTTGGGGCAAACCTGCTTGTCTTGCGTGCCGCTATATCATCGACGGGCATCGTGCAGGGTCCGCATCCATGACGGAATTCACAGGTATTTTCGACGACATGCAGAGAAGGCGTGAGCTGATGAGCGGTATCCAGAGGCGGACACGATCCGCATCCTCGTGGCTACCGACAACCACGTCGGGTACGAGGAGCGCGATGCCATCCGGAAAGACGACAGCTGGCGTACCTTTGACGAGGTCATGAATGTCGCCCGGAAAGAAGACGTACGCTCTGCCTTCAATGCCCTAAGGTTCACTTCCCTGACAGCCCTTGCGCACACAGGTCGACATGGTGCTCCTCGCCGGCGACCTCTTCCACGACAACAAGCCCTCGCGCAAGTCGCTCTACCAAGTCATGCGCACGCTGCGCCAAAACTGCCTTGGCATGAAGCCCTGTCCCCTAGAGTTCCTATCCGACGCCGCCGAGGTCTTCGAGGGTGCCTTTACGCACGTCAACTACGAAGACCCCGACATAAACATCTCCATCCCCGTCTTCTCCATTCACGGCAACCACGACGACCCCTCGGGCGACGGCAACTTTTGCTCTCTTGACCTGCTGCAGGCTAGTGGACTGCTCAACTACTTTGGCCGCGTGGCCGAGGCCGACAACATCGAGGCGAAGCCCATCCTGCTGCAGAAGGGGGAGACGCGGCTCGCCCTCTTTGGCCTGAGCAATGTGCGCGACGAGCGCATGTTTCGCACATTCAGAGACCACAAGGTCAAGTGGTTTCGGCCCAATGTGCAGACGAGCGACTGGTTCAACCTGCTGGCGGTACATCAGAACCACCACGCTCACACGGCAACGTCGTATCTCCCAGAGAATGTCCTGCCGGACTGGCTCGACCTGGTTGTCTGGGGCCACGAGCACGAGTGCCTGATAGACCCTACCAAGAACCCTGAGACGGGCTTTCACGTCATGCAGCCGGGATCTTCGGTGGCAACGTCACTTGTTCCTGGTGAGGCGGTGCAGAAACACGTCGCCATCCTCAGCGTCACGGGCAAGGACTTTAAGGTGGACAAGATCCCGCTGAAGACAGTGCGACCATTTGTCACCAGAGAGCTGGTGCTCGCTCAGGACAAGCGCTTCAAGGGGCTGGACAAAAAGAAGGACAACAGGCAGGAGGTCACGAGGCGGCTGATGGAGGTGGTGGACGAGATGATTGAAGAGGCCAACGCCGACTGGGAGGCGATCCAGACGGACGAGGAGGCGCTGGAGGAGCGGCCGCTTCCCTTGATCCGCCTCAAGGTGGAGTATACGGCGCCCGAAGGCGGGCTGTTTGAGTGCGAGAACCCTCAGCGCTTCTCTAACCGCTTCGTCGGCAAGGTGGCCAACACAAACGACGTTGTCTACTTTTACCGCAAGAAGTCGTCGCAGCGTAAGTACCGCGGAGATGCCTCGTTGAGAGATGCTCACTAACAACACGCAGGCAAGGCAACAGCAGCGACGCCGGCAGACGCTCTCGAGGCCATCACGGACGAGGGCGACATGGTCAAGGTCGAATCTTTGGTGCAGGAGTTTCTTTCGGCGCAGTCCCTCAAGGTGCTCCCGCAAGGCCCTTTCGGCGACGCCGTCAACCAGTTTGTGTCCAAGGATGACAAGCACGCCATGGAGCTGTTTGTGTCGGAACACTTGACTGGGCAGGTCAAGCAGCTTCTCGGGTTGGAATCGGACGAGGAGGACCTCAACAGCGCCATGGAAATTTACCGGACGCGCATCGAACACCAAATGGCGAGCAGCGGTACGAGGCAGTCGCTCGGTGAGAGAAGACGCGTGCTCCGGCCCAAGCCGGACACGTGGGACAGCGACTTTGACGGCAACTGGGAGGAGGAGCCAGACGCGTGGACGTACGAGGGCGTGTCCATGGACATGACACCAGCGACGACTCAGGGACGGCCGGGGCGGAGCGCGCAGCAGGACGAGGAGATGCTAGATGACGACGACGAGCCGCCTGCCAAGACAACGAGACGGACAGCCGGACGAGCAACAAAGGCTACTACGGCCAAGGCGCCAGCAAAGAAAGCGCCAGCAAAGAAGCCGGCCGCACGGGGCCGCGGTCGGAAGGCGGTGCAGAGCGAGGACGAGGAAGAGGACGTGGTCATGGAGTCGGACGAGGAAGAGCCGGCGCCGCCGCCCAAGCCCGCTGGCCGAACTACAAGGCGCGGGCAGACGCAAGCGCAGGCGGCGACGAAGGCGGCGCCCAAGCGGCCAGCAAGGGGCGCGGCAGCCAAGACGAAGCAGACGAAGCTCGACTTTGCATCCCAGCGTGGGGCGACGCAGGACAGGGCATTGGAGATTAGCGACGATGAGGTATCGGACGGCGAGGACGCGTTTGAGCCGGCGCCGATTGCGACGAGGACGCGACGGCGGTAGGCGTGCTGGTGGAGGGGCGGTAATATACCCAGAGCTTTGCTGAGGCGGTCGCTACGTCGCTGCCTGTATCGCACGTTGAGAGTAGAGGATCGGCCGCTGAGCGGTGGTTACGGCCCGAGCGAATATCATGGGAATGACAATGAACAAAAAAGTAAAGCACCATTCACTGGACGCACAGAATCGGTTATGTCCAACTCTCGCGAACCTCGAGGATGTCTGCAACTCGGAGGCGGAAATGGCAAAAAATGAAAGACGAGCTCTCCCGCCGGGAATTGAACCCGGGTCTCAAGCGTGACAAGCTTGCATACTGACCACTATACTACGGAAGATGGAACTGGAGCAGGCGTGTGGCGCCTGTCGTAGGTGGATCAGCTCGTTGGAAAGGCGCTGCGTTATTTTTTCTTATACACGCCGTTGCGCCGTGGACCCGCTGGCTGGCGCTGGCTCCTGAGGCGGGAATGGATGGAGTCCAGTGAGTCGGCAAGGTTGGATGCGTGCGTGGGGGCAGCGGGCCGTGGGCCGTGGGCGACGGGTCCGCCGCCAAGTTCGATAGCCTGCCCGGGGAGCATTGCAGCCGAATCATACGAGTATCTTGCACGGGTGTTTAAAAGGGTACAGAGCACGGGGTTTTACCAATCGAACGGAGGGGCATCTCCTCCCAAAATCAAGAGGATCGGCTTTGCATGCACATTGTAGCCATACGCACGGTGATAGCGCATGTGAAACCCCATGCATTTTGGGCTGCTTGCCCGCCTGGAGGGGGGGAACACCTCCCTGCTGAAAGTGCCGGGCGGCGGAGGCGGCGGCGGCGGCGCCGGGGAACCTCCAGCTCGCGCTCCACCACGAAGTGTGCAGTGGGCTTCTAGGCTTCCAGCTGCAGTGGTCAGAAGCTAACAATTGCCGCTTCGGGAATCGCACTGAAGGAGCCCCCAGCAGGGTTCCCCCCGCCGCCGCCGCCCGCCCGCCCGCCTTGTACCCGTCGCTGCCGTTGTTGCCGTTGCTGCCGCTGCGGGGGGTATTACACGAGTCCCTCCTTGGGCGGACAAGCATACCGACCAAGGTGCTACATCAGGCACTGTACCGTGCATAAGTACGAAGGAATTATACCACTGGAAGCGGATGTACGTGTGATCATAGGGTGCGTGTTGCTGAGTGAGACGGGCATTGAAATGCGGTTGGGGCAAGTTTGACTTCTTCAACGGTAGGTGCCCAAGATGGCGGAGCCCCGAATGGCCCGAGAGGAGCTGTAGAGCCATGTAGAGGACAGTAGACTACAGTGCATCAGTAAAGTCGGGTCTGAGTCCGTGGGGGAGGCCAAGCAACAGCTCATACAGACATCCCACTCTTACACCGAGGCATGCCTTGTCAAGGGCGTGACGAACAGACGACAGGCGATAGATGGGGGGAGTAGAAGCGCCCTCTGTCCCGGTGCTCTCCATCCCGTCCATTAGGTTCATCTTCCAACTCTCAACCCCTCCTCCACCACCACCACCACCAACTCCGTCTCCCCTCATCCGCTTCTTCCTCCTCCCCCACATCCCCCTCTCTTTTCCCCTTTCCCCTCATCCTCAGCTCAGCTTACTGCCTGCCTGCTTGCTGCTTGTTGCTGCTGCGCTTGGTCTTCCTGCAACTCCGTCGCCCTCTGTTGCTCCCGCATCGTCTCAATCCTCGTATAAGCGAGGGTCCCGAGTCTGCCAGCACAGCACGGGCGCCCAGAACAACCGGTCAGCTTCTCGACGACAGCTAGCTACCTACCTACCTCGAGCTCGACAGCAGCTACCAAAGCTCTCCATTTGAGAAGAGCTCGCCCCCCGACCGCGCTTCAACAGCGGTACACACATCCATCCATCCATCCATCCATCCTCTCTCTCTTCCCGCTCCTCCAAGCAAGCACAATGGGCCCAACAACCACCATCCGCGTCGCGACCGCCTCGCCCGGCACGGGCCCCTCCCGCGCCGCCACCCTCTCCCGCCTCGAGGCCCTCGCCCGCCGCGCCGCCTCCCCTCCCACCGCCGCCGACCTGCTCCTCCTGCCCGAGGCCTTCATCGGCGGCTACCCGCGCGGCAGCGCCTTTGGCTGCGTCATCGGCGACCGCAGCGCCGCCGGCCGCGACGAGTACGCCCGCTACTACGACGACGCCGTCGACCTGGGCGACACGGTCGGCGAGGGCGGCGCGGGCGCCGGCGACCGCTGGATCCGCCGCGAGCTGCCCGCCGTGGCTGTCGTCGGCGCGGGTGACCACGCGGATGGTGCGGCGCATCGTCATCATGGAGGGGGACCGCCGCCGGCGAGGGGAGACGGCACGAGGGAGGAGCTGGAGCGCATTGCGCGCGAGACGGGCGTGTTTGTCGTCACGGGAGTAATCGAAAAGGCGGGCGGCAGCCTGTACTGCTCCGTCGTGTACGTGTGCCCGCGCGAGGGCATCATCGGCAAGCGGCGCAAGGTCCTGCCTGTAAGTCAGGCGTTCGAGCTACAACCTACCTACCTACCTCTCTCTCCCCAATTGTCCCCCATCATCCTCCATCCAGCCTCACGCAACAAGCACTCTCCATCACCCACTCCCCTCCAATGCTGCGCAACACAACGAGATGAGAAACAAAAGAAAGCTGACTGGAGACATCTACCTGGCAGACCGGCACCGAGCGCCTCGTCTGGGCGCAGGGCTCCCCCTCCACCCTCCGCGCCGTCAGCACCACCATCCGCGGCGCCCGCGTCAATCTCGCCGCCGCCATCTGCTGGGAGAACTACATGCCCCTGCTGCGCCAGAGCCTCTACGCGCAAAACGTCAACCTGTACCTCGCGCCCACGGCCGACGGCCGCGACGCCTGGCTCGGGCTCATGCGCACCATCGGCGTCGAGGGGCGCTGCTTCGTCGTCAGCAGCAACATGTGCGTGCGCGACGGCGACCACTTCCCCCAGCTGCAGCAGTCGCAGTCGCAGGCTAGCCCCGCGCAGACGCAGACGCAATATCATCCTACTAGCAGTCAGGGCACGGGTCTGGGACGCGCCGGCGCCGCCGCCGCGGCGAGGAGAAGCTCCACCATCACGGAGGAGGGCTTCGAGATCGCCCTGCCGCCCAGCCCGCAGCGACACAAGCGCCGCAAGTCCGTCTTCGACGAGGACGGCAACGAGATCGTGCTGTGCTGCGACGCCGACGACGAGAACGGCACTTCTCCTTCTGCTGCGGCTCCCGCCGCCGTCGATGGCGCCAGACAGGTCAACGGCACCGGCACCGCTCTGCCCAAGCTGACCACCGGCACGACCGCTGGGGCAGCAGCACCGGCCTTCGCCTCGCGCGGCGGCTCGTGCATCGTCTCGCCGTTTGGCGACGTGCTCGCCGGCCCGCAGTGGGAGGACGACGAGGGCATCATCTACGCGGACATTGACCTGCGCGACTGCATCCGCGGGCGGCTCGACCTCGATGCCGCGGGCAGCTACTCGCGCAACGACGCGTTTAAGCTGACGGTGCAGGGGCTGGACATGGACCCCCTGCCGTATTGAGCGAGCTACAGGAGCGTCTCTCTCCTCCGATGAAGATTGTGTCACGAACGGGGTTCACAGAGTGGGACGTGTGTGCAATGTGTTGTAACTGTAGTGCCATGGTGCAGTACGAAAGTAGTGTGTGTGTGTGTTTGTGTAGGTAGTCAGTCAGTCAGAGCCGACATGAAATCAAGTTCAAGTATTTTCATGAGCTGCGCTATTATCCAAATCAACGTTTTGAGCCGTGCTATCCAAAGTCACAGTCACTCATTCGCTATGCTTCCATTGTGCCCATTATGTCCAATCCCAAATAAAACTCCACGCGATGCTGGAAAACACAAGACGACGTCATCGTAGACCCCGCGCCTCATGGCTCATTTCGTCTCATCAGGGTCTGGCCGCTGGCACGGCCGCCAGCCCTTGGCGAGGGCGTCGCAGGCCTTGCGCTCGGCGCCCGTCTCCTTGCGCTGGCGCTCGAGGGCCGCCTGCGCGAGCACCTCTCTCCTGCTCATGCCGGGCTCCGCGGCGGCGGCGCTGCTCACCCCGCCGAGGACAAACTCGCCGCCGGTCCAGCCGCCCTCGTCCTCGTGCACGTCGTCTTCGTCGTCCTCGTACGCGTGCCGGGCCTGGCCCGAGATGGTGTACCGAGACGTGTCTCCGCTAATGGTGCGGCCGCCCGTCTTCCAGTCGGCGGCGTCGACCTCGCGCTCGATCTGGTGGCACAAGTCCCAGAAATTGCGGTCGTGGGGGCCGTGGACGTTGTGGGCGAGCTCGTGACACAGCGTCTTACGGATCGTCTTGTAGTCGCGGTAGCCATCGTGGGCGTCGGTGCGGAGGCGCAGCTCAATGACCTCGCCGCGGTTGCGGTTGAGGCCGAGGGTGCGCGAGGTGCCCTCGTGCGTCGTCTGCGTGTGGGCGAGGGGCTCCATCTCGGTGAGCAGGGAGACGACGAAGCGGTGTTTGCGCATGGCGGCGCGGATGCCCGGGTCCTCCTTGAGGCGGTGCAGCAGGGCGAGGCTGCGCTCAGGCCGCGGCAGGCCGTCGAGCGGGCGGACCTGCAGGAATGTGTAGCGGGCGTCGTCGGCGGCGGTGACGGAGCGCGGCTTGTGGTTGTGGTTGTGGCTGCCGTGGTGTGCCTTTGCTCGCTGGGCAGCGCGGGCGGCGTTACGACGGGCGACGCGGTCGGCCATGGTGTTGACAGCCTGGACCTCGGCGGCCGGGGTGCCCATGAGGGTGAGCGTCTTGCCCTGCAGCGAATGCAGCGTCATGGCGGGGTCCTTGAAGGGCATCTTGAGGAGGGGCCCGCGGGGGACGAGCATCTTTTGGTTGCAGGTGGGGATGTCGAGGGTGGCGGCGACGTCGTCGAAGAGGTCGGCGACGGTGGCGTCGTCGGGCAGCTCGAACGAGTAGTTGTGCTTGCGGTGCGAGACGACGATGGTGAGGAAGCCGGCGTCTGCGTCTGTGGCTACGTCCGAGGCGGCGGACGGGGTGGCTGGCGCCGCCGCCGCCGCTGCCGCTGGCGATACTGGTGTTGTTGCGCGGCCGTCGTCTGCCATGATGGTGGACTTGATGGTGATGATGATGTTGCTGCTGTTAGGCGGTGGTGTGGTGATGGTGGTGGTGTTGGTGACGCTGACGCTGACGCAGTGGCGTGAGCAGCGCCGCGGGCGCGAGTCGTGCGGGTGGTGGTATAAGTGAGGTTCTGGCGATTACAAATGCAGCGCAGCGGGGGGGGTCTGTGTCTCCGGGGCACGCTGCGTTGGTTGTCGTCGACGTCAAGTTCAGTGATGATCAGACTAGATGTCCGTTTTCGTTTGAACAATCGAGGCCCAGGAGATTGCGCCACCAAAGGCCTTAATATATACCGAGCGTGCGAGTGTCGGTTGGTGGAAACGCGCGGAAGCACCGACCATGGCGGAGGTCTAATTCAGCTTGGCGGAGAGACGGAGGGCGACGGAGGGGGAGCAGCAGAAAAGCACCTGACGAGAACAGCACGTATCGAATACCCGTCCATTGCCTGCTTGGTAATACGTCACCGGCAATCTGCCTGTCGCGCAGCTGCTGACTGAGGCGGTCGGTGGCTTGGCGGTGGCTGGTGGTTGGTGCGTTTAGGCGGTCGAACGCGGTTTTCAGTGGGAAGATGGTTCTCGAGGCTGCACTGCTGCGCCACACGCGACAAAGCTTGGAAGCGAAAAGTCTCTCCACGTGGGGCGCAGCAGCGAGCAGTCGGGTTCCGCCGGGGACAGGAGACCCTTCTTACCTTATTCCCGCCCTGGCCGTCGGGGCATTCAAGTGCCGAGCCCGGTCCGGGGTGCAGAGTTGCATTCCCTCGGGTGCAGGTGTCGATCCCAGGACGGTAGTACTACGCTGCCTCCTTTCATGCAGATATGCATTAGACGAGCTTCACCGCATGGGCATGTCAGCAAGTTCGTCATCCTGCTCGGCGCGTCGCATGACATCCGTCGCGTTCTCCGCCTGGTGCTCCCACGCCGTCGAGCCGAACAGAATTACCTACCCTGGACATTGTCGACACAACAAGTGAAGCTCCAAATGCTACTCCGACTGACTACCGAGACGTGCCGCTGTGTAGTTGGCAGAGACGAATGTTCCACAAACGATAGGCTTTCAGTCTCGTTGTTTACGGGGTTGAGCATGACAAAAGTTGGCTCATAATTGCTGTCTTGAGGATACCATGATTGTACAAGCCGAGCGTTTGTGGAACAAGGCGAATGATGCCCACCGCCGTTCAGTCTTGCCATACCTCGACGGCGTAACGGCTCATCGCCAACGAAGCAAACCACGCCAGTCCGTCGCTTCTATCCGCAGTAGTACCGAGAGCGCATTCCCGCAACCCTGCCCCGGCAATGTTGCTCCGGGTGCGGTGTGCAAACTCCTGAAACGCTACCCATCACCCATCGGCTGATCGACCCGTGGCGTCAGCCCAGCGCGAGCTTCGTCCAGCTGCTGCTCGCCCTCTTGCCCTTCCCGGCCTAATAGCAACCCGGGGTCTGGTTTGCTCAACGATGGTAACAGCTCCGCAGCTTGCCCTGGCGACCTGCATCAGCAAACACGCCCTCCCTTCGCAACTACTGCGCACTTCATACGTGCCTTAACCAGAAGTTGCAGGTATCGAGAAAAGGGCGTCAGTGTGAAATATTCCACCACGTGTGCAGGCGGACAAGGTCACGTTATACCCTTGTTCCTGGGAATCCGCTGATGGCACAGGGCGACAGCTGACTGCTCACCGAGGGCCGCGACGGGGACCTGCCTTTCACGGACTAGCAAGGTCCACCGCCACCGCGTCTTGAACTTGAACCTTAAAACTTCCAGCACTGCCCTGGACTGCCCCTTTCAGCGAGCTCCCGAAGCCCAATAGGCTGGTCGAAAGAAATGCGGCTCTGTTCGTGCCTTGGCTGCGTCTCCGTGATGCTCGTGGCTCAACTCAAGACATGACGACAGACCATGAGGCTGGACGCGTCTTTTGTTGGTAATCCCAGTCAAGCAGGTCCTCCAGGCCATGTGTGGGTGTACGAGTACGAAGTACGAAGTCCAAGGGGCCGGATCTGTCCAGGGGCACAGGCGGAACCCTATGTTCCCCATCGTGGTTCAGCCCGTCAGAGGTATCTTGGCGAGACCGCAGAGTCACACACACTAATTTGTACAGGGCTCAAGCCAAGCCCGGCGCGGGCGTCGCAGACAGTGGTGGTAGCCGCCCCCAATGGCACCGGCGGCGGTAACACAAGTTGCAAGCGGCGTAACTAGGGGTCGGTCTACGAGAGGCACCCCTGTTGCTGTGGGCGCGGCGAACACTTGCAAACAAGTGCATCAGGCTGTGTTAATATGTGTCAAACGATCAAACCCCACGTTCCAACACTGCCAATTCGACTACCCCAGCGCCAGCCAAAACATGAGACGAACCACAACGTCCCATACCGTATTTGCGCGTAGGCCTTGGATGCCAACGGGCCCGCGACTGCCGACCACTTCGGAAGGTCCTACGCAGAGCCGCGCTCGGCAGGCTCCGCCGTTTCAAGATCGACACGGCCAATGTCCAGCCTCGGTTTCGTCCGTCGTTCCTCCAATGCCTCCTTAATTGACGACGCCGCTAGAATAGGCAGGAGTCTCTTCCATCTTCGGCATCGCTCCGAGCGCCGCATGGTTGAGGCCATGGACCTGGATGGCTGTTCTCGACGCTCACCAGGCAGCTCCCACAAGCTGGCGCCACAACAGCCAGCCTCTCGTCGGGTGACTCGGGTCAATTAAGCATACCAGGCGTACTTGCCTATCCAGGGCAGCGTCTCCGTAGCGGCCTCGGAGTCGCAGCCCGTTGATGATCGCCCAAGTACCGAAGGTGTGGTAGCGAGTCAGCTGGCTCAGGCCCTTCTGCCAAACCTCGAGTCGACAACGATTTGACGACAATGTATAAATACCAAGGTCGTCCACGAGGAGGCCGACGGGTGTCTTGACTCTCAACCACAACTCACATTCTCTTCAGACGTTCTCTACTTCTACTTCTTCTTCTTTTCTCGACAACATGTTCTTCAAGTCCATCGTCGCCGCGGCGGCGTCTCTCGCGACCCTGTCTGCGGCAGCGCCCACCGCCCACCGTGCCTCTGGAGAGGTCATCCCGGGCAGCTACATCATCAGGCTCAAGGACAACGTCAAGACCGACACCCACCTGTCGTGGGCGAACGGCATCCATGCCCGCAGCGCGGGCAAGGACGACTTTTCGGGCATCCTGCGCGAGTTCAAGGGCCATTCTTTCCACGGCTACTCTGGCCACTTTGACAAGGACACCATTGCCAAGATCGATGCCAGCGACGAGGTGCGTATTCATCACACGTGTTGCTAGAAACTCTGACTGGGGCAGTACTGACACGAAGGCTGCCTAGGTCGCTTACGTCGAACCGGACAGGGTGTGGTACCTTGACGACTTCATCGTCTCCAAGCCCAAGGCGAAGCGGGAGCCCACCACTCAGAGCCCTGCGCCTTGGGGCCTCGCCGCCATCACTCACCGTGAGCCAGGCGCTACCGAGTACCCGCACGACAGTGCGGCCGGCGAGGGTGCCTTCGCCTACGTCGTTGACAGCGGTATTCGAGTCTCCCACCGCGAGTTTGAAGGCCGCGCCTCCAACGGCTGGACCGCGTATGAAGGCAAGGTGGAGGACACGTCCGGTCACGGCACTCACGTTGCCGGCACCATCGGCGGCGTGACCTTTGGCGTCGCCAAGAAGGCAAACCTCATCAGCGTCAAGGTTTTCGAGGGACGCGAGACCGCTACTTCCATCATCATTGCCGGCTTCGACTGGGCCGTCAGCGACATCATCTCAAACGGCCGCCAGAACAACGCTGTCATCAACATGTCGCTTGGCGGCCCCAAGACGCAGGCCTGGAACGATGCCATCGACAAGGCCTTCTCCGAAGGCGTCCTGTGCGTCGTCGCCGCCGGCAACTACAAGGTTGACGCGAAGGACACGTCGCCTGCCTCCGCGCCCAGCTCCTTCACCGTCGGCGCCGTCAACGAGAACTGGGAGATTGTCACCAACTGGGACAACGGCCAGGGTTCCAACTTCGGCGCCGTCCTGGACATCTTCGCGCCCGGCGACAACATTGAGTCGGCCAGCTTTAAGAACGACGAGGGCAGCCTGATCATGGGCGGCACCTCGATGGCCTGCCCCCACGTCGCCGGCATGGCCCTGTATGCCATGACTGTCAACGGCGTCCAGGGCGCCCAGGCTGTCACCGACCATCTTCTTAAGAACGCTGGCCAGGACGTCGTCCGGGGACCCATCTACGACTCCCCGAACCGCATGGCCAACCTGGGCAACTAAGTGCTGTACAGGCAAGGACAGGCAGAGTCTCGCCAGGACTTGAGTCCAACGGCACTACCTACGTGTAAGCTTCTAATGTATAGTCGGATGAGGTCTGATGTCGCAAGCCCAGTGCTATAAAGTATTCTTACCCAGGTAGCCTCTTGTAAAGGAATAGAATCATTCCGTCCTTTTCGAGTGACGTTGCCGGCGCTATTGATGATCGTGATCTTGGCATGATATGCCACGCGTCGGGAGGGTCCAGCATGCCCACTTATACGCGGTCGGACGTCAGAGTAAAGCTATCAAATTGCCGATAACTGCTCCCGTAGCTTGATTCTCGCAGGATTGGGGTCGAAGAAATATGGACTGCGGCGTTATAGTTCCGCAGCGCTCTACATGCGACGCGAGGGGTTGCGAGGGGCTGCAAACTCCACAGTCCATCCATCATACGTTCCATGGGAAACAATTACGGCACGTATCATTCACATTACATACGAATATTCTCCTTCCCGAACCATATAGGTTCCCTTCCCAAGGCCGGACCCCGCGGCGGTGGGAACGCGGTCATGCGACGGTTCGGACGAACAGCCCGTTGAGAACGTGGGACGCAAGGGGGAGGGCTCCAACTTCCGGGGCGCGCCCCGCATCGCCCCCGTTCCCCGGCCCGATCACCGAGACTGGCCTGACTGCCGGGGGCGCGGCGGACCGCCGCGTGTTGCTCTCCACCCAGGACGATACAAATTGGCCAGGGAAAATGATCGTCGGCGCGGGGGGTTCGGCGAATGGCGATGGCCCGAGCAGTGCCATGACTGGTTTAGTCTGCCCACGTTGAGTGCATCTGCCGACAGGTTTGCTACCGGACTAAGTCAAAGCTTGGTACACAGGACGAGGGGGGGTTTCGACAAGATGGCGAGCGTAAACCCGCAATCATGAGCTTCATAGCGTCACTAGTAGTAGCGTCATGCTACGAGTGCTTTTGCTATAAATTAGCTATTCCTCCCAGGAATCGTCGTCCGTGAAGAGCCGCTCTATTCTGTAGCCTCATAGCCCATCCTAAATAAGTCCCCTCAGCGCAATTCGTTGGCCATCATGAAGCTCCTCACAACCCTACCGGCCCTTGCGGCCATGATGCACCTGGCAGTGGTCCACGGCGCACCACAGCGGGAGAACGCCCCAACAAGGACTGTTGAAGGCGATACTGCCAAGCGCGCAGTCTTCAAACACCCCGGCATTTTTGTCGATTCAGATCGCCTCAAGCTCATGGCGTCCAAGGTGGCCGCCGCGGAGCAGCCGTGGGCCGATGCCTACAGCGCGCTCAAGACTCACAAGTACGCCACGCGGACCAAGCCGACGCCGTACCCGACGGTCGAGTGCGGCCCGTACTCGACCCCTAACGTCGGATGCGAGGACGAGAGGGCCGACGCCATGGCCGCGTACGCCAACGCCCTCATGTGGGCCGTCACCAAGGACCAGGCCAAGGCGGACCGGGCCATCGAATTCATGAACGCCTGGGCCAAGACGGTCAAGTCGCACACCAACTCTAATGCGCCTCTGCAGGGCGCCTGGGCAGCCGCAGACTGGGCGCGCGCGGGCGAGATCATCCGCTATACGAACGCCGGATGGAGCAGTGCCGACATCACCACCTTTGAGAACATGTTGCGGAATGTCTATCTCCCTCTGGTCAAGCCAGGGTCCCAGAATCCCAACAACTGGGAGCTGAGTATGTATCCATGTTGCTGTGACATTGACACGGGAGCCGAACGATGTCGTGTTCTGACCTAGCCGCGCAGTGTTCAACGAGGCAGCTATTAGCATATCCGTCTTCCTCAATGACAAAGCAACGTACGACTCCACCATGACGCGCTTCCTCAGGAGCGCAGCGCAGTATTTTTATCTCAAGAGGTATGTGCTGCTATCTACTCACGGGGTGTCGTCGGCTCTGCTGACCACGGTAATTCTCATCGCAACAGCGACGGCCCGCGACCTGTCAAGCCCGCAGGCATGACGGACGAGAAGCAGGACTGGTGGTGGAATGGCCAAATCGCACGGGGGCTCGAGGACGGCATCGCCATGGAGATCTGCCGAGACCTCACCCACACGGGCTACGGCATCGCGTCTGTCTCGCACGTCATTGAGACGTCCAAGATCCAGGGCCGGGACCTGTACAACGAGGAGGTCGGCACTCGGCTGCGGTACGCGCTCGAGTTCCAGTCCAAGTACGATCCCAAGGGCGGAGCCGTTGCAGCGCCGTCGTGGCTCTGCGACGGGACGCTGAAGCTGCACCTTGAGGACGTCACGGAGCCGGGCTGGAATGCCATGCACCACAAGTACAGCATGCCGTGGTCTGGCAACTTCACCTTGAAGCACAGGCCTGCCGGCGCCAACACCTTGTTTGTTGGTTGGGAGACGCTGACCCATGCTGAGTGAGCTGACCAGGGTCGTTCTATTGGCAAACTTTCTGGACTGTGGCTGCTGGCTGGCCCGAGGGGAGCAAGTACCGTAGCAGGCTAGGTATTAGGAGGCAGGTTGAAAGTGGTTTTGCAAGTCAGTCGCCTTGGAGCAGGTCGGCGAACAACGATGCAGCAAGACAGATCCCGACATGCACTTGGCTCACAGAGAGGGAAAACCTGGCACACGCAGACATTCTCGCAAGCGCAATCGTCGACCCTTCTCTCTATTCATGTCACGCGAGTACACAACATGATGGTGCAAGCAAACCCGCAGCAGTAATTGTTTACGCGGAGAACGAACTAGTTCAAACAAGCACAAACAGTGACAAATTCGGCGATGTATCAGGTGTCCTTCGCAAAGTGTGGTTGATGACTAGAACTAGGCACCACGCAACAACACATTTCGAGATTCCAGTTTCCCTAGACCACAGTGCCCTAATAGACCGACCAAATGGAGCTTCTTCTGACGGAGGTGTGTCACCCTTTGATTCGTGTTATGCCCAGCAGCGCGGCGCTCCATGTTCGCACCCAGAACGCTCCCGTCTCGCTCTGGCTCCTCCCTCAGTTGCAGCACTGGCCTTTGCAGCACTGGAAGCCAATATCGCAAAAGCCGCCCCCGGCAATAAAATAGTGGCCTTCCTTGCACTGCTGGCAGTTGTGGATTCGAGATCCGAAATTGTCGATCTGGTAACAGCCCGAAGTCTCACCCACGACCAGGGGGGCGAGGGCAGCCGCGAGGGCGATGACGATGGCGTTGAAATGCATTGCTGGGTTGTGTGCTCTGGAGCAGGCAACTGTGAAGAGGGGTTCTGTTGGTGTTTTGCTGACTGTGTGAACTTTGCGTCAGGAAAGATGTCTGAAGGATGTCTGGTGAGGTACAGAGCCGGAGACTGGGCGGACACTGAAGTTAATATACTTCTTGATCGCGCGCTTTGTCGGTTGCCTACACCCGGTCTGCAACAATCGGGAAATCGCAATGCTGGAGCGCCCGCATATACGAGCCGTGTACTACGGAGTCCACCACGGCAGAGCGCGGCTTGACCTAGAACTCGCGGTCTTGGCGACAATAGTGCGCCCCAGTGTTCATGCGAGCATATGCCCGAAGTTGAATTGTCGTCAGCTCAGCCATCGTTCGTACTACTGTGATGGTTGCTGTGCAGGATGCAGCGTTGCACTAGCATATGTGTATCGGGTTGAATTACCGAGCTGTCCCGCCCTCCCCACAGGGAGCTTATTCGTAAGGGCATCATTGCTTCAGTAGAGATGTCTCGGAGGCGAGGCGATTGAGTGCCGACGACCCGAGTCTGCCAATGATGACGGACGAGTAGGCGTGATATTGGTTCAATGACATCGGGAGCGACCATCCGAGGCCATCGCAGGGTCACAAGTCTTGCAGGTCATTCCGCGTAGACACCGGCACACCGCATTGCCCGATCCTCGCTGGAGTGGGGTATGCTACGAGATGAGTTTACTCTTCGTATCGTGTAGACTTCATGAGCTGTGTCGCGGGTTTTCGGACCCCGGCCCCATGGTCTGGAGAATGACAGCGATCGGGTCTGGGTAGGCAAGATTGCAAGCCTGGGCATCAGGGCTTGCAGCAAGAGCGTGTTTGCCTGAAATGGACAACACATGCAGTCAGATCGGTATCTATTGACAACAGGATGAGCAGTCGACCACACAGGTGAAATATTTTAGACGCGTCCCTTCACTGGGATACATGAAGCGTACATAGTAGTGGCAATGAAGGCCCTCTACTTTGGATATTATGCGATGCTAAACAAGATGTCTGTCGTTTGGTGCAATTTCCCCTCTGAATGCCCTTTCCTTTCACCCATTCCATGGTCTGCTAGCTCTTGAAGGCGATGCTCCCTAACGCCAATGCCATGCCGTTCATCTCCCTCAGATTGGCCAAATTAAATGTTATGATGCTTCTGAGCTCCATACCTCCGGTCTTATACTCCATCTTCCTTCCTCTCTGTGTGCGGCACCTCGCTCCCAGGCAACTCCGGAACATCGCTGCCAGGCATCTCGTGTATCTCAACACCCAGGAGCTCTGGAGGTGGGGTAAAGAGCTCTGCGGGCTGCGGACTGTAAGGCGTCGGTAGCTCACTCATTGTCCCAGCGCCCAGCTCGCTCATTGTTCCCTTTGGTGTTGGCTCGCTTCCTTCAACCTCAGGTGTTGGTGTACTGCCCTCGACCTCGGGTGTCGGCTTGCTTCCTTCGACTTCAGGCGTCGGCGTGTCGCCTTCAACCTCGGGTCTCGGTGTATCGCCCTCGACTTCGGGCTTCGGTGTGTCACCCTCGATCTCTGCGGTCCTCTCATCTTCCGGAGTTTCTCCTGAGCTTGCCGCGGCCGCGGCACCCTCGGCGCCGTCAGTCGAGCTCGCAGCCGCCTGCTCAGATTTCGCGCTCTTCATCTCAGCTGCGCGACGCCGCCGTGGCACGATCAAGAAGAACCACAAGGGAAGGATTATGAGGAGCACAAACGCCACAATGGCGCCCACCGAGGCGCCGGCTATTGCACCCGAACTCAGACCACTATTACCCATGTCGGCCGATGGCGCTGTTGGCGCCGAGGTCTCATCGCTCGGGGGCAAGATGGCGACGACGTGCGACACAGCGCTGGCGTTCCACACGCGAGGGTGAACAGCAAAGCTGCTGCGCTCGTAGTCGACAACCAGGTACGCCTCTTGAAGGAAGGTGCGTCCAAGAGTGTACTGTGTATCGTTGTCGGCTCTCTTGAGAGGAAAGTACCGCGTTTCGTTCTTCACGCGCGGCGGCTTGGCTTGTAGATCGAAGCTCGCGTACGGGAGGGTCACGTTGAAGCTGTCTCCGCCCTCGACGGCTGTCGTGATCGAGAGCGTTACGGATGGGTTGTCCTTTGTCAGCTTGCTGTGTAGCTTGTCGTCGACAAAGTACATGCCGGCCGTCTCGTTGTAGTCGAGACCAAAGGCCTTCTCAAACGCCTGGCAAGCGTCGAGTGGAAGGTATAACTCGGCAATCGAGGAGTCGATGTAAGAGTTGATGAGGCCCGAGGGGAGGAGGCTGGACTCATCGCCTGTGGCATTAGTTGTGATGGACTGTATCCCGACTGTGAGGTCGCGGGACTGGTCGCTGAAGAAGTGGTGTGTCTTGTTGGTGTCTTCAAACTTTGAGGTGTCGTATCCGCCCAAGACGAGACTGCCGAGGGCTTTGTTGAGCCGGTACGGTGCTCCTGCCGTGTAGCTGTACGACAGGCTGGGTATCTTTCCCTGCTTCTTCAGCAGCTCCATGAAGCTTGGTTGCGGGTCATTTTGTGTCGTGAAGTTTGTTGGCTCCGGTTTCAGACCGAGAACAGACAGGTAAAACTCGGATCCCGCGACACCTGCGACAATGGAATTGTTGACCACAGGGCCGCCGCTACCAAGATATCCAAGCCCGACTGGATGCAGCCTGTCAGAAGGTTGCGCATACTTCGTGGAGGGTCTGTAGATGGCGGAGGCGCCACGTACCTGTGTCGTGGCCAAAGTCGCCATTGTCGTTGTATCCCAAGCCCTTTTCGAAGCCAAGGTTGAACAGGCCGATCTCGCTCCACGTTGTCGACGCCGTCTTGTTGAACACTCCGCCTCGGTTCTCGGCGCAGTCTTTCGACTGCCCTTGACATCCCTCTGGCAGAACAACCGTCGTCAACGTCGACGAGGTACCGGGCAGGAAGCGGATGTTTTGCGCCGGAGTGCCAACGCGCAGCTCAAACGTCGACCATGGTCCGTCAATGCCCTCACTGCGTTCTGTGTAAGCCGTCTCCTGGTCCGCCAACCTGAATGCGCTGAAGGAGAGCTCAAGACGAGAACTACTTACAAGAATTGACTCGCCGACACCGCAACCGGCGCGGGGTCCGACGCCCGAGCGCGCAACGAAGGGATGCGCATTTGGAGTTCGGTTCAGCCTGACGCGAGACTACCTCTGCATTGCCGTGAAGCTCAAACTCGAGCGTCCAAGGCCAGCATCAGCAGAGGGCTCCCACAGCGATCGTGTCTAAGAGCGACCTTGCGCTGTCACAGTTCCAAAGGGTGGACTGCTCACTTATCGCCGAGGTGACGGGCAACGGCGGGGTCATGTTTCCCTTCCATCGCGCGCCAGGGTTCAAAGCTCATTGTCATATGCATTCATGTTGGGGCCCCGTTATGAGACTCGTCGCCATGGACTCTGCATTTGGAGGCCGCGGTGAACACATGAAAGACCGTGGGCTCGCAGTCCCCCCATTCACGGAATGGAATTAACCGGTGAGATTTTAGAGGACCGTTGAGAAGTCTTAAGACCCCTGCTGCTCATTTGACGCTATCGCAAAAGAGCCCCAAGCGCTCGGGATCCACTCAAGGGGAAGTTTAGCGATGGTTTACCACGCCCGACCGGACCCGCGCGCGTGGAATCAAGATTCAAGACCCTTGCCAAAAGAATCGTCGCAAGCGTTCCCCAGGTGGCGTCCGTAACAAGCTGCTCTGACAGCAAGTCCCGCTGCCGCGGCCTGCCGCGCGGGAGTCAGCAACGGGCACGGACGGGAAGGGCAACTCTGACGCCGCCCGGTGTTGTTTGTTCTCGACGCTGATGGATGGTTATCGACCACCTAAAGGGAGAACCAGCACGAAGTCTCAGAATGCAAGATATTCGCTTCTGGCACACTGCGCAGCTTACACTCGCTTGACCATATGTAGGGAGCATTTCGGTCATAACGCCACCACATGCCCCATCTTGCATGTGGTCAGCGCACACTGCCGGGCTCGCCCACATCAGCTAGCTTGCGATGGACCACTGGTCCGCAACGGAGTCGCCGTTCATGGGGGCCAGACGCAATCATGGTCCAGGCCGTGCCAACCAGATCAGGAACGCCTCTCCGTTCGGATACAAGCTGCAATGTCAGGCCGGCCTCACGGCCCTAAGCCTCATTGCTTGCTGACTTCGAACCCGACCCTGGAGCACGCGATGTGGCCCTGAATAGGGCCCCGGTACACCACTAGTTGCGTGGGCCCAGGGCCTAACCCGGATAATACCCAAGTCGCATCTCAGCCACGTCCGGTTCGCATAGCCCTACGAGGCCTTGATATTAAAGCGAGACAGCGAAGTCGGCTCCCAGAAGTTGGTGTGAAATGCCCTCGGTTCCTCGCGTTGACCTCACTGTCGGTGCGCTTTCTGCCAAAACACCAGCGCCGCAGGTCGTGGAACGTACTGAGACATCACGATGGGTGCCCGAGCCCCGAAGTTGCTTGTCGCCCTTGCGCTGGGCAAGACCGCGTACTCTGCCGCAATAAGTGAGCTTTCCGAGCGGATCCCTCCAGGTTCGGTTCAGTCTTGGTACAGGTGCTGACCGCCGTGCCACGAAAGACAGCAGCGCAACCATCACAGCCGCGCCGACTCTTTCTACAACGGTAGCTCCCGGCGATGTGCAGTATTACTGCGATGGCACGAGCATCCCAATAATCGTGGGTGGCCTGTATCAGGGCCTGTATACCTCGCCCGACTTGCAATGCCAGTGCATGAAGTCTCTGAACGACTGGGTTTCCGACACGGGCACACATACAATCACGAGAACCGATGCTACCGGAGCGACTACAATCACGGAAACCATCAGTGGAACGCCGACCACCAGAACAACCGCTGCCCTGAGTACTTTCACCATAACAGTCACAGGGAATGGTATCGGTGCTGGAATACACGCCGACCAGTGGTACGGCTCGGCAGAACCTCCATGCGTGCGGTCCATAGCTTTCCTCCCGTCTCAAGGATACTGACAGTTTTCAGTGCTATTCGTGCACCGTTCAAGCGTCGACAGTTCATCTGGTCCACTGGGCAAGCAGTAAGTATACACAAATCACTGCCCTTTCAGTCATCACTAACCTGTTTCCAGTTACAGCGCCTCGTGCTTCAACCCTTGTATCAGATGGATATACTTTGTACGTAGATTGGCGACATGGAGGTATTTTTTCATGGGAGAAATAACTGACTGAGATGTGTTCACCGCAGTACATCTCCCAGCGTTTACATTGGCTTTTCTGCACTGTCTGCGTACGACTACTGCGGAAAGGTCGGTCGAGCCTATTACAACACTACGGTCGCATTTGATCCCACTGAGTTGTCGACCGTGGTGTTTTCGCCAACAGGCACCAGCACTTACACGAGAGATGTTGGTACGGGTGGCGCCCCCGTTATCAGTGTCATCACGAGCACCTGGTATACGGTCGTTGGCTCGGCGCCTCTCAACTTTGCCGATGTGGCCCAAAATTGCTCGACCAATTCGGGTTATACTTACGTCCCAGGCGCCCCGTCCGCGGCTTTTGACTCAACTCGTATGTGTTCCATTTGATCCCTTGCAAGAGAAAGTGTCTGGTCCTTGGCGTGATGTACTGACCAGTTCCATTGCAGCCGATGCTTGTCACCCTACAATCATCTTGCCGTCCAAGATTCGGAGTCTGGACCCGGCGTGGGTGTCATGTGTCCCGGACAGAATCGGAGGGTAAGTGGTCGCGCAAATAATATCCTTGCATTCATTTCAACTCGGTGCTCACTCAACATCAGGTTCTACGACCCGCCCTCGGCTCTCACGCCAGTGAGCGTTCTGGTGCCCACGTCCACCAGCGCGCCGCCACCAGCGACAACACAGGTCCCACCGTCCGAGACTACCCCAACGCTTACACCTCCATCTGTCCCGACCACCACGCAGCCTCCTCCCACTCAGCCTCCGACTCAGCCTCCTCCAAGCTCAACCGACACACCGTCAAGTCCAGACCCGCCAAGCTCTTCGCAGGCACCGTCAACACCAGACCCGCCAAGCTCTTCGCCGGACGTTCCGACGCAAGATCCTCCAAGCTCTTCTCAGGGTATTCCTACCCAGGACCCAGCAGGCTCCTCGCAGAACCCTCAGCCTAGCCCGAGTGGCGGCAACGGCAACACAGGAGGAGATGGTAACAGTGGCAATGGTAACACTGGCGGTAACGGTAACACCGGAGGCAACGGCAATAATGGAGGCAACGGCAACACTGGTGGCAATGGCAACACCGGTGGGGATGGCAATAGCGGCGGCAATGGCAACACTGGAGGCAACGGTAGCCCGGGAGACAACAATAACGGGAGCGGCAATGGCAACGGCAATGACGGCGGCAGCAACAACAACGGACAGACTGGGAGTGACCCCAACGGCAACAACGGCAATCATGGCGCATCTTCGCCCGCCGGCGGTGATGGGAGCGCACCTCTCACCCCCGTTCACGTCATCCCAGTGGGCTCAACCACTCTCACCGCGAACTCGCAGTCTCAATTCGTTGTTGGTTCGACAACTCTCCTTCCTGGCGGTCCGGCGGTGACGCTGGGAGACTCGACGATTTCCTTGCCAATTTCTGGCTCCAGCGTTGTCATCAACGGCGCTACAACGGAGATGGGAACCGTCACACTTACGCCAGAGGGGTCAGGCTCCAATGTCCCAGGAGTGACTGGCAGTGTTCCCGGCGCATCGGCCTCTGTATCGCCCCCTGTTGTCACCGCGGCGGCTTCGCATCTCAGCCAGCAAAGGGGCCTTGCCCTTGCAGTAGTGGCAGCAGTCTTTGCGGCTGCATTGTAATATCGATTGGAAACGCCGCCTTTCGGCGTCCATTTGGCGTTTGTTGTAATGTCAGGATCATTTTTGTGAAATAGAAGATTCGGGGTGTAATGTAGAATGAGCGTTGTGTTCGATCTCGGCGGATGATTACGGTTCACGGACACCTACGTTGACTCCAAGTCTCTCGAATTGCGACCAAGTGTAGTGACTTTGCAAGTGACACCGCCTTCTTGCTTTGACATGCTTGCGAAGTGTGCTGGACCGCCACCACAGCGTTGACCGATTACGAACATTACTCGCATCCTGTTCACCGGTACTTATCTGTTATTACAAACGGCCCTTATTTTACTGATGATTCCTATTTTTCAACGACCCTAGTGGCCGACCTGATGTCTTGCAAGAAGGGCTGATATGCCTGGGTAAATGCATGCTCATGCATCAGCACTCCACCGGGGCGGGCCGCTTACAGGACCCTTCAAGGAAAGCTAACCGGCATGGACGTCACCTTGCAGCGCTACCAGCGACCAAGCTTCCCTGTGCGTTGAGAGCCTGTACTGGTCACTGGAGCCATGTCTGGTGCGGCCAATCCGTGGTGCGGGTGACGAGCCGTCCGAGCTTGCCACTCCCACTCACCATCGAGATCCCATTGACGGCAATTTCGCAAACAGAGGCACAGGCGGCGGTGTGTAGGGATGCCAGCAGAGACGCGTCTTGCGCTCAGGCGCCCTGTCTCGAGAGCCGTGCTGTCTCATGACCGCGGTGTGTAGTATGCACACATACTGCATGCATGCGATCGATGAGCCTTATTTCTCGTAGCAAAGCAGAGCGGCACAGGTAGTCATGCGAGCCTGGAACCTGCGCCCACCGTGATAACCCTGTGCCCACCGTAATGTGGTGGGCGCATCACCGTGTCTGGCCCCGCAAGGACGGGCTCCCCGAATCCTGCCGCCTACATCGTAGATTTAGGCCTATGTGTTCCTATTCCTGGACAGTGTGTCGATCCGTACCCTGATCAAGTCCCATTGCTCGGCGTTGTCCGCGCTTATGCCCAGCGTTTGAATTATGTCCTCGGTCCAGAATGAGTCAAGCAGGCATGAACGAATGTTATCTCGACTGGATGGGTCTTTATGGGTGTGACTCTAGTATCTTGCGACGATGCTTTAGCACCCTACTATATAACAGACAGTCGAAACCGGCTTATGGATTCTTTTACAGTCTCGTGCATCCTGCATATTCCCATTCATCAGTCTCATCCGGCCTGCACTAAACGCAACTATCAAAAACACACCATGAAGGCCACGATTGTTATTGTCGCTCTCATCCAAGGGCTGGCCCTCGCCACTCCCGTGATAATGGGACAGACCAGCTCTGCGATGACGAAAACCGGACAGGCCATCACCGCGCCAGCAAAAATCGCTGTTGCCATGTATAACTCCAAATTGTCAAGCGAAGTTGACAACTCTAAGGGCGGCATCTCCGACGACAAAGACCTTGACGCCAAAAGTCGAGGAAGACTAAGGACACACCAAAGGCACAATCTACCGGACCAATGTTGGAAAGATAACCGAATGACAATACTGTGCCGAGAAATATATCGGGAGTGCCAGAAGAAATACTTGCCGTCATCATATTTAAAACAGACGCCTTCAAAGGAACAGGCATGGAAGTTCGAGAAGTGCATAAAGGAACTGACGAAACCGGCAGGCCTGTGAAAATATATAGTGGAAATGTGACGGGAGGAAAAACATGTCGCGCTCCGGTCATTGCATTAGAAATAGCAATGCGTTTTAAGAGCCTAATACACCTTTGAAAAACTTCTAGACGCACCTTTCAGCTAGTAAAGCTCAAGATAGAATTTTAACATCGATTCTTATACATTCATGGGGAATTATTATTTCATTACAGCAGACGTGAGCCGGGCCCAGGTGAGGCCATGGCACCCACCATGCGGGGGCTGTGACATTCGGCGACCTGACAAGGGTGTCAAAGCCCGGACCCCGGCACCGGAATGGAATCATGTCTTGCGACCCCACTCCGCCATGGAATCATCGTGAGGGTGAAAGTCGCCGGTCTCACCCTCAGCTTCGCCGCCGCCGACGATGCGAGCCACCCAATGGGAGGACTGGCGGCTGTCTGGGGAGAAACCTCAGCAGACTATCACGAGGAAGACAGTCGTTGATGACTCTGGAAGGGAAAGAAAGAAGGGCCGGTCGGCTATTATAAGTCTTTCTTACGACTTCCGAGAAGTAGCGGGTCCTTTGACCCGGCGTGGCCTACAACTGACCCTCGGAGGCTTGGACCTTCACTCGACGCTACGGAAAAGCCTTCTCCACCAATCGCTACACGCAGAATTCCGACGTCCGATTGAAGGGCATGCCAAACTGAGGTTCAGCACTGCCTCTCAAGACCTACAGAGGTCTCGTCTCTCGAGCGCGACCACAGCACCGAGCAGAACCCATGTCGCGTGGCAGAGGAGCCGCCCTATCTCCTCGATACCTCTTCCATCGCGGTAATATATTCCGCCAAGTCGTCGTAGCTTCCAACCTGAGCAACATGTCCGCTGTCAAGAAATACAACGACGTCCTTGCCGGGTCTCACTCTGCCCGAAAGTGCACTCATCCGGTGTGCAACAATAATGACAGTGTGCCCAGCCTCCACAAACTCGCTTTCGATCAGGTCGTAGATGGCCGCCTCCGTGGCAGGATCCAACGAAGACGTCGCTTCGTCGAGGAGGACAATCGGCTTGGCTCCATGCATGCCCTCGATGTCGACGAAAAAGCCACCCGCGCGAGGGCCTTCCTTCTGGACGATTGCGCGGGCCATTGCCAGGAGCTGCAATTGACCGACTGACAGAGCCGGAAGCGCGGACAGCTTATTGTCCAGAGGATCGATTTCGCTGTCACCGCTGTCTGCTGACAAGTGCTGCCACAAACACACTTTGACCAGAGCCCTGCGCAAGACTTCTTCGTTGGCCAAGGAAGACGGGTCAAGATTGAACGCCAGCGACGCTTCCGGAATCATGAAAGGGTCCTGAGGAATTGTGATGAAGCATCGCTGACGAAGGACAGACCGCGGTATGAGCGAAATGTCGAGGCCGTCGACAGCAATGGAGCCGGTGTACCCCGTCAGGCGCAGCAATGCCATCAAAAGTGTGCTCTTGCCACTTTGGCAAAACGAAATCGGTCAGTCACAAGATCGGCCTGGAACTGTAAATTGAGGCAGATCTTACCTTCCTGTTCGACCGCATATCACGACCTTCTGGCCGCTATGAATGTGAAGGTTCACGCCTCGCACAACGGCGTGGTCCGAGCTATGGAGGGACTGTCAGCAGTGAGCAAGAATGTTATTGATGTCTCCTCATCATACCCGTGGTAGGCTGTGACATTATTCAGAGAAATATCGCCCTTCCTTGGCCATGCCGCATCTGGCACCATGTCCTCGCCGGGCATGTCCTCTCGAGGAGCATGAAGGTCGGTCTCTCGAATACGTGCCACCGCGCCAAGAGACATCTCTAGCCCGGCCCACGAGTGTACCAGTGAGATGAGTGTACTGTTCGCAACAAGGATCAAATTGAGGGCGACGCCTGCATCCGCGCTAGACATCGCACCGGATCGTCGAGCAGCAAGACCAATAATGCTAACGGCAATGGTGCTCATGATCAGATCTAGGACAAGCCTGAGCCATCTTTGCAAGCAGAACAAAAGATAGAGAGGCCGAAGTGATTCGTCCAAGCTCTGCGAGTTCCTGGCTTGGAACAACGACTGCCATCCGAAGGCCCGAATAGATACCAATCCGGAGACCTCAAAGTAGTGATCAGCATTTGGAAGGCCAGAGAGATGTACTACAAAACTCACCGTCTCCAGAAATGACGAGAAGAGTGCAGCCTGCGATTCAAGTTCCATGACCCGAAGCTGGCGTGATGTCCGAAGATAGTACCTCTGTACAGCGAATACCACGACTGCGCAGAGTGGAACACATGCAATCAAGAGACCTTGTACCTTGAGTAGAACCAGTATTTGCGTCGCCAGTTTGAAGACCTCTGTCTTTGTTGTTAGAGTAGCATTACCGAGATCCCTAGGGCTGGACGTACGGTTGCATAGAGTCATAAACGAGTATGGCAGATGCCTGTCTACCAGAGTGATGTCCTGGCTGAACCTATGGCGCCATAATTAGCCACATTACCGCCATCAGAATGACTAACGAAGGAGCTCGCTCTTACCGGTTAATCGTAACTCCAATCTCGGTGGAGGAAAAGTATGACAACGGAGCTCTTCAACAACATCAGTACTTGAACGGCTGATCTGTTGTAAGGGAAACGCACCCAAGTACTGCCGTGAGTAGTGACTGATGCATGATTCGTCCCGAAAGTATCGCTAGTTGCATGGACATGGCCCTAGTTTAGAGTTGAGCCACCGTCTCCGGCACAAGTAAGCGGCCACAACTCACCACATGGTCCCGCTTGTAGCGGCCCATGCCACGACGGCGAGGAGAACATAGCTGCTTGCATAGTATGGAAGCTGACCCCGCTCACTCCCCGTCCACCATTTGAGCCAGTATGTAGGGGCTGTGATGAAGAATGAATAAGTAGAAGTGCAGCCAATTACAAGCAAGGCACTCCAAATACCAGCAGATTTGACGTAATATCCTTGGCCAGATGAGCGTTATATCCAAGACATAAGCCTTTGGAACATACCGTATAGTGAAAAATCGCCCGTCTTTCGATGCAAGTCTTGCTGCGCATCGCGGTTTCTGAGGGCCTTTGCTTGTTCTTGAGGAGATTCGCCGTGAACAACATGGGCCTTCTCCGTATCGTTACCATCAAACGTGAATTTGCGAATTTCTGTTAGCTGGCCTTGAAAGTCTTGCCAGGAGCCAATAGACTTGATCTGGCCTTCGTCAAGGAGAGCTATCTGATCCGCAAGGTGGTAGTGCTGGGCTAATGGCAGCATTAAAGTCAGCAGCTTAGTCGATTCTCTGAGTTTGGTGTAGCGTAAAGGCGGACCTGAGTTCGTGACTAGCAACACAGTGGTCCCTTGCTTCCTGAACCATCCATTCGTCGCAAGCAGGGTCTCCACGATATGAGTTTCTGTGGTGCCATCCAGGGCAGTAAATGGGTCGTCTAAGATAGCAAGTTCAGGGCGAGAGTACAGCAGTCGTGCCAGAGCCTTATCCCGTCAGCGAACCACCTGTCGGAAGAACTTAGGCTCTTGACTTACCAAGCGCTGTCGCTGTCCGCCGGACAGGTTGATGCCTTGATTGCCAAAACTTGTCTCGCCTCGTTGCGGCAGGCTGGCAAGATCTTGTGCTAAGCAGCATGCACTGACGACCTCCTGGTATCTTCGATCGTCAACGTCCTCGGCGAAGGAACAAATTATCTGTTTGATGGTTCCGGGCGGCAGCCAGGGGTTCTGGTCGCAGTAGCCGATGCGTTCAGAACAAAGCGTGATTTCCCCTGAAGCCGGCCTCAATTCGCCCAGGATAGCTCTTGCTAGCGCAGTTTTACCACTTCCGACGGGCCCCGAGCAAATCGTAAGCGTGCCCTTCTTCATGGCCAACGATACATCATCCAGTATCGGGATAGCCGAGCCGGGCTTGTGTATAGTGACGTTGGTTAACCCGACACCTTGTTCCTCGTCTGTTGCTCGATCATCAACTGCTGGTGACTTGATTACTCGTCGCTGATCGGCAAAGGGTTCCTCAAGCAGGTACTCTTGGATTCTCTCAAAGCTGGCCATGGAAGCGACGGCTTGTGGAATGATCGTCATAATCATGTTTGCGGGATGCGTGACGATGGACAATGTCGCCATGGTTGTGAACGCCGTCTCCTCATCGAGTCTGCCGCCTTGGGCTTCTGCGATGATTGCATAGAGCACAATAGTAAGAACAGGGGCAAATATGCCGAGTGCATTAGCTTGAGTTGGTCAGATTATGTCGTGCGTCGCCAGCCTTTTGGACGGGGGCCTGTCTACTGACCGCTCGAGTTGTAGACGACTCTCATCCACCTCACCTGCTTGGAGGCCTGAATCTCACGCTCTCGAAGACTTCGAACATGTTCAATCATCCTGTCAGTCAGACCTAGGCTTTTGAGTCCCTTCATGGAACTCAACACCGAGCTCAGGGCGGACATGCGATCCTGTGTTGCCATGTTCCATGCCTTTTGTCTGGGACGAATATTCTGGGCAAGATATCGGCTGACCCTCGAGCAAGCTTGTCGCCCCATCAGCATGTCACTATTTGTATTGCGTTTGGAACCCATGCTTACCGAACATGATGGCAAATGGCAAAGGTGACAGCCATTTCACTTGACTTGCAAGAATGATGACGCCCACAGTCAGTTCGACGAGCTGCATCCACGTTTCGTGGAACATTTCTCCGGCGTCGACGATACCGTCGACATCAGTGCTCATCAAGGTGACAGCACGACCGGCGTTAGAGGCTTTTGAGTCCAGTTCGGTAGCCTTGTTGTATATGAGAGCGGCAAGCGAGGCGCGTACCATTACCTCTAGCCTGTTGAGGCGGTGCCTGTGAATCGCAGAAGAGATCTCAAGTAGAAGGTCAGTACCTAGATTCACCACATGTACCTCTCGATGCTCGGAAACGTACCGCCAATCCCACGTAAACTAGGACGGCGGCTAAGACAAGCCAATATTTGGCGCAATTGGCGCCCGACTCAACCTGGGTTTGCGAGATGAAACGAATCGTCTCGCAAATGAGCAGCGGTTGACTACACCGAAAGGCTGTCGCGAAAAGCCTGGGTGCAATGACCGAGAGAAACGGTTTGAGGAGTGAGCGCACCAGGACCTTTGGCAAGGTCATTTTGTTCTCCGGCTTGTCTGTATATTAGTGAGCGCTTGAGCGCACAAAAGCCACATACAGTTACGACATGCGTACCTCGACGATCCCAGGCGCGTAGCACAGCAGCCCTGAGCGTCTCTGGCTTCAGCGCGGCATCTAAAGGTGGGATATCATCCAAGCGCAGCATGCGATGGCTTCCTTTCAATATAATACGGTTTATCCACCAGAAGAAGGTAGCATTGAGCAGGCCCACGGTCTCCTCTGGGGCCATGCCACTGACACCGTCGTGGCCCATGGAGCCAGTTTTCTGGAGGCTTTCCAACACGAGCAGAGCCAATCTCGCTGCAAGCTCCGAGACAGGCAGCCATGTGATACCACTGAAGCTCCAGCTGACCGCAGTCGAGGCGGCAAAGAGCACATCCAAAGAATTGTAGCAAGAGCTAGCAAGAAGATAGAGTGTGGCCATGTCAGATGGTCTGATTGACAGCTTGTGCTCGGACACAGAAAGCCAGGTCAACCCCATGGCGCCAAGGAATGAACTGGTCGAGGTCGCTAATTGCCATGTTGTGGCCTGAGCGCGTGATGCAACACTGGTCAACTTGACGAGACAGAGGCTCGACAATGCAACTCCCACACACTGATTGCGTTTCGTTAGCTAACACAACAGAGCCAAACGACCAGTCTCGGCCGCCGCAGAGAATGAGGCGCTGCCCTACCAACTTCATGCGGCCTTGCCACACGGGTGACCCTTTCGCCGTGGCATTGTGCAGTGAGAAAAGTCGCAGAGGGAGCAAGGCAAGGAAGAGCGCAGATGCGCCCAGCTCGACAAAGAGCAGGTACCTTGCCGGCTCACAGGTTTGAGGCTCCATTGTCGTAGCCCACCTACAGTCCGGAATCCCGCACCTGGTCCCAACATTAAAGGAAGTAAGAAAACGCTGTTCGGCATTCCTGCAGAAGTAGTTCATGCCATTTACACGGTTAACCGCATATTCAGGGGATGCATGCGGCTAAGTATGGCGTGCGCACGTCAATACGAAGCGGGAAGGCGCCGACCGGATCGTGGGCCGGCGATGATCACCGCGCGGTTGGTTCTGCTTGACCAGCATTGAGGCGTTGGTGGGCTTGCCGTTGTCAGGCGACCAACCGGTCGCTCGGTCAGCAAACCCAATGAACACGAGAAAACTTGCAGACCAGCGACGATAGCGGCTCGAAGATTGAACCCTGCTATGACGACTGCGAGACGCACGACACCGTCTTGAGTTGCTTCGGCATAGACCACCGAGACCATGGCCGCGGCAACCGGAGCATTTGGCAAGCAAGTGTCTCTACGGAGCGCAATCTATAACTTTCGTGATATTGCCTGTCGCCTTGCACGCTCAATGGCTGTGAGTGTTGCTACCTAATCTTCACTGTTGATGATCTCAGTGCGGTCGAATCGATGGAAACTGTGTGCAGACAGCGGCCGGCCCATAGGCAGCGCGGATTGCCAAGCCTCATCTCTCGTATGTTGGACGCACGATGCTTGCTTTGTTCGCGAAGTGTGTTGGGACCATTGCACAGAAGACAGTGTCCGGCATCAAGACACGAACACGCTTGAACGCAGCGCGATGCCCTTCCCCGATGCTGGCTACCATGGCGCTCGCCCAACAATACTGCAATGTGCCTCTGTGGATGCACCGGGAGTTCGGGACCATCCTCTTACACCCGCCAACAAACAGTCTGTATGTCGTCGACAACAGCCGATATGGCTTTCCCGACTTTGGCATAGGGACTCTGCAGCCCTTCAAATGCCAAAAGAGGTTGAAGTGCATACTTGACCGTTTTGCCATAGCATCGTCGTGTTGTTACTGCAACTTGAGCGCGCTAGAATGTAGAGTCAATCCTCATACCAAGCGTCATCCTCATCGCAGTCCATCTCTGTGTCGAACCATCCTTGACAGTCCCAGCCAGAGCCCCGCTCGACGTCCCATTCAGGACACTTTTCAATCAAGTCCCAGTGGAATTCATCGTTCAAAAGAGTGGTCGCGGTCGGCTTTGGTGGCTTGTAAATGGGCGGGGGTCGCGTCACTGTTGCGGTTGGAGCTCGCTGCGATGATGTTTGCATTGGAGTTGGCAGAGAAACTGGCCGCGTTCTGGGCTGGCTGCCTTTGCACCGTCGTGTATGGTATTTCTACCCGGCTTGTTAGTGCATGTCCGCGGGGGTACAATGGCAAACTTACAATCTGGACAGCCCTCTGAACTGGGACGCAGCGGCAGTCCTTGCGGCATTGACGGAACAGGGCTCGTCGGCGATCTTTGTTGTCGTCTTTCATTCTTACAGCCCGTTTCGCCCTCAACGCCCGCCGGTGGCAGAAAAAGTTTGGTGGCATGCAATCGCCATGCTGCGCGATGTCTCCAGTGCATTGCACCTCGTACCTTATACACCTCCTCGGGAAAGTTGGCGCCGCGGTTTTGACATCGACACGTCCAGAAGTGTCTTCCGCATTTACGATGCAATTGAGGCCCGCCACGACGAATGCGAGGTGACCGAAGCGCATGATTGCGACCCACGAGCCTCTGATGGGTAAATGGCAGATTGGAGAGACTCGACAAAACCACTGCTGCGGCTCAGTTTGAGATGTTTGCTGGAGACATCGCCAGACTGTAGCTCCAGCTGCATATTTATGACGCGTCACGAGTCTTTTGTGCGTGGCTCTACCCGCAGACGGATCCCGGCAGAATGTTCAGAAATAGCTGCACACTCGTCTGCCCCAAACGTCTTCATTGATGTCGCGCGGTAAGCACGTCGGTCAACGCTTTCTGTCGCAAGCTCAACATGATGCTGATTTTCATACAATTACATAAGAGTGCACTGACGACGCTTGAACGAATCAACCGGGCGTCAGCTGCACATGCCTGGACAGGATGAAACAGCACGGCACGTGTGGCCACTGCTCGACAGCGCCGCCTCAGGGCTACTGTGGCCTTACTATGACAATCCTTGGGGTGGGCTGGGGAATTCCTGCTCGCCATTGAGCAGTTCAAGAGGCCAGATGCATCCCGATTACTTCCCTTGACAAATTATGCGACTGCCTGGTTCATGAATATTATGATTCTCGATCCATCGATCCAGATGTCGCATAAAGGCCGCGATCCCCGCTACACGACGGTCGGTATGAAAGGAGGACTGGCTGTCGCGCTGCTTGCTGGCTCATTAGACGACTCGAAGGCCCGAAAGCTCAGAATCGTTTGGCAATTGCCGTCGCGTCCATCGCTGTTTCGTTGCTCGATCATTCGAGCACCTCAGGCACAATGAGATTTGCACCCATCCTAGCCTTCATCGCTGCTGCGTCAGCCGCGGGGATTCCAGGCATAGTCGCCGGAGTGCGTGGATTGAGAACATTCCTGGGTTGACCATAATAGACACATTTCATCAGAAATGCGAGGCGGGAGACAACATTTGCAGATGGGAGGTACGTGACTCAGGCTCATGTTGCCGGGACCATGTCATCTGGGAGCTGCTCGAGAAAGCCTGCCCTCCCAATGAGCCGGTACGTGCCTCTCCGCTGCTGCTATCCTTCCTACAGGGAATTAGGCTTGCCGTCGGCGGTGGAAGTACTAACCATGGCTGGCTTCATAGTGCCGTAAGGGTACTTGTTCGTATCACTACCAGGGCAATCGAGTTCGTTGTGATCAGTGAACTCAAGGGACACTCGGCCCCGGTACCGCGCGGGAACCATGTTAGTTAATTTATACACGCGTAGGCAGGTAGATGTCCTTGGTGCGGAATTGCTTGAGCAGGCTGTGGCTGGCGATTCAGACTCAGTGCATACATTCAGCGGCAACTAGGTCAGGATGAGTCTGTACCATGCCTTGTCTACTGCAGAAGCCCGGCTTGCGGCACTCGTCTATATGCACACATGGAAACGACATGTTCCTCTGATCTCAAATGACATGGAGACAAGGCGCGAGACTTCAGCCTGTTCACCGACGAGCAGCACCTAATAAGCCGAGTTCTGCCGGCACAGCATCACGAACGTGACAATCACGGCTCTGAATGACACGAACGGAATGGGCCCGGTGCCGACAGACGAGAGAATGTCGCATTCACGAGACTGGAGACTCCCAACAAGGCGAGGGAAACGTGTTAGCTGGGATGTCGCAGTAGACGTTGTTTCCGCTATGCGAAATACGTTCCGCAGCTAATACGCAATGGCGCCCAGACCAATGTTCGCCTGAGTGACAAGCACAGCCAATCGATCTTCCAGCGATGCCCGTATTGAATCCGAACATGCCAATGCGTATTCGCGTATGTTGGAACGCCAGCAGCAAGTGACATCGGATTTCGTCTACTGATACGAGTTTCCGCCCAGCGGAACAATCGTGTTTGTTCGTCTACCGGTCCAATCCTGTGAGACTTGCAGCTGCTCAGCCCTTCTGTTTGAGGAAGCTCGTTTATACTCAACATTCAATAACATGACTTATCGAAAGACCCATGGCGCTGCACCCCGCATTCTCCAGTGCTTTCAGGCTATCTCTGGTCCTCAGGTGGTCTAGAAGCTGCGACCGGGGAGCCTTTACGCACCCCAGGCATGAGGCTGTGATGTACTCAATCACCTCAGGTTGGCCACTCGCCAACGAGGCAGCTAAGTATCGTGTCTTTCCAAGGCAGACTTCGACGCCGACCACCCTCTTGCCCGTCGAGCGGTGCATTGTGCAACCGATCTTACAGCTATATGGAGGAAGGTCACTTGGCACTCGTGTTCACGTACTACGCTGGAGTTTGTAATATAAATATATATAGGCCACCGGGTGTATCTAGGTCTTTCGTTCCGATCGTTCGAAACGCAGCACGATTTGTATTGCCCACATCTTCAATCATTGAACCTGATCATCCGCACACGGCACCCATTGACAACATGAAGCATCTCATTCTGGCCTCTTTTGTTCTTTACCTGCCTGCCACCGTCTTGGGCGCAGTCGGCGGCCATTGCGCCGCGGGGTATGATCAGACGCTGTGCATCTGCCTCGACCAGGGCGTCTGCACCAGCTATGGCGGAAAGCCCATCAGGGGTAGTCCGGGAAACTGGCCCTGCCCCTATGACGGCAACAACGTTATGGGATGCGAGATCTCGGATCATTGCCCAGGAAAAGACAAGACCACGGGTTGTGCCTGGAAGGACAAGTGCCCCTATCGGGTTCTGAGGGGTAAGTTGCCGTCCTTGTGTCCAGATGTGCTCAGTTTCGGTGCGCTGACGATCTGATGAAGATCCCGTCTGTCCTGGGGGCAGTAATTTTGTTTGTTGCAAGTTCTACCGTGATCAGCAAATGCAGTAACATGACCGCTGTCTCAATCTCAGACAGATTTACCGAGTCAAATCAACAAATTGGTTCAAGTCGTGACGTTCGCATCGCATGTGGTTTCATGTTTCTGCTGCACAATATTGCCCCTTCTGCCATCGACTTGAGTCACTTGGCCACTTCAGACGTCGCTGGGGTGAGATTCTGTTGCTCAGTCGATCGTATAGCAGTTCTTACAAAATACAACAATGTATCATTTTGAGCTTCACGTGCATGAGATGTCGAGGTGCTCCGGTTGCGACAGCGCAAGCAAAATTTACCGCGTCCTTGGGCCGATTGGGCAGTCTCCAGGGCAAAGTGGCCATGAAAGCCACCCAGATGACCGTGATTTGGTGCTCGGGATACAAGAGCTTGGGCGTTGGAGAAGTACGTGTACCGTTCCACGTGGACGCCGCTGCGCGGGACATGAAACAGATTGCTCAGAGAAACTGCAGATAGAGCCCGTCGTCGGTATCAAGTGTACCCACAGCTTCTTGTCATTGAGTCTAAGCTTCCCGTGTCTCCTTTGCACGGGCAGACCATTCAAAGCATGCAAGTCCAATGGACTTCATCCATCGGATACGATTGGGTAAGTCTCGGTGGTGAAATTCGCTCGTCGTGTCTCGCCGTTGGCACGTGGTAGCCTTCTTGGGGAACTATTAGGCAATCGTCATCACCTTCCGTGGCCTGCCTATAAAGCGAACTGATGAGCGCTCCCTGCCGGCGTTCGGGATCCTGCCGTGATTTTGGCTAGGCTCCTACACCCCGAACAGGACTGCAATGACGCTCTCTAAGGCAACAAGCCCTCGGCCCACGCACCCTCCAAAAGTGATCCTACCCGCGTGGGCGGAATCGGTGGCGGATGCGCCGACTGAATTCGTCTTCACAGGAGTAAGTGATGCGTTGCATTGCAAGAGGCTGATGCTGATGGTCTGTTCCGACTGTACAGCTCTGCAGCATCAAGTCACAGGGCTGCGAAATAAATGACGTCCGGAGAAGGCTAAACGACCATTCGCTCGATCTCACTCTACAGCGGTTGGGCGTGCCTCTCCTTTTCGTGATCCCCTGCAACGCACGACTCAGTGTGAGTACTGCCAGCCCGAACCATGCGCTTCTTGATCCGTGGGGCGCAAACCGGAATGCTCATCATCGATACGAACCCGCTAGTGTCGACGTGACTTCGCGCCTTGCGAATGGACTTCCAAGCCTGCGCAGTTGGCAGATTGCCTGTCCGGCGATCTTGTGCTCCCCAAGCTTCAAGGATTTGGTCGAGACGGCCAGTCATGAGGCGCGGGTTTCCATGTACTTGGCCAAAGTCTTGGACATGCACTTGTTGGTAGGCTTCAGAGTCCGCGTTCTGCCGGGGCCTGCGCGGGCACACCCGGCAAATGGCTATACTTGACGCACAACGGCGGTATGTTGGTCAAAGTTGGCGTTGCTTTCGCGCGTGTAGTTTGGCAAGTGCGAATTAAATCTTTCCAGGCTGTTTGTCACTCGGGCTCCGTCTGGCCCCTCCGGTGTCTGTGATGCACTGTGTGATTATGTAACATTTCAGGGAGAGGAAGTGACCTGGAGCCCAGCCTCTGGAGCCGCTGGCGTCCAATGCCCTTGCACGCGGCCGCTAAGCCGGATCAGGCCAGTTCCTGGCGCTACAGCGCCCGCGACGGCGGCAGCCAAAGCCCTGCAAGCTCGCGCTACGGGCGGCGCGCCCGCCCAATGAGCTCACTGTCGCGATCGTGTCCTTTCCATTTCTCCAGCTCCAACCTCGCCCGTCACACCGCATGCGGCCGCCCCAAACTCTGCTCCGACACGAACGACAAGAACCAGGTCGCGCCCAGCCGCCCGCTCCCTCGAGCCCACCGACTTGCCATCGAATCGAAACCTCCCGCCGGCTGCTCCCGCAGCGCCCCTCGACCAGGACCACAACACCCCCGTTGCTATAGCGAAAGCGAGCTGCCGAGCAGCTAATTGAACACGATGCCGCTCAACGTCTTCCGCGTCGCCGGTGCGTCTCCTGCCGCTGCTGCGCGACCTGAGGGCGAATGCTGACGATTCGCAGCGGATCTTTCCCATCTGGGAAGCATCTTTATCCTCCTCCACAAGATGGTGCAGATGAACGTACGTCGCCGCCTCCAGCTGCCACCCCTCGTTATCCAGAGCGTGTCCGGCTAACTGGCGCAGAGCTGCTCCGGCATTTCCTTCAAGTCACAAGCGCTCTATCTCTTTGTCTACGTCACGCGATATCTCGGTACGCCGCCACCCCTGATGGCTCGCTGCGTCAATCCAGGCTGACACCTCGCGCAGACCTCTTCTCGACACATAGCTTCTACAATCTCGTCTTCAAAGTCATGTTTATCGGTTCGCAGGGCTACATCATCTACCTCATGACCAACGCCTACAAGCCCACCAACGACCCCAACGTCGACACGTTCCGCGTCCAATACCTCCTCGGTGGCGCGGCCGTCCTCGCCATCCTCTTCCCGTACAAGTACACCATCTCGGAGATCCTCTGGGCCTTCTCCATCTGGCTCGAGTCGGTCGCCATCCTGCCGCAGCTCTTCATGCTGCAGCGCACCGGCGAGGCCGAGACCATCACCACCCACTACCTGTTCGCCCTCGGCAGCTACCGTGCGCTCTACATCCCCAACTGGATCTACCGCTACTTTGCCGAGCCCGACCACAAGCCCGACTGGATCGCCATCATCGCCGGCCTCGTCCAGACCGTCCTGTACAGCGACTTCTTCTACATTTACTACAACAAGGTGCTCAAGGGCAAGAAGTTCAAGCTTCCTGTATAAAGACCGGCAATGGGCCGACCAACCGCTCGCACCGCGACGCGACGCGACGAATGGATATCAAGGTGACCACAGGCGAATGCAGCCTGCTGGACGTGGCACGGTACCGCGGGTGTCTTCTTGAGCGGCTAAAAAAATAACCCCAGCATACGGGGCGGCACGGACGGCGTTGGCGGCAAACTAAGAGAGGCGAAAATGACCATGGTGTCTCTGGTTTGACTTGGAATGTGCCGCGATATAGATGGCGATGAACCCATGAGCCTCCCGCAGGCGGTGTGGTGGTGTACTTGTACAAGTACAGGCCCAACGGCCATGAGGAGGCGCGTCTTCAAGGATCGATGTGTAATAACGACAGAAAAATATCTTGTGCAATTTATTGGTTTTATCGAAGACGCTGTCCTGTACAAAGGCTTGCTGTGTTGATTAAGCCCCCTGTCTGACAATCATGTGTTGCCCTCACTTCGTGAAGTGAGCTGCAATGCCGCGTCAGAGCCGCACGGATCCAGTCACGTGATGCTTACTTGCACTCGCCCGACCCACCTCTTGATGTCAGTTGCAGCGCGACCACTGCCGACCTCCAACTCCATGCAACAAACACATCGGAGCATCACCATGGCGAGCGAAACGCCCACAAACGCCGACTCCCAGGCAGCACCTACGGTGAACGGCCAGCCGCAGCCGTCTCAACAGCCATCACAGCCGCCGCAGCAGCAACCGCCCGCCGAGCCTGCACCCATCGTCGACGGCCCCAACCCGCCCGCCCCGACCGCGCCCACTGGCGCCGAGCCCCGGCTGGCGACGCGCAAGGACATTTCGCTGCGCGAGTTCCTGCACAAGATTGATGACTATGCCCCGATTGTACGTGCCCACCCCGCCGTGTGCAGCTTCCTTTGATGAAGATGCGCCGAGGGAATAGCGAGCGCGACGGGACATCACGCTAACCACCATCTCACCCCGCGTATAGATCCCCGACGCAGTCACGCACTACTACATGACCAAGGCCGGCCTGCCGCCGCCCCCGCAGACCGACCCCCGGCTCGCGCGGCTCCTCGCCCTCGCGACGCAAAAGTTTGTCGCCGACGTCGCCGCCGACGCGTACCAGTACAGCCGCATCCGCGGCGCGAGCAACACCAACAACCCGATGGGCTCGCTCGGCGCCGCGGCCGGCTTCCCGATCCCCGGGCAGCAGGCCGGCGGCCAGGCTGGCGGTAAGGACCAGAGCAAGGGCGGCGCGGGTGGCGCACCCCTGGGCATCCAGCGGCCTGGTTATGGTGGCGGCGGCCAGGGCGGCAGCCAGAACCGGACGGTGCTCACCATGGAGGACCTGGGCATGGCGGTTGGGGAGTACGGCGTCAACGTCAAGAGGGGAGAGTTTTACCGATAAAGACGCCTCGCGCAACGCACTATGGGCCCTGGATACGGCTTGGTGGATGGATGGATGGACGGACGATTCTGGTCATGCATGGCGTTAGGGATGGTTTTCCGGAATGGCGTTTCGGCGGTGCGCCTCGCAAATACAGGCAGCACCCTAGATTTGATAAATTGATGATATCCCGCGTGAGCACGCATGCATGCGCTTGTATAGTCATTATGCTTCGTGTTGGTACAAAATGCTGCTGTTGTACAGGGTATCCGGAGCCCGCATCGCGCACGCAGCTCCCTGTTGCTCCTCCGCTTTGCCTTCCTTCGCCGCCGATCCATTTTATTTCCTGTCCCAAATGTTTGGTTTCCGCGTTCTGCATCACCGCAATGTGTCAGCGCGCGCTCTCCACTCCATGGCTTGGAACCCGCGTCCTCTGGCCTGGCCGGGCCACCACCTCGTCCTCGGCCGCACACGGCGAGCCAGTTGTAGCGGGGAGGGGAAGAGAAACGTACGGTGAAAACTCGCCGAGCTTGTGGCCGACCATGTCCTCGGTAATCACCACCTGGTGGTAGTCCTTGCCGTTGTGGATCTCGAACTTGAGCCCGACGAAGCTGGGCAGGATGGTCGCGGAGCGGGCCTGCGTGCGGACGGGGGGCACCTTGTCGCCCTGCTTCTTGGGGAACACGATCGGAAGGCTGCGCGCCGGTTCGAAAAGTTTTCATGTTAGGTCTGCGAGTACGGTTCGGGCGGGAGGGGTGGTGGGTGCTTCTCTTACGGCACGAGGTGCGGCCCTGCGAGAAAGTGTTAGCCCTTTTGCGACGCATTGAGGCTCGTGAGGGAGTGGGAGGATTGGGGGAAAACGGGGGAGGAGGGGGGGACGGAAATGGAAACTGACCCTTCCATACGGAGCGCTTGAGCAGCAGGCGGGTGGGCTGCATTGTCGGTCGCGAGATGTCTGCGTTCTGGGGTTGGAAGCTTGCGAGAGTGACGCTGCGAAGGTTGAAGAAAGACTGCCCGGATTGGAGGTCACGTGACTGGGTTGATGGGCCGGGTGAGTGACAAGTTGGGAGTTGAGGAAGCTGCGGTCTGCTAGAGCAGAGGCTTGTGTATGTCTAATCTAGGTAATGATTGGATAGTTTATAGGTGGCACTCGCGCCCTCAACAGAGAATTGGGAAGGACTTGCAATACAATTCGTCTGGTCTTTGGCAGTGCATCAACGCTTGAGCTGACTTGGATCGTTGTCCGTTGTCATCAGCGCTACAGAGTGACATCAGCAATGACAATGACAACTTGTAGCGATGAGGCCCAAGAGCGCATTTAACACTTGTTTGTTATACCTGGACACGCGTATATACACTTTCCGTCAAGAGATCCTGCCGGCAGAAGCACCCGTGACGGTTCTACACGCAAAAATATGAGCGATACAGGGTAAGCCACTGCTAGTTGGGCGATCTTGGAGGGGCCTGGCTCGCGTCTGTTCCAGACCCCTGGAAAAGTGTTCCGTGGCGGCGGCGGCGCCCTTTGTCCACTGACTAGCGGCGCGGACCCCGAACCAACCCGCTGCCGACGAGAGCGATCCATCCATCCCATCCCCCGTCCATCCAATCCGTTCCAATCGATTTACTGGCCACTTTGCAGCACCGAGTTCGTCCACTTTGTCCCATCGCCTGCCATCATCATCATTCCACATACCGACCTACATCGCCGCGCTTTCCTTTCGCTTTCGAGGAACACCTTTTGCTCCGACAGCAGGATCCCCGACAGCAGCCCGGTCCCAGCATATCAGCGTGCGTGCTGCCATCGAAGGGGGCCCTTGACGACGCGCTGCTGCTGCTGCTGCTGCTGCTGCTGCCACGTGCGGGAGCCAAAACTCCGCAGCACCTCTCAAGTCACCTCACTTGACGGCCACCACCAACGACCACGCCGCCTCGCTCGCTCGAAGATCCCGCTCGACGGCTCCCGCCATCACGACACGCCGCCGCGGCGTCGATCAGCCCACGACACACCCGACATAAAAAACCGTTGCATGCCCATCTCGCCGCTAAGCACCAGTCCTCGTTCGTTTCTCGATGCCGAGCGCCACAGCGTCCGGCGCCAGCACCGGCGGCGGCGACTCGTCGTCGGCGCCGCGCTCCCGCGACCACAAGCAGGGCAACCAGAACCGCACCTTCACCGTCGAGCAAAAGGAGGCGGTGCTGCGCATCCGGAAATGCGGCGCCACGGCCTTCTACGACATCCTGGGCCTCGAGTCGGTCAAGACGTCGTGCACCGACTCGGACATCAAAAAGGCCTACCGCAAGCAGTCGCTGCTCACGCACCCGGACAAGAACGGCCACGAGCACGCCGATGAGGCCTTCAAGATGGTCAGCCGCGCCTTTGGCATCCTCGGCGACAAGGAGAAGCGCGACAGGTACGACCGCTTCGGCGGCGACCCGGACAGCCGCTTCCAGAGCGCCCAGGCCCAGAACCCCTTTTCTGGCTTCGCCAGGAGGGCGCCCTCGGGCGGCATGGGCGGCGGCGGCGGCGGCGGCATGTGGGAGGAGGAGGTCAGCCCGGAGGAGATGTTTGCGCGCTTCTTTGGCGGCGGTGGCGGCTTCGGCGGAGGGCCGTTTGGAGGTGAGACATGATTCCTATCCTTTTCACTGACACGGTTGTTGTTTTTTTCTTGTTGGGCGGCACGTTTTGCTAACGAGACAGCCTTTGACACAGGACCGCAGTTTGTGTTCAACTTTGGCGGCGGCCCCGGCATCCGAGTGCACCAGTTTGGCGGCGCGCGGCCACGGCGGCGACCACGCGACGCGCAGCCCGGCCAGCCCGGCCAACAGCAGCAGCAAAACGGCGGGCTGCAGAACCTCATCGGCCTGCTGCCCATCCTCTTCTTCTTCATCCTGCCGCTCCTGTCGTCGCTCTTCTCGGGCTCGTCGTCGGCGTCGGCCACGCCGCGCATGGTGTACGACAACCCGCAGCCGCCGTACACGCAGGGCCGGGTGACGCCCGAGCTCAAGGTGCACTACTTTGTCAACCCGGGGGACGTGGCGTCGTACAGCAAGGCCAAGCTCGGCGCGCTGGACCGCACCGCCGAGAACAACCTGGTGCGGCACCTGGGCAACGAGTGCGGCAACGAGAGGATGTACCAGCGGAGGCTGCGCGAGGACGCCATGGGCTGGTTCTACCAGGACCCGGACAAGATGGCCAAGGCCAACGCGTACAAGATGCCGTCGTGCGAGAGGCTCGAGAAGATGGGCATCCCCACGCGGTGACGCGACGGTTTTGGTCACTTCTTGACGGTGATTGGGAACGTCGGATGGAACGGCTGCAGAGGATGCCTGTGTGCGCGTCGACAGGTTGTTGTAAGAAGGGACGATGATGGGGCCTGGAGTCGGCGTTTTATTTTCCCTCCCCTGTTGGTCGAGCCTTGGTCCTCGCATGGCAAGCAGCACTGCATAGCAATGACATGGCATAATGATGTTGAGGCTCACCGAGACGGTCGACTGCGACGGTGATGGCGATGGTGACGACGTGGGATGGGTCGTATGTGTGCCCTGTGGTAGTAGACGGGGCCGCTTGACCGACAAGTTTGTGGGTTACTATGCCAAGACATTGCCAATGGCTTCCTATGCATGCTCTACGCTTTCGTATACAAAGTACATGATATCATAAAAGGCTCTCTCTATCACTGCCAAATCTAGCGTCGTATATACTCCGGTTCCCTCTCGTCTTTCTCTTTCTTCCGCAACGTCGCCCATCATCATTCTTGCGGTAGCTGCTGCTGCTGCTGGCCCTTTCTGGCCTCGCGGGCGGCCGTCTCCTGAGCCAGGATCTGGGGGCACAGGTATGTGACGATGCGGAGCTGGTCCTTTTGCAGCGCGCAGCTCACGTAAAAGTGGCTTCCGACGTGGGACTCGAGGAGTTCGGTACCACTGTGTGAAGAAAAGGTTGATGCCCGTTAGCATGTGTATTCTTCAACGCGAGGGGGAGGAGGAAGACGGGCAGTCAGGGGCAACGCCGGAGTCAGGGGGGGATCTCAGGCGTAACTGAAGGATAGATACGAGGGGAGGGCAGAGGATGGGGGAGACACGCACTAGATGTTCTGGAGCGCCCGCTCGTAATTGTCCATCTGTGGAAGCATATCCTCCGCGTCCCTCCTCGTGGAAAAGTACTGCCTCAGCCGCTGCAGGACCTCGGCGTCACTCTTACAAAACGACATGGGCGAAATGTACACCTTTGCGGACGCAGGCTTGCCCCCACCGACGGTAAAGTAAAAGCCCGGCCCATCGCGCTCTTTGCCGCCCGAGGGCATCACGTCGGGGGCGTCCTCGCCGATAAAGATGCGCCAAAAGTCCTTTACGTCGGCGAGCGCCTCGGGTGAGTACGCGGTGGCGAGGTCGTAGCGCCCGCCGAGCGACAGCGCGTCGAGAAGGTACTCGACGGTGGTGGCGGGGGCGCGCGTGTAGATCTTGATGCGCGAGGCGCGCGGGTCGACGAGGTCGAAGGAAAAGATGCCCGTCTCCATGCCCCAGCGCGCGGCCGCCTCGTGGAGGTAGTCGAGCAGCGGGCCGGCGTTCAGGTGCTCGAGCTGGTCAGGGGGCAGGGTCTGTACGGCGCGCGTCACGACGTCGAGATTGGAGACGCCGGCGCCGAGCGCCTGCGCGCGTAGGCCCGGGAACATGTACAGCTTGACCATGGGGTCGCCGCGGCGGCTGATGTCGCGCGTCACAAACGTGCCGGCCTGGGGCGCGAGCTCAAAGTTGAGCTTGTCGTCAAGGCGCACGCGGCCCACGTCCGAGGGCAGGACGGAGGCGGAGAAGTGGCGGTACCACTGGAGGTCGAGCCCCGAGACGAGGCCCTGGGCGTCGAGGTGACGGATCCAGGCGTCCGTCTCGCGGGCGTTGGCCGGGTCGGCGGGCGTGCCAGCGAGGGGCCCGATGGGCTCGAAGGAGGTACGGACGACGCCGCGGCCGCCGGGCCCCCATTCCCAGCTGAAGTCAATAGGGGTGCCGTCGGGGGTCTGGGGGCTGCGCCAGCGCATGTGGCCCGTCTCCGGGTCGGGCGAAGGGCCTAGCTCGGGGACGACGTGCAGCGCGTAGAAGAGCAGCTCGCTGTACTGGTCGGCCTTGGGATAGCGAGCCTGGGCGAGGAGCTCGGCGAGGTGAGGCCCAGACTTGTCCCACCAGAACTGGTGGTCGCGGTTGTGGAAGCGGATGACGGAGTTGACGACATCGAGTGGCTGCTGAAGTTTGCTGACCTTTGAGTCCAGTGAGCCGTTGGCTGCCGCCCCCTGGGCATGTGTCTGCGACACCACGTCTGTGGTGGCAGCGGCGGTGGTCGTGGCTCCGGGCATGGCTGCGTAGCTGTGCTTCGCTGTAAGGAATCTGGAAGGGTGTCTCTTCAGGGGTAGCGGCCGAGTTGCGTCCCCAGGAAGACGCCTTGAGAGTCTGTCGATATATACCCTCCTCCAGACTTACACGGCCAAACTGCACATGTGCTTCCTCCTGACTTATCAGACGCTGACCATGCTCCTGCTCGACCTGCCAGGCAAACACCAAGGGTCCTGGGGTCGAGTATATCGCTCAGCGCGTCGTAGTGCTTACAGGAGTTGCGAGATGCGAGGGCTCCTTCCTATCTGACGCTCCCCTATGCCGGCCCTTGGTCGCATCCATGGCTGGCGGCAGCGTTAGCCAAAAGTCCCTGGTGTCTTGTCTGGCAACACCACCTCTGGGGTCGAACGAGCCATTGGCTTGTGGCCTGGAGCGTCTACCGCGGCCAGGGACTGGCGTTGCAGGCGGGCCTAGTCTAAGCTCCCCAAGGAATGAGTTGCTGACTGTCTTGGTGAGACGGCAAGTCGCCGCCTGCATCTCGAACCGACGAGTCACTCGCGCGATGCTCATCTTGCCCTATGCAAGCTCCGGGGGCGTGCCAATCAGGAAGAGAGACGCGGGTGATATGTGCTCGGAGACATATTGTCTACAGACGCAGCAGCTCGGGCCGCTCGATGCTCGGGTCCGCGATGGCAGCGGGAGGCCGAAGAGCCGCTGCTGTGCGACGTCGCAGATTCTGCTGTATTGGTCCTAGAGCCAGATGAGGCTAAGGCGGCGGAAGCAAGGCGCGTCGCTTGCCGTGCCGCGGGATGCCAGGTTCTAGAGCTGCCCTAGGGCGGCCGTGCAGTGGCGACAAAGACTGGATAGGATGGCCAACCCTGCCAAGGAGGATGGCGCTGCTGCATGCTAAATGCCACGATCGACGCACGACTATGCTTCTAGAAGGCAGGCGGTTTGGTCGACGGGATGGTGCCATGGTGAGACGCGGAGACGCGAGAATGTGATCACCTGCGAGGATAGAAAAGGGCCCCCAGGAACTTCCTTGACTGAGGAAAATATGAGTAGATTTTTGGTAGCAGAATCCGGCCTCCTGCAGCCAGGAGATTCAATGTCAGGGGATCTTGTTGGACGGCTCGCCAGCGTCTGCACGTGGTGAGCCGCCCCGTTTCAGCGACAACCGACGCTTACCCAAATGCATTGCAGTGAATGATGAGTAAGCGGAGTAAGAGAAATAGTACCCCGGCATCGCTTATTATCTGATGAGGGATTGTTGCTGCGTTGCGGTGTACCCTCGCTGGGCTGGCGGCTGCTCGCCCGGATCGATCGATGCTCGGCGGGTGGAAGTCGGGTCAAGTTTGAGGCTCAGTGTGGGCAGCCAGTGAGCGGCCGGAGGGGCAGCGAAATGAGGCAGCGTCAGTGTGGCGAGTGGCACCAGCCGCCTGGCGCAAACGTGGCTGGAGTTGCGTGGCCTGTGGCGGGAGCTGATGGGCGGTCCATGGCTGGGCAGATGACCCGACCGCTGCCGCTGCGGACAGTCGGCGCGGACTGCTTTCGTATCGAGGACGCGCAATCAAGAGGGCGCTAGAGCTGTTTGGAGTCTTCTGGTGCGCAGCGTTGACGAAAGCGCGTCGTATGCGTCCCTTGCGGCGTACAAATTGGTGACATTTGCAGTTGCAATGTCTTTGGGGACTGCTATCCAGTTGTCTGAATCAAGTGTCTTCTTTGGCAGCCAGTGCCCGCGTGTGTGCCCGAAGTACAGCGTCCATCACTGCACTGGCACAGCCACTGTCTCAGTGCTGCGTTGTGCTCCAGGCTGCCAAGGCCCCGCTGAACGTAGGTCCCGTCGTCGCTCAGCGCCCGCCTGCCCGCCCGCTGTGGGGAGTGACGTGGAGGTGGGTGCAGCTGGTGTGGCCGCCGCGGGAGCTCGACTGGCTGGTGCCTGGATCCGCTGCGGCTCGGGGCACGTCCACTTGCACCGTCGTCACCGCCCGCCTCTTGGCCCATGCCGGCCCCATCTCGACACTGTCAAATCACCTCCGTTGCTTTCCAGCTTCCGCCACACTCTGCTCTGTACACGACGATCGGAGCATTCGCCAACGGTCCGACGAGAAAAAGCCCGGCCCTGTGACGCTGCGCGTCGCATCAAGTCGGCGGCTCTCTTCCTCAACCACTTCCTCATCATCATCATCATCGTCGCCGTCGTACCCCAGGCTTCCCCACGCCCGCCCACGCCACTAAACGCACCGCTTACATCATCGCTCTGGCCATCCGCCGCCAGCTGCCTCGAGCTTCAACTCAATCCCCCGCCGCCGCTCGCTCGCTCGACTGATTGACGTCGACCAAGCGTCGCGAGCCATTTACCAGTGGACCTGAAACATCGGTGGCCTCCCGAGGCCGACTGACGCATCATGGTCACCAAGCCGCTGCCCGGCGACCCCCAGACCGCTGCGGCCCCCGCACCGCGACCGAACGATGCCCCGCGAGATGGCTGGGACGACCCGCTCAACGACAACACCTGGGAAGACGTCGGCCCCCGAGCCGACGCTGTAGATGCACATGTCAGCAGGCGACATGACGTTCCGGCGGCCCTGCGTCCCGGCCAGGGCCCGCTGAGCGCCGCCGCCGATGACGACGACGGCAATGTCTGGGACGAGGCGCGCAGCCAGCAACCAAGCGACGCAGACAGGTTGGCACAGGTCCCCGACGCTCTCAAGCCCGGCGGCGGCGCCAACCGTCTCGAGACGAATCCGTTCCTCAAGAGGAAACCTGTCCCGCAAACCCAAGACGAGCCCTCTGGATCCTCACCAACGCCACCAACCGACTCCTTCGCCCGGCTGGACCTCGACTCGGGAGATCAGGCCAGCAATCCCTGGCACGCCACCGCCGAGTCCCATTCGCAAAAGGCGTCGAGCGGGCGGCAGACGCCCCAGAGGCAGCCAGTGCTTCTCGATGACGACAACGACCCCTGGACTGCGAGCGAACCTCCGCCGCCCCAGCCACCGGCGAAGCAATCGCCGGCACTGCTGTCGCTGCCTTCAGACGAAGGGTCTGCCTGGAACGACGATGTCCGCCCCGAAAAGGCCAAGATTGTGATTGAGCCCCCGACTCCGGCGCCTGCAGCCGCCATGTCCAATGACCTCCTGGAAGAACCGAATGTTTGGGACGACCTTGGCTCCCTGGACAAGGGCAAGTCCAAGGCCGCAGCCGCGTCGCCAAACCAGCAGGCCCAGCTGGATGACTGGAACCTGATCGATGTCGACTCGTCATCCGACCAGCCGAAACAACCTGAACAAATAGAGGACACCGCGGACACGGGCGAGAAGCCCCCATTGCCACCGAGGGACAGCGAGCGGCCGCGCTGGGTTCCCTCCAGAGAGCCCGTGGACGGCAAATCAGAGACATACCAAGTCAAGAACATCCGGTGGCACGACGATACCTCGGCCAAGAACCCACGGACGTCGCCCATCTTGATACAGAACAAGAATGGGCCGTGTCCGCTGGTCGCCCTGGTCAACGCCCTGACCCTGACCACGCCCGCTGACATCCCGGATACGGCCCTGGTGCAGGTGCTGCGGTCGAGGGAGCAGATCAGCCTGAACCTGTTGCTGGACGCCGTCTTCGACGAGCTCATGTCGCCGCGGCGGACCAGCTCCGAGGATGCGCTGCCCGATGTGGGCGACCTGTACGGCTTCTTGCAGAGCCTGCACACGGGCATGAACGTCAACCCGCGCTTCATCCCAACGCCCGAGATGGTGACTGCGTATAAGCGCACGTCGCTCACGCACTTGCATCCGACGGAGCGTGGCGAGCTGATTCCGGGCACCTTTGAGAACACGGCCGAGATGAGCCTGTATGCGACCTTCTCCATCCCTCTCATTCACGGGTGGCTCGCTGCACGCTCGGAGCCCGTGTACGAGGCGCTGGAGCGGCAGGCGGCGTCGTACGAGGAGGTGCAGAACCTCTTGTTCCGCGAAGAGGAGCTCGAGGACAAGCTGTCCAACTCCGAGGCCGGACTGACCGAGGCGGAGCAGCAGCTATACCAGGACATTGTCACCATCAAGATCTTCCTGCACGAGTCGGCGACGCAGCTCACGCCGTGGGGGATCGAGGTGATTGGCAAGGCCATGCGACCAGGCACGTTTGCCATACTGTTCCGGAATGACCACTTTAGCACGCTCTACTGCCACCCGCACACGATGCAGCTGCTGAGTCTGGTGACGGACGCGGGCTACGGCAGCCACGACGAGGTAGTCTGGGAGAGCCTGGTGGACGTGAACGGCGAGCAGACGGAGTACCTGTCTGGGGACTTCAGGGTGGTTGGGGGCGGCGGCACCGTTGCCGGCAGCTCCAGCGGCGCCACGGCAGACCATGGAGGCGAATGGACGACGGTGCAGGGGAGGCGAGGCAAGGCGCCGCAACACGAGGACGAGGCGCCGATGAGCCCCCAGCACGAGCAGGAAGACCGCGACCTCGCGCTGGCGTTGCAGCTGCAGGAAGAGGAGGACCAGCGCCACCGCGAGGAGCAGGCGCGTCGGCGGAGGGAGAGCATACTCTCTGAACAGTACATCGAACAGCAGGGCCAGCGGCCGGGGCCCGTCAGCCGAGGCCACCGGCGCACCCAGTCGGGGGCCGGGACGGGCATCGCACCGGAGCGACGGAGCTCTAACAGCGTCAACGTTCCGGTGCTGTCGGCGTCGCACTCTCAGCCGCGACTCTCGGTCAACACGACGCCGGCGGTGGCGCAGCAGGTGCGGCCGCTGGTGCCCCCGCGGCGGCAGGCCGTGTCGCGGGCGGCAGACGCCGAGGGCGATGACGCGCCACCGTCGTACGAGCAGGCGGCGCACGACAGAGCGTTTGTGCCGCCGGCAGGGCACCCGAGCCACGCGGGGAGCAGCCCGGTGGCGTCGCGGCAGACGTCGAGGACGAGCTCCACCGGCCAGGCGCCACAGCAGCAGCAGCAGCAACAGCAGCAGCGCCCGATGGGCATGGGGTCTCCGGCCACGGGGAGGCGGGTGCCGGTGAGCTCGGGGCCGCCGCCGGCGGTGCACCAGGGCCGTGACCGGGACTGCGTGGTGATGTGATGTGATGAAGGAGCAGCGAGTGTGATGCCGATATGTCGTTGCACTTATGCGCATCATGGGCGTTTTATGACAATGTGAGCGGGGCATGGCGTTTTGGGGAGCATCACCTACGTCTGCCGAGTGCATGGATTATCTACTCTGTACATTCTGTGGCGAGTGCGCAGGACTATTTCGACGAGCATGGGATATGGCATGTACGACGTAATTATCTCGGGAGTGTGATGTGTGTATATGTACATTGCCAAGTCAAGTCAATCAGTCTTGAGGCTATTCAGCGCTGCTATGAGCAGTGCCGCGGGGGAACTGCTGGTGGTTTAGCAGTTGGCAATTTAGTTGGCGCGTCTCCACATTAAATCGGCCCAGGGGCTGTGCTCGACATCACGGCATGCATGTCATCGACTCTCTCTCTCTCTCTCTTTCTCACTTTCACGAATGTACGACCTCGCGTCTTCTTTCCAAACCTTGATCCTTCCCCAACCTGTGTGACTATTCTCGCGTCGAAACGCGTTCTCACCGACACCCACCGCTCTGGAAACTACGGTCCTCACGGGCTGTAGAAGACGGCGCGCTCTCGTCGAGATCGGCCAAGGTGGAACGCACCGGCGGACACAGCTCGGGCTAGGACAGGAACCGCGCCGCGGCGGTCGTGAAGAAGCAGCGGCGACAGAAACAGAAGCAGCAGCAGCAGCAGCAGCAGCAGCAAGCCCGCCATGGCCATCATTGAGGGCTGGCTCCCGCCCACGCGGGCACACTACGACCTCATCCTGCGGGTGTGGCAGTTTGCCTTTCCGCCGGTACGCAACGCTCTCCTTTCCTCCTGTTCCATTCTTCCTCGTTCTCGTCCTCCTCCATCCTCCGTCCTCTCGTGCCGCATCTCACGCGCCAGCCCCCCTCCCTCTGTGTGATATGATGATGATGACGGCAATGATGAACCTCAAAGGCTGACGGCAGCGCAGCTCGCGTCCATCCAGTGGCTCGTGCGGTGGTACCCCATGGGCAAGACGAGCGTCGCCAGCAGGCTCAACCTGCCGGGGCGCGTCGCCTGGATGACGATGGAGGCGCCGGGCTTCCTGACGCTGTTGTACCTGATGAGCACGATGCCGGAGCGGCACGGCATCGACGACCTGCCGTGGCAGAACCGCGTGCTGGGCGGACTGTTTGTGAGTCTTTTTGGTCGCTCCCTGCCTCACTCTCCTCCTCACTCATGTCCTTATTCCCTTCGTCAACCCCTCTCTCCTTCTCTCCCCAAGACCTCGCCTCGTCCCGCCTCCGCCTGTGCCTCAGATGCCACGATGTAACACCCCGCCGAACCCCCCGACTCCCCTCGTCTGACGCGCGCCTCGCAGGTCATCCACTACTCGTACCGCGCCATCGCCTTCCCCCTCCTGCAGCCCTCCATGGCGCCCATCCACGCCCTCGTCTGGGCCGCCGCCCTGTGCTTCCAGCTCCTCAACGCCACCTGCCTCGGCTCCTGGCTGTCCGCCTACGGGCCCGTCACCGCCGACGCCTGGGCCGCGCAGTCGCCCCTCCCGCAGTTCGCCCTCGGCATGCTGCTCTTCTACGTCGGGCTGGCGGGCAACTTTTTCCACGACGAGGAGCTGCGCGAGATTCGCCGCCGCGCCGCCGCCAAGCAGCGCAAGCAGCAGTCCACCAACGGCCAAGGTAAAGTCGCCAACGGTGGCGGCACGGCGGCGGCGAAGCACCACTACGAGATCCCCCAGGCCGGCCTCTTCCGGTACATGCTGTACCCGCATTACTTTTGCGAGTGGGTCGAGTGGCTGGGCTTCGTGATGGCCGCCGGGTGGACGTGCGCGCCCGCGTGGGCGTTTCTCGTCAACGAGGTGGTGTCGATGCTGCCGCGGGCCGTCAACGGGAAGCGCTGGTACGTGGAGAGGTTTGGCGCGGACAAGGTTGGCAAGAAGTGGGCGATTATCCCGGGCGTGCTGTAGTTGACGCTGGGTCGCAACGCCGGCGGCGTGAGATGCAGGCGAGGAGTGAAGAGGGAGAGCCGTCTTTGCGGAAGGGGGGAACCTCTAAGGGAAGGACTATATCCCGTGGTTCCTCTGCCGCAGCCATGAACGCATAACGCGACTTGAACGGTCCAGGTTCCATCATGCTCACTCAGACACATAGATAGTCCAGTCGCAGCATACACTCTTGACCTCAGCAGACAAGCACCTCGCTATACATGTAAAACACACAATGGCTTTATCCTCTATCGTGTAACGCTATTCATACGGAAAAGGGGCAGTCATTCCATTGCGATCAGCCCAAATCCTATCCCCGTCCATCCACCCATCCATACATCCGTCTCGTCTAAGCCTCAAACGCACGCCCCGTCTTCTTGGGCTTCCCGCCCTTCTCCTTGTAAAACTCGTCAACCCAGCGCTTGACATACGCCACCTCCTGCTGCATCATCTTGCCGACCTCTGGGTTCGCCTCGCCGTTCTTGACGATGGCGTCGTTGCAGTGCGCCGCCTTGGGGAGGAGGAAGACGGGGGCCTCGTCGGTGCTGGCGAGGGGCCCGCCGGGGCGCAGCTCGGCCGACACGGTGGCGGGCCGCCAGGGGTCGAGCTCGCCGTTCACCCACATGAGGCGCGTCGTGTTGACGTGGTCCCAGCCGCCTGTCTTGGCGTTGACCTGCTCGACGGTGCGGCCGCGCGCGAGGCCGTACGTGTGGTCGCCCACGGGGGGGAAGTAGAGGGCGCACTGGCGGCGCGAGTACTCGCGGTCGTAGAGCTTGGGGATGAGGCCCGTGGTGGCCTCGGGGGCCCAGGTCTGCCACCACTCGAAGCTGTGGGTGCCAAAGGTGTTAGTTGTTTTCCCCACGATAAGATTGTGTGATTGTCAGGGGTGAGTGAAACGGGGGGTGTCAACGTTTGTTGAAGATGGTGATGGTGGTGTTGAGAGGGAGAATGTGTATATCAGTAGAGACGGGGAAAGGAGGGTCATCAACGTACGGCTCGTTGCACAGATACCACATCCACTGCCTGTTGACCGTGTTGTTGACCGAAGTGTCCGTGTACGACGCCAGCTCGGTATTGTACGAGTCGTAGCAAGCGACAGTGTTGTTGTCCTTCCAGTAGCCAAACGAGGCACACGCTGTTTCAGCACATCCATTAGCCTCTTCTCTCTTCATCCGGTAGTCCCGTCGCGACGATGTATATGGCTATATACCACACATGGTCAGACTTACATCCCGGGATCAAAATCTCGCGCGACCACTTGGCAAAGCCCTTGATGGCCTTGCACTGGCCCACACCATCAGCGCCAGGGGCCGTCGCGTTGCTGCCGGGCCACACGTTCTATCATCAGACACACAGTCAGTAACCTGCTAACATGCACACCACCTCATACACGCAGCTTTTGGGGGAAAAGAGCGGAGACCGGTCACTCACCTCGATGTAGTCGCACATGCGCTGGATCGGGCCATAGCCCGAGTAAAACTGCTGGCTCTGCCAGGCGCCGAGCCCGCCGACAATGGCACTGGCAAAGTCGGCGTCGTGCTTGAGGTCGCCAAAGCCAAACAGGTCCTTGAGACGCTGGCGCTTCTCGGGGGTGCCCTCGGCGAGGACCTTGTCAACATGCGAAATGACGCGGCGGTAGTCGGCGCTGCAGTTGCGCGGCAGGGCCTTCTCGACGGGCACGTAGTACTGCCACAGCGTCGAGATGTCCTCGACGACGGCGCTCGAGGCGTGGTACGCCCAAAAGGTGCCCGGGGCGAGCACGTTGGTCCACGCGGCGAGCGCGCCCGGGTACGAGCACCCGGACAGCACCCAGGGGGCCTTGTCCGGGCGCGAGCCGCCGTCCTTGTCGAACGGCAGCTGGACGTTCTTGGCAAAGTAGATGAGGTCGGCGACGGACTGGTCGAGCGTCAGGTACTGCAGCGTCTCGGCGGTGAGGTTCTCGTAGGGCGAGCTGCCGCCCCAGTAGCGGTGCTCGAGCAGGATGACGGCGCCGCCGGTGGCCTGGCCGAAGAGGCCCGGGATGGTGCGGTTGGTCGTGTAGCCCTGGTACCCGTCGGCGTTGTTCTCGCCGGGGGCGTTGAGGATGATGGGCGACCCGGGGCCGGCGTAGTGGTCCGCGTTCCACCAGTACCGCTGCGTGAAGGTGCCGAGCGACGGGTTGGCGTGGTCGATGAGCTGCTCGAAGAAGCCCGCCTCCGTCTTGATCTGCGGGCCGGCGGCGCGCTTCACCACGGTGCCCGAGGACGTGAGCTCGTAGCTGAAGTCGTCGTCGTCGGGGACGGGCGGGCGGTTCGGCACGGGGCCCAGGAGGGGGTTCGCCAGCTGCATGCCGTGGGCCATGTGGCGCGACGGGATGGGGATGTCCTCGCCGTCGGTGTTGTAGGCGGCCGTGGAGGCCGAGGCGCCGAGCGCCGCCGCGAGGACGGTCGCCGCCGCGAGGGAAAAGCTCCGCATGGCTGAGGTCTGTCACGATACGAAACGGGTACTTGGAGGTGTGTGTGCTTTCTTTCTCCGCAACTGGCTTCTAGAGCGTCGACGGCAACAAGGACGACGACGACGAACGACGACAGAAGTAGTACCAGCAGCAGCAGCAACGACAACGAGCGTGTCCTGCCTTGTCCTGTGCCTGATGCCACGAGCAAGTGCCACGCCAGGGGAGGGGGCCAGGGACACCCGACGGCCGCGTCGGCCGGGCACGATATATATACATACATACCTATGGAGATGCTACACTGCAGAACCTACGTAGATACTATTATCAAAAGTGGTATGCCTACTCCGTGGCGTGTGCCCTGCCTGCCTTGCCTGGCTCTCTGCCCGTCCCCGTCCGTGCATTTTGGCGGCTCTCGTGCTGAAGATCGTCGGCTCAGCTACCGTGGCGTATGGCAGTGCAGCCCACGCCCCCCTGTCAGCCGTGGAGAGCGTGACGACTCAAACGACGGCTGGGAGCATGGGGGACATGGACGCCCCCGTCTTACACGGGGCTTATACGGGTGGGCGCTGCGCAGCCGCATCATCAAAGGTGCCCAAAGAGCCTTGCCTTGCCTTGCCTTGCGCCCCGGCCGCCCCAAAGGACTGACTTGGCAAGGAGGCTCAAGTCCTTCTGGTAGTTGAGGTTTTCCCCAACGGCGATCCCATCTTCTCCACCCCTTCTCCAACTCGTCCCCAAGGCACACACACAGAGACCAAAGACAAGAGTGAGATGTGTATAAGAGACAGTGGCAAGGAGGCTCAAGTCCTTCTGGTAGTTGAGGTTTTCCCCAACGGCGATCCCATCTTCTCCACCCCTTCTCCAACTCGTCCCCAAGGCACACACACAGAGACCAAAGACAAGAGTGTTAGAAAAAAAAGGCCCGCTGGAAGAGGATGGTGGTACCGCGCGCTGGCCCGCCTGTTCGACGACCTTCCGGAACGGGAAGAGCCGGGCTCGGGCCCCCGGCCGGCGCTTGCTGTCGCCGCGCCCGATTTTCTGCTTTTCCTTCCTCACGCCCGTCCCGCCGCCGACGCCGGAGCCAAGCATTACCCCCGGATGTGGCGCCGAGAAGGAAGGCAAAGAGAGGGAAGGCGGGAGAACACTCTCGTGTCTGGACTTGCGCCCACCCACGGTTCCTCGGCCGCCCTGCATGGGAGGTACATATGCATGCGATGCAGGTGCCCGCAGATACACCCAATACACCAGACCCCCTGCCGGTCGGCCGGGCTGTCGGCGGCGGTCACGTCTTGCCCGTAGCTCCGAAGACGCACGCTTGCCAACCTGCTTGCTTCCCAGTCCATCTGTCTAGCAAACGGACATGGACCAGGGCGGGTTCCCGGCCTGCAGCAATGTCGCCGCGCGTGCCCCAAAGTTCCCCGCAAACCCCCCGGCGGCCCAAATATGCCGATGAGCAAAAGGCACAATCAGTCCAGCCCTGGCCACATCACATACATGATACAGTAGAGTACTTCGTACATTCAGGGACACTATCGATTCCCCGACCCTGGATCTGCCCCCCATGGCCATCCCCATCCCCATCCCCATCCCCATCTGGATGAGCCGCGTCAAGGCGAGCCACCTGCCTGTTCCTTTCTGGCAACACTCAGCACGCCATCCGTCCTGCGTCGTTCTCGTCCATTCAGATGCACCCGGCACGGGTTTGCGTCGGCAGAGCAGAATTGGAGATACAGATTCGTTGGCACATCAATTGACTAGTTAGCCGTCGGCCAGCTTCGACGACAGGTTGGAACCCCATGGGGTCCGCGTCGTCGGCCAAGTACGTACATAAGCCGGAGCCGTGACGCCAAGCTACAACCCAGGCGGGTAGCTACGACGCTTGCTCCAATCCGTGAGGAGACGGGTACGAATGCCGGCCGGCTGGTCGGTCCCCTGTTGATCCCCGCCGGGAGGATAGCTGCGTGCTATCTCGCTGCAGATGAGAGGGCGTCGATCAGACGTTTCGTTTGTATTGTAGTTGACTACTTCTTCTTTGGGGTAGCTCCGCATCGGCTTGCAAGCAGGACTTGCAAACAGTCGTTGACTGTGCACGGCTAGGCTCCATGATTGCAGCTGTGGCAGACACATCGATACCTGTCCTCTTGTTGCCAGACACCCGCCAAGCCCAGCTCAATGGTCTCAGACGTGAGCTTTCCCCCTCGCATTGCGGTTTGCGGCCTTCGCTCCATCCATCATCTGCCTCCCGTCCCGAACCTCCCGATGGGGCCAGATATCAGCATAGTGCCAACCGCGCGTTTGCGCCGCCGATGCAGTAAACCCGCGAGCCTGTTGCCTCGACGGCGCTGCATTCCCCTTTCGCTGGTCTTGGGGCCACGAACTATGCCCACGCCCCAGGATTTCGGGTAGTACTGGATAACAGACCGGTTGACTCGAGTCTCCTTGCATGCAGATTCCGGCATCGGCCTCGTGCGAGCGTTTGTCACGGCCGTCCCAACAGCCGCCATCTTTCTCCGCATGGGGTGGTACGAGGCTCAATATGTTTACTGCGAGACGGCCGTCTGCGTAGCCGACCCTCTCCAACGAGTCAGTCTGAGCCGCGAAGGATCGATGGCTTAGCCGCCATTTCGACGTCGTCCGTATTTCGGATGGACTGGATCGGTTTGCTGCCCTAGCCGCGTTCCGCACTGGATCCTCTCCGCCACGCTTTGACAAGCAAACGAGAGGTTCGCGTCTACGTCGCCGCACGCATGTGGGTGTGTTGACCAAGTGGTTATGCATTTCGACGGTCAGTGTGATAGGCAGGCTCGGTCTTTGGCGAGGCTTTGGTATCGCGGCAGGACATCCGTATCGTCCAACTTGCCCTGGTCGCCGTACCTGTAATGAGCAGCCAGAGCGTCCCCCACGATCATGACAGCTGCACCGTTCCCCCCGTCCGTTAGCAAAAAGGGGGCTTCCTCCTCGAACACAGCATTATCCGGTAAAGTACTCACGGCGGCGCAGCTTCGCGGGCAGGTCAATGACAAGCATATCCTCGTCGCCCCTGTCCTTGGTCCAGTTCGCGGGGTCCGTGTCGAGGACGTCGTCGGCGTAGACGCATATAAAGTTGATGCGGATGCGCTCGCCGCCCATGTCCCACGGCGGGCGGAACTTGTACGCGTGCAGGCCGTCCTCCTCGACGTTCTCCAGCAGCGAGTAGTGCATCTGCGTGGCGATGGCCCAGCTGTCGTAGCTGGGGCCCCAGAGCTCGTACTTGAGCTGCGCGGCGGGCGTCTGCTCCATCATGGTGTCGTTGCGCACGCGCAGCCACCGGTGGTTCTTGTGCGGCGGGTCGCGGTCCAGCGGCCAGGTGTAGTTGGACGGGCCGCTCCAGGGCCGCTGCTGGGACGGCTTCCATGAGACGAGGCTGGTGTCGCTGTTGCTGTCCGCCGGCGCCTCGACGTCGGGGAAGTATGGGTGGAGTGCCCCGAGGTGGTAGTGCATGAAGCCCAGCGGGGGGTTGTTGATGACATTGGCCGAGACGACGAAGTCGTGGGGGTGTTGCATCTTGCGAGTGACCACACGGGGAATCGCGTCGTCCGCCATCCACACCTAGAGTCTCATCAGCCCTATGCCTTGTCATGCCCACACGACACTGGTCCCCTTGTCCGTGGACTACAACATAGAAAGGCAAGCCAGCACGTACGATATCGTCATCAATCTTGACGTAGTACCTTCCACGCTCCAAGAGCTCCCATGCTTTGTACAACGTATAGATCGACAGCGTCTCGCCGGGGACACTCAGCTTCTTGTATCGCTTCGGGTTGCTGGCGATGATTTCTTCCAAGTACTCGAGGTCGTCTTTGTCGTCCGTGTTGGTCAGCCAGACAACTTCGTCCAGCCACCCGCCGTTGTCCACCAAATTCCGCTACACATGAGATAATAAGCAAAGATTCCCTTCGCAAAAGACTCGACCAAAGCCGCCGTGACCTTTTGCGCCATGCTGGGTAGGCGACCACCACAAGTAATGTACTCACATCCAAGTAGCATCGCAGACACGACGCCCTGTCCCGGCGGCCGTAAAACACCAACCCGCTTACAACAGTCCCAGAGGGCTTCCGCAGGTTCCGCATCCGGTTCCTGTCGCCGTACCACCCCGCCACCCGCGCGCCCGTCCGGAAAGAAAACGTCGACAGGCCGGAGACGTACACGCAGTACGTGACGAGGAAGAGCGATATGACCAGAGGAACCGCCAGGGCAACCCTCGGGCCGTTTGCGAATTTCCTCAGAAGCGACATTTTTTTTTATATTTTTGGAAACAGAGGCTTCCCATCGGCCGGGGAAGGACGAGACACGGCGACCACACACGGACGTGGTTTGTCTCGGCTGCAGCCGCTCGCCTTTTACTTTCTTAAGGCGACGACGCCTTGCACGACATAACTCTGGTATGTGATGAGGCGCCGACGTACAGAAACTAGATTCCAGGCTCCCTTTCAGTTGGCGGGTAGCCCCGGTGGTCTGACCTTCAGCCGCAGTGGTCCGACCTACGGCGGCGGCGACCTCAAGGGCGATGTCCACAAGCGTCTGGCAGATATAACGTAGTGGACCCCAGCGTGGACCGCGGAGCATGCCAGCAGTGAACTCAGCCCCTATCTTACGAGAGCTGATTTCGCTTCAACGTTCCGCCGGCGAGCTTGCTGGCACTCGTCCTCGTGCGTTGTCGCGCGTGCGAGCGCAGGTGCTGTTGCCTCCGGCGGAGAGCCGCCTCGCTTCGCGGCTCGGCGCCGTATCGAGGTCGCCGGGTTTGTTTCGGAGTCGCCGCGGGATGGACCGTCGTGGGGTCCGAAGGGAGAAACAACAAGTGAAATGAGGAAATTGGCCGCCACGTTTTCGCCCTGCCTATCGGGCTTGCATTTTGGGAGGATTCTCGCGCCTTTTTGTATCCCCTTTCGTCAATCGCAGGAGGACAATCCCGGCGTTGGCCCTTCAATATCGTCCATGCCTCGATACGACGGCCCCTTCGCCATGACAAGGGACCCGTCACGACAAGGTCAATGCCAATACGGAGCCGGAGTCGTGCCCCGTCCCAACGATCCCGTCAAACTGTCGGATCCGAACCCGTCGCATAAAGTACTGCATATATGCCGCGCCATTTCACGAGTTAAACTTTCCAAGGTTCATGGGATGGGGAGTTCGCTCAACCCCCAACGGCAGAAGGGACGTCATGCAGATATCGGACTAACACCAACAATACTAGGTTAAGCTTTTCCTTTTCCTGTCCTTCGACTCAGGACGCGACGGCGCATGGTTCCGCGTCTCTGTCAGTCCCTGGTCCAGCTCCTGGCGAAGGGGACTGGCTACTGGTCTCCACCCAGCATTCCATCACCCTCAACGATGCCCACTCTGTCATTGAGGTCATTAGGCATACTCGGCGCTTCTCCATCCTTCCTGCATGCTTCCAGGGTTGTGGTGGTCGGTACTTGCTCATACAGACGTGGTCGCCCTAGCCGTTGTCTTCAGTCAACCAACCACGTCCGGATCAGGAACATCAAAGTCTTCACACCCGCCCTCGGAGCACGCTCCTCCCCAGAATCCCCCTTTTACACGCATGCACCTGTCCCCATCTCGCCCCAGCTATCCATCAATGCGCACGCGCCCTGGGCGCCATGATTCGTCCGATATTTATGGCCGCCACTACACTTGGCATGCGAGTTGGAGCAACGTCAAGTGGCGCTTAATCCAGAGCCGAGCTCGCAGTGTCCGTCTCCGTCGGCTTTTACTTCGGCGCATGCAGTGACTCCATGTTCCGCTGCCTCCCTTGCTGCCAAGTCTGCGCACGCCCTGGGCTGGCTACCGCTACATGCACGAAGTGCTTGGCTAACGAGCAAACCGCGCCGGCCGTGCTGCGCAGGTATATGTTGCTGCACAGCATCGACGAGGCTTGGCCTGCAAGCGAAAGCGTCGTTCAAAATAGGTAGCTGGCCCGGCGGCCTGTCTCACCGCCATGCGCCGCCGCGTGAGACACCACCACAAGCTCCCCCGTCCCATCATCCCGTTTCACAACGACAACTGACATACGTATCTTGAAATAGACATTCGCAAACAGCCGGCCAGCCACGCAGAGCGGCTCGGCAACGCGCCAATGGTATCGATTATCGAATCGTCTCGGCCGAGGAGGGTAAGCCAGCGTCTTGGACTTGGTGCTAGGCACGGATGATTTGCATGCCTGCGTGGTTCATCCGCCAGATTGGCCGCTCTCGTCGATGGATCAAGATCCTTCACCTGTCTGTTGCACGACACACCCCAGTGCCTCGGAACCGGTGTCCGTCCCTCACCACGTACGTCTTGGACACGGCTCCCACCACGATCCGCCTCCCCGCGGTATCTCGTTCTCCGGAATGCGCAAGGCCGGCGCGGCCCGCTCGACCCGCTCGCTGTCCTTCCGTGCAGTTAGCCGCTATGGTTGGGATCGTCGGCGACTTGCATGGTGATGAGATGACTCGATGGCCGTGTACGTCATGGCCGACCAGCACCCTGAAAACCTCGCCCATCCGCGATACTTTCAGGCTCACTTGGCCGAGGGGCTCCTGTTCCACGCTGGTTAGCGTCGGACCACGGTGACGTCCTTCCCATGTAAGTCTACTCACGTCTCTTCTGCCGACAAAATCTTCTGCCTAATGGTCGGGCTGTGGGACGGAAACAGTTCACAACTCGAGGGAGATTCAAATGTCAAATGAACCAAACCTATTATTTTTTTTCGCACCCACTCAAAACATCTGCTATACACGGCGAGGCGGTGCCCTGCGCCTACATCTGCGCCCTCGCTGCCCGTGGTCGTCATGCCACGCAATGCCATCCCTCTCTCCTGCCTCCTTCCTCTCACCACAGCCTCCCCTCGACCTCAGCTCGCTCCGCGACATGCAACTGGGTGCCAGCAACCAACCGCGGCCGGTATCCAAATCAATGCTGCCATCCAACGCCGCAGATATAGTCGGCTGCCGTCAAGAGCATCGCTCACCCTCTCGTCCAAAGTTTGCCGCACTTGTGGCCTTCTGCAACCCTTGGTACGAGACGCGCGAGAGCGGGTCCGGCACAAACACAGAGAACAAAACGCAGCAACAAAATCAGCCTTTTCGTTCTTTTTTTCCTTTTCGGTCGTCGCAGGCGTCCCGCCAACAGTAAGGTATGCTCTCGGCTCCTTCATCATTCCAAGGCGCTGGCCGCAGTGGCATCGCGAGCCCCGTCTCCCGCAGATCAACGGGGGCTCTCGGGTCGTCATCGTCAACGTCATGTCTGGGCCTCCTGACAGAGGGTGGTATTATGGGGTATTATGCTTGAGCTCGTCACCGAAGCAGCAACTCCCTCCACTGCTGACGCGCCGAGCAGCATGACGAGAGAAGTCGGTGCGGCTGTCTAGACGTGAGGTCGTAAAAACGTCGTAATCGTCAAGCAAGTGATCATGCATCTCGGCCCCGAGCGGTACGCTCCGGGCTTCGTCTTATGCCGTGGCGGAGGGTTGCGGATTGGTGTGGAAGCGAGTCGTCATCTTTCATAAAATGGTCGCCCATGTGTGTTGAATAAAATGCTGTATCCAGATCCGTATCCCGTACTCTCATAGGGTAGGCGTCATCATCAAGACTGCCGACGGCTTCGACGCGGCCCGCCAGCTCGGCCGGCCGCGTCCCCTCCCCATCGGCAGCCATCGTCAAAGTCCAATGACTATGTGCGCAAGTATCCAGGCAGGCGACACGCGTCTGGTGTGTCCCCTGCCATGGAGCACTTCTTATTACAAGTCGTTAAAAAAAAAAGCAACGCGTAAGCGACAGCAGTTCATCTGCTCTCCTTCACGGGCCACGGCGATCCAGTGACGCCGCCAGTGATGTCCGTTGGTGTGGCGCATGGTTCGGTGCGCCACTGCTCGACAATGGCGTCCACTAAGGTCAACGCCTAGTGATACCTCGAGCCGCCAGTCGAGCTCAAGCCGACGCGGGCCCCATTGTCGGAGGAGTCTATAGCACGTAGTCAGTCGACGTACGTCCCGTTACTCGGTAGTGGTATCCAGAGGCGTACCACTGCCGCGCTGCATATGTCCGTTCGCCCGGCTTCGGCCGCCGAACCCGGCACCGTGATCCCACTCCGGGCCGCGGGGCTGTCGCTCGGGAGCGCCCTTGACGCCGCTGCTGCCGGCGCCTGGACGCTGGCTGCCAATGGCGCCGGGAGTCGTCCGCGCCTGCGTCTGCAGCGTGTTGGAGTCGTAGGGACTAAGGCTCAGTCCGCCAAGGCCGGCGACGAGGCCGTTGTCCGCCTTGGGGCCGGGAGTGCCCGAGCCGCCCTGGTGGCCTTGCTGTGGCCCCATGTAGTCGCCGAATCGTGCGGTCGACCCTGCTCCCATGCCGCTCATGCCGGCGCCGGGCGCCGCCAGGTAGCTCGAGGACGCCTGCGAAGGGCTTGGTGTGAAGGACCGCAAATCAGCGAAGCTTTTGGCTGCTCGCAGATTGTTGGGGATGCCACTGCCGTCGGGGCTGCCAGGGAGCTCGAGGGTCGGGCCTTGGCGTCCCATCATGTGGGCATAGTTGCTGCTGGCCGCTCGAGACTCGCGATCAGCGGCAAAGTCAAACGTGGCTGCGCGGCTCAGGCCACGCTTGTGCACGTCGAGTGTAGCCGCAGCATTCTGCGCGTTGGCGGTGGGCGAGGGCTGAGAACGCTTCAGCACTGTCAGCTGTCGGGAGTCGGCCTCGCCAATGGACTGATGCTCCAGCCCCATGTGATGTGCAAGGATGTGAATGGAGCGTCGGTGCTCGGGGGCGATGGTGGGCGGGAACACGAGAATCTCCCTCGTCTCGTCGCGCTTGAACATAGCAAGCTCGGTGTAGAAATCGAGGGTTTGAGGATCATTGAGGTCGACATCACCTGGGCCTAGATTAGCATGAAGCATAGCGTCAAGACAGGGGCTGAAACATACCAAGATGACCGGCCGGGGTGCCCCTTTGCTGAGCAGACTGGGACATGCCCCCCAGAGACTGCATAGAGCTCTGTTGGTGCAGCATGGGGGCGCGGTGCTGCTCCTCGAGCTGTCCACGTCGCTCGCGCTTCTCCCGCTCGATGCGCTCTCGCTCTGCCTCGGGCAGCATCTTCTTGTACTCGACCCTGAGCTTTCGGCCGTGCACATCCATGCCGTTCATGGCCTCGATGACAACCCTCGTGTCCTCTGCAGATTGGAAGTTGGCAAAGGCAAGGCCGCGGAAGACGCCATTGTCAAAGTGATAATTGAACGCATAGGGTTGGGGAAGATTCATCTCAAGCATGATGGTGGCCAACGTCTCCTTGCGGACGGCAAAGGGAATGTTCTTGATGACAATGGCCGTCGGTATCAGCTGGTCGCCATCGGAGGCGGTGGATCGCAAGTCCGGTGAGGTGTGCGCCGGACCTTGGTCCACGCGCAGGCCACCGTTGGCAAGGTGTCCGCCGTTGAGGCCCCCGGCAAACTGTTGGAGGTTGGGCATGCCCATGCTGCCGTGCTCGGTCCAGTTCTAAGTCCAAGCGTCAGCACAACGTGACTCGGGAGACAATTCGCCTCGACTAGGGCACACGTACCTGGGGAAGGGCGGCGCGGCGGTTAACGCTGCGCTGGCGATTCGATCCGTGCACGGCGCCGTTGACGGTCGCAACCCCGGACGCGCCGTAGTTCCACGTCTGGCCGTTGTCCAGCATGTAGCCGCCGGGCATGCCGCCGGGCGCGGGCATGCCGTCCATGGCCCGTGGGTTGAAGGCGCCGCTTATCCGATCGGTCGGGTAGAGGGCCGAGGAACCCAGCGGGGCGTCGAAGGGCCGCTGCGTCTGGCGAGGCAGGGACATGCCGGCGCCGAAGGCGGGCGGGGCCCCGTACGCCTGCCTGGACGAGTTGGGGGACCGGTTCGGCGGAGCGGAATAGTCGAGATAGCCCATGTCGTGGTGTTGCTGGCTCATTTTGCAAATGGCGCACAACGGCGGTGAGCAGCAGCTGTTTTCACACAGCAGACCACTCTGTCGCTTCTATTCGGTCGAGGCCGGTGGCTGGAGCGGAAGGGGGGGTTGCAACTCGGACAGGGCAGGAAACGCGTCGGGAAGCCAACGGGTTTCTGCACGGGTCAGGGAGAGCACGCAGGCTGCCGTGAGAGGGTGGGATGGCGTCGGAGATTATCCCTGCGGTCAAGCAGACGGCATCAACACGAGTCGCCCGACGTCAAAAAATCTGCCGTGTGATGGCGAGACGGGCGGACAGTCGATGGCCGCGAAGGTGGGAGGGGGCAGAGGTCGCGACAGGCTCGCTTTAATACTGCAGGGCGACGCTCGCGCGGACAAGAAGGCACGCGGGAGGCGGAGCAGTGGATGGTATTTCGCCCTGGCGAACGGCGACGAGAAAAGCTGGACTGCACAGGGAGGTGTGCAGAGGCGGGTGAGTGGAGGGAGCGCGGAAGGCGGGCGATTTGACGCGCTGCCTATCGTCAGGTCGACTGAGGGGCCAGTCGACGATTGCCTTCAGCCAACAGCAACGATGAGGACGAGTCGATGCGAGGTGAAGAGCCGTGGCAAAGCTCTCAGTGGCAGCGGTCGGGGGGTCGCAGCGGCGCGGTGGCGTCGTAGCGTGGTGCTTGGGGCGGCGGCTGCCAATGGGGACTGGACGTGCGGGAGGGAGACTCAGGCGAGACGGGACGATCTGGCCTGGGCGACGGGGAGATGCGAGTCGCGTAGCTGCAGCGAGGTTGGGTGGCGGTCGTGCGGGCAAGCGGGCGGGCGGGCTCGGAGCCGCAGTCGTCGTCGTGGAAGTCGTCGTCGTCGTCAACGTCAAACGCTCTCGAGGGCCAGAGGGGGCGGAAGACGAGGAGGGAAGGGGAAGGGGAGGGACGAGAGGCAGAGAGAAAGGGCTGCGGTCGTGGCTGAGGGGAGAGGGAGAGGGAGAGAGAATCGTCGTGGTAAATAAAAAAAAACGACAGGATGGGCCTCTTGTCGCTCGCTACTCGGGGGGGAACTCCACCATCGGATGGGGTGGGCAGAGGGCAGGTTTTTCCCCCTCAACTGCTGGCGCTGCCGTGCTTGTGCTTGTTTGTGGACGTTTTGCCCGTACAGTGCGGGCCGCGCGGAAACCCTACGTCCAGGGACTGTGGGGGCATGGATATTGGGGGACATCCTGGGCTGGAAGGGGGGGGTCCTTCAGCTGGCAGCAGCCGGCGAGGGAGGTGCCTCACCGCGGCGACTTCAGTCACCTCACTGTCAACAGCGTCGAGCGAGGGGCCTGGGCTGTTGTAGCTGCAAAGTACCCGTCCATGTTGTTTGGCTGGGGACTGGCACGCACGTTGCCTTTCCAGGTACATTGCATCGCAGCAGCTTCAGGCCCGTCTGCTGCAGCCCAGCCGCTGGGTTCAGGTTTCCCCCCCTTCCGGCGGCGGTGTCGTTGCTGCTACAACCGCCGCCACCGTCGGCGCCGCTGCTACCGTTGCCGCAACTATACCGGTGCGGGCCACGAGGCGCTGCGCTCCTCGTCAGTCAACCTACCATAAAGCCTCAGCCCAACTTTGGAAGACTGACCTTGGGCGGCGGCGGGCGGGGCCGCGCTTGGTTCGCTGCTAAGGCCCGGCAGGCGAACGATGGCACGTCGGGTTGGAAAGTCAGGCGGGCTGTGGCGCTCCAGGCTCACCAGGCAAAGTCAAAGCCCAGTGCCTTTAGCTCCTGGCCCGCAGCCGTGGGACCGCTACTGGCAGCTGAGGCCCTCCGTCACCCGCCGACCTCAGAGACTCAGACCCTGGAGGCCGCCATTCGGCGCACAGGACTGGCACAGTGCGCATGGCTGCTCCCGCGCCCAGACAGACAAGCACAGGAGGCAAGCAAGCAACCTAGCAAGCTGGAGCACTCCAGTGCTCGACCTGCCCGTCCGGCCGCCTCGCCGGGCCTCGCAAATCTCCTTCCGCTTCCCCAGCCGTCCAAAGCGTCTCCCATCCCTCGTCCACGGGCACTCATTCGTTCATTCATTTGCACCGACGTCCGGGAGCCCCCGTCCGCGACCCTCTCCTCGTGACGCCGGCCGATGAATGAAGATGAGGCAACGAACGCATGGCGGTCATTTGTCGACCTGGAGACCAGGGGGCCGGGCGGGCCAGGGCCAGGGCCCAAGGGTCAACCAGCAAGCACACGACGCCGCAGTCCCTCGCACGCACACGCACACACACACACACGCACGCACCACACACGCACTCGCAGCCCGCCCCGAGACAGAGCTGCGCGCTCCACACCCATGGCGGCTGGATGCCCAGGCCGTGGCAGCTGGGAGTGAACAAACACACGGGAACCGTGGCCTCGTCCGGATCGTCCGTACGCAGTACGGTGGGCCAGCCGCGGCATGGCGCGCCCTGCGAGGCACAGAGCAAGAGTCTAATGGCAATAAGCGAAAGCAGGTGCCCCCCCAAAAGTGATGTGTGGTGCCAGAGATGACGGTTGGCCCCTCACATAATCCAGGCGTGTCCAGGTGTCTCGGCGGATCACGTCCCACGCTCGCTTCGCACAATATCGCACTTGAAACGCCGTCTCAGACTCCCGCGGGGACAAGATAGCACTGGCCCGTCTCGAGCCGGCCGGAGCGTTCGTCGACGGCGGGACGCGAGCACGGCAGAGCGAGCAATGCAATGCTATGGCGTCAACGAGCGGCAGTAGCAGCGTCCGTCGCCGTTGTTGGCCGGGTCCGGGTGAAGCGTCGACGGAGAGGCGCCAACGACGAACGACGGCAACGGACGGTCCAGTTCTCGGGGCACGTTGCGGCTCGCCGGGCGGCGGCAAGCCCTTACACCGCCCTGGCTGGCGGGCTCCCTGCGTGCGACAGATTAGCACTTTAACTTTGATTAACGCCGGCTTCACCCACGGGGACAGCCGCCGCCGCCTCACGATCCCGGCCGGCGTTGGAAACGTCACGCCCCTCTCAGAATAATTTCCATGACGGCCTCCGCGCGGGCCATGATGTAAGGGCCCTTCATTTGGTCGCCGCTAGTAACGGGCGGGCGGGCGAGCGAGCGTCAACGGCGGGCCCCAAGACACGCAGTCCGCCCCTGTGGATGATGATGCCCTCGACAGGCTCCCTTGTCCGCCAACGGCCAGCGCCCACCACCTCAGCGCCCATGCTGATGGTGCCGCGCGATGCTGCACAGCTCGAACGAGGACGATGCAAGCAAGAACGCAAGCGAGACACGACGACACAACGAGGGTCGCGCGCTCACTCAGTCTCTGCGTTACGAATAGATGTAATGAGCCACCGGCGTCTGGACCCGGCGCGGCGAATCGGAACCCTTGCTCGGCAACGGCGTCGTCTCCCGGACAGGGGGGCCAGCGTTGGCCTGGGACCCAACGCCCGGGCACCGTCGGGGGGGGCCCTTGTCTGGCGGCGGCGGCCTGCTGGACCCCTTTTTGGGGCTCGAGTGCCGCCATCATCTCATCGTCATCGCCCGCGGCGGCGGACCGTCCGTCTGGCCCTGGCAACCGCCATGTTGCCGTGCCTCAAGCGCGCGAGTGTGCGGGTGCTCCGCAGTCCGTACATACGTACGAAGCAGATGCAGGTATCATTGTTATTGAATGCCTCCGGATGCACCATGCACGATCCGATACGATCGTCGGTCCGCACTGTGCCGTGCCCAGTTGCACAATCTCGTGTCGCCAAAGCATGAAGAGCACGAGAAGGGGGGCCACCAGACCATCCCTCTCACCACCACCAGACCCCTCATCACCAGACCCTCTCGCTCGCCGCCCCCGCGTCGCCTGTCACCAGACACGTCCATCAGACGCGTCTCTTCTCACTTGGGTGAAGCGTGTCCTGGTCGGGTCTTCCTTCAACCCCTCGTCTGCAGGGCACGGCCGTGATGATTTTGTCGGCCGTGATGATTTTGTCGGCCGCGATACTGCAATGGGGCTGCTGCTGACGAGCTATTGTGCCACCAGAACACGCACAAGACTGACGACATTCAATATGCAAACCGATCGGTCTAGCCTCGGGTTGGACACGGCACGTACTACTGGAAAGGTAAACATTTTGAACGGTCCAGGACCCGGCGCGTCAACGCCTGAATTGTCTGAGCCGGATATGCGGGCCACTCAGATAAGACTCGACAGCATCGCCGCGTTTGCAGCTGTTGAGTACTTCGTATCGAGCATACTCGTACGTGCTCGGGGCAAACTCGAATAAACGCCACATCGCGCGGGGAACCGGATCACGCAAGATACGCGGTAGCTCGTGCTCAGCTCGTCTCCGGGCGGCCACCCCCGGCTACCATGGCCGGGCCACCGCCTGCCTGCACCCGCCTGCATGCACACTACTCCTGCATGCTGCACGTCGAGATGCTGTGCGTTCGTCGCTTGATGCCATCTGAGGTGCTACCTAAGTGCTCGAGTCGACGGCGGCACCGCCGACTGGGCAACTACAGGGGCTTAAGTCAAGGTCGAACCAGACAGCATCAGCCATGGCCACGGCCCTGCCTCTGTGCTCATGCAGCACCCTGGATGCGCGAGCCGCACAGTGCATTACCTTGCCAACCCAGCTCCGTGCACTTGCACTTGCACCTGTACATGCCGTGGCTTAACGCCGTCTGGTGCCAGTTGAAGAAGTCTTCATCGCGTCTAGTGGTCATATATCTGAGGCTCCCACTTTCGTTGTGCCCCCATGGCCTTGCCCCCTTTGGGCCAGGGGACGGACGGGACGGGCAGACGGCCGGCCGGCCGGCCGGGTCCCTCTAGGTCCGCCAAGCGTGACAGTTTGTTATCGCTTCATTTCCGAGGGAGCCGCCGCGGCTGCCTGCCTACCCGCAGTCGGAAATGTTCCAGAATCCCCGGATCGAAGGCGTGCGGTGCGCGCGTCCCCTCAATGGACCAGGGTGTTGGACGGGACGAAAGAGGTGAATCTGCGAGACGTCAGGGACCTGGCATCCCCGTCGACGGCGGAGACCCTGGTGATGGGGGACACCGGTCCGATACTGATGAGCAAGAAGGCAAACGAGATGACGGGGACCACCATTTCGCCTGTTTTTGTGATTTTTGTGTTACAGTGCAACGCTTGGCGCGCCGGTTTGCGTGGGGCGCGCAGAAATAGCAACAGACGAGGCCGTTCTGGAAGATTGCAGCGGCTACGGTGGAAGTCTAGAAGTTGCGCTTCTAATAATTGTTATTGCTCGAATGGTGATGAGGATGCGGGTGGTTGGGCAACTTGGCTGGCGTCTCGGTGAGGCAAAGCGGCCACGACCTACCCGGGATCGAGGACGCCGAATGCGACGATATAAGGCAACAATACCCTTCCTTTATTATCATACTTTCTTAGCATGCAATTATTAAGAAAGTAGCGTATTTTACACTAAATTAACTAATAACTATACTATTAATACCGTAAGCTATACGTTATGCTAGCTCTAATAGCGGCTATAATAACTACTATAGGCTTATATATTAGCTTAGATCCCTTCGATCTAAATAATTATATCCCCTTAACTTTTACTGACTAGGCCTATACCGCCTAGCTCTAAAATAGTTCTCCGGTTATAGACTAGCTAATTAATATCTTATTAGCGCCTTAATAACCGGCCTAGACGCTATCTTTACCTTTATTTTAACTCTCTTACTTTATTATTATAGAAGGGGCATAGCCTATATATATATTATATAGGCCTTTATTAAAACCTATTCTAGAGCCTATCTCTATCGTCGAAGGCATTAATAAAGTCGCCTAAGAGTAAATAAATATCTATAACGCTAAATTAGTAGTCTTTTATATATTCTATAAATTATTTAATTAAGCCGCGAAGTAATTTATATCTAAGATTAAATATACTTTTATGAATTAATTCGCTATTAGCTTCCTTAACTTTTAGCGCTAGTCTCTCTCTATATTACCTCTTACGATAGCGTTAATATATAGTAGCGTTATTATTAGGCATAGCCCTCGCTAGCCCTTTAAGGCTTACGTTACTTTTATTATAGAGGCCTTATTGCCTATACTATAATAAATAGCTAATATATATCTTTAAGGATAATTAATCCCTACTTTACTAAAAGAAGACTTCTAGGTCTTTATATAACTTAACGTTAAAGTATTAACGAGAAATTATAAATCGTATATAATCTAGACTTATATTACCGTAAAAGTTAATATCGACCTCTATTAAATCTTAATAGCCTTTCCTATAAACTTAAGCTAGGCTATTTATATTATAGATATTACTATTAGAGATCTTATTATTTAATATTAGTCTAAATAGGTAAAAGACTTAAGCGCGAAATCTATTAAAGTTAATAAGAAATAATATATTTATATTATATTTAATTATCTTTATAGGCTTATTAATCTCTAAGGTAATAAAGTTAATTATAATAAAGCTATTAAAGGCGAAATTACTTATTAAACTAGCTAGATAGCTATTAATATCTACCTTAATTATTATAACTTAAACGATCTTTTTATTAAGATATTCCTTATATCTTTCCTTAAACTTATATAAAAACCTTAATAGCTTTTCGGCTTTAATAAGCTAGCTCGATATATCGATAAACTTATAGCGCCTTATTAATATAATAAATATTAAGACTTCTATATTTAATATAGCTATAACTATTAATTAATATATAAGCGATATAGAAAGGCTAGATATAATAACTCCTTTTATACAGCGCTAAAGTAATATAGTAATTACCTTAGACTATATATTACCGATTTCTTAAAATACCTAATATATCTTATATAATCCTATAGCGCTTTCTACCGATTAACTAAGAAAGAGAAAACTTACGTCCGAGAAATAGGTATATAGCTATCCGCTTAATTAAGGTAAAGTATAGCTTAAGTAAAGGCGCTTTCTTAATTAAATAGAAGATCGCTTTAAACTACGAATCCCTTATTAAGACTAGCGCTATTAAGCGTACTTAAGGTAAATAACTACCTTAGCCCTTTTACTCCTTATAATATACCTAGTAATACGCCTAGTAATATACCTAATAATATACCTAATAATATACCTTTTAATACTCCTTAGCTTAATAATAGCTAAATCGAGCCTAAAGTTAATACTTTAAGAGCTAAAAGCGAGACCTCGACTCTTAGCTTAATTATAACTATAACCCTATTATATATTATTATAGATATAACTCCTTAATTAATAAGTAAACTTACCTCTCTTTCTAAGAAATAATATATCGACTTTATTATATATAACTTATAATAAAGTATACCTATATTCTATAAAATAGCAAAAAGACTCTATAAATCTTTTAAGTAAATATAAGAAAGATCCTATTAATATATAATTATACCCTTACCTTTATAGACTTTAAGTAATATAATATTATCTTATTATAAAAGCCTTAAATAGAAGCTAAATATAGCTACTATCTTATTAAAACTTACTTAATATATAATATCTTTTCTCTAATCGATAGCTAGATTAATAATATTACTTATTTAAGAGTTATAATATATATCTAGTAATACCTTAGCTTAATAGCTAATTAATAATATCTTATAATAACTTATAATATTCTCTAGCTTATTATTAATAATATAACGATAATTAATTATTATTAATAGCTTAACTTTAATATAGTTCTTAATATACTCTTAGCTTAAAGCCTACTTAATAAGTACTTAATCGTAAGAGACTTTAATATAAAATATTATAGTTAATAGACTAGATATCTCGATAGCTAAGGTAATAATATCGCTTATTAAGTAATAAAGAATTATCTTAGCTTACTTAATTTAACTAATATATTTATAAACTTATATAAAAATATTATAGACTTTACCTTTTCGAATGTATTGCTATTTAAGGTAGTTATAAAGGATTATCTAGCTATTAACTTAAATTACTTTATACTTAATATAGCGCTCCTTAAAGTAGGTATAGCGCTTATATTACCGAGGAAAGTCTATATTACGATAGATAACGAGATTAAGTAGTTTATAGATCTTATTTAATATAGGTTAGTAAATATTTTAGTCCTAATAATAACTACCGATAACTTTAATACTTTTATATTTACTTTAATATGCCTTCTTTAAGCAGTAGCGAAAGTTATTAATCGCTTTATTCGAAAGTAAACTTATAGCGCCTTATAGTAAACCGAGGAATACTACCTCATTATAGCGGAATACTATATAATTAAAAGAGTCTACCCCCTTAGATTTTATCGAGATATTTAGCTCGCTAAGAAGGACTTTTAGAAGGTTATCTATTAAGTTAAATAGCTATATTAATATAACCTTATTAATAGTTTTAATAATAATATATCTATTTTTAAGGCTATTTAATAGTTAAAGTTATTAGGTACCTTTTAATTACCCCCCCTTAAGGTAGATAATAAAGTATATAAAATATAGCTCGATAAAGCTAATGCCTTTTAATAAGCTATATTAAAAAGGCGAACTTTAAAAGATAATATATCTAACCTATAAGCCTTAATCGCTATAACTAAAGTAATATTATTCTCTTAAGATATATTATTAGCTAAGGTATAGGATACGATTATTTATATAAGGAATATATCTCCTAGCTTTAATAATATTACTATTAAAATACTTAAAGTAGCTTAGCGTATTATCGGTAAATATATCTACTATTTATATAAAGGATATCTCTAACTTAGTTATTACTTATAATTATTTAAAGAGGTAAAAGTAATTATAATAATAACGCTAGATTATTAAAATCTATCGATATTATATACTTAGCGATTAATCTCGCTACTTTCTTACTTAAGTAAGGGCCTTAAGAGGCTTATTACTTACTATTTAGTATAAGTATCTATTTACTATAAGGTACTTTATCTATAATAAGTTAAGGCCTTATCGAAGAGGTCTACTATCGACTTTATAGTTACTTTTATATATAATATCGAAGAAGTATTCGCTTATAGACTAATCGCTATATTAATAATAATAAATATCTAAGGGGCTTTTAATACTATCCTCTATAATTAATTAATCCTTTACCTCTATTAATAAAGATAGCTTAAGTATTTTATATAATAGGCTAGCTCGTTTATATTAAACTACTTAATATATATATAATATTAAGATATTATTATACTTAATTCCTTACTTTAATATAGGCTACTATAAAGTTTACTTATCTTACCTATCCTTTTCTTACTCTATATAGAGCTAATTTATTACTTAAGTAATCTAAAGGGTTAATTTAGCTATATTAATAATATTAATATTTTATATATAGGAAACTCGCTAGAGATAATAGCTAATAGGGTATCGCGCTATATTAATAAGCTCGTAATATAAAGCGCCGCTAATAGAATAAGCTTCGACTTAATAAAGACTAAAGTTATATATTTCTACTAAATTAAACTTAAGGTATTATTACTTATCTTCTATAAAAGCAAGAGATACCTAGAAAAAGCAATACGCTAGCTAGATATCTAGCTTAATAGTACTTTAATATTTAAGACTTATATTAAGAAATAAATAGTTAATACGTAAGCTATAATATATTACTTATAAAGGCTCGTTAATATTAAATATAGCTTATTTCTAAGCGTTATATAAAGAGCTATCTAAGCCTATATCGAGCTAGTATTACTTTATAGCGTTAAGGCTTAATACCTTAGATTAAATAGCCCTCGCTAGAGCTAGCCTATAAAAGAGGGCTCCTTAAGAATCTAATAGTTATTATAGAAGATAAATAAGTCGCTTTATAACTCTATATATACTATTTTATTAGTCTAGAGGATAATACCTATCGCTATATTATATTATAAGAGTAATATCCTATTAATCGTCTAGCTACTTAAAACTCGCTAGATATACTTTATAGCCTACCTTAAATATATAGATAAGGTATACCTATTAATAAAATATATATTATAGCTAAAGCTACTAACTATCTATAAGTCGATTAAGCTAAAGTATTAAATGCTTTATAAGGCTTTCTAGACTAGACTTAAATATAGCGATTAGTTATTACCTTATAGTATATAATTACTACTCTTCCTTTACTATTTCGATAAGTATATAATACCCTTATAGACCGTATTAAAAGACGAGTCTATAAAAGACTTCCTAGAATAACTCTAGTCTATCTTATATAAAATACTTATCGTTTACTTAAATAGATCCCTTTCTATAGAAAAGGCCGCTAAGTATATTTATATAATTTATCGTAATAGACTTACTTTAATAAGTAGTAATAATTACCTTAATTTAGCTAAAGTCTTCGACGCTAAAGCTAAGGGTACCCTTAAGGGGTTATATACTATATTAAATCTCCTTAACTTATAATATATCTTTATATACCTTAATAATCTTAAAGTCGTAACTTACTTAAGAGGCATACTTATAGACTCTTCTTAAGAAGTATCCTTTAAGTTTTAAGCTCTAGCTATAACGTATAGCGCTATAGAGGTCCGCTAAATCCCTAGCTATATTAATATTATAGGTAATAAGTAAGTAAACGCCTTAATGAAAGTAGCTACTTCCTTACCTAAACCTATAGATACTCTCTTAATACTTACTTATTTATATAAGACTGCCTAATAGTAATCTAGAGATACTTTTAAAGCTTAATAAGACGCCTCTATACTCGATTAATATAAGCTACTATATCTTAAGCTTATTACTAGCTACTTATTAAAGCTAGAGCTCTTATAACTATTATTTTATTACTTACTCGCGGTATAGTCTTATTATAGAGACTTTATTAATTACTATAAGAGATTTAATTATAATAACGTATAATTAATATACTTATATAGCTAACGAAAAGAATTAAGTTATCTCTTTTATTACTAAAAGATCTTATTATAATATTAAATAAAGCTAATACCTTTACTAACTATAGTAATTAATTATATAATAAATAAAGACTTTAATAAGTTTATTAAGCTAGTAAAAGTAAGCTTATTCTTTAAATAGGTATATCCTCGCTATTAAGTAGATAATATCCTCTCTTTCTCTTTCCTTTATTATTTTTTATTATTATAACCTATTTAAGTAAAGGGTATTATACTACCCTTTACTTACCTAAGTTATATAAGGCTACTCTTATAGTCTCTAACGATAGCCCCTCTCGAGGCTAGTAGAATACGATACTTAATGCTACGCTTAAACGACTCGCTAATGGGCATCGAGCATAAATTAAAGCGCCTTAGAGCTATTAAAATACTAGATAGTAATTTATTTACTTTTAGCGATAAGAGGAGGGGAGACGAGGAGGTAATCTCTAAGTGACCTATATATCCTATATCGATAACGTACGATAGACCTACTAGCTTAGCACGTCCTATGCCCTATAGAGACCTAAGCGGCCTTACGGCCGCTAGACGGAAAATACACTAACTAACTAACTAACTAACTAACGACGCAAGGCAAGCATGTCATGGCTTTCCGGGAAGAGAACGAATCATGACACCCACTCTTAAAGACAGGTTGAAACAATTGCAGCTGGAGAAGGATCACAGAGTAGAACGCGGGAGCCCACGAAGCACCTTTGCGTTCATTACAAGCGGCCGCGATCTCGTCCAGCCAGCGAATGGTGCTCTCAGTTGCCGTATAAAGTACTTGTTGACCACAAGGACATAGCCGGAGGAACACTGCCGTATCGAGACCGGCATAAGTGAGCGATTGCTAGGATTGCACACCCAGTGCCGGTGCATCATACAAAGCCCTCATTTTCGTCATGGGCCCTATGAGATGCTGTCACGGCGTGAACTGCGTAGCCTGCCAACTTGCCTGACGTGCCCAGAACACTCAGTGGCAGTATGAGCCCAGAACGGCGGGGCTTCAGCCACGTCAAGCCACACCAAGAGCCCCCACCATCCCGCATCAACCACCAGTGCAAGCCAGGGGCGGCGAGCCACCAACACGGCCACACCAACAAAGCGCAGCGGCTGCGACTTCTGGCACGGCGCGGTGGAGCTCGAGGCTCTGTCCCCACGCCTGGACTCGACTCTGTGCCTGTGCTCCTCTGTCTCGCCGCCGGGCACACAGAGATGGACGAACGACATCTGCAGACCGTTCGCTGACGATGCCCGCCCCGGTGCCCCCCGGTCTCTAGGAGGCGAAGCTGCCCACCGCTGGGCGCGCTCCTGTAGCAGGACATGTCTCGAGGTAAGTTTTGTTCATTCCCCTTGCATTGCTTGCCGGCCGTGGCACGGCGCCATATCAGACCGACAGGGAGGCTGACCGTGGGACGGCAGCAGCCTGCCTTGACTCGACAATGACATCGGCCTCCCCCCGGCCACGTCGCCGTTTGCCGGACCGCAGACGTGGCTCGCGGACGGTCTACGGATAGATGCATCATCACTCGAAGCGGCCCATGCAAGCAAGCGGACTCGACACCAGCCATCAGCGACCCGGGGCCTCGACACCGACCCTGCACGACGTCGCCAGCGATGCCGCTCTTTGACGATGCCCGCCCGCCATGGCTGCGCACGTGGTCTGCGCCGCCCGCCGGAGCGAAGCCTCGTTCAGGTGACTGGGCGGGCTGACCGGAATGGGCATTTTTCCGGGGGCGCGATCCTCGCCTGGCATTGCTGATGTCAACAAAAGCCTAATCGCCCCGGCTAGGTGGCCACTGAGGCGCCGCAAACAGCCCGTTCCAGCGGCAGGCCCGCTAGCGCCCTAGCGCGCCGGGCGCCTGTTGGACCGCCCAGCCTAGCTCGCCAGCTCACCACCTCAGCAACTGCCTGGGGCTGGGTGCTGATTCACAGCTGGACGGGAGGCGGCAGCCTGCGCCAGGTGCCCACGGCCACAGCACCCTTTCTGGAGTGGCGAGGTGTTGCGCGCTCAGCTCCCAGAGCTTCCCTTGGAGCCCCTCCTCGCCCACCAGCTGGCAGAGCAGGCACTGAGGTGCTGAGGTCCCCAAGGCTCCCCCCCTCCAGCGCCCTCGCGCAGCTCCTCAGCGCCGTCCACTGGCCCGCGAAAAG